CCTGCTGATAAGCATTTCATGTCACATCCTTAAGGGCTTCCACTCACTTTCCACTTTCACAGCCATCGAAGTTCACATGGAGCTGGAACTGCAGATGAGGATGGAGATGGAGAAGGAGCTAAGGATGGAGATGGAGTTGGAGAAGACGCCGTATGGAGGACACCATATAGAGGACACCCTCCCTTTTGTCTTTACTGTCACCGTCAGTAGCGCTTAAGATTGCTTTCAACGCTTAATTGCTTTTTTTTTGTGCCCACTATACGTGTGTGCGTGTATGGATGTGGGTGTGTATGAGGGTGTGGGCGTGGGTGTGGGTGTGTGTGTGAAAGTGCGAGTCCTTTTGATGTGCCAAATGCGAAAGGCACGGGCTTTTGTCATGGACCTCTGGACGTGTTCCATAGTGCGTCGCAATCGACGACCATCGCACATTTTCGCAGGAAGCGTTATTTCAATTTCCGCCTTTCCGCTTCTCTTTTTCTTCCTCTTCTTTCCTTTGCTTTCCCTGCTTTTCCTTTTGTTGCTGTTGTTGCTTTCTTTTCTCGACAAACATCCCAGACACGCCATTATTGTTTGACGTGTCAGTGTTAATGAGTCATTGTCCATTAAGTTTGCTCATTTCAAACGGGCAATTAAATTCGACTTTATTGCACTTCACCCGAGATCGAACCCCGAAAACCGAATCGAATCTGACTAACGACTCGCCATTCTGGCCAACTGAAGCCCAAAGGACACCCGAAAAGGACACACAATAAATCAGTTTATTTATCTAAATTAATGCCACTGCTTCGGCATGCAGAACTTGTCACGAAATGTCACATGTCACGCGAGTCCTGCGCTCAGTTTTTGCCACATAAATCAGTGGCCAAAGGGAGCGAAAATATGAACTGAGAAATCGGATTTTGGCAAGGGGGGGGTCGACATAAATAATTAACAAACTTGAGCACAAATGATAAATAATTTTTGTTCGCCAGCAGAGACTGAATATTTATGACAAACCAGAGATACAAGATTTATTTCCCCCTCCCCTTCCGCATTGTTTATTCTGAATGCCCATGGCACTTGACACTTGAGTGGCCAGGGGCTCTTTGCCACTGCTCTGTATGTGTGTATATATAGCATATATACCCGACTTCTATCTAACATCGCACTGGCCTCCTTTTGCGGCATTCTAATCAAGGAACAGGGGATGCGATCTGCCCCTTGCCGGTGATTTACGAGCTCCCCAATCATTCGGGACACATATAGTAAACCGGCAAGGAGCACAACATACACACACAACACACACACACCACACACACAGTCTTACCATCATAACTCGTCATTGCATTTGATTTTATTTCGGCGTTATTTATTTGAATTATTTATTTATCCTATTATTGGTGAGGCCCTCGAACAAGTTTCCCCCCCCCCCCCTTTTTTCTGAGGGGGTGGTAATCTGCCAGCCCATATCGTACTCTATAGCATTGTATCTTCTGGTATCGTATGGCATTATATCGATGGGGTGTGCTGAAGTTGCGAGAGTTTGTCGGGGAATTTCGGAGGGGGCCAAACACGCCCCGCAAATTTGACATTACTGCTGACCGGTCCCCTTGGCATGAATATTCGTAATATCGGCCCAGCATATGTCCATTTGCGTGTCCTGTGTGTGTCCTGTGTGTGTCCTGGCCATTGCCAATCAATAATACGGACTGGATAAAGATTTATAGGTTTTGCATTTGACCACCGCACGCACCACTCCCTCCGCAAATGATCCCACTCCAAAGGAGAGAAACACCCACGAGAGGTCCACACGGAATCAAAGGACCAGGGATATCGCACCACATCCGCATATCGCACCACCTATCCTACAGTCCTCCAATCCATGAATCCACCAGCTGGGTCCTTGCTTTTGGGACCGACCAACTGGTAATTACAAATAAGAATAAGTGAGCAGTTATTCATCGAGCAGATACAAGCGCCCATCCCACGGATGAATTTATCAAGTGAACAATATTATTAATGAGCTGGGCGGAGTGCAGCAGGTTTATCAGAAGTGTTGCGATGACCGATTCACTTGCCTTTTCCACTAACAAGATACGTATTTTGTTTCACTTTCGTCACTTTGATTTGTGTCCTTTTAAATTAGGTTTTTATCCGAATCTAGAAAATGTTATGGAAAGTGTTTTCAGCATCAAGAAATTCTGGATCAAATGTTACATTAATTGCAAGGGGTAAACAATAAGCAAGTAAATAACTAATAACTATTAAATACTTTAAATAACTGAAACATAAAAAGATTGTTTAGCTCTGTTAGTCACTTAAACTTTGTTGTTTTCATAAGCCAATAAAATGTAATTATATAGAGAAAAATAGAGTTCCTTTGACATACTTTTCGATTAACTTACTTGAAATTTACCAGATTGATTCTATTATATGATATTCTTCCTCTCTGTAAATCTCCTTAAAGTTCCTTGTCATGAACTCGAGTCCTTCACTATTATTGGCTTCCTTGGAGGCGTTCCCCATCCTTGCATCAATTAAAGGCATTCAACTCCTGGCACTCCAGCGTTGACACTCTAATAGGGAGCTGGAATTTTTATAGGTTTCTTAATGTCGCTCGTACCTCGGCTGCCTAATTACGTGCGAGTCTACTCAGGGCAGACAAATAAATTGTCGGTGATTTGTTGACATGTGGATGTGGGAAATACATTACGCTACTTTATCCCCCATCCTTTCCGTTCGTTTCCCTTGGAAAACAAAGTAACTAGAGCGAATTTAACTATTCGGCGATTACAGCGGGCAACACGAAACACTCCGCACAGAGAATGAATTGCGGCGTCCGTACTTTATGTCCCATCAAAGTACGCCTACTCCATAAGGTGAGCTCTCCGGTCGAGCAGGACGAAAAGGACAATCAGGATGCCGAGGATGCTGGAAATGCCATGGCAGGAAAGGCAGCAACGATGTGGAAGTGCTGGCGAGACCGGGCCATAAAGAAAAACTTCATTTATTCGCAGGGAAATAAATCTTTTAATGCACATCGGAGAGTCGTTATTCGGGCATTGTTTTCTCATTTACCACAACACCTCCGAATCCACCCACTCTCCACCGAAAAAATCATGAGGCATATGTCGTGCCGTTTGGCCATCGAGTTGGCCAACTCCCCCAAGGTGGAGAGGACCATTTCGCCAAACCGAACCGCACCGAACCGAACTGAAACATCCTGGCTGGGAGCCGTGTGCTTCCCTGTCTTCCCTGTCAGAGCAAATGAACGCTGAATGGCTATTTCAATGATTCTAATTATGGAGCCGCCCGGCGCAAAAGTTTGTTAAGTATCGCGTGCATCATTGTTATTGTTTTTCTTGCCGAACCCGAGATCCACAAAAGCAGCCGAATTGCCTTGTTCCCTGGATAAACAACAGGGGATACATGTTTAGGTACTCAGGTGGATCCACCAAAAAGAACTAAGTTACACAACTACTTGTCCAAAAATAGCATACAAAATGGTTTTATCTAAATTGAAATTTAGATATTTTATTTTAAATAAATAATTAAAATATTAACATATAAGCAGGGAAAGTTATACGTGAAACCATAAATGACTTATTTGATTTTTTTTTTTGGTAATTTTTTTGAAGCTGAAACTCCGACTAAAACCACATTCAGCTGAATCACTGTTTTGTTAAAGTAAAAATAAATTTAAATAAAAATAATAATAGGTCTGGAGCCTTGTTTTTCTACCTTTAGTAATCTTATTTTTGTTATAGTAATTTAGTGATCAGTCTTACCTTTTTGTCCCGTGCTGTGCGAATCCATCCTCGGCTGTTAGATTTCATTCGATGGGTGGTGCTCGCTCATTAGGTGGCCGCCCCCACTACCGCAAGTCCTTCGCATCGTCATGCAAAATGTCCCACAAGGACAACAATTGTCCTGCGAGTGTGGGTGTGTGTGTGTGTGTGGGGATGTGTGTGTGCATGTGTGCGTGGCTGTGACCTGTGAAAATGTCCGTGTCAAGTTGTGAGTAATAACACGGAAATGCCAAGGAAAAAGGACAGCGAAAGCACAGCTCGTAAAATGGACAAACGCAGGGAAGACTTTCTCCTGGTTTTTATCACTGACTTGACACAAGAATACTCTAACGTGAGAAAATTATTTGATATAAAAAATATTTAATTTGTATTAAGAGTTACATTTGGCACTCTTTCACTATACCACTCCAAATAAATATTTGAAAACTATAACTTTTTTGGTCTAATCAACAACTAGTTAATTTAATGTAAATCCAACTAAATGTGGAACACACTAGCATCTTTCTTTGGTTAACTTCCTAAGAATCTTAAATTATGTTACTGTTTTGATTTAATAAAACTGTTTGCGTTCCTCCAAGATTGTTGTTGACAAATCGCTGTCATCCTTGTAAAGAAAACATAGCATACATATCGGCATTGGCAATTACATCTGGCGAACCTTCCGAATCTCCCGAATCATCTGACAAATTTCGGAGCCGAAAAAAAGGACATTAATTAGCTGTACGTGTTCATGCATTGCCGAAGTATTTGTTGTCGCTGGTGTTGGGCACCATAATAGCTCTTCTGCTCCTCTTGTGTCAAAAAGGAAAGCCAGATGGAGATGGAGATGGAGTTGGAGATGGAGATGTGGATGTAGATGGAGTTGGAGATGGAGTTGGAGATGGAGAACAAAACCCAAACAGACATAAAGCGCCAAGGATGAATGGCCTCTCTGACCTTTCATGTGTGCGTAGAGTATATGCATGTTTGTACATAATTACGAGTGCTTCTTGCTTCTCGCAGAGACAGCAAAAAAGTTAAATTACACAAATCGCAAACTTTAATATCCCCCAGTCTCGAACAAAAGTCAAAGTAATGGCGTTGCGTAATTAACGAGACTCCAGGGATCGCCAACCGATGAACATTACTTTGCCGGCTCTTCAATAAATCCATATTCGCAGCAGTAACTTGCTCGCTTCGATCCAAAACAACAGAAGTTGTGAACTCGTGCCTGATTTTTATTTGCATTTGGGCTTTTAGCACCTCCTAATTTAAGCATTTATCACTCCAGATTCCCTTGCTTAAAATGGAAGCAATTTGTAGAGTATTCGTTTCGAAAAGATAGTTAAAAAATAGGGATTATTATCTAAGTATTTAATTTAGAAAAAAAAGTATTTAATTTGTATTTAAGTTCCATTAAGTAGAAATGTTTTATATTAGGGAAATGGATTTTCAAATTTATGATTTTACGAATGTTCTGATTTTTTTTAAATTTTTGATTAATATGCTGTGATTAGCTTAATGGAATGGAGTACTCCAAACTGTGAAATTGGTGAACTTAACTCTATATGTGGAGGGTACGAATAATGATAAAAAAAAAATGTTTTACTTTCTAGATGACCGTCTACAATGTCATTTTATAGCTTGTTGTGTTATTCGCTAATGGTCGCTGAATGTTTTTAATTTTTTTCTTATTCAGCTTGTAAGGGGCTGAGTTCCGCTCCTCTGGGTTCGCAATATCATACGGAGTTCGCACGATTTCTGGCAAATGGGCGTAGTAAACAATCCTTTCATTTCGCGGAGGATAAGTCAGGTCGGCGGGTTTCGAGGATCCGTATTTGCTCGCGCCGTAGGAATCGATCGGTACCATGGGTTCATCAACATATCCTCGGCGATACTTGGGGTACTCCCTAACAGCTGGTGTGTCCGAGTAGCGGTCGGGATACATAACATAGGGATCCGGATACTGCGGAATCCTGGGACTGTAGCTATCGTAAGGATCGAAGCGCTGGCGGTGCATGTACATGTCCTCGAAGTACTGCGGATAGTTCCGATGGTACTGCTCATCGTATCTGCAACAAAATATAATTATTAAATAAAATAAAATGGCACATAAATAGGAGTTTGTTGATTTCACAATTTTAGTTGCCTTACTAGAATATTAATTGTAAATTAAGTACAATAGATAGATTTTTTCTTTTCATCCAAATAAAACTGGCTAACAGATAAAGGAAGTCACAAAATTAGTTAATGCTGTAACTATTCTTTCGTTAGCATTTTAAAATGTATCAAACTTCAACAAGAATTAATTTATTATTAGCTCTAGAAAGATTTGAAATCAAATGCTTGAAAATGTGAAATGTATATAAACATATCACATTTAAAAACTTATTAACCTGCACTATACCTTTTAAACCATTACAACACCTTGCAATATTTCAAACATAAGCTCACCTGTCGTATCGGCGGATATACGGATCGTAGGATCTGGAGGGATACAGCGGCAGTTTTCCCGAGTAATCACCGTACCAGGGTATCGGCTTGTGGCCAATTCCACTCACTGGCCGGTTCAGCGACCCCAAGTTGCCTTCTCCGTGAATCTTGAGAGCTGACGTGGCGGCCAGTTCGTTGTCACCGGCATAGAGATCTCCCATCCGACGCGGACCCACGAAGTACTCGTAGTCCTTGTATCCGATGGGAGGCTTCTGGAAGTTCATCTGCTTGGGTTGCGTCGGATCCAGATCCAGCATTCCGGAGGTGTCCACCTCGCTCTCCTTGGCCTCCATGTCCTGGCTGGAGCGCAGGTCCTCGAAGCTGGGACTGCCATAAATGCAGTTGGCCAGCAGCAGTGGCACCGCCATCCGGATGAACTTGTTGGCGGACATGGTGCAGAAGTACAGCCGATGCCGCCGGGGTGCCAGGTTGAAGTGCTCCACTAATCGCCGCAAAACTCTATTGAAAGGTTGGGCATTAAACGCTACAATGATTCGGCGACATGGTAAGTTGAACTTCAAAGCCGATTGTTCTGGCTGCTTTGTTGGCCACTCCATTCCATTCCATTGGAGCACTGAACCGCAATGCTGTGCTCCCCGATTTCACTGCTTGCACAAAAAACGAATCTAAATGAAAAAAAAAAAAAAAAAAAAACAGGCCCCCCTCCAGAATTTTTTACGGTCCGTGTGCTAAATGCATGTAAGACATAAATTTAGTTACAACTCAACAAACATAGACATCCGCCTGCTTTTAGCATTCTAATTATATCAGTTTAACAACAATATTCACAATGTTGTTTAAAAATGACTTACGTTTTATTCAAACTATCAAAATGACTTTATCAAAACGGGTTGGTGATCTCTTATATATTTTCAAACTTTTAAGTCTTAGGTATATGTAAATAATAATTATATAAATTAGTTTCCAAAACAAATTAATAGTATGAATCATTAAATGACTAAGGCTCGTTTTCACAAATTCATTGTTAGTTGAAAACAGCCAGAGCACAAGGAAATTTAATAGAAATATCCAAGTTTCCATGCTGAATTTATCAAGTCATGCTGATGAGAAAACGGCCCTAAGGTTGTTAATGCTGGACAAACAGATTCCGGAGGAGCTCGCCTCCGGGCAGCTGTTCCTGAAACGATTGTTTAAAATTCCTTAGTTTGGCAGCTTAGAGCGACAAATGAGGCCACTCCCCACGACACTGGGTTTCGATCAGGGTTTGGGAAGCTGGTGGTTTTCTTTCTTGTTTTTGTTGACGATCTTTGTACCGTTCAAGAGCTGTGTGTATCTGAACGCCGGGTAGAGTTTACAGCTGGATATGCGTAGCCCTTAGAAGATAATGATATTCTGCAGCTGTGACAGCGTCGACCCAAAGTGGCTGCTCTCCGGCAGGTTCTTGATCTGGAGCAGCCAGCGCTGGCACTCTGCACACTTCCTCTGGCGATCCTCGCGGGTCACATCAACGCCCAGTCCATTGGCAGCCCAGGAGTCGAGGTTCTCCTGAATGGTTGGCAAGAAGTTTGACAGAATAATTCGCAATGTATCGCAGGCTCTCGTAAAGTGGCTAAAAGTAAAGATTGGCATTAATTAATCAGCACATTTCTTGTTTGTCTTTACTTACAACTTGTGCTGGCTTTGCAAGAGTTCATAAATCTCTGGTAGCACAAACATGCAGAAGTCTAAGTTCCACGAGGACCTGTAATTGGATATTATATACTATAATTACATGCTTTTTGAAATAAATAACAATTATCTTACGGTTTTTCCAGTATGGCTCCGAGTAAGTCTATAAAAATGGATTTCCCGCAACTCTTAGCTTGCCTCAAAGCGCCAAGGACATCATGCGATCTGTAAAATGTAAAATTTTGAATATATTGCAACAGCAACTCTTTAAATAAAAACTGCTCACCGTGTGGCGTTTCTTAGCAAGTCCAGGCTAGACTGACGGTTGCTGAGCTCCTGCAGCACAGCCTCATGCGATCTGGAGAGCACATCGAAGTCGTGGTCATCCATCATGATGCGATTGTTCAGTGGCTGCTGCGGTTGTGTATTTAAATAACATTACTAACGATGATCAAATAAACACCTTGGAGTACCTACGTTTATTTGCTTTTCCTGAGCTTTTGCCTGGTGCGAGGTGCGCATGTCCAGGGTGGTGCGGGATCGCATCGGTGGCTTTGTAATGATCTCCACGTTGATATTCTTCTGCTGACTGTTCTCCTTGCTGAACTGACTCTGGGCCGAGCCCATGGGTCGCTTGTTCTTGTTGACAACGTTCGAGGAGGAGGACTTCTTCAGAACCATATTGTCGTCCAGCTTGTGCAGCTCCATGGAGCTGACCGAGGACACCTGGCTGAGCTTGCTGCCACCGAAGATGCCCGTGGACGTCTGCTTGGTGCTGCTCATGGTGCTCGTGGACCGCTTGTGCAGGCTAGTCGTTGTGGGCTTCTTTATCGACTTGGACGAGGCGTTGATTGTGGAGGCGGCGGGTGGAACTGGCTTATAGTTATTGGTAATGTAGTTAAGGTTCTGATTGACCGGAAAGTCCTCGGCCATTTCGTAGTTATCATAGTTATTCAGTATTGGCGGATTGCTGTCATTCAGATTGAACTCCAACTGCTGCTGCACATCCGCCTCCTCGTCCTTCCCCAGCGAATAAATATTGTAGATGTCCGGTTTGTGCAGTGAACTGGGTTCGTTGTTCAACGACATCAGGCGGGTGTCGATGGCATAGCTACTGCCATAGCTGGCCATATTGTCGCTCACCCTGGAGAACTTTCCGGGCTGCCTCAGCGAGGAGGAATCCATTGCACCGCCGTAAACGACGTGATGCGAGGTGAGATCCGACGACGAACCCGCCATCGTTGACAGGAGAAACGAGGACATCGGCGACGAATCCGCCGACTCCAGCACCGCCTCGTTCACAACCTCGAGACTGTAGTTGGGCGACGACAGGCCGCTCTTGTTCTCCTCATGCTCCTCCTGCACTTGGGCGGGTTTGGAGCCACCCAGCGACAGCCTGAACTTCTGGTTGCCGCGCGAGAAACTCTTTCGGTTCGTCGAGTTGTGCTTGAAGTTGGGTAGAGAGTTTGGCGGCTGGTAAAAAGGCTTCACACGATCCAAACTAATGGTGTTGATCGAAACGGTGTCAATTTCATGGCAGCCACAGATCTGCAAAGAAGATGCAGATGAAATTTAGTGCGAGTTTGAAGTGAAAGCACTATTTTTACCAGCTTACCAGCTTATTGTTGACCACTTTCATGTCGGCCAACGAGGACCAGGTGCTTTTTATGTGGTCCAGCTCACGATCTGGCTCCCAACCAATTACCGAAATACCCGAAGCACTGCCAACAAAGAGACACTCCCCATTTTCACTGAAATACAAATTAATATTTCATATTTGTATGCATTTTAAAGTTAATTAAAGCTTACCTGAAGGTAATGCACTTTATGGCCTGACCATAAAAGTGAGTAGTCTGCGAAACGAGCTGCTGGTGCTCCAGATCGTAAATGGACACGGTGCCATCGATCCGACCTGCTGCCAAAAGGAACTCAAACGGATGGAATTGAACGCATGTGATGGCGGTCACCGGCGGATCCGCAATAAACTCCATGATCTGTTTGCTCTTTCGTATGTCCCAGATGAGGATGGAGCCCTCCAAGCCAGCAGAGGCGATCCAGAGTCCGTCCGGAGAGAACTTTACGGAGTTCACGTGGGACATGTGACCGCGGCATACCTTAATGCAGTTGTTTTCGTTCTGCACGTCCCAAAGTCTAAAAAGAAGAGAATGGAAAGCAAATTAGTTTGGTTTTCGCATTGAATTGAAGGAATAAATTTCTACTTGCTACAATTATTTGTAAGCTGTTATTCCACTTAAATTAATTTCTAATTTCAAACTCATTTTTAAAATCAACAGAAATCAACCAAAAACGGTTGTGAACTAATACGGGTTTACGCCACTGCTGTTTGCGGCTAAGTTCCAAGACAAGGTTTGCGTCTGCGCTGCGCATAGCTCTTTGGTATTTAAGAGATTTCTCGAAACTTGTAAGCGAGTATATTTTAGTGAGTAAACTGATTGACGATTGTAAACTTATCTTGCCAGCGAATGGTAATGCACTTTGTACCTGCGATATAGGCCTAATCTCTGCATTCGGACCTATAGCAACGTTTAATCTGCGAGAACTGTAAGTGGGTTGGTGTAAAAAGGCAACGGGGTATTTGTTTTGAACATGTGTGCGTGTGTGTTTGTGTCCAGGCGACTTTCTTTTATTTAGCAAAACAAATGTATCTTGTGTTTTTGTGGTTCTATCCCCCTTGGTTCTTTGAACCATGAACCGTTGGACTTGGACCACCTTGTATCACCCGGGAGAAATGTTCTTTTAAACCCGCATAGCCGCTACTTTTACACACACACACTCTCAAAGCGATAGCATTATCGCTGGGTTACTTAAGATTACAGCGATCGAAGGCGGCACACCAGCGCTCAACCTGTTTTCCCCCGTACTTCATTCGTATTTTGCAGCGTTGCCGAGCGGAGACCGGATTTGTGCAATCTGAAACTAGAAAACCAGCTGTGTGCAATATTACCAGAGCCTAGATCATGTCCTCAACCGATGGAAAACTGCGCTACGATGGCCGTGTGGCGGTGGTGACGGGAGCTGGTGCCGGTTTGGGTCGCGAGTACGCCCTCCTGCTGGCCGAACGCGGGGCCAAGGTGGTGGTCAATGATCTGGGCGGCACGCATTCCGGCGAGGGAGCCTCCCAGCGGGCTGCCGACGTTGTGGTGGAGGAGATCCGAAAGGCCGGCGGCGAGGCAGTCGCCGATTACAACTCTGTGATCGATGGGGCAAAGGTCATTGAGACCGCAATCAAGGCCTTTGGCCGCGTGGACATCCTGGTGAACAATGCCGGTATCCTGCGCGATCGCAGTCTGATCAAGACCAGCGAACAGGACTGGAATCTGGTCAACGATGTCCATCTGAAGGGCAGCTTCAAGTGCACCCAGGCCGCCTTTCCGCACATGAAGAAACAGAACTTCGGTCGCATCATTATGACCTCCTCGAACTCGGGCATCTATGGCAACTTTGGCCAGGCCAACTACTCGGCCGCCAAGATGGGTCTCGTCGGTTTGGCCAACACGGTGGCCATCGAGGGTGCCCGCAACAACATCTTCTGCAACGTGATTGTGCCCACGGCTGCCAGTCGGATGACCGAGGGCATCCTGCCCGACATTCTCTTCAACGAGCTGAAGCCCAAGCTGATTGCTCCCGTGGTGGCCTACTTGTGCCACGAGTCCTGCGAGGATAATGGTAAGTGAACTCCATATCGATCTCTATGCTAGATTTATGATCTCAACAATCTTCTTAATGCACCAAAGGGCTTCAATTTTTGCATTGCTGCAAGTTGTTTACATTACCACTTAGGCTCAATGAAAAACAAAACCACGTCATTTCTTTGTAAATAAATATTCGTAAACAAAAGTCCTACTTGAATTACAAAAGTAAATATTTATAAATAATACGATTAAGCCCACTTTAAAAACAAATGAAGGCGAAAACTTTGGACTGAACTCTTCTAGGGCAACCATAAGATTCGAGCCGAATGGTTCTTAAGCTAATCTGCCTGCATATAATGGAGAATGCGATTAGGTAGGGAAACTTTCGAGCTGATAGTGTTTAAAATTAAATGCTTATCAGGAATAAACATGTTTATGGAATCGCAGTTGATTGATTCTTCTGTTTTTCTAATTCACAGGAAGCTATATCGAGAGCGCCGCCGGATGGGCCACCAAGGTGCACACTGTGCGCGGCAAGGGAGCTGTGCTGCGTCCCTCGTTGGACGACCCGGTGACCATTGAGTACGTCAAGGATGTGTGGTCCAATGTGACGGACATGTCCAAGGCCAAGCACCTGAACGCAATTGCTGAGGCCTCCGGCACTCTTTTGGAAGTCCTGGAGAAACTGAAGGAGGGCGGTGGCGATGCCGTCGAGGACACCTTCGAGTTCAACAGCAAGGAGCTGATCACCTACGCCTTGGGCATTGGGGCATCGACCAAGAACCCCAAGGACATGCGCTTCCTGTACGAAAACGATGCCGATTTCGCTCCCATTCCCTCGTTCTTCGTTCTGCCTGGTCTCGTCTTGGCCATGTCCACCGACAAGCTGGTCAGCAAGGCTCTGCCCAACAGCCAGGTGGACTTCACCAACATTCTGCACGGCGAGCAGTATCTCGAGATCGTCGACGATCTGCCATCCAGCGGCACTCTGGTGACCAGCGGCAAGGTCTTCGATGTGATGGACAAGGGTTCCGGCGCCGTTGTGGTTACCAATTTGGAATCGTTCGACGAGAGCGGTCGTCTTTTGGTGCGCAGCCAGATGAGCACGTTCGTTGTGGGCGCTGGCAAATTCGGCGGCAAGAAGCAACCGATCGAAGGAGTTGTTCCGGTGCAGCCCACACCCAATCGCCAGCCGGACGCATCCATTCAGTACGCGACGAGCGAGGACCAGGCGGCACTCTACCGCCTCTCCGGCGATCGCAATCCCCTGCACATCGATCCCCAGATGGCCCTGCTGGCCGGCTTCAAGACACCCATCCTGCATGGCCTCTGCACCTTGGGCTTTTCCGTGCGCGCCGTTTTGGCTCAGTATGCGGACAACAATCCCGCTCTTTTCAAGGCGGTTAAGGTGCGCTTCTCCGGACCCGTGATTCCCGGCCAGACTTTGCGCGTGGACATGTGGAAGCAGGGCTCACGCATCCATTTCCGCACCGTGGTTACCGAAACCGGCAAGGAGGTCATTTCCGGAGCCTACGTCGATCTGAAGAGTACCTCGGCCAAGCTGTAAGCTGTGACCCAAACACATTGACTCTGCGATGGATCTTCATTGCCTTAAGATTTTGTATCCGTTTGACTATGTACATATACAAATATGCCAAGGCATGTGCAAATGTTTAAGCGCCCATGGTGGTAGAAGTATTTTTTTTGTAAAGCTTTGTAATATTCCCAATAAAGGACAATATAATTAAATTGAAGCTGCGTTTGTTTAATCCTAGATTAGAATTTTGACAGGGGACAATTAGCTAGCAATCGAAATTTTAGGTCAACATTTTGAAGGCTGGTATAATAAAGTAACAATTTTACTGCCAACTGCCATAACAATGTGCGACCCAATTCTTGTAATTTTGTTGTTATTTAATAACATATATTCCTGAATGTTTGGCACGATAAGGCTTTTCGTTGATGAAAGTATGTATTTGGGTTATTAAGCCGCTTAAAATAAACATTTCCTCCGAAAATTCAACACCAGTAAAATAAAGAGAGACAGGGACAGAGGCTCTATAGCCATCTCTTTTCAAACGAGGCAAATACATACGTATTAAAGACTGACAAGCAAAGTTGCGACTCATGGATGAGTCGGATTATTTATATCGAGTCTTTTGGCGGTGGCGTTAACCCGTTCAACACGGGGAGGCCAAATAAATCTTCCACCTAACGGACAGGAAGTAACCTAATATACAAAAAAAAAAAAAAAATATATCGAGTCTTGGCTCACCTGACGGTCGTGTCGTTACTTCCGGACACCACATATTCTCCGGACGGATTGAAGTCCAGAGTGCGAACACTCTTCATGTGTCCGTTTAGAGTTGAATAGATTTTCTGTGAGTTTAGATCCCATCTCCGTATAATCCCGATATCGTCGGCGGAGTACACAAAGTTATCCTTATACGCAAAACGGACGCAATCGATGGAGCGATTGTGACCCGTCAGAGACTGAAATAAAAAAAACGGTAAATATTCGAGGTAAGGCAGGTAAGCATCGGGATTCGAAACGCACCATAAAACACTCATTCTGTCCAATTGCCCAAAGGTTCACATTGCGATCCTCGCCACCGGTGACCAGCACTCGGCCTGTTTCGCCCAAATCAAGGCTCGTTACTCTGCTGTCGTGTGCCTTAATATCGTCTGTGAAATTAAACAAAAAAAAAAACAATTATTTATATAATTTTATTAAAAATAAAAACAATCATTTCAATTTCCCATACGGGAAAAAAAAAACAGTTTACTTAACAATTCTCAGAAATAATTATCTTATTTCTTATATGGATTCTTGATTGAGATAATCCAAACTTACTAAAACTGCTTTGTCTTTATTTGATTTTCTATAAATATATGGCAAACTCTGTAAGCCAACATTCTTTAAAATAAAACCCCTAACATTTATCACTTCCACAATAAAACTCTGAAAGAGCTACATATAATTGTTATATTTCACTCTGAACTTTTTTCTGATTGAAAGCATTGTTTTAAACTCGTGACCTTTATTGTGTTCACAATGAAGCTTACGCCCACGGTTTTTTGAATAATAAACAAGAGCTCCTGCAATTTGAATTGACTGGAACCGTTACAGATACCTAGAAACGTGATAGGGAAACCAAATCGGGGTAAACAATGTTTGATGACTGCTAAGTAAACTTGTTGCCGATATTGCAAGGTAAAACTAGGTGTTATATTACTTATTTCGACTGCAGCTGCACCTTTTTATTGAAAACTACTTTGCCATTGGCTCTCCTATTACTTTTTTGTTTAAGGAAACAGTATGCAACATTTATAAATGTGCAAAGGATGCATATGCAACTTTATTAGTTTGTAATCCACTATAGTTTTGTGTACACAAACACTAGAACGCAACACACTCACCCAGCGGGAAAAACGATGTGGAAGATATGCTATTTTCCAGAGATTTCTTCATACAAGCGGAAGGGCAAAAACCTCCTTCACCCCTTACATTTTTGCCGTCTCTCCTTTCAAAATACACGGGGGTGACACACAAAAGGAAGGGGTAAAGGAGGTTTCTATGTAAAAATCCACAGGTTTCAGAAACCCACCCTTATTTAGCGGACCGAAATTTTCAACTCCTACCCCTACGCCTGCTAAAAGCAGCAGGATTTCCAGTAGACTTAAAACCGAAAACCTACTTCTAAAAACCTACTTCTCACTTTCCCGCTGGGCACTTACGCCGCATACAACAACAAAAGCGGAGGCTTATTATGAGTGCGTGTGTTAGTGGGAATATACAACGGTACTTTCGAACATTCGCTTTACTTACAGATCTTCGATATCAGTTTTCTGGGCACCGCCATAATCAATCAAATTGTAGTTATATAAATATGCTGGCAACTGATTATTTCACTATAAATGCCAGTTTTTTAAATAAATATTATCTTTTTGTAGCAGGTGTGAACCGAAGTCTGTGATCAGCTGTCTGGTCTTATAGGCAAAATCGGTCTTAACTTCCGAACAAACACGAAACGCACTTAAACAAAATCACATTGGGCACAACACCTTTATAAGACAATATCACCGCGATCGCATTGTACAAAAGCCTATAGTTTACACTGTGAAATCTGACAATTCTTGTGGACAAAAACAAATGCACATTGTAATTACAGCGACGACAAGGGCTACGGCAACTATCGATAACCACCGCTGCAGTTAGTATCGATAGGCGCAGCTGCCAGAACCGTTGCAGTCAATAAGAAAAACAAGTCACAATAAAGCATTAATTAATCAGCTGATCCAAAGAAGACACTTCTAAACATCTTATTCGGAAACAAAAAATGAAAAAATCCATTAAGAATTTTATTTATGTAGTTATTTTTGGCAGTCATAAAAATATAATACAATGATCAACTGAACCTTATTTTTTATTACTCGTGCCACATTTTGAACGACAGAGTTGAATTGTATTTCTTTATTATTATTTTAATTATTATTTATTAACACAAAACATTATTTTATTTTAAACGATAGTGTTCGACGTCCAACCGATGTATCGAACCGCTTTAAGATTTGTTTGATATTTTTCTAGGCGCCCGTCCTGCGGTCACACTGCGGCATTTCCTCAAAAAAGCATCATCATCGCCTGCCAAAGACGACAAGGGAAAAAGCTAAAGATCGAATATTTTGACTCTACCTCTGTCGCTGAATAAAGCAAAAAGATGTCCTCGCGCTACGATCGAGCTGTAACCATTTTCTCCCCGGACGGTCACCTCCTGCAAGTCGAATATGCCCAGGAAGCGGTTCGCAAGGGTTCGACGGCGGTAAGTGCCCCGGTTGTTCGTGTTTTTTCGCAAGCAGTATTTTACAATTGAAACAAACTTGATCGTCGATTTAGGTCGGTGTTCGTGGGGCCAACTGTGTGGTCCTTGGTGTGGAGAAGAAATCGGTGGCCAAATTGCAAGAGGACCGCACGGTTCGCAAAATTTGCATGCTTGACCACCACGTTGTGATGGCCTTTGCCGGCTTAACTGCCGATGCGCGCATCCTAATAAATCGCGCCCAGGTGGAATGCCAGAGCCACCGCCTGAATGTTGAGGATCCAGTGACCCTAGAATACATAACCAGGTGGGAACTGGTGGTATAGTTTTTCCTTTACAGCGCTCTAAGGATGCAATTTCTTTTTCAGATACATTGCCCAACTGAAACAGAAGTACACGCAAAGCAATGGCCGCCGTCCCTTCGGGATATCCTGTCTTATTGGCGGCTTCGATGCCGATGGCTCTGCGCATCTTTTCCAGACCGAACCGTCCGGAATTTTCTATGAGTACAAGGCTAACGCCACCGGGCGCTCGGCAAAGGTGGTGCGCGAGTTCTTTGAGAAGGCCTATCGCGAGGAGGAGGTGGAAACCGAACGCGGAGCCGTCAAGCTGGCCATTCGCGCCCTCCTCGAAGTCGCCCAGTCGGGTCAAAACAATCTTGAGGTGGCCATCATGGAGAACGGCAAGCCACTGAAAATGCTGGACAGCAAAGTCATTGCCGAGTACGTTAAGATAATCGAAAAGGAAAAGGAGGAGGAGCTAGAGAAGAAGAAACAGAAAAAGTAACACCTAGCCCGGAACACTTCGATGGAAGGCCTTCGCTTTGAATCGTTTTTCAAATCTATTCTGTGGTATACAGCAGCTTCGTATCACCACCAACTTTGTATGTTATTTATGGCAACTTCATTTGGGTTGGAAAACGCTTCAAATCATAGCTTCGGTGGACCGAATGCACACTTTTTTTTAATGAACCATTTCTTTTCTTCGAAACTTTGTAAAACGGTATGAAGAAATTTGATTTGTATAAAATACATGCGTCATCATACATTAACCGGAATTTCTGTTATTTGATTTTTGAACTTTGATCTTAAATTTAACCTGGCCCTTAAATCAGAATTGATCCAAACGAACAAACTGAGGTCTGAGGTGTCTTCTCAACTGCGTTGCAAACTTCTGACTAAAATTATAGTACCCCCACAAGGGTATAAAAATGCAAAGCCGCACAAGCTATATCGAATATTTTAATTGTTTTTACACGACCACGTCATCAGTAAATTTTAAAAAATGGTACTCACCTTATTGCGTTTGAACGCAGTGCATCCTATAGGCCACTAAAAGCGGGAAGGGATCAGAAGCACCTGCAACTGAAATGAGTTAAAACCATAATTAAATTTATTTTTTTCAAAAATCCATACCAAGTCGGGACGATGCACTGCATCCTGGAGTGGAGTCCAGTAGAAGAAACCACTTCACAAACACACACACACTTCCAAAAACGGGAAACAGCTTCTCAAAGAAACTGCCGGTCATCCCGGAGAATTGAGGAATTCACTAAAAACCACTGGTATCCCACTATGATTCAACCAGAACCATTTGGGAATCGTAGATGCAAGAAAACGTTAAATTTATTTGATTATCGTTACCGGTGACGTGGCGGTTTGTTAAAGTAATTTACATTAGATTTCCATTACATTAATATTAAAAATTAAAATTAATCTTAAATTAATGTTAACTTAATGTTATCTAACATTTTTCTGGTGTTAAATTTGCAACTTACAAAAAATATCATAAAAATAGAGCAACTATGTATATCATAAAGCTGCCATAGGAAATATGAACAAATCTTTATATAATTAACGGAAATAAGATGAGAACATTGTTGTTTTTCATTAGACAAGGATAATTTTTTGAATATAGTGTTTTCTAAAAAAAAAACCGCATAAACGGGGAAGGTATTTTCTTTGATATTTCTAGGCCTGTAAAAAAGTTGCATAGCAGCTTATACAAATTTTGGGAAATAATTTTTTTCGAAAATTTTGTGGGGGTCCCCCTAAATTTTTCGCAAAATCTCTTGCTTGCTGTAAAAATCGGTTAAGTCGGATTATGTCTTCGCTAGATTATGAAGGTAAATATTTTTGGAGAGTACATTAGCTAGGTGTATCGACTAAGCTTGGATTGTGTATTCGCTAGTGTCGGCAGTTGTGGAAAACATTTACAGACATCAATTTTAAAATTCAAAACTTTAAAAATAAAAACTACGGCAGTCATAAATACTATACCTTTGTTCTGTTATAGTTTTTGTACAGTTGAATCTTGACGTAAAAATGAATTTTCGTCTTGAGCTAAATGACAAGACGCACTTCGAGTGCATAACATGGCTGCATGAGACAGAACTTCATATGATGTGCTTTTAAAAGTCACAGCACTGAGTATCTGGTACGTATTACCTTAAATAAGCTTTAAAAATATCGGTTCTGCGGAATTCAACTTTCCGCTTAGGCCAACGTTTAGGCTTTAGGAGTGACCAGCTTAAAAATAACATATTAAAAAAATATCGATGTGTGTTAATTTTGCCAAAAAATGGTGGTATCGAACTATCGATACGTATATATATTTACGACACTCGAGTTCTATCCCCACTGTATCCCCAAAACCGAACCGAACGAATCGCTCGCATCGCCCGCTGCTCGATAAGTCAAATTGTGTGTTGTGTGCGCCAAATCCAGCGGGGGCCAAAATCAATAATCTTTGGTTGTGCGATTTCGCGGCTTTTTTTTTGTGTTTTCTTTTAAAAAAACAATCAATACCCGAAGGTAACGTGTGTAGAAAAACTAAAAAACTCACCTCAGTGTGCATTCGTTGACGCTTGACATATTGGTACTCATTTTATTATTATTTTACCTTGTTTGTCGTTTTTTTGAAAATTGCATGCGAACTAGATTCGAATTGAATTAAAAAGAACTCATAACCGAACCGAGAATCGACAACGAAATCTGAATTCATACAGCTTTGCACCGGGTCCTCAAAAAAAGGGGAAACGAAAAGGATTGTGGGAGGGGTCGTGATTTCAGGGGGGGTTCTTAACCCAGAACGCGCTAAGAAAAAGGCCGCTTTGCACGAAGTGAGTTTTTGGGTTGATTTAGTTTAAAAAGAAGATTAAAGAGAATGGGTTGAGATATGGGCCTTCATATATATTTCCACCTTTTATTTCAAATATTAACATAATTAAATTATCAAAAACCTTATCTGCTGCTCATCCAAAAAGGTCCTATCAAAATAGCGAAATTATATCTCAACTCGTGCAAAGGGACCTCAAGCATGCACACATTTGCAGCCATATATTGCACGCACACATTTTGCCTCTGTATGTGTAAACTTTAAACAGATTTTTAGCCTGGCTAAAAAAGAAGTGCGAAATGCGAAAAAAAGGGAAAAGAAAACATGTTAATATATTAAAAACAAGCGAATGTCGCGTGCAAATAACGAACCGCCCACCTGTCCCCCGGTTTTTTATTTTCCATCGAGTTTCGACCGCACATATGTATTTACGTTTGCATTGCTCAACACATGATTTCCGTGGAGTACATGGCCTCAGTATATTCACAAGATTAGCATTTAACGCCCTATTTATTTGCGCGTGAGTGTTGGTGCATTCCCCTGCGGATTTGGGGGTGCTCGGGGGGTCAGTTCCACCCCCCGAAGTGCACATATTAACCCGAAATCTTGATGTTCATTAAATTTCGTTTAAAAAGTATTTTAAAGAGTTTATCAGATTCAGGGTCATCTCCTCCTGCAAAAATGCACCTAGTTCCAACACAAATTCCTTTAACTAGTCTCTTTAAAAGTTATAACCCAATTTCAAAAAGTTTTTTTTAGTAGAAGGAAGGTTCCATCGCCGGGATTGGTTATATTTTAAAATCATTTCATTTAAGTGTTCCGTATGAGGTTCCCTATCTAGATACGCTTATGTCTGTTGCAGACGTGGGCTTAACCATTCGACGATCTTATTGACTTATTTCGACCTCCTTTGTCTTATCCCACATGTCGTCTGTTCACCTCTTTAGTTACCTTTCCCGATTTACAGTCACCGCCTTACGCACCTTCGTGTATTTCGAGTACACACGTTTACGTGTACTTTCCGCTATGCGGAATTCGAACACATTTACAGCTGAGGGTAAAATTAAAGAACCACCAGCCGATAGTAGTTATTATCTTTTTGCAACTGGGTTAAATTTTTAGAATCCATTCAGCCCTAATTGTTATTTATTTATAGATTTATATATTTATATAGTTAAAAATTTTATTTTATTGTACTTATTGTTTTTGGTAAATTTTATCTCATATTATTTGTATCGTTGTGAAACTGAGAGTAAAGAAAACTAAATATTTCGTTTTTTAAAGCATTTGCCCAAAAACAGCTGCGTTAGTCATTTTCAATGATAATGAATAAAAAAACCTTAACACGAAAAAAAGATAATAAGAATTATAATTGGGAAGGTGTCATTGTTTGATTCGCTAGGGAAATTGGTTTGCGATAACACTTGCATGGGAATTTGTGAATAAATATGAACATGCATTATTATAAATTACCATCAATTGTATTATAATTTGTAGGATTCACAATGCACAATATTTTTGATAATGACTTCGGAATATTTTATATAGGTAATTGGTAAATTTGAGTAAAAATAAATATAAAATTCATTTCTAAAGGAAATCAAAATAATTATAGAATGCTAGGCAAAATTTATCTTACCATTTGTAGCTTCAAATTGTGATCGTAACAAAAAAAATGTTGTTTTAAAATTTATTAGCACTCTGCCAAAAAGTAATTATTGTGTTACGATAGACAATAACCATATAATTATTAAGAGGAGGGTTTTTTTTTTCAACTGTTAAAAATCGCATTTAAGTGACATGGTCGTTGCATGACAAAATATTTACTAAGTTGTTGTGGAGCTCTACTATTTCTATAAAATTAGTGACGTAGTTTTGAAGCGGGAATGTAAGAGCTTGAAGTTTATTGTGCCATCGCCTTTGGGCCACTAGCACATGCTAGATCTCCTGACTTCTGGGCGCGGTCTTCTCAGTCCAAAACCTTTGGGTTTCGGTGCGCATGAGTGAGAGGACATGGGCGTCGTATAAATACTACCAACTGGATGCTGCTATTGGTGGGGCTTTCAGTTGTTCTTGTATGCCTGGTGGTTGGGTGGACCTTGCTGGGTTTTTTGTGGGGTTTTCGGTTGTTCTCGCATTCAAATTAGTCTTAAACGCTACCTACTCATTATACTTGCTGTTTGTTATTGTTGTTTTATGTGTATGACCCGACCTGACACTTTCGTATTTCACATATATATAATACAATAGAATGGGCACAGAAACCAAGAGCAACAGTTACACAGGACAGATTTCAACAAGTGGCGGCAACCCCAAAGTGATGAAAGATTCTTTATCCTTAGTTCGTCAGACGGTCAATCAGCAATCGCAATCGCAATCGCAATCGAACCAGAACCAGGTCCAGAACCAATTGAATTCAAATACAAATTCCAATTCGTATCGAAACGAAAGCGAAACTAAAACCGAACACGAAAACGAAAACGAACAGAACACGCGTGATATTCGAGCTAAACAGGAGGACAAATCCAGAAAAGAGGCGATTGTTCCCTTTGTTCCCATATTTGTTGAGGAGGCCGACGTGCTTCAAGGGGCCAAGGAACTGTTGAAGGTTATTCGACCGACCTGGGACCTCAGCCACGTCGAGTTTAAGGTAAAGTAAACCTCATCCACCAAAAAAAAAAAACAAAAAAACCCAAACAAACCAAAACCACTCACTCACCCCCAAAAAAAAATCACAAACCTTCTAAAACAAAAATCAAAAAAAAAAAAAAAAAAAACATGCAAAATTCAATTCAAAAACCATCAATGTCAATGTCATGTATTCTCTACTCCATCAGATCAGGGTAATTCGCAGATCGAAGATCGTTAACCGGCCCAAAACGATGATGATGAAGATGATAATGATGATGTATGTTTCCTTATCATTTATTACGATCACTAACTGGTGTGCGGAACATTGGGGAGAATTACTCGTATAGTTGAAGTAGTTGCTAACACAGTTTGAACAGGGTTATTGCACAACCAACCTTCCAATAGTAATTATATAATATATTTATACAACGTACTCTACTCGTCGCTGCTACTGCTGCTGCTGCTGCTGCTGCTGCTGCTGCCTTGATAATTTGTAAATAGACTTTGTTATATCAATGGGGAGACCCATGGGATTGTTATTCAAAATTAACATTATTTACGCTGGTGTTGGTGTGTTAGGACCGCCTGAGTTTCCGATTCTAAGTGCCGAGACCAAACCCGATACGCAGTAGAAACCAGTTTGCTAATCTAGCCCTCGACTCCACTTCGGTGGAAATAATAATTGTTTCGCCCCTTAAAAAATAACACGGGGCGAATAGCCAAGAAAATGGGCCTTCGTGCCAATTAGTAGTGGGTTCTAGTAAAATCACACGATATTCTATTGAAGGGCGGCAAAAATAATTAAAATTAAGCAGGTGCACTGAATCGATTGTTTATCAACCGACAAATTAAAAAACTGATGCGACTTGCTTCTAGATTTGTTCTATCCCCATTTAATGATGGGGGTCCAATTTTGAGCTAGGGAAAATTTTAAAAATCTTCCGATTTGATAATGGGGGTCTGGTGATTGGCCCCAAAAAAAAATAACACGTACCGGGTAGCCAAGAAAATGGGCCTTCGTGCCAATTAGTGGGGGGTTCTAATGAAATCACACGATCTCGTGTTGAAAGGCGGCAAAAAAATACGAAAAAAACAAAGCAGGTGCATTGACTCGAGTGTTTTTGAACCGACGAATCAAAAAAAAAAAACTGATAGGACTGTTGGCCTCTAGATTTTTGTGTCCCTATTTGATAATGGGAGTCCAATGTTGAGTTAGAGGAAAATTTTAAAGAGCGCCTGAGGCTGTTTTAATCGCTTTTTATTCTTACGAAGTGGGGCGTTCTTTCCTTATCGGAGAACCCACTCGTACGCCTTGACCCCACTATCTATATACACCAATGTATATGCATGACGTCTAATTGGTGTACACAGCTTGTACGTAAATTACTTATCAGCCAGTAACAGAATTGCTAAACTCTGAGTGTTGGCAAATCGTTGGGGGGCCCAATAAAATGTGGTTCATCTTTTTGAGCAAAGAATTTTAACGAGGCAGTTCACATATGAGGTCCTAATCTTTCAATCTTCAACTCGTAAATGTGTTTGCTTGTTTTAATTAATTAACTTAGCGAGTTAAGCTGGGGTGTTCAAGCAAAAGCTTCCTTCAGGGAAATCCAAACTTTTGGTATAGAGTTTTTGTTTATTTTTTTTGACGCCAGCTAGGCGTTTTCCGCATCATAAAGAAATAATGCCTTGGACCAAAGCCGGTCATAAAATAAAAATTGTTTGGATAGGGAAAGACTGAGTTGATTCAGCAAAATGTCAATGGCGTCACAAGCAAACCAACCAATATACATATATGTTAAAGAATTGAAAACTATACTAGAATGATTGGTCGAAAAGTAAACTTGTTTAATATTTTTTGTAGTAACTGTTCGAAGAAGTAGGCCACAGTTCTTGTTTTCCTATTTTGTCTCATCACAACATCAACATCATAAATATTAACACTTTAACCAAATACCGTAAAGATAAAGTCTAATCGTACAATCTAAATTGGTCATAAACAAATTTAGGAATATAGCTCAGAGCTGTTGATATTTATTTATTACACTTTCATAAGGTGCTTTCAAGTCAAGTGATCCCAATAGAGTTGTTAGATTAAAGTGATTAGAGGAGAATTTATGACTTTTTCCTCAGAAGGCACTATTCCTTCTTGAGTTGTTTCCTCATTTCGATCAGCGTTGCATTAAATATACATAGTTGAATATAACTTTTTGTTATTCCTTTATCTTATCTGTGTCTGTGCTTCCAGAGTGAAACGCTCTCTCTATACGTATCAATAAAAAGGGGGTCTTTCCGAGACGCTTACCATGCAAATGCTAATGTCAGAAAGTTTATCACCCGCAATTACACAAGTACTTTCGTATGTGGGCTAACACCATGTGCCATGTGCTTGCCGCACTTGTATATACACACAGAAAGAAGCATGTGGAGTCGATAAGGAAGGTGCCATAAGCCTTTTACTGTAGCCCTTGAGCCGCGGCTTAAAAACCGAGTTCTTGAAATAGTTCCATTGAAGACTACTAATTAACCACCACTCTGTGGCAAATCGGTACTAGGTAGTAGCTACTAGGTACTACTAGCTGCAACAATCTCACGTACATAATTAAAGCACATAAATCACGTAGCCGCAGCTGACTAGCATTAGTCCTAACCCATTCACATCGCCCACTTGCCACGGTCACGAATTAATGGATAACACCCTCGTCTCTCGCTCTTCTTGTAAATTGCAGAGTTTCACCGATGGAATCACAAACAAGCTGGTCGGATGTTTCCACAAGGAGAACTCCAAACTGAGAGGAGATGAGAACAACGGATCGTATTTACCCATCAAGACGCAGGGCCTGTCGCCGGTTCAGTCCGAGGATCCGGTCATCATCGAAAAGGATGAGTTCACGGACGAGCCACCTGTACAGTACTCCGATAACGTAGTGCTGGTGAGGATATACGGCAACAAAACGGACCTACTGATAGACCGAAAGGCGGAGACGCAAAACTTCCTGCTGCTGCATACGTACGGGCTAGCGCCGTCGCTGTATGCCACATTCAAGAACGGCCTCGTCTACGAATACGTACCTGGAACCACCCTGAACACGGACAGCGTCCTCTGTCCAGAGATCTGGCCCTTGGTCGCCCGTCGCATGGCCGAAATGCACCGCAAGGTGAGGAAGCACGGGGAGAGCGCAACGGCCAAGCCATTGCCGATGATTTGGAAGAAGACGCAGAGCTTTCTTGATTTAGTACCTGAACGTTTTAGTGATGCTGAAAAACACAAAAGGTATGCAAACACTACCTCCTACTGCTCTTTTTAACTTGATTAACCCAATTCGTTTCGTTGGCAGAGTGAAAGATACGTTTCTACCTATTGGCCGCCTGCGCGAGGAGTTCAACACGCTGTATAAATACCTTGAGGCTCTGGACAGTCCGATTGTCTTCTCCCACAACGACCTACTGCTGGGCAATGTCGTCTATACGCAGAGCCTGAAAACAGTCAACTTTATCGACTACGAGTATGCCGACTACAACTTTCAGGCGTTCGACATTGGCAATCACTTTGCGGAGATGTGCGGCGTCGACGAGGTCGACTACTCCCGCTATCCGAAGCGCGAGTTCCAGCTCCAGTGGCTGAGGGTCTACCTCGAGGAGTACCTGCAGCGCAGCCACATTCAGAATGAAGAGGTCGAGCTGCTCTACGTCCAGGTCAACCAGTTTGCGCTGGCATCGCATATCTTTTGGACGGTGTGGTCCCTGTTGCAAGCTGAGCATTCCACTATCGATTTCGACTATGTCGAGTAAGTATAATTGCTGAGGACTAGCTTTCAAAAGGAATCCAGGTCGCTTGAATTAGAGCTCCTCTGAATTAATATTTCATGAGCTGCTAACACCACCTACACCACCTAGAGAGGTTAAACCTTACTCGGTGTCAAAGAATTTGTAGACATTTTTACCAAAGGTTTGGTGATATGTTCAAGGACTAACAAACTTGTTAAATCGATCATAGGATTCCTTAAGAGAACAAGTTCTTAATGTTACGATTACCAATAAATAGTTATGCTAAACTTCCCATTCTTTCCCGTCCCATACAGATATGCATTTCTTCGTTACAATGAATACTTGGCTCGAAAGGTGGAGTTTTTGTCATTGACTGCAGCAAAGAACAATAAGTGATTTCTCTCCCGGAAACTGACCGCATTATTGGGAGTAACTAAATTATGTGCCCGGTGATATATATGTAAACTAAGGCTGGAACGGGTCCCAATGTTATACATATGTATATATAACGTGTGTTCAGAAATCAGAAACAAAACCGAAAACAAACTTAAATTAGTGTCGTGTTCGTACCAGCCTTAGTGTATGTACAGTGCTCACTCGATACAGTGAACAATAAAAACACAGGGTGTGCACTGAATTCGAATTTGTTCACTATAACGAATCACAAACATAACAAAAAAAAACCTTTTTTTTTAAAGAACACGTTTGCAGCAACAAAATTCTTTTTTCCTAATTTAAACAACTTTTAAAATGTCATAATTAAATGGTTCACTCTTACTAAAAGTTCACATAATCGAGTGTTCGCTCTTAAGAGAAAGCACTGTATATATATAAAGAATTTGTATATGTTCTTTAATTTGTATAAATTGATATTTTGTAGTCATAAATAAAATGAAGGTATGTACTTTAAAAATAAACATTTATCAATCATTTTATTCAAGGCTTTACTGATAGCGGGGGGTTATCGCAAAAAAAAAAGATATGTATAATAATCTTTTAATGAGAATCAAGGATTTCCGTATGTTATAGTACTTTAAATAAAATTCCCAAAAAAAAAACTTTATTTGGTTCGATAACTACAAGTATTTGTTTATGAAGGCAGATTTATACATGGAACTGAATGGGGTTTACAAGAATTTCAATTTATTTTATTTACTTTATACAAAAGTCTTCGAACAATTATGGTAAAGTTACACCGTAGTTCGGTTTCCGTCTCCTCCAAGTTTTTGAACAATCTAATAAATACAGAAGAGAAAAGTTACAGATAAGTCATTTAAATAATTTTATGTTGCCAAAAGGTAAAACGTAAGAATGTCGTTGAATTATGGCAGTGAAATAATACTGGATCTTTTTAAAAATTAATTCGTTAGCAAGAATACATGTATAAGTAATTTTAATAGAGGTATGAATCAACATGTATTTATATATTTTAATCTTTTTATATAAGAGGACATTTTTAAAGGAACATATCTAAAAAAAAACCAAATATGGCGGGTTGTTTATCGATTTGTAGCTATTTAAGCACTAGTGTGGCCAAAATATTGTATGTAATCGATTACTGCAACATAACATATGTGAATGTATATCGATATCTGCGATAAGTCACTCGCCTGTTTGACATCCCTAGCAGAAACCAACTTTCATACCTAAAATAAAAAGGCTGGAGTATCGCTCTTTTCTGACTACTATTTTCTCGTAAATCATGTCGAGCTACATTGCCAGGAAGGGCCCAGCAGTTCTCTGTAAGTATTGTACTGATAAAATGAGCCGACATGCGTTGAACGTGCGCATAGCAATAATTCTAAACGCCAGTTCTTGATTACGTAAATATGTAATGCGAATTTTTCTCCTGGCAGCCAATCTGGGCAGGTGGGCCTACAATCTCTCCGGATTCAACCAATATGGTAGGATAAACAAGAAGATAACTTATTATTAGTTGCTCATTATTGACAAATTGGACTTTACAGGACTGCATCGTGACGATTGTCTGTACGAGAACGAGGATGTGAAAGAGGCCGTGCGCCGACTGCCCCGAAAATTGTACGATGAGCGCAACTACCGTATCATGCGGGCCCTCCACCTGTCGATGACCAAGACAATCCTGCCCAAGGAGCAGTGGACCAAGTACGAGGATGATGTCAAGTACTTGGAGCCCTATCTCAAGGAGGTCGTCAAGGAGCGCGAGGAGCGTGAGGACTGGGAGAAGATCCACTAAAATCTTGATGCCCACACCTCTTCTCTGGACTTGTAAATGTTGAAATACATAGCTTAGATAAATACCAATGTTTGGCTATGAAATTGAGTTTCTACGTGGTCGCTTTTGGGAATGGACGCCTTCAGTTTATTCAATGGGCTATCGCGCGCTTTGTAGTTATGGTGATGATGATGAGTAACGAAGGGCAAACTTATAGAATACATAAGAGGCTCCATGCTACCTTACCTTTTGCATAAAGGGTAAATTTAACAGCGATCCTAAAACTGGCACTCGTCCCAGGAAATTAATGGCCACGGGGAAGAAGCCGCTGAAAAGATACAGAAAAAAAATATTAAAATGGTTCAAATATTACTTAAAAGATAGATTTTTGGGAGCTACCTTCTGAAAAATTAGATAATGAGATAAAGGGAGGCTTAAAAGAGTGGAACTTTTACTTATTTTAGGGGAAATTTAAATTTCTTAAGCTTATACAGGTTGCAGATATGATATTATGCAGATATTATTAGAAAGGAAAGGCTTTTATACAGAAATAATACCAAAAAGAGCGAGATATACTGATTGAGATCATTATTTTGATCCATATTTTTTTTAACCAATCATAGCAGACGACTAAGAAAATAATTTTACTTTAAAGGCCAATTTAAGATAATATTTTTATTACATTAAAAAAGCACTTCTTGTTTTTCAATTGGAATCAATTCCATTAGGATCTTAAAATTATATTCAAATGTTGCATTTGAGGGTTCAGACCAAAAGTCTAAAAAATGCAGAGTCTCTTTAAATAATCAAATAATAACTATGATGGATATGGTTGTACCATTAGGAAAATTGATTTTTTAAACTAGATTTTTGTAGTATTTATAGCTTTTGCTACACCTTAAAATGAAATTTTCAGTTTTTGACTATTTGTATTTGATTTTTATAAACTCTGGAGGTCAAGACCGAAGAACTGTGGACTACGCGCCCGGTAAATCCGGTTGATATACCTTATACAATGGCGCACTAAAGTATTCGGAATAGCAATTGGCCCAAAAGCTGCTTACCTGAACAGGGCAAAGAATCCATAGGATTCAATAATCATGCCAATGATGGGGAATCCTAGCAGAACGATAACGATTCCTCCCAAGAAGGCCGTCGTGCCTTTAACTTTGTGTCTTTGGAAGAAAAAGCGGAAAGTGCGCTCCACACCGGTGACACAGCCCAGGCCCGATATGAATAGAATCTGCGGAGAACAAGCAATTGCTATAATTATACTGTTCCCAGGTGGGGATATATTGCTGACTTACATTGCCTATGGCGAGCAAGCCTTTATCGAACAGCAGCAGCATGCCAAGAAACAAAAACGAAATGCCAAAACCAGCCAAGCCGATGCCAATTTCTGCGGGAGGATTTAAGTGAGCGTCTGTTTAGTTTGCAAACCGGAATATCGTTAGGTACTTACTTTGCAGATCTGTTATCATTTTGTGTTTGTTTCTTTTTTAGTTTAAGAGCGAGCAAAAAAAAATCCACGTAAACACCAATTCAATTTCAAAGCACGAACAGCTGATTCCCACTTTCATTTAAAGTTTAGTGCTAACGATGTAAACAAAATTGCAGGGCTGCAACCGTTTCAGTGTTGAAAAGCGATCGGGTAATCCGCAAAATACAAAATATTTTTCTACCGAGATACAATAATATTTGTAGCTTTGATTTATTTCTCTGCAATTAGCAAACGTTTTTATTTCCTTCACAGTTGTAAAGGGTTGTCGGGTACTTACTGTTCTATTTCCAATCGTTCCGCGATATAAATATTTTACCAAGTACATACATTTTCGATAGACTCGCCGATAGTCCCAGCCCCACTTGGCACATCCCTAATTTATTTTCACACGCCATTTTACAATAAAATTTGCATCGCGCTGACGCTTTATTGAACTGTTAAAAACGTTTTGTGTGCAGCGAGTATAAACTCCTGCAAATCTATCGACCGAAAAGAAACCGTTACCAGCTTTTATTTGTCATGGATCGTAAGTAGAAATATAAAATCTGTGAGAAGCGTGAGAAAACACTGAAATATGTGCACTTTAGGTGGCGGTTATGGTGGTGGTGCCGGACAGGGATATAATAATTTCGCTGTCCCGCCGCCGAACTACCAACACTTGCCAAATAAAACTGGCAACTACAACGAGCCACCTCCGAATTACGGCAAACAAGGCGGTGGTAAGAATCCATGAAAAATAAACCCAAAGACCCAGCCTCCCAAGAATGCAGCGCTCACATATCGACACATTTATGTTATAGGTTATGATTCCGGTCATCGTGGTTCTGGTGGAAGCGGTGGTGGTGGCGGTTCCTGGAACGACAGAGGAGGCAATTCCTATGGGTATGTTATTCCCTTTTACTTAATAATATCGGTACAGATCATGGGTAGAGTTTCACAGATGCTTTAAGAGTTATTAGCAAAGTGTACGGTACAAATTAACAATAAAACAACAACAACAAAGAACATTAAGAATCAAATCAGCCTAATCAACGAAAAGACGATTCAATTTCTGATAAACGCAAAATGTGATCTAATGAAAGGATAAATGGAAATATAAAATTGCTTTTGCAATATTCGAGCAAAATTTTAAAACGTCTGGTGGATAAAGCACAAAACAAAAATACCAGCTGTTCTAAAAGCAGTGGCCCCAATTTGGTTATTTATTATTTACACGGTATGACTGTATATCATGTTTGTATGTAAACTTCTAAAAATAATTAATTTTTTTGTTAAACGCTGACTACAACTTAGAAACTGGTATATTGAAATGGTTTTTGATATGATGCAAATGTATTAAATGGTTTATAAATCGCCTTGGGGATGCAAATAATGGAAGAAATTATAAACGAGTGGTTCGACAGCCCCTAAAATCGGTATAAAAAATTCATCTGATAAAATGTATACAGTCTTTAAATGTTATCGTTTCGCTAATACCATATTATCCACCCCTGCGTGAACATTTTCAAAATGACACACAAAAAAAGATAATTGTAAACATTTCTGGAAAAAGCTAACTAACAAAAGTGTGGGTCAAGATAAATGAATAAAAACAAAAACCAACATAACACAAGCGAGCCATAAAAAATAATAGATCAATAAATCAGACGATATGATATTATTTTCATAATTCGATCATATAAATCCAAGAAATCCCCAACATAACTCAGCAATCATAAAATGATCTTAAAAAAAAAATTGTTTTAAAATCGCTCGAAAGAAACAAGGAATAACATTAAAATCAGTACGATTATAATTTTAATATAGATTGGGTGTGGTTGTGATTAATTATATTAAAAGTCATTTACGTATTCACGAATAATTATATTTCGATTCTTACAGATTCTGAATAAATTATTAAGAGGAGGTAACAAATTCGATCTTAAATCGTTTTTTCTCTAACAAATTAAGTATAAGATAGCTTTTTTATATTCTTGATAATCGTATATATTTTTTTTAGTTTTGCTTGTTATCCAATATAAAATTGACGTTACACTTCCGTTTAGATTAATAATTAACACTTACTGACTTTTAAAAATGATTCTAACCCACGTTTTGACAAGTTGTAAGATTATATTAATGGTTTTAAACTTATTGTTTTAGTATTTAATTATGTACTGTATAAAACGGTTTGCATATTGTGTTTAATAATGATGGTAGTGTATTTGAACCTACTGAAAGACAAAGGGAGAATATTTGCCGTCCCTCTCATTTCCCTGCATTTTGGGTTCTTAAAAAGGAAAACTTCTTTTACTATAGTAAAGTACAAAGGTTTAGAGTAAATGTTTAAGAGTCAATATGTATGTATGCATAAATTACGATGTCCTCTTTAGCAGTTTGATCAGTGATTGATTGCAGCACTTGATTCTGGATATAAAGGTGGAAAATAACGATGTGGATATCCGCTGTTCTGTTTTTTTTTTTACTGTCGTCACTGACCGAACTGCGCCGGGTATTATTACCAAGAAATCGGTATTAGATACCATAACAAGATATCGAACAAGCAATATGTATTCAAGGGATCCTACGTCACCATACTGCATTAAAACCAAAATCAAAGCATTAAATAAGTTATTCAATATCCTCTTTTAGAAATGGAGGCGCCAGCAAGGACAGCTACAACAAAGGTAAAAATAATGCAAATAATTGCAATCATATCGAGTAATGTATACCAATATTTTTCTACATATTGATCTTGAACCTAAAAACGAAATGAAAACAAACCATAAAAAAACCAAAACCGATCAGAGCAGAAACAGTCTTGTTCTGCTAGTTCCAAACCGAAAAACAAAAATTAAAATTCGTGCCGGCATTCTTTGTGGGGGTTACCCATTATAATTCCATCGAAAATGCCCACATTTTTTAGAGTGTATTTAGTGTACTTCAAACTGATTGATCTCTGTACTTGATCAACAATGGTTAACGACCGATTTGGTCTGGAGGGTTACCTAATTTTAAAGTTTTAAAAAAAAAAAAAATGTTGAGTGTATGTCAAAGGTTATCTATCACTAATTAAGGGTTTAAGGTGCATCGATTGGGCTTAGTCCCGTCAATTAGGGGTCACCAGTTTGTGTTTGATGTACCAGTGTCTGGCATTGAGAGGCCGAAACCCACTTAAAGTGTCCCCATGTCTCTCACCGAGCTCACACCCACTTAAAGGTTTTAAAAATACACCTCGAAATTCTGGTTTCCAATACGAGTATTCTGGTTAAATGTCACAAAACATCTGAGAAATAGCATTCGATATTAAATATCGGGCGTGTTCCTAACTTCGGCCTTCAACTTCGTTGTGTTTTTGGTGGTTGAAAAATGACGGGGAATAAATTTTGAAAATAAAAAGAACAACAAAAGTTATATTAAAATAGTAGTTGCTTTCTAAGCTAATTACCTGTTTTGCCAGCTCGTTCTAATATCGAATTCGCTTTTGTAGGACCCGGAGGATACTCGGGCGGCGGTGGAGGAGGCGGCGGTGGCTCCGGTGGCGGCGACATGATCACCCAAGAGGACACCATCTTCGTCTCCGGCATGGATCCATCCACCACAGAGCAGGATATTGAGACTCACTTTGGAGCTATTGGAATTATCAAGGTAAGTTGACTCTGCAAGGAAAATCATGTTTAGAATTAAATTTCAAATTTATTAAACTTTGTAGAAGGACAAGCGTACCATGAAGCCAAAGATTTGGCTGTACAAGAACAAGGAGACCGGTGCATCGAAGGGAGAGGCCACTGTCACCTACGACGACACAAATGCCGCACAGTCGGCCATCGAGTGGTTCGATGGACGCGATTTTAACGGAAATGCGATCAAGGTGTCGCTGGCTCAGCGCCAAAATAACTGGAACAAGGGCGGCGGCGGTCGCGGAGGATTCGGTGGTCGTCGTGGCGGAGGAGGCGGCGGTGGTGGTGGCGGCGGCGGCGGTGGCGGAGGACGCTTTGATCGCGGAGGCGGTGGCGGCGGCAATGGAGGTGGTGGTGGCCGTTTCGATCGCGGAGGTGGCGGTGGAGGCGGCGGCGGAGGTGCCGGAGGTGGTGGCAACGTGCAGCCACGTGACGGCGACTGGAAGTGCAACAGCTGCAACAACACTAACTTTGCCTGGCGCAACGAATGCAATCGGTAAGTGGGAACCACTAAGGCATTAGTTTATGCTTTTCTTTTTCACAATTACAAAAAGAAGAAAATGTACTATGTTCTTCTATATAGCTTTTTTTTCAAACTACGCTGTGGACAAACTTTAATAGTTCCGAATTTAATCGACCACTTTTTCGCATTTCCTTACAGCTGCAAGACTCCCAAGGGCGACGATGAGGGATCGAGCGGCGGCGGCGGAGGTGGCGGTGGCTACGGCGGCGGTGGTGGCGGCGGAGGCTATGACCGCGGAAACGATCGCGGATCCGGCGGCGGTGGCTACCAGAACCGGGATCGTGGAGGCAACTCGCAGGGAGGCGGCGGTGGCGGCTACTCGCGCTTCAATGACAACGGCGGAGGAGGCGGCGGTGGACGCGGTGGCCGAGGGGGTGGCGGCGGAAATCGCCGCGAGGGAGGGCCGATGCGAAATGATGGCGGCATGCGTTCTCGACCGTACTAAAAAACGCATGCAACCCCCTCCCTCCCCCGAAAGCACCTAATTTTTTCACATTTACGTATTAATTGTAGCAAGTACTCTTTTAAATGTACTTTTAAATTAACCAGTCGAGAGCTAAACATAAATAACAGCACACTTTTATTTCAACCGGATTTTAGGCCAACACAGACACGGTTATCGCTCGTTTTGACTGAACTCTTATATATTATATAATCTAATTTAACGAATGTAATGTAACATGGTACATACAAATAAAATATATATATATATATATATATATACAGTTCATATATATATATATATATATATCATAAATTAAAAAATATGTTTTTCACTGTGGGGAATTAGGGTAAAAGAAAATCGGATACCTATTGTTAAAAGATGTTTGAACAGCAGTCTGTAATAAGTCAACAATTTTGCCTCGCTTATCTTCAACAAAAATAAGGAATTTTAAATTGGGATAACACATGTAGGAAGCCAGTCACGCGTAAAAAGCGTGGATGATTCATCAATTGTTTATTACGATAACAAGCGTCTCGGCAAAATCCAGACTTTTTATTTTTAGATTTACGTCAAAAAGAATAAATGCTTTCCTTATTGTGTTTACAGTTTACAATGGCGCATATTTACCTTCTTTCGCAATGATTTCATCTACCAGATGTTCATTCTCTAGTTGAGCTAAATATTTGTCAAGTTACGTTAAGTGCATTTTTTTTTACATCATTTTCTTTTATTTTTAATATACATAATAATATTACAGTTCATCTTTTTCTAGCAGGGTGTAGCGATGCTTGGATGGGCCAAGTTCCTTGAATTTTGACTCTGGAGGCGAAGTACCTTTGCCGGTTTGTGGGTCAGGTTCTATATCATTCGTGGGATCCGGCCCATAATGAAACTCCCTACAAAACAGAGTCCATTGAGCCTTCTTCATTCATCAAAATAATAACTTTTAGTTAGGTTACCTGTGCAGCTTGCCGCTGTAGAGATCCTGAAGGAACTGCTTAAGCTTTCCCGGTGAGTACATATCGCTGAAGTGGGGGAAGAGATACATGTGCTTAAACGAATCGATGGCAATCAAGGGCAGGTCATCTTCCGATTTCCCCAAGTGGTGAAGAGGATGCGCAAACCGCTTGCCATCAGCAGTCAAAAAGTTGACATTCTCTGCGATGTTTTGTAAATTAGTAACGTTAAAGTTAAAGTACAAATCGATAGGCATTAGTTATCATACGTTTTTCGTCCAGCAATTGTCGCTCAATGATTGACTTGTAATCCTTGATAGAGTTAAGATCATCGGGCCGATGAAAGAGAATAAGGAACGGCAGTCCCTCCTCCGTGAGCTCTTCGGCATTCTCAAACGTAATTTCGCGCACCAGCGGCACACACTTTTCTTGGACCCAAATCTTAAGTTCATCGAAGGTTTGCAGGCTTCCTGTGTAGGTCTCATCGTTCTCATGAGACAAGGCAACGTCGGGCCTAAATACTATAATTGGTGTGCCTAAAACATAACACAACGTGTGTCAGTATACAACAGTTAATGGCTCCGCTATGTTATTTTACCAGGAGGATGCATGGCTTGAGCAGCATCGCCGAATCCCACATGGAACTGACAATCCTCCTTTAGATTTGTAGCAACCTTGCGGAAGATATCATACTCGGGCTGGTCTCTACGGTCGAAATAACCGAGAATAAGGCGCTTCTTTGAGTCAAGGTTCTCCAAATCCTTGAGCGATTTAAACTCCTGGATGGGATCCTCCAACTGTTTTTTAACGAACTCAAGGAAGGCGTCCGCAGAACGCTGACCTCGATATTCGCGTTTGCTGAGCTGCCCATTGCGGACAATTTTCAAAGTGGGATACTTGTTTATGTGAAACCGGGATGCGATCGCCGTCTCCTTGTCGCAATCCACTTTTCCTAGCACCACCTTGCCAGCCTCTGGAAACTCTTCTTTAATCTGCAAAAAAGAGTCAATTTACTTTCCTTGTTTCCAAGTTTCTTAGCCTAATTTATGTAAATATAAAGTATCAAGTTGTGCTTTAACTAAGCAAATCGTTTGACTTACCTTATCTGCTGCTTCACTGAATATAGGAGCTAAAATATTACTAAACCGACACCACTCCGCATAGAAATTAAGGAAAACCAATTCATTAGACGCTGGAAGAAACAAAAGCGTGTTAAATGTTGTAATCACCAAAGTGTGTATAAAATAGTATGTGTATTCAAAAGTGTGGCGAACTAAAAGCGATTGTGCAGTAATTACCAGGGGGCGTGCGAAACAATTTTTTCCATTTTGTAAATTTTATAGAGTAAATATTTTTTTACTGTTTTTAAGTTGTCGAGTTTGTCGACATCTAGAAAAATAGTTACAAGAAATATATATTCCCCCAAAAAACAAACAGTTCAATGATTTTTAGAAGGGTGGGTAATTAGGCCCTGGTACCACTGTAAAATCTAAAAGCTAGATAACAAGAACGGAACCCATGTCGAAAAACATTTGAGCGTAAACAAGCTTGACAAGAATTTTAATCATGGGATACCGAAATAGTGTAATACTGAGACGTTTATTTCTATTGCAACTTATATTCCCGGGGGACCTAAAGTTCGGAATCTAAAAGAAAGCACTTTGCTCTATCGCTTTGCGGTTGGCGAATGCTAATTTTTGGCGGAACCATGCAATTGCCACTAACCCCAATTGCCCAAAAACATTTAAATTCAGCATTCGCATCATCTTTGAGCAGATCGTATAAAACGCCATAATTTACCACGTTGGCAAGTGTCGAATTGAACGAGCCAGTGATTTTGTTTAGTGACACGTCAATGGCGAAGTCAGCTAATTGATTCCCCGCCGAAGTTGTGTCTCACCTAGGGTCATATCGATATTATCACTGGTCATGGGAACGGCTCCGGAATCGGCCGGTTGGGTATGCTGCAGGAGCTGTAGAATCTGCAATTTGGGAAAAGAAAACACCGCGCAATGTTAGGTCTTGGCATCTAACATCCATGCATAATGGGGCAGAAAGCCGGGCGGGATGCTTAATCGTTCTGATTCGGTGGGAAAACCGCCGAAAAAAAAAACGAGACTAAACAGAACAGAACACGTCGACTTACCGCAACTAGGGCCACACAGGGCCCGAGCTTTCCGATTCCGATTCTCGCTCCAATCATTCTGATTCGATTCTGGATTCTGGGGAAAGTGTGGGCGGTGTGGCGAGGGCGTGGAATTGCGTGCACCGGCGGAAAGTCCAAGCGATCGAATCGGATCGGCCTCAATTTAGTTACACATCAGCTGGAATGGAATGAATGCCTGCTTGGCGCACTGCAAACGTACGCACAAATATAAGTTTTAGCAATTTGGTTGATTATCGGCTGGCCAGTGTTGACTAGTATCGCCAGGAGTACTGCAATTTTAATACTTGTCACTTCGGTGGCGCACCTGCTATCGATAGTTAGGTCGCGCGACCTTCTCTAACAGTCGGGCGATAGCGATAGCAAATGTGCTGTGATGGAAATGAAACAAAAAGTGTCTAAATGAATACATATGAACACATATGTATGTGCAACAACATTTGCAAATCTTTGTTTATAATAGCTGACGCTTATGGATTTTATGGTGGTAAATAGAGCGAGAAAAGCTAGAAGCCAAGCGCGTTTTCAATTCGGCTATACGTTTCTGAGCTAAATACTGCTAAAAAGCTGCGTTTTGTGGACTCCGAAAACCCAAATCTGTGTGCATACATATGTAACGATTGTAATGTGTTATTGTTGCTTCTCGAATATCGGAATATAGTATATCCAAATATATCTATATGTATATGCGTTTAGGCAAACATACACATGCATAAATGTTTAATTACTTTGTTTATGACAACATTAGACTCGTTTAAGCACGGTAGTCGGGTATACTTTTTACTTATTGGTTATGGAACTGTGATAATCTAGTCTACTCGAGTATATACGAATGTGCGTATGTAGCGACATACATACTATGTATTGCGCACCTTCCACTGCATCTGTGTGCTCACATAAATACGTGCATATATGCAGTCGCATTATCTATATTGCCACCACGACACTCAAATATTAACTTCGATTTGTTCTAAAAGTGTTGTGCTCGAATTATCACGCCAACGATATTTATTTGGCTTTGTTTGTGCACTCCATAAATGCACATGTCCTATGTACACTTGTTTTATTTACTTATTTACGGCACACAAGTTGCCCCGAATACCAGCCACATATATGTGTAAATGTATGTATGTAGTTATGATATACGGATAACCGGATTTCCAATGACACTTTTAAATCGCCTTGCCCAAATATATAAGTAGCGATACAATAAGTAGTAATTTCGAAAACATTAAATGGCAAGTATTCTTGTAGCCGATTCACACAATGTCCGATGGATCACCGCCTCCATCGATTTGCTTCATCCGTGCCGCCGAATCGTATCCGAAATCACAAATGGAGAAGGAAGACTCCCAGCTGTTCGTTCCCTTTCAGGAGCGTATGTGTTATACATATATCCCATCAAGTACCCTTTAATATATCCAAATATTATCCCATAGTGGCTGGCGAATCGATCAAGTACCTCGGACGCACTGATGATGGCGTTCTCGCCCTGTCCAACTATCGCATATTTCTCTCAAAGAAGTCAACCGCCTACGAGACCTACGTACCCTTGGGCCTAATTGAATCCGTTCAGGTGCGGGATTTGTTCCAGCTAATTGTGAACTGCAAGGACGCCAGCACGGTGAGGTGCTCCTTTCAGTCAGCGGAACAGTGTGCCGACTGGCAGCGCCGCATCCATCTGCTAATCGGTGTACCCGAGGCGCTAGAAACTCTCTTCGCCTTTCCATTTTACTCCTGGACCTGCGATGTGATTGGCAGCGGCAACGGTAGTGTGCAGGCCAACGGAAACGGCCTTGTGGCCAAAGATCGCTACTTGGCCAATGGCTCGGCAAAGGTGGGCAATCCGGCAGCAAATCCTCTGGGCGATCCTACCAGCGAGACCATATCCTCCGCAATGAGCAGCCGCCTGCAGAGATCCGTGCGTTATGAAAGCGACTTTAAGAACGAGGTAGCTCGCCTGGGATTCGATCTGAAGGGCTCCTGGCGCATCTCCACAGCCAATGCTGACTTTAAGCTCTGCCCCTCGTATCCACCCAAATTGCTTGTGCCCTGCTGCATTACCGACGAGATGCTCCACAACGTGGCCAATTTCCGGGGTTCCCGCCGACTGCCGGCGGTCGTCTGGCGGCATCAGAAGTCGGGTGCTATTCTGGCCCGTTGCAGCCAGCCGGAGGTTGGTTGGCTCGGCTGGCGAAACACAAAGGACGAGCAATTGCTGAAGGCACTGGCCGATGCCTGCGCCTTCGACAGGGGCGAGCACGCCAGGCATTCCACCACACTCGCCAATGCAAAGTTGCAGCAGTCGACAAAAGGTTCCAAAGAGAACACGGCCAATGGTCAGTCTGGCCAATCTGGCAAAAGCTCACCATCACTGGAGGATTCCTCGCACGAGGAACTCACGCTCGATGAAATAAAGGTAAGGTTGCAAACAAAGGTACAAAATCGAATGACATTCGTCTACAATTTAAGCCAATATTAAGTAATGTTGAACACATTTATTTACTATTATTTATTTATTCCTGCGCAGAAAATCCTCATTGTGGATGCTCGGAGCTACACATCCGCGGTTACAAATCGGGCCAGAGGTGGCGGCTGTGAGTGCATTGAGTACTACCCCTGTGCAGAAATTGAGTTTATGAACTTGGGCAATATCCACGCCATCCGAAAGAGTTTTCATGCTGTTCGACAGCTTTGCGCGTCCTCTGCCGATGATCCAAAGTAAGTTTGATGGTCTATTCAATTAATTTATGTGTAATACAATTAATATTTTACAAAAACCCATAGTTGGTACGGTCAACTGGAAAAGACCATGTGGATGCAGCATCTTTCAGGTCTTTTGGGAGCCACAATGACCGTTGTGCACACAATAGAAAAGAATGGACGACCCGTTCTTGTTCACTGCTCAGATGGATGGGATCGCACACCTCAAATCGTGGCGACGGCACAGCTCTGCTTGGATCCCTACTACAGAACTGTTGAAGTAAGTTTGTTATATTTAAATTTTATGTTCTTAATTTAAGCCTTAAACTGGCGACAAGGCAATGCTGACACTTTTTTCTCAAACTGATTAAATTTTCGTCTCTGTTTCGTAGTATGATGCAAACTTGGCCATGGGTTGGCTCAGTCAAGCTTATCAAGTTGTTTGGTTTTATTGATTTTTTGTGACTAGGCATTTATTGGACTGTCTGTGTAAATTGCGTCATTAGAGTTTGCCGAATTGAAATAAGTAACGATTTGTTAAAGAAATTTTAAATATTCTAAACTTAAAAAAGATTATGAAAACAAAAAAAAAAAACGAAAAACAAAAACTAATAGAAATATTTCGGGTATTTCTTAACTCTGATTAATATCTAATACTTACATATTTTTATTGCAGGGATTCCGCGTCCTTGTAGAGCGTGAATGGCTGAATTTCGGACACAAGTTCGCCGATCGCTCTGGCAACGGTCCCAACTCCGACGAAGTTAACGAGCGATGCCCAGTTTTTCTACAGTGGCTTGATCTGGTGCACCAAATACACAGACAGTACCCCTGCAGTTTTGAGTTTAGTATAAGCTATTTGGTAAGTTTTTCAATGGAATACCACATGGTCTGTTCATAAGAAACCATTTATCCTTTAGATCAAACTGGCGCAACATTCGCTGTCCTGTCTATTCGGCACTTTCCTATGTAATTCGCTCAGAGAACGTATCGAAAATTCAGTTTTCGACCGAACGTTTTCGGTGTGGCCATTTTTAGCGGAAACTATGTATAGAAATCCTCTCTATAAGCATGAGACTGAAAAGGTGAAAATCCATTTTTGTATTTAAGGGTAATGGAAATGATGAAGGTTTTTTTTTAGGTTCTTTGGCCGGCGCACAGTGTGCGGTTTTTATATTTTTGGTCTGACGTATACCTTGGTAGTTTAGGCAACAAAAACGGAACTGATCTGCCATTACTAAGTAATGAAAGACAGAGCGGACACAACGGTAAGTTTGTAAATATTCCTTAAAATAAGGCCCAACTTACATTTGCTTGTAACTAAAAACACAGGCCTAATGGCGAAGACAAGATCTTCTGAAGACTTAACAACGAATGAGTTGGGACAAAGCACCATTTCAAGGAGATCAAGTGATCCCAACCTTACAGTTGAATCCATGTAGGTTTTTATACAAATTAATTATGTAGGTGTTGAATATATATAAATGTAATCATTCATTTTCCATTTAGTGTTACAGATTGCTTTAATGCGAATAGCAACTCGATGTTTGACATTCGATCTGAGACCGACAATAGTGTTAGCGAAAATGTGCAGGAATGTGTTAAAGACTCCAAAGAACTTCAGCTGGACGTAACGGATGCAACTGAAGCGGGTCCACGTGCCCCCTTGAATAATCCCATTCCAGAGTTCCATAACGACCAAAGTACTGCTTCTAACCGTGATATATTGGAAGTGGAATCACAATTGCCAACGCAAAGTTCCTTGGTGTCCACACAACAACCGATCCCCGGATCCGTTCGAAATGTCCACGTTTTGAGTTACTCTGAAAACGGTAAGCGGTTCTATATTAGAAAACTCCGTTTATACCACTTAGTGTTTGTTGTTCTTTTCTTTAGATCAAAATCCAGTTCCTTCAAAACCTGAAGACACAAGTGATATTTGTCGCACTTTGTGGCATGGCGCAGTCGACACTAGCACTGATACCCTGATACCCGCAGAGCCCGTACAAAAAACAAACAACGATATCACTGACAGCAGTAGAAATCACATAACGCCCATCGAAGTGGCGACCAGTGGGGATAAGAAGCCGGAGTCGACGACGACCACTGCTGTCCAGAGCAGTAAAATAAGTCAGAGCTATAATAATTTGCCCAAGGTTCACATGAAACCGAATGCCGTGATATGTGCGCAGCGACGGGACGCTTTTCCACATCACCTTGACCTTCAAGTACCACGAGACAATGCGGCAAGCACGGAACGTTGCAAGCCGGAGAAATTGCCCAAAGATGCGAATGCTAACGGAACCCTGCTGGCATCCGATGGCTATCACGCAGAGGAAAGCCTTTTCATGTCTCCCGACCTTCAGAGATTCGTGGCACAGTCACCATTCGATGCTCCCGCGGCGGGAGGCCGAATACGTCGGAACACTTTCGGGTCGAGCTACAGTCGCGACTTGAAGTTCACAGCAGAAAATGGCAGGTGAGTAACATTATCTATATTCCACAGATCACAAAAGTATTACTTTGGGATTTAGGTTTATAATAAATACAAAACTGTAGACAATTGATTAATAGCAAACATCTAAACTTTCAGCGCACATCACTTCCCTTCGTCGGGGATTATTTCGTTGCCCCCGACACCATTTCAGGAGAGGGCTCAGTTTACTATATCCTGTCCGGATGGCTTAGCTCATGGACTCAGCGAACAAAACATAAGACTCCACCAGATCGTACAAGAACACAAGGTAACATTTACTGGATATTTTCTTGCCTTTTCCTTAAATTAAATTATTATTGAACTATTTTAGCTACGAGAGGAAATGCTGCTGCGGGAAATACACGGCATGCGACTGGCTTTGCTGGAAAAAGGTTGCCCCAGCTGCAATAGCATCGTTTCGACAAATTTGGAACATGTAAATAATGATTTAAATACTTTGATAGGCCATTCAAGATACAAGCGTTCTAGGTATAATCCGCGTGCATATATTCTTGAGAAGCGTGGTTGATGTTAGATATAGCCACTTGTAGTAAGGTGTGTAAGCTAATGATAACTGAAAAGCACACTTTCCATAAATAAACAAGCGTTTCCCATGCCTGGTTTGATAGCATGACACTACTACTACATTGTTGACGAAGCAAAAATTGTAACCTAATCATAAGTAATATTGTGCATTAACTTTCAGTCGTCTAATTATTTAACTCTTCTTTAGGAAAATGGATCGGATATCGTTGAAAATGCTTCAACATGTTCCTGGGAAGCCGTCGAAGAACGTAGCGGTCCCCCATCGTTTGCCCCTTCCTTGATCCAAGAGAAAAAAAGCCTCCAGTGTCCTTTGGGTACCAGACCATGCAGTTTCGCGTTGCTCTAGTTGTCAAACTGAGTTCTGGCTTGGACGAAGAAAACATCATTGTCGGTGCGCATCCAACATTTGAAAACTTACTGTTTTTTTCGCATTCAAGATTTTCAATATTCGTTTACTTTATTTTGCTTGAGTTGAACACTAACACGCTAGCAAATGTTAGCAAAATTTATAAACTGTTGTACTTTACGTACCTATGAAATCTGGACAGCAATCGTGTTTTTGTTTATCTTAATGAAAGGACTAATCGACTTCATTTAGTTTATGTACTAGGACTCATGACTATACTCTAACAATGTGAACTATGCTAATCAAGAATATATATAAATTTATACTTTTCATTATACCGTATTTTCTAAAAACAACAATTATTATGTTTATGTGTCAGTTAAAAAACAGCATAGGTATTCTCATAAATTAAATTTATTTTGTTCCAAAAAAGTTGAACTTTAAGCAAGGGTTTTAGGGCCCAAAGGACTTACATTTAAATAAATAATTTATTTATTTTTAATTCTGGCCAATTTTTAATTCTGAAAAATTGTAATATACTTGCAGATCATGTGGAGAAATTTTTTGTGCTGACTGCTCGGAATTTTGGGCACCTTTGCCAAACGAAAAGCTTTTTAATCCAGTTAGGCTATGTGGATCTTGCTACACGACCGTCACAACAAATGTCCAAGAGTACGCCGCCGTACCTTCTGAATCCCAGGTAAAGGACGATGAGACGTCTCAGCAAATTCCTAAGAGCTTTTCCCAATTAATTTAAGACTTCTCTGTTGTATCAATATGTACATATTATTACTCAAAAATATTTATTGCATATGTGTTAGCACCATAATAGCGAAAAATTCATCTGTGCGTTTATATAGAACACGAAATTATACAATTTTGTTAGAAATATATACATATGTGGATATATGGAAACAATTGTAAATTCAAATACAATCTTTAAACAAAAATTACATTTAGTTTGTTGTCTATACCAAGTAAAAATAGCAAGGGGGTTAATAAGGGAAGATTACATATGAATTTGAATAAATTTATTTGGCGCGTCTGTTGGTGGGATTTTTGTGTGCGCCAAGCTTATCGATAACTTTCCTGGATCTTTTACTGTTTGCATTTGACATGATTGTCAGCTTTGATATTATTTTTGGTTTGTTATGTATTTCCTTAAGAAAAATCATATTATAATACGATACTTTGTCTTTTCTTTTGCTTTAATATTCATTAATTAACTAAGGCGCGTTTAAGGAAGAGAGCAATTAAATTAGAAACATTATTGATTATGATTCCTTTATCGCTCTCGCAATTTAAACTCAATATTGTTAATTGCTTTTGGCTAATGTAAAAGCATTCGTTTCGTTATCGATAGCAAAATCGCAACAGTGGGAGCCATCTAATAGGACAGTTTTCGTCCTCGTGCAGGTAAACACCCAGGTAACTTATCGATAAAGTTAACGCACACAGATGTCTCATCAATAGAAGCGCCAAACACGGCGTTGTTTCGAAGTTTATTTTTGTTAATTTTCCATTGAATTGTTAAGAATCCAATTGTGCAAAGATGGAGGGAGTTGGAAATTTAATTGACTTGACCGAATGGGACGAGCCCAGCAAGGAGACGTCGCCCGAGATGCCAGGGGACTTGGTCGCTGCCTCAAACTTTGAGGGACCTTACGATCCGTTTGATTTGATGGAGAAGGAAGCCTGCATTAAGGTGGGTTAGGTTGCATTGGAAACTAAATCATAACGTAGAAATTCCTATCCACTTTACCACAAATTCGTAAGCGACAAAGTTATTGCACACGTTATTTTATTTCCATTTTAGGGAATGACCCTAAAGACGCTGGCCAAGGAAAAGGTGGCGAGTGCCGAAGGGGGAATTTGCCCGGATCTTAATAACGAAAGTCCTCCCATTTGCATGCAGTCGGACGGAGAAACTCCGCAAAGGCGGCGATCGAACAGCTCGTTTCAAAAGCAGCTGCTTAAACTGAACGCCTCGCGGTCCATGACAAACACTCCGCCCCAAAATCGGTCCAAATCGGACATCGAAAAGACAATCCTGCACGAAAACTGGCAGATGCTGGCGGCAGAGTCACCTTTGAAACTTATTGAAGACGACGACGTCATGTCGACCAGTATCGACTTCGAGGAAGACCTTAGAATGCTACGCATACCGATTTTGGACGAACCTAAATCAGATGATAAGGTTGAAGACAAAGTGAAGGAAGGCCCAGGACTTCATCGAGATGATCAATTCAACGAAAAGGACTTCAACAAAATTTTGCAGCAGGTGAAAACAATGGCCCACGAACGCGTTGAGAAGACCAAGTGGCATTTGATTGACTCGGCCATCGAATCCATTGCTGCGGTCGTTTTTGGTCCGGATGTCCGGAATGCCGATCAAGTCCCACAATCGCCCTATTCATACACTCGACAGGGAACATTCGACCTCGAACTCCAGGTACGGAACTATTTTGCGCCAATTTTACCGGATATTTAATAGGTAATTTATCCACTTTAAGGGCACAAAGACAAGGCGTTCTTTTGATACTACGCAGGTGCAGGAAGAGGAGAGCGGGTGCACATCGGTGGAGCCTGGCAGCAAAGTTGACAACTTTCCAGACGCAATGGTCTGCTCTGCAGCCACCTTCGACGGCGAGTCTCGTTTGGACCCTTTCGACAAGGACTTGCTTCCCTCCCTGCCTTCGATTCCTTCCATTCCAGTGGCCAGAAAGGAGCCGTTCATGACTGAGTTGGTGGACGAGACACTCGCTCTGCAGATCAACGAGTTGCTGGAGCGACACAAGCTCTCAAAGACTGCGGTCGGTGATCAGGAACAGCAGGGCGTGGATCCCAGGACAGTCATTCTGTTGGTGAATCCCAGCAGCTACGGCAGTCAGGTTGCTTACGCCTCCAGCTGCATTGGAAAGCCGGATCCTATGCCACTGAGTGATTCCAATTCCGCAGGCTCTATGCGCCGCCGATCGTCCTCGCTGTCCATTCAGGACAAATCGAAGTTGCCTAGGGAGGTTCTGAAGTCCGATCGCCAGGTGGAAAACCTTCCGCCGCCCAGGGAAGCCAAAAGCACTGCCACTGTCGGTCCGATGAGCGCAGCAGCTGCATTTCGTCAGAGGAGCAATTCCTTCTCCACGCCCAGCAATCCGTCCACGAAGGCCTACGAGAACAGGCGCACACTGATGAGCAGCCGCATGAAGACCCCATCGATAACCGAGACGGTGGGCAGATCCAATGGAACCGCTAAGGTGGCGAAGCCCATCAAGCCCGTGATTCCAATTATGAAGGTGACCGCAACCAACGAGTCCACATACCTGAACCCCGTCCATCCACGAGTCCCAGAGACGCCCATGTCCACGAGGACCAAGCCCGTCCAGAAGATGTCCTGCACGAGCACGCCGCTCCCGCAAATGCGTACCCAGCAGCGCAAGTCCCTGAAGCCCTTGGGCTCAGCCAGCTCAGGATCTTCCCTTTCAAATGTTTCCTACTCGACGCCAAACTTCAGGCGGCCGAGCATCTCGAAAAAGACCGGTTCCGGGTAAAGTGCATGGCGTGCAGATAGAAAGCACCTGCTTGTCCCGTGGCTTGTCCCGTGGTGGCGCAATGTCGCCTGAAAGTGAATCCAAATGTGATGTCTGAGGTCAAGTTTTCAACCTTGAAGATAAACCCACAATGTGAATAAGGCTTGGCTATCTCTTAATACATATATATACTTTTTTTCCTTTTCCGCTGACGTCACAAGATAAAGGGAACTGATATGCAGTCTGTACTAAGTATTAAACGTTAGCTAATTATTTTTCTTTCCGAACGGATAATCAGTGTAATCATACTCTTCAATGTACTTTCCATTACGAATATTAGTTCTTAGTTACTTGGTCTTTCTCTTGAAAATCTACCCATAAAGAATAAGTCAACTGCGAAACATATCCTCTTTAAGTCTGTTTAATAATATATTCTTGCTTTATTTTAAATTTTCCATAAAGTAGTGTCTAATAAAATGAGATTATAAGTAAAGGTACACTTCGGTAAATTTACAAAAATTCATTTAAACCATTTTGCCCAACGGTTGAACACCTGGTGGCCTTAACTCAGAAGTTAATAACCACTCTTGACTCAAAAACAAAACGCTTTTGCATTATAATTGCTTTCCACAAATAAACAGAGGAACTCAATACAATTTGTTTATCAGATTAACTGTTTTCGTATATTTAACGATGTGGCGCTAGCATATCACAAAAAAAAAGCGAAAAGAGAAAAAATAACCAGTTACTTGTTGAGCTTGCTCTTGAGAATGGCCAACTGGGTGAGGCAGTTGTCGCGGTAGTTGCGGCGGGCGGCGAGCTGATCCAGCGGCACCATCTCGCCCAGCTGCTTGGCCACCTCCTCGGCGACGGGACCCTCCATTCTTGGCGTGGGACCCATCGTCTTGCTGACATTGTAGATGGTTTCCGTGTAGCGCTCGAAGTAGTTGGCCATGCCCTCGGCGTTCAGATGGGCAGTCTCCAGAGGGCCGAGGAAGGCGTAACGCGGACCCAGTCCATTGCTCATCACGCTGTCGATGTCCTTCACGTTGAGGATACCGGCCTCGACCAAGCGCCAGGTCTCGTTGAGGATGGCGTACTGGATGCGGTTAAGGGCAAAGCCCTCGATTTCGCGCGACAGCGTTACCGGTTTCTGGCCAATCTCGTCCATCAGAGCACGGGTCTTCTTCACCCACTCAGGTTTCGTCCACGGCGCCGGCACGATCTCCACCAGCGGCACATAGTACGGCGGGTTGACGGGATGCGAGACCAAAACCTGTTCGCCAAATTAAACGTAATTACAATCAGCCGGTTGTTCTCAACAATCACACAAATGAATGTATGGATGTGGTAATTCGAATTGGGTACAAGGACGGTTGTGCTTTGATACATGATCGAATTGTTTTATTCATTGGAATACTTTTAGTTTTTAACTGCTGATTTTATGCAGCTTCATTTTCAACTACCTCAATAATTGTTCAAGTATATAAAAGAGTCATGCTGTTAATAAATGCAAATTTAAAACATAACTATAATTTAAAGTTTGCTTTAAATCTGAAAACGCTTATTATAGGTATAATAAACTTTACTCATTGCTTTTCAACTTAAAGAACAATAAGTTATAGCACCAGCAATCTAATTTAAGAATTCTGCTATAGATCTGCGTATATTGGGCAATCAAAAATTCTTTGAAAACTGAATGTATGCAGAACCAGCTCATACATATACGATATCTATAAAGACTGGTACTCACATTGGCCTTGTTTTTCAGGTCCGCGCTGAAGAGGGAGGGCAGAAAAGTGCTGGTGGAGCTGGAGAGGATGGTGTTGGGTCCGACAACAGCGTCCAGCTGTTTGTACAGAGCCTTTTTGAGGTCCAGACGCTCGGGGATGCACTCCTGAACGAAAATGGCGCCCTTGACCAGCTCCTTGATGTCGTTGGTGCCCGAAATGCAGCTGAATTGCTGGGCGGCCGTCAGCTTGCCGCGGAGCAGACCCTTCGCCTCCAGTTCCTGCAGCTCCTTCTGGGTGGCCGTCAGGGCGGTGGACACCTGCTCGGGCAGGATGTCGTACAGGACCACCTGGTAGCCCACCGAGGCGAACAGCATGGACCACGAGCGACCGATGAGACCGCTGGAAGGAATTCACCGATTATCCACCTGCATGAGGACTCTTTGGATGCAGCTCCTTTTTACCTGCCCACAATGCCAACTTTCTCGTTCTTCAGCGACATCTTTGTTTATTTACTTCTTAGCGGAGGAGATGGAGGAGGAGTTTCTCGAGAGTGGAGCTATTTCGACCACCACTTGGCACGGCGTTCATGCGTTTGAGCAATTAGACGGCAGCGCAACCGGTTTAATATTGGGCGATAACGACGACAGAGGTGAACCCGAAACGAGACCCAAGTGTTTGTGGGGTGTTGCGTGCTGTTGATGGGTGTTGGTGGAGATTTCCGCGGAGATAGTGAGCCTGCTCACACGGTCGGGCGATAATTGAGCCACCCCGTTGGCGAATTCGATGATGCCGGAGATGCCACGCCCACATTCGGCAAATACACGTTCATAATTGAAGCTGAGAACAAAATATGTGCATAGATGCCTACACTTTACGTTTAAAAGATTAAAAGCTAAACTAGATATATGTAATGGAATATTTTTAAAATTCAGAGAGATACAATATGATTTTGTATGTGATTTAAAAAACTATTCACCATACTTCATTTTATTGAATCATTTCGTAAAACTCTTTTAATTAAATCTTAGGAAATTAATTTTATAGTGGTTTCGCCACTAAAAAGATACATTTCAGAGCTAAAATTTAATTTTAAAAAATGTAGTACCTCTTCACAAACAATTTTCAACAAATAGTTTCTATCTTATCTGTTTACTGAGATAATCCGTCGCGGAAAGTTCTTGTTAAGCAACAAATTTCCTAGTGGGTCTCAGTCGACCAAACTGTGTCGAGATGCCCTTAATTTGACTTTTATTAATAATACCATTTTATAATGTTAGCTACTATACGAGTGACTCTGTGATTGTTGAGCACTTATGTATGTATTTGCTACCGGCAAAAAAAAAAATATCCCCGCGAACTGTTTACTAAGCTTTTACAGCTTATTAATATAATATTAAATATTTATATATATAATTAAACAAAATAAATATGTATGTACATTGAAACAAATAAATGAACAGTAGTAAATCATCTGCAAATGTTGTCAAGTCTCTTAAATTTTATTTGCTCCAGAAAGTCAGTCATTATCTCTGGGACATATTTATCGTTACTGTGATCTACTTTCTTGAGTGAATTAGTTTGAAAGAGCTACACTAAGCATAAAGTCTTTACAAACATATTTTAAAATTTTGTTGAAAAAAAGCTACCTCCACTAAATATTCTAGAAATTGTATATGATATTACTCTTTTCCTTTTTTTTCATATAATAAATTAAAGTCGTGGTCCCAAGATTAAGCGGAAAGAAAGATCTGCAGCAAGTAAACAAACTCTATTTTTACCGCTATCATGATCATATTTTACGGGATTTTTAATGTTTATTTGCATATGCGGAAAAATAACCAAAATAAGGGTTTACCCTTTGCAAGGGCAAGAAACTTTATTTTTATTTATCACCTTTTTAAGGTTTTATCATTACTATGAAACGTTTCTGGTAGGTAATGTTGTTAAAAATAAGAATTTAAGTGCCGTGTTGAAATGATTCATTTCAGAGTCTTTTAAACATAAATTATTTTCTAACAAGAAAGGTAGCTATCTTCGGCAAGTCGAAGCTTATATACCCTTCCAGTCATCAAATATGTCGAACAAAATATAATACATAAAAGCTAAACAACATCGAAGCTATATTGAATATTTTTACTGCTTTAACACGGCCACGTCATCACTAAATTTTAAAAAATGGTACTCACCTAATTGAGTTTGGAGGCAGTGCATCCTATTGGCCACTAAAGGCAGGAAGGGATCAGCAGCACCTGCAACTGAAATGAATTAAAATCATAATTAAATTTATTAATTTCAAAAATCCATACCAAGTCAGGTGACGATGCACTGCATCCTGGAGTAGATTCCAGTAGAAGGAACCACTTCACAAACCGCACACTCTTCCAAAAATCGGAAACAGTTTCTCAGAGAAACTGCCGGTCATCCCGGAGAACTGAGGAATTCACCAAAATCCACTGGTATCCCACTAAGAATCAACCAGAACCACTTGGGAATTGTATATGCAAGAAAACGTTAAAAATATTTAATTATCATTGCCGATGACGTGGCGCTTGGTTAATGTAAATCACATTACATTTACATTACATTAACATTAAAAATTAAAATTAATGTTAACTTAATGTTATCTAACATTTTTCAAGTGTTTAATTTGCAACCTACAAATGCATGTTGATTGTTAAAAATCGCATGTTGCATGTTACTTTTTCCATTTAGCATGTTAATTTGCAAAAAAAGAAAGAATTAAACCAATAGATCAAAAAACCAAACAATTTTCCAATGTAAACAATTCTTAAAACATTTTCTCTTGTTGTCAGACAGACGTATTTCCATTCAGATCGTGATGCTGATCGAGAATATATATACTTTATGGGGTCTGAGGTGTCTCCTTCACTGCGTTGCAAACATCTGACTGAAATTATAACACCCTCTGTAAGGGTATTATTAATATAATTACATGAGTAATTATTTTTGTATACATCAAAGTTGATCCAAATTCCTTCTGCTCCGTAGAAATGATTAATTTAAGCCAGAACACAAAAAATCGTCAAACCTGAATAGTTTAATAAGCCTTTTTTAACAGGTATACCTAGAAATGTTATCCAGTTTGACGATGAATTGGAGTTACAATATTACTATCTAATCGCAGAATAATGCCATTCCTTTGATAAGATTGCAGTTTTGTAATTTGTTTAGAACATCGTTTGCATTTACCTCTTTATTTATCTCCCCCTTCGCCTTCTTTTTGTTGACAAACATGAGCTTATCGTTCCTTTGATTTAGTTAAACGAATTTTAAGTTTAATTATTATATTCAAAAATATATTTTTAAATTTTGTTCTATGATTTGGATTTTATTTCATTTAAAGTTAGCTAGAATGCTGCTTACAGTGCCATCTTGCGACCCTCTATAGATATTTCGACAGCCCTGCGACTCTCCTTCAGTCGCTTTGAGTCCAGGAAACGTTTCATGTGCTTTTCGTAGCGGTTTGGCTTACGTTTTGTTGACTGCAAATCACAATTTGAGATTCAAAATAAATTAAGGATGATAAGGTGTGTCAAGGTCCAGGAAAACAAGGTGCTGGAAAACTAACCGTAGAGATTTCGCCTTCGACTGTTGATTTCGGTCGAATGACGTAGTCCTTGTTGGAGGGCATGGGAACACGGGCGCGGGCAACCCAGCCGGGATCGCCTGGTCGAAGCAGCTTGTCTTCGCTGGAGAAGGTCTGATTCAGGGAGCGGGCTTTGCTGGAGGAGGCGGCTGGTTGTGGGTCGGGACCTTTGTGGCGATGGCGCGACATCTGCGCCAAATCACGCTCCTGCCGCTCCTCCTTGCTCATCGCCGAGAAGTTGCAGCTGAGGTTGAATATCGGGCGGGCCCACTCAGAAATCAGGCGACCGGCTCGGTCGCGGTTTGTCTTAGTCTCCTGAGGATGTTTGTACAAGTACATTACAGCCTTGCCAATGCCCGACTGTTTGAGAAGTCCCTTTTCAATGGTTGGGAACTAAAACAAATATTAATGTCTATTAGGTTAAGGTGAAAAATATGTGAAAAATCAATATCCTGTATAAATACATTACAAATTCGGCTCAAACCAAACGATTCATAATTACTGGACTATTTGCTTTGATCTAAAAATGTTGTCGAGTTTAAAAAGAGCAAATCCACTTACATCTGACAAAAGTTTAAGAATACTTTCGCGTATCTGAAGACATGGCAGACTTTTGTTTGGCAGGGGCGCTAGCCAATCTGTAAGTACATTGAGTATATTGTGCTCCAAGAAGGCGAGCTGCAAGTGCTTCTTAATTAGCTGCGACATCACTTGCTTCAGCATGGAAATCTTCTTTGTGGCCGGCTGACCCATCATATTCAGCTGTCGGTCATCGTCCGAAGCGTTCTTCATGCTAATAATGAGCTGATCAATCAGATCGTCATTGTCGTTGATTATATCAATATCTCCCTTGCGACGTCGCACGCGCTTTTCCTCCTTCTTACGCATAAGCATTGCATCAAAGTCCGAAACAAAGTTGCTGTTTCTGCAAAGGATATTATATTAAATGTAAGATGCAGGGAACTGCAGGTAAATGAACAAACTTACTCCGGTTCATTTGAAATAGGCGTGTTCTCATCATCAGAACTTTCTGTTATTTTATCTTGTGATTTTTCTTTGCCCAGATCATTATTCTGGTCTTCCTCCTCTTCGTTATCTGTGTCGGTGATTTTTACACGCTTCTTGGCGATTTTGGGACCTTCGTCTACATAAAAAAGGAATTAAAACCATGCTTTTTAAAAACTTTGGGTGTGGTTTACCTTCTGAATCGCTGATGGCCAATCTTTTGCGTCGCGCGCCATCTTGAGAAGCAGCACTGCCGGACCGAGATCGAGATCCCTTTCGAGAGCCAGCGCTTTTGGAGCGACTACGTGAACGGGACACTCTGGAGCCGCTTCGGGAGCGCCTAGATCCGCTCCTAGAACGCCTGGAGCCGCTTCTGGAGCGCCGGGATCCGCTTCTTGAGCGCCTGGATCCACTTCTAGAGCGTCGGGATCCACTTCTAGAGCGCCTAGATCCGCTCCTGGAACGCCTAGAACCACTTCTCGAGCGCCTAGATCCGCTTCTGGAGCGCCGGGATCCGCTGCGAGACCGTCTGGAGCCAGATCCACTGCGCGAACGCCTGGAACCACTGCGGGAACGTCGAGATCCACTGCGAGAGCGTACCGATCCACTGCGGGAACGTCTAGAGCCACTGCGAGAACGCCGGGAGCCACTGCGAGAACGTCTCGAGCCAGATCCGCTGCGTGAGCGTCTCGATCCTGAGCCACTACGTGAACGTCGCGAACCACTGCGGGATCTACTGGACCGCCTCGACCCGGATCTGCTGCGGGAGCGACGTGATCCGCTGCGTGATCGTCTTGAACCACTACGAGAACGCTTTGATCCACTGCGAGATCGCTTAGAACCACTGCGAGAGCGGGAACGCTTTGATCCACTGCGGGATCGTTTAGAACCACTGCGAGAGCGGGAACGCTTTGAACCACTGCGTGAACGTCTTGAACCGCTACGCGAGCGCCGGGAGCCACTGCGGGAACGCCTGGAGCCAGTAGGCGAAGCATGAGGAGCCTCCGAGTGCCGGGATCCACTGCGGGAGCGAGCAGAGCCGCTGCGAGACCGACGGGAGCCATTCAAGGACTGTTTGGACCGCTGGGAACTGGCTGCCGAGTGGGCAGACCCACTGCGGGAACGCCGCGATCCACTTCGCGAGCGGGAGCCCTTTCTGGACCCACTTCGGCTACGGCTGCGACTGCGGCTACCTAAACGAGCTGCAGGGGCAGCATCATCATTGTCATCTTTCGGCGCAGGCGAAGGCGACTTGCTCTTGCCTTTGGCATCCAATACTGAATCCAAATTGGTCGCTTCGGCAATAATTTCCTGACCCTCTTTCAACACAGCCTGCACCACCGGATCTGCAGTGTTCTCCGCAGGTCCGAATAAGTTCTCGGCTTCGTCGGTGCCTGGTTTTTCTACAAAATAAACAGTTAACCAGCGGATTCCAATTGTTCATCAATTTTGTAATCAACCTTTTTCAGTCGTCTCCATGCCGTGCGTCTTACGAATAGAAAAAAGGCACGCCTAACAACTAATATTGTTAAACTGTTTTGTAATTACTTCGGGAATTAGAGCAAATACATCAAAGTACTACCGTTAAAAAAAAAATATAAATTTAGCAATGACTTATAAAATACGACGCGATTCCTCGGCATTTATCAGGGCCGATGGAACAAATGGAATGTGGAACAGTAACGTTTGTGTGTACACATACACTCGTGCCTGCATGCTGTTTGGGGCCGTTACACACGCCGCTTGCGACAAAAATCGATAACAAACATTTCATCACATTTCGCATCACAAAATTGTAAAATATTAAGGATTGCAATAATATTTTCATTGATTGACATATCTATCAGAAAATACAACAACAAAGTATTTTCAATGCGATGTATCATATTTATTTAGCTATTGATAAGATTCTTTTTATTAAGATGGAGTGGTTTTTTCATCATAAACTTATTAATTTAAATTGGTTCTCTTTTAATTAATCAGCGTTAGTAATAAAATAATGTTCTTACACATATTTAAATGGTTAAAGCATAACCGCAGCATTCTTCAAGGAAAATTAAACACTTGTCGCTAAATAAATCGCTAAGATATCGTTATCGAATCAATTGCCTCCCACTTGAAATCACCCATCTCTGAATTACTAATAAGATAATCAAAACAATAACATATTTAAAACTGGCAAACATGAGGGAAGAGCAAGGCTCTATTTGTACGTTTTGAAATTCTTAAGAAAAATATCTACATGCAAGTTAATTTGATCTCATTTCTTATTAGCTATGTTTGCCGAGGATATCCTGAAGGACTATGGCTCTTTTATAGCGGATCACGATGAGAAGTTAAAATCACTGAGGAACAAAGTGCCTAATTCCGATGTTATGGAGCCTTCATCGTGGATAAATATAGGGACCGTGATAGAGGTCAACTTTGTGAACAACGACTATATCATATCGGATCACATCTTTGAAGAATCGGAGCTTGTGGCGAATAAACCACTTACAACTTTGGCGAATCTGTGCAATCAATGCAAAAAATTGTCCCGGAAAGCAAAACGAATTCAATTGGCTTTCATGTTCAGCGACTTTCGATTGGATGATTCACCACATGCCCAAACATCCGAAGGTTTGGAGGGATCCTTGGTTCGGATGAGCAGCGCCATGGATTTTATTTGCCAGGTTTATTTTCTGCTTAAACGTATAATTGTGATACTCCAAAATCTCTGGAGACAAATAGCCGCATCCGTAGACGTTCCAGCGGATATCAGTGAAGTCCATATATTCGTAAGTAGACTAATTTAACCTATGTAAATTGTTTAATTTTTTAAATCTACTTACATTAGGCCGTCTTTAATGTTATTACTGAATTACTGGAGCACGTAGTCATATTTAATGAACTGGCGAACCAATCAAAAATTACCGCCATGTGGGCGCTCTACAAAAAGTGGCTTATAAACTTATCCAACAATGGTGGCCTATCTTCTGATCGATTAACAAGTTTGGAGCTCAATGGCCTCAACACTTCGCTGGTTGACATAGAGAGTGTTATCACAAAAGACTTTTTTAGGGTAGGAGAAACTCGAATAACTCCACTATTTCCCACATTAATGTGTTTTTCTTAACAGATCCTTCTAGACAGTTTAATGGAATTGAAAAAACAGTTCAGCCTAAACGTTGTTAACCACATAACACAGCATTCCAATGCCTACTTACGTAAGCTACACCTTGAAATCGATGCGAATCAGAGCAATGAATTTAAAAACTACGAGGAGCCCAAGCACATAATTCACTTAACTGCCTTCGTGGCGGTGGTACATGAGTTCGGCATCCAGATGGAGGGAAAACTGGTCAGAAATATTGCCGACTTGGTGGCCAAACACAAGCAAGTTCCCCTCAACCGAAGTGTTTTATGGTCGCCTTCTGCATTTCTCGCGCAACATGCCAAAACGCTGGTTAAATCACCATCTCGACCACTTGACAACAACGGCTTAAAGATCCACAGCACAGTCCTGGAAAAATTCAAACTCAGCGATCAGAAGACCTGTCGTCATTTGGGTACACAGATTTCCCTTTGGTCGATCAAAATGCAGCGTGTATTCGATGCCGGAGTCTTTGGTCACCTCAAGACCTTTTCGCAGCTGATTCTAAGTGGTCACTCGTTTGCGGATCAAGTTACGCTTTTGGCAGTTGCTTTAATTAACCGCCATGCGGCACTTGGTACGCCCCTTTCCAAACATGATTGGTTTTTGGTTTCTCGATTGCTGCAGTACCTAAAGGTTCTTCAGAAGACCTTCGAATCGAACCAAATCAATTTTGTACGTTTTATTAACTCACTGATTCAGTGGCAAAAACAAAAGGTTCTACACTTGCTACACACCACGAAAAAGAAAATCGTTGATCTCAAGTTACTACAGCGCAAGATGAACTTTTTGTCAACGATGAAGCTGGCGGAGAAGTCCATCATGGGGTTTCCCAGTAAGCAACGTTTGACTTTTATGAATTTGGCTCTTGGCGAGTTCCTTGACAATCGTCTCTTGCCTGCCGACAATCAAAAGTTGATCAAATCGATTCTCCTGCGAGCCAATAATATTAGCAACTTTATGCGTGATATCAGAGGACAGCTGGATTCTTCGGATTCCTCGTGTCTCGTATATAATTACTGGTTTCTCAACACAGCGGTTCTAAAGGAGTACACTGAGTTGCAGCGCAATCCGTATTCTTTACAAGTAAGTTAATAACCAAAACCTAGCAATTATTCCTTTCATTTAATGTTGTTTTCTTTTTTTTCATTTGCAGAATATTGTATCAGTGAGCCATCACCTGGATAAGATCATCGCTATATTTAAGGGCTCAGAGTGTCTCAAGCGTTCGGCCAATGACTTGATAATCGAGTTTTTATCTAACCAATTGGAGTTCTTTCTGCGCGTGGAGGCCCTTTCGCACCTATTCCAAAACCAGGACCAACCATTCCAGCAAAGTGCCTTAGACTACAGGCTCTGTATCAATGCGGCGCCCATTGAAAACAGCGGAGATTACAATATTATAAAAGGTAAGATAAATAATTTCTTTTTATTTTTTACCAGTTTTATAAAAACGGGTTTGCAGAAAAGTGACCAAAATGCACTACTAAGTCCATAACTTTTCTCATTTTAACCAGATTTCAAAGTGGCATATCTCTAAACGTTTTTTGTTTAATTCTCTATCAAACTACATACATAATAATTTTTTGACAATCTTAAACTTTCATACATTTTTAAGAATATATTTTATTTGTTAAATTTAGATCACCTTGAGAATTACTTTACTGCAACGTTCTACAATCTAACGACAATCGCGCCGCACGACTGGAAGTCGTACGAAAAGATGCGTCATCTGGCATCCAAGGTCCTGCATTTGCGACCCATCGATGATCACCTGCCGAATCAGATCATCGACCAGGTAATAAATGAAAATGAAAAATAATCTCCAATCTATTCAAATCATTAATGGGCTCTGGTTTTCAACAGGGTATAGATGTGTTGCAAATTATGCGGAATATCCACACGTTTGCCTCCTCGTATGCCTACAATATGAACCTGCAGCTATTTGTGGAGACACATAGTAAGGGAAAGCACCTGGATATCATTGGCACTCGGCACGTGGCCAATTCGGTGCAGACTCATGGCACGGGAATCATCAACACCACGGTCAACTTTATCTACCAGTTTCTACGCCAAAAGTTCTACACGTTCTCCACTTTTCTCCACGATGAGCAGATTAAGTCACGGCTTTTGAAGGAACTGCGATTTCACTCGGAGCACAAGCTCAGCAAACTCTACCATTCATATCCCTATGAACGGGCCGATAGCTTTTTAAAGAAGATCAGAAAACTGGGTTGTTCCAGTAGTGGCGAGACCTACATGGACCTCTTCCGAAAGGTTATCACACAAGTCGGTAGGTTAAAATATTTTAATAAATTTAAATGAGAGGAGAAAAACTATAGTTAATTTTATGCTAAAATTATAATACTAGGTAATGCTGTTGGCTATGTACGCCTTCTGCAGGCAGGAAGCAAGAACGCGAACTTTAGGAGCCGCTCATTTAAGACCAGGTTCGACAGTAACTTCAGTTCCAACGGCTCCAAAATGCACGAGGTCACGGAAAGCTCCATCAAGGAGTATGAGAAGAGCCTGGGGCACATGAAGGAGTGCTACTCCGACAGCACAAATTACTTTAAGGTGAGTTGAGAACAAAAACAACTATGTACTTTGTAAAAAACAACCTTTTATCCATTGGTTTTTCAGCTGCTCTTGCAAGGCTTTCAGCCGTTTCTCTGCAATCCACATAACCATCACCTGAGAACCTTCTACCTCATCACACCTGCGCTGATAATGAACTACATTGACTACAGGGTCAAGCAGAAGCTGAAGATCCACAAAAAGGATCAAACGAAGATTTCGCTGTTCGAAGATGGCTTTGCCATTGGACTGGTGTATATCCTAAACATGCTTAACCAGCAGACGGAGTTCCATGAGTTGGGCTGGAGCCAAACGACCACGAGGCATCTAAATGAGGAGCGCGCCAAAGTGCGCGACATCATCAAAAGCCAGCAATCTGCAACGGATCAGCTGGACGAGAAGCTCTGCCAAACGGTGGCGATCACCGAACGACATGTGAATGCCTACGAACATGAATACAATCTACTCTATGCCACTTTAAGTAGCTCCGAGATATTCTTCCAATAAAATTGAGCGACCAAGCCAAATAATGACAATATACACACTATAATCAGTAGTTGGGTTCCGTTTATTTACTTTTAATAAGACGAAAATACAATTCCGATGCCGGGTACATATCGTAGAACGTTGGTACATATATGTAGGTAAATATATTAGCGTTATTGCTGTTAGGCAATTTGAAACATCAAACATGTTGCTAAAACGCTCGTTAATGCGTCTCTTTTTCGCATGGAATTGTGAGAGTTAAAGGTTTTAAAGCGTTTTACTTGACCTAATGATCTAAGAGCTTCACTATCCATTAATGATAAAGTGACCATAACGAGGCGCGCTCTAATTGCATTGAATTTTGGGCCCCCACATAGAATTGATCGGCCGAAAACCCAAATGGGAATATAGTTAAACATGTCTATTGAAAATATTGTTGTATTGTATTTCGTAATATTACAGTAATTGGTAAAAAAATGTTTTGGAGAAAATGCAAATGGCTTTCGTCTTAACAGATTTTTCTTCTTTTGTAATCTTGTGGGATGTTGGATTTTGGATTTGCATTCTGCTTAAAGAGAACCAGAGTTAGCGACCATGATCTTCTTGGAGGTCTTGCCAGACTGGGAGCCGTAAGATTCGATCTTCTTGACCACATCCAGTCCCTCAACGACCTCGCCGAAGACGACGTGCTTGTTGTCCAACCAGGCGGTCTTCACGGTGCAAATGAAGAACTGCGATCCGTTCGTGTTGGCGCCGGCGTTGGCCATCGACAGGATGCCGGAGCCGGTGTGCTTCAGCTGGAAGTTCTCATCGGGGAACTTGTTGCCGTAGATCGACTTGCCGCCAGTGCCGTTGTGGTTGGTGAAGTCACCACCCTGGCACATGAAGTTCGGGATGACGCGGTGGAAAATGGAGCCCTTGTAGCCGAATCCCTTCTCGCCGGTGCACAGCGCACGGAAGTTCTCGGCGGTCTTGGGCACGACATCGGAGCGCAGCTGAAAAATATAAAGAACTCAGATTATAGTACAGGATGAATTGACTTGGAATGTATGTGGAGTAGGTCCCCCAAATAATAAGAACCAAATGTACTACTTTATATTTATGAATACTTTGCTATATTGTAAACATTGTGATCAATTTAATCATATTTTTTTTTTACACAAATCTGTGTTGGTAAAAAGAAATTTGTATACCTTCTTTTAAAATTTGGGGGAATCAAACTAATAAACAGAATCGTGAAAATAATTTTGACCTTGAGTTAAAAAAAAAAAAAAAAATCAATGCGCGGCAATCGGTAGAGGTGGAGATATGAACCTTGTGTATTTGACCCGTCGTTGGAGGTGAAATATTGTAGTAACCTGTGCCATATTTGTTTTAGCCTCCTTAACAACCTAATAAATTATTTTTAAACTAAATAAGAAATGCGCCCAAAAGGCTAAAACCCATCGGTTGATGGAGGGACGCTGCTTATTGGATTTTTGTAGCCATATTTGACACCATGTTATATATGTATGTACACTTTAATACAATCTTATCAGACTTTAGCTGCATACATATATACATATTATACATATTTATTCAGTTACTTTACTTTTTGCCCTTTCGAACAGCACTGAGATTAAAAAATTGTGTACTTAAACCTATTTACCTAATGGAAAAATCAACCCATGCATTTATCACTCACAAGTTCGAGTACATTCGAAATGTGATGCACTGAAATTCAGCCAAAATGTAGATAAAAAGCATGACGTTATATGGCAATTATTAAAATTAGCTAGAAGTATTTTTAATAATGCCGTTTTGCGGAAACAAATGCACACAGTGAGAACAAAAAAAAATCATTGTAATTTGAATCATTTTTTCCACTGTATGTATGTATATCCTACTTGAAAATCCTAGACATGTGGGCTGGCTTACTTTTCGGGCAAACACTTTTGACCCAAACTTCTAAAAATACGACTCGATGCATTATAAACTGTCTTTTTTACATTACATCATCAACGGAATTAAAACTGAGTTCATTTTTCAAACGGGTTTACAGAACTCGCGCATTCACACCCGAATATCTCTGTGTGTACACCGTTCATACATACGTATATCTACATACGTGAGTGACCGCTTGGAGGTTATGGTTTCTGTATTGATCTGTGAGTGTATGCGTGCTCCACACCAGCAATTGTACATACCGCACACTCATATATGTATATATAAATACCGGTAAAAATTGCAGCATTCCCGCAAATGTTTGCCGACACGTCAATTAAATTAAGGAAAATTCCACTTCCATGATGATTATCTCTTTTAAGACCTCGTCCAAGTGGTTCCAAATGGACTAATAAATAATTATAAGGGCTATTACTTTAAACGTTTTGCAGATACTGTATAGTCATGCCATTACTCATATGAAAAATCAGCCGATTCTTTGCACTTTAGTAATGCCGCAAATTAAATCCCTTTTTTCACTATATACTTCTTTGTATGTATGTAAAAGAACGGGCGGGATGTAAAGGAAAATACCTGGGCATCTCCGAAATTTACCACTTAAAAATCACGTGTTTTTATCTACCTCCACTTTTTGCACAAATTAAAAAAAAAAAAAAAAACGCGAAGAATTTTTCTTTGATTTAAATTTAAACTTACCTCCATGATTATCCTACCGAGGGGCTCGCCATCGGCGGTCATATCGAAAAATACCCTAGGCAAAGTACTCATCTTCGACGCTTTCGAATATTCACGAACAATCTGAATTCCAAATTGCAACTGACCCCTATTCGCACTGCACGCTGACGAAGCTAGGGTTATAGATTTTTTAGTTAAAATGGCGGACTCAGCAATGTGAAATGCCGCGGCCGACTTATACCGAAAGTGGCGAATCAGAGTTGCACCGAGGGAGGCCATCGTGGATAATTGCCAGTAAAGTAGATCCGCAAAAACATCGTTCAACGATAGATTATTTTTAAATTGTTCGATGTATCGATATTTTGAACGCAACATCGATTTTTTCCAGACTCCGTTTTTTTGAAATTCAAAATCTCCGTCTAACGTTTTTTCACCGACTCAAGTGAGTGTAGATGTTAAGATTTCACAAAAATATATAAATGAAGTTATTATTTTGTTCGCTAAATACATTTTTCTACATAACTTAAGTGTGGTTAAAGTCTCGGATAAGGCGGTTGTGAAAGAAAACCAGCGCGGGTGTGTTTCATTCCATTACGTTGCGAACCGTTACATCACTTTAGGGCAGCTACAAGCGCATTGGGCGCGCTCAGCACCATCAACAGGAACTAACGAGCACTGGTCGGTAAATAACAGAAAATAACTTTGTGGTAGGAAAAAAAACCTATAACACCATGATAATTTTAACATAATCAAACAAAAAATAATTTAATTTTCTTGGTATTTTTCTTTATCTTTATACCCTTTATTTAGGAATGATCATTACAGATAGTAAATACATTTATTTTTAAATATATCACTTTATTTTTTACAAGAATGATACGTATATTCATTTACAAAATATTTTCAACATTTGTTCATATTCATAAAATAGAGTATTTCCTTTATCCTGATCCCGTACATTATCCACATTGCAATATAGAGATTACTACCATTTGCCCTTGGTGAAATACAAGATTTAAAGCAAACCTAACTCGAATCAGAATAGCCCCCTAATGTAATTGAATAAAGATAGAGCATTGAAATGCTCGCATGACATAGCCAAGCTTAAAAGTAATCGCATATCTTCGCTGAATTGCGGTAATACAAGTATTGGCAATAAATTACATATGTATGTATAATAAAAAACAAAAAAAAATCGTGTATAGTACTTTCAAAGCGGTTGAACTATGAACACCTGTTCCACAGATATATAATTAGCAAAAGCTTCAAAATAGTGATTACCGTGCCTTTGGATTAGTAGGATAGCGAAAGCATTCGAAAAGTTTTAGAGATTCAATGTAAGAATAGAGATTGAAAAAGGGCCTTGCATTCGAGCATAAACTTTTTAACTTAAAACTAACCGGATTTCTGATAAACAAATCCCAAAATGAGCAAACAAAAACCAAAATAATAAATTGAATTATAGGGCCATTGTTGCAGTCCTCCACTTCCGCTGGCGGCTGCAGCGACCAATGGGGATTTTTGGTTATCGCGGCACAACGTTTGGTTTCTAATAAAGTTAAACATGGACTCGACGAGATTGGCCGGCGTAATGTTCGCACACTGCTCCAATTTGCTGACCACGCAGGATTGCAGCGCTAGCATTTCGTCGCATTGCTTTTGACCGACGGTCAGTTTGGGAATCGTCTTAATACGATTGTTCTGCTGGTCCGAAAAGTTCAAATACTCAGCAAAAGTGTTGTTTACGCATTGATGGATGTTGTCCTTTTGCGATTCGATACACTCGAGACCCTTTTCGGCCAGAAAGAGGGCACTCTGATCGCCGTCCTTGTAGCAAACGAAATTCAGCACGCTCTCAATAATCCGCTTAACCTCGTTTTGACCTTCGCGCTCGTCCTCGACCAAACACGGAAGGATTTTGGCCGTGAACTGGTCGTAGCACTCGACGGCGTTCCTTCGCTTGCTGCAGTATTTGTGGAAGACCACGTCGAGTTCTCCCTTGGGACTCGCCTCCTGGATTTCTTGCTGCATCGCCGTCAGGTTGACGATGCCGTTCAGGCAATCGCTGAGGGCCGCAAACCCGGTCTCAATTTCCGCAAACGCCTGGCCACCGGCCTCCTCGCCAGCTACCTCGATGCACTTGTTGCGAAACAGTTCCCTGGCATCATTGTACGAGAAGTTCGACATGCTAATTTGCTCGGGAAGCTGCGCCTGGAGCTGATCGATGTCCAATTGGGCGCGTGTGCCAATAACACTCATGATAACCAGCGAAATTACAAACGAAAATGTCCTGCCCATCTTGAGATTTTGCCCTTTTGCTCTACTCCTCTTGTCTCCTTTTACTGCCGACGAAAATGTTTTGCACTAGAAAGCCTTGTCTTGCTCAAATTATCATAATTATTGGTACATTTATAATATATAAATTAATATTAATTTTTATCCGAACTACAGTATATAAAGGTGGTAGAGAAGCGATGAGACTAGTGAATCGATTGTGCGAATACCTTAATTGGCAGTGCGGTTGCTACTATCGAACCTGCCTGTTGCATCTGTGTTGCAACTGGTTGGGTTTATGCGATAGTTATCATAAATAAATTTAAATATTATAAATAGATTTTGATTTACGTTTTTGGAATGTTTAAGTTTGTGCTTAATTAACAAATGGAAGTGCCATCAAGCTATTTGTGTGAACTACCATTAACTATCGTTAAATCTAACGCTCGATTGTTTTATAAATCTTCGCACGTATTTTAAAATGAAGAGAATTAACAATTTGATTTTTTGTAAACAACAATAATACATCAAGCAATACGAATATTTTTAAATAATATATTTTTATGTACACTCATAATTCGTAGTCTACATTTCAATGTTATGACTTACTATAAAGCAGACTATCTTAGTCTGTTCGTTTTTTAATTATCCACCAATACAATTAGAAGAAGATCGATAACTTGGTTGTTCAAATGAACAAGTTCAGGAACAATTTATTTCACAAATCTCTATCTTCCTTCTCTAAAGCAATGTTTACAGTCTTTAAAACCTGACTTGAGTCAAATTTTGTGACCATATAGAAGACATTATATGTGGAGATGTGCAATATAGACTGTGATATTCAATGAAGATGCGGACATGGCCTTTGAACAAGGGACGGAAGTGGACGGCCTTAAAATGGAACCGATCTCAAAATTTAGCTTGGTTCTAACTGGGTTCTCGATTCTATGGAGATTCGTTTCGATCTTCATTAATTGGAGCCTGGCTTACGAGTATTGGATGGACGAGTCCTACGGATACTGTGCATGGACAGTTGGTTCGATCCTGGTGCCCATGGCAGTAACATCAGTTATATATATTCATGTGTAAGTTATCCACAACATATCAAATCAATAGACCCAAAATAACGTTTAATTTCAGTTTGAGGTCCGCTCACTCGGGTCAAAATCGGATCCTTAACAGGGGAGTTTACTCAAATGTAGTGATTTCGTATCTATTTCGGGATGTCTTCGCTTTTAATTACGCATTGAAATATTCCGAGGCCAAAAAGCGAGATGACAAACAGGAGGAGATAAGGTCAGTGGATCCAATGTCAGCTGATCTCGTCAGCCTTGAAATTTTTAATTTGTATTTAATCATCTCTCACAAAACTAATTACTAACTTCTTGTTTCCAGATATTATCAAAAACTTATGACGGAGGAGTGCAATGTTGGTTTCGTACGGCTATTTGATTCGTTTTTGGAATCTGCGCCACAGAAAATATTACAGCTTGTAATAGTGTTGCGATCGATTAAGGACTTTACATGTAACACACTTTATATTTTGGTTAATAGTTGTTGTTAATAACCATATAATCTTAATAATCTTTACAACGAAAGTAAAGCTTGTTTTTTCAACGTACCTTCGCATGCAAATGGTTGCTTGAGTGAAACTCGAAATGGAAAGTATGTTATTCCCATTTCTCAACAAATTGTTTTTTTCAGACTATCGCCTGATTGCCTTCATCATATATTTCGGTAATATAGCGTGGTGCATCCAGGCGTATAATCACTCGAATCGCCTGGTACAACTGGACAAGCATGATATCGCCGCAAAGGGGAGATTTATACAATTTCTTTTCCTCCTTTGTCTGACGGGTTAGTAACTTTTTTAAACAGAAATAAACATATAGCTTATAATTTATATTTTGTAGTTTCGAGAACGCTTTGTATAGCGTACATCGCAAGTATTTTTCCCGTCGAAACATTGATCATTTGTGCGACTCACGCTTTTTTGTGCGGTTCCATTGTGTTTTTGGTGGACTCTCCAATGATCGCTGAATCTCGCTTTATGAACTACCTGTACTGCCTTTGCTTTGGCATAGTTTATTTGTTTATTTTCACCCCCGTTAAAGATGCACCAACCAAGTATAAGTACACAGCTTATCTCACTATCTGCCTCCTTCAAAACATAGTCGCTTGTGCCCTGTACATTCCCACACATCTTTGGATTGCCATTATTGCCTTGTATGTTTTCGGTATTATGCTTATAGCATTCTACTACTCAAAATGCCATCCCAGTACCATACCAACATATTTCTAGTGTAGTTCAATGTTTATAATAAACGTGTTTAAACGGAAAAACTATTCCTACTCTTTAAATTAATATGCTCCAAACCTAGTAGTAGTATTGCAATTGGCGCCAAAACATTTTGAAATTGGTATGTAATTTTACATTTTTAGAGGGAAACAAAAAGCATTTGAGCAAAATGTATTAATCTTAATAAGTTTTGTAACCCAAAAGTTGCTGTAAATAAGAAATAAAAAAGTATTTGATTCTGTGTTTTGGTTATCTAAATTATTATATTAACTATTTTTATCGATAAACAGATTATCGAAAGTCTCTAAATAATCCAAATATTCTTAAAGGTAACGGATGTTTATACTATTATTTGTGCTCTCATTGAAATAAGTTAATATTATTTTGCTAATTGCCTAGTTAAATTTTATTAATTTTACTTTCCATTATTGTAGTGATGCTTTGCGTTCGTCTTAAGCAAAACAGGTGCAATTTTGTTTATCGCAGAGTTGAGTGCGCACTGCGCAGGCGCAACGACCGCAGTTGGCATGATAATTGGAACCAGTCGGTCTCTGAGCTGGAGCTTCGGTCTGGGCACCAATTAAGAGAATGGAACCGGTTCGCGATCGAAGCTAGACTTAGCCAGCTAGTTGGCATTGTATATTTCATGCAGCTCGTTAACTTTCACTTTGGTTACAAGGGGCGGAGACCAAGGCAAAAACAAATCACCGAAGAAGGATCAGGATCTGAACGAGATCGAACGCCAGGGATCAGGATCGGGAGTCCGAACATCGGGAGTGATGTGAACAACGAAGCCCAAAACAAATGGCATCCAAGTACGAGCGAATATTGAGTGATTGCAGGGCGAAGAACGTGTTGTGGGAAGACCCCGATTTCCCCGCCGTTCAGTCGTCAGTATTTTACTACCAAACACCTCCCTTCACCTTCCAATGGAAGAGGATCAAGGATCTGGCGGATAATGGTTCCGGATCGGGATCGGGATCGGGTGCGTTATCTGGCTCTGGATCTGGATCTGGTGCTGTTTTCCTCAACGAGGCAGCTGAGTTCGATGTGGTGCCTGGTAAGATGGGCGATCGCTGGCTGGTCTCCTGCTTGGGTCTGCTCAGCTCCCTGAGGAATCTCTTCTATCGAGTGGTGCCCGCCGATCAGACCCTGGATAACGCCCACGGGGTCTTCCGATTCCGTTTGTGGTGGTGCGGCGAATGGGTGGAGGTCCTCGTGGACGACCGATTGCCGACGATCAATGGGCGATTGGCCTTCATGCAGCCACAGGCATCGAATTGCTTTTGGGCCGCTCTGCTCGAGAAGGCCATTGCCAAGCTGCACGGATCCTACGAGGCGCTCAAGTACGGCACACGTTCCGACGGCCTCACCGATCTCCTCGGCGGCGTCGTCCGGCAAATGCCCATCCTGGTGGACACCATACGGCCGCAGACGCTCAAGGACCTGCTGACCACCACCTGCATCGTGACCTGTTTGGCCGACAAGGGAGCCTCCGTGGCCAAGAAGAACGTGGCCGAGAGGATGCCCAATGGAATACTGGTGAACGTTAACTACAGGTAACTATGGATTCCGTTTATCTTCTTGAAATTATTGGTGTCCCAGAGAACTGGTCAAACCAATCCCCAAGCTCTTTTATACATATAATATTTAAATGCAAAAAAAATTCGAATTATTAAACTGGTGTATGTTAACTAAAGGTGATAAAAGATAATTATAAATACATATGTTATGTTATTCTGATATTACAATCTATTTAATTTTGATATTGAATACTTTTCCAATATCCGAACACATTTTGAAATAAAGAGAAACATAAAAAGATTTCTGTATGGTATTGCCTTTTCCCCTGCTTTCTTTCTATTATTGCTAAATTCAATAAGTTTGCTTACCAAAATCAATATTTGCCCACCTGCTTGCAGACTTTCCAGCCTGGACAAGGTGAAGACCCTGATGGGCGACTCGGTGCAGCTGGTGTGCCTGAAGGACACGTTCTCCAGCAAGCCGTTCGGCGAGAAGACGCACTTTCTCGGCGACTGGTCGCCGATGGCGAAGACCTGGGAGCGGGTGTCCCAGGTGGAGAGGGCGCGGCTGATCCGCCAGCTGGGTCCCGGCGAGTTCTGGATGTCCTTCTGCGACTTCGTCGAGATCTTCACCACCATGGAGGTGGTCTACCTGGACACGGAGACGTCCAACGACGAGGAGATGCTCAAGAGCCGCCCGCTCCACTGGAAGATGAAGATGCACCAGGGTCAGTGGAAGAGGGGCGTCACTGCCGGCGGCTGTCGCAACCACGAGTCCTTTCACATCAATCCGCAGCTGCTGATCGCCGTCCAGGATCGCCAGGACCTGGTGGTGGCCCTCAACCAGCACACGGCGGTGGAACCAAAGGTCATCGGCTTTACGATGTACACCTGGGACGGCGACTACCTGCTGAGCGAGTGCCTGCAAAAGGACTTCTTCAAGAACCACGTGAGCTTCCTCAACTCGGACTACGGCAATACGCGGCATGTCAGCTATCACACGAATCTGGAGCCGGGTCACTACGTCCTCATACCCACAACCTATGAGCCCGCGGAGGAGGCGCACTTCACCGTTCGCATCCTGGGAACGGGCGCCTTCCGGCTGTCCTGTCTGGAGACGCAGACCATGATCCTGCTGGATCCCTTTCCGGCGCTCAAGAGCTCCGAGAGTGGCGAACGCTGCGGCGGCCAGAAGGTGAAGAGCGTTTGCCAATACGAACCGATTTACATGCAGCTGGCGGACGAGAACAAGACCATCAACTGCTTCGAATTGCACGAGCTGCTGGAGGCCTGTCTGCCCAACGATTACATCAAGGGTTGCGCCAACATTGATATCTGCCGGCAGGTTATAGCTCTGCAGGATCGAACCGGCAGCGGTCGCATCACCTTCCAGCAGTTCAAGACATTCATGGTGAACCTGAAGGCCTGGCAGGGCGTTTTCAAGATGTACACAAAGGAGAAGGCCGGCATATTGAGGGCCGAACGGTTGCGAGACGCCCTCTGCGACATTGGATTCCAGCTCAGCTCGGACATAATGAACTGCCTGATCCAGAGGTATATCCGCAAGGACGGCACCCTCAGGCTAAGCGACTTTGTCTCGGCCGTCATCCACCTGACCACTGCCTTCAATCAGTTCCACCTGAAGAACTACAGCCAGGTGAACGTCATCGAGGTGCATCTGCACGACTGGATCAAGAGCATCCTCAGCTGCTGAATGGGTCCGAATGGACGATTAACTTATACATAGATGGTTTCAAGCCCTTCCAACTTCTTTCACCAATCTTTTACCTTTTTTTACATGCTAATTGTAATTTAATTTTACGACTGGATAACGAGATTACTGAACTGCCGATCGATCGCCCATTTCGCTTGATTAACTTTCAACTAAGACTAAGACTCCTTTTAAATATGAGTTAATAGTGAGATCGCGGAGCTACTAAATTCGATTGGTATATACGGTTTAAAACTGTCTAAGGAATTTGTTTCTTTTTTTACTACTAACTTGGCTTGTTTCACAAGCTATCTTCTAAACCATGTTAACTTCTTTTAGGCCCTAAGAATTTTTTACAATTGAATATATAGTTGAATCTTAATGAGTTGTTATTTTTGACGTGCTAATTTCGCCTGATTTCAAATCTCTAAAGGTTTGGTAATCAAATTAAAGGTTTATTTGCAACGCTACAAGTTAAAAACAATATGGTAGAAGACCTTAAAATTTAATTTCTTTTTTTATGTTTATCACTTCACTTTCAAAATCTAAAGACATATAAAAACAGCCACCACCTGATTATACCCACTAATTTTGAAAGCCAACCATCAGAGAATATATCTTATTAGTCTACTATATAGTATTTGGCCCCGGAATTGAGCGAAATCGGTAATGCGGTTGCAGGATTTTATGTACTACTGAGAATTTTATTTATTGTTCTTATGTCTACAATTAAACGAGCGCTGAAGGCGAGACGTGTTCAGAGTATTTTCGAAAAATGTATGCATGTTTATTTATTCCGCCCGAGGATATTGATTCACTTACTATATTCCGCCCAAGGACTCAAAGGTAAGTCGGTAAGTCGGTGTATGCAGATACAGTAGTTGGCCTTTCCGATCGGCGAAATCGAATTGCGCGATTAGTTGGATTATCTGACATATAGTTTTGAGTTATTTATAAAAGAGTCGTATGTGTACAAGCAATTGTTAGCGACGCGAGTATTAGGTGTGCATATAGTACACTAGCGGATATCATCCATAGTAGGCTTAAAAAGTAATTCCGTGTGCGTGGGTCCTCTATATAGTGAAACTGGTAACGATCTGTCCAGCACTCTAGCCAGTTATATCCAAAATGCAATGAACTCATTCCCTTATTAATCATATAGTTCTGCCATGAGCTGCGGTTCCTCGATGGACTTATTGCTCTTGTGATCCCCGAACTTCAGAACGACACCCACACATCATCGCATCACCTATTAAAATAGTCTAAAATACCGGCGTGTAGTTAATACAATCTGTAGTTTCCCCTTGCTTCTCTCTTCTTTCTGATGGACGACATGACCTCCAATTGAAATGTACAAGACGCAACTCGAGGGTTCCTCCTCCTCCTCCTCATCCTCCCCAATTGACATTACGTTTACATGGATGTTCCGTTCTGCGAGGAGGCGTCGCTAATGCGACGGGACAGCGTCGTCTTGCGGCTGATCGACTTGGAGTTGGCGATCTGGTTGGCATTGTAGTTCGATCCGCCACTCATCGGGGTATCGTTGGCCGACGAGTCCAGGGTCCGCATCGCAGACCGCTTCAGGGAGCCAGTCACCTCGTGCGGCTCCTGGTAGCCCGAGTCCATGTCATCGTGGTACGAGTCCATCAACGGCGTCGGATCCTCGTAGTCGTAATCAACGAAGCCATTGTTGTCGAAGCTCTGGGGAAAATAACCAAAGAATGCAATTTATAATTAATAAAAAGAAGGTGTTTGCTATCTTATTCATTGTATTTTTTATTTAAATAATAAAGTTGTATTTAAATAAATTCAAATTAAAATTATTAAGTGAAACAGAATCAAAAGAGAATTAGGTTAGTGGTGGAAATATATACCCAAGAAATTTGGCAAGCCGATTTATTGGAATGTAATGTTAATAACTTTTATATCCTTGGAATAAAGGACAGTAGATGCTCCTTAAAGTGTACTTGGCTGTATTTATTTGAAATCCTTTACCCAATATTTTGAATGCTCACCTTGACAAATGACTGCGAGTGCTTCTCGTAGCCCCGGAACACCTGGCTGTGCGACTTGCCGCGATAGTCGACCGACTCGTAGTGTCCGTCCTGCGAGTTCTCGATGATGAAGTGCCGGGTGCCGTGGGGCGTCAGGGTGGCCCACAGGAGGCGGCTGTCGTTGACCAACTGGCTCTGCAGCAGATCCCGACTGTTGGCCGTGGCACAGGGATACAGAATTCCGCCGGAAGTGAAGGCATTCGATTTGGTGGCCTCACCCAAGGCATTAATAGCCGTCTGCTTGATGTTGGCATCGTGGTACGAAAAGAAGGAACTGCTGTTTGAAAAAAGAGTAAATAAAAATGAAAAATAGTAAATCAATACAAGGAAATAACCACGATATACTTACTCTCTGCATCTGAGCACAATTAGGGCCAGGAAGCAACCAAATATGAAGATGCCAATGCAGGACGACACGAACAGCCAGACGTTCTCCAGACTCTTTGAATCGCTCCTGACCAATTCCATCAAAGCATTGCCGCTCTCGTTGTGCTGCATTCCATGGCCACACATGAAGGCAGCGAAGCAGGGCTGCGACTCATTGGAGGGCACCAGGATATCCACCGTCGCCGGTTTCGAGATCAGAAAGGACGGCAGCGGAGGCGGCGGCATCGAAAGTATAAAGTCCGGCGGCGGACCAGCCAACTGGTCACAGCTGCCCACACAATTTCCCAATACAATGTTCATCATGAAGCTGAAAAGTATCCATGAGAGTACATTATAATTAATCCACCTGGAGCACTGCGAATCAATGGCGAATACCCATGAACCCCAGTCTATTCGGAGTTCATGTGTATCTGTGTTTTGTTTAGATTCATAACACTGTTCGTTTTTGGGGTTGTTTTTCTACTACTAACTATTTAACTAGTATTTGGCACCCAAAAAGTTACTACTTTAATACGTTTAATTGCTAATTACAATTTAGAAGAAGTGTTTAAAGAAAAGATAAAGTTTTTGAATGAAAGCAAAAGCACTAACAAAATCTTTCACAGAAAATTCCTTTGCATCCTTTTCAAAGGATAGTATAGAAAAAGAAACTCAATCTCCGAAGAGAAATATAAATCAGCGCTAGTATGTAAATGCTTGAACTCCATTAACAGGTAATTATTTATAAACAATTAAGCTGGAAAACAGTTTCGAACCTTTCAACACAATGCCTTGACTTGTGTCAAGGAAATCCCAGTCAGAACTGAGTGGTAGTAACTATCCCAAATACATGGCTCTCCATCTGGAATGCGCGCGCATCCCCCCCTGAAATGCCCAACATGGGTAACCAGTAACTTTGGCGATACCTTCAACTCGGTAGCCAGTTACCCCCGTTCCTTTTTTTGGACACACCCAGGTATAGCCAACTATAGGAATGGGATTTTAAAACAATTAACTTCGTTGCATGTTAAGTATTTTACTCCTTTAGCACTGTTTTTTTATTTAGCCTAGTCTGGTCTTATAAATTGTAATAAATATAAAAAAATATATTACATAGTCGACCGATTTTTATGAAATTTAATTCAAATTCAGGAGCCATTAGAAAACTTTATATTCCAAAAATCATGCTTGTCTAGGGAAAATCAACGATGTTACCATTTCTTTCAGTTAATTCTATATAGATTTTTCGATCCGTTTTGATAAAATTTAATTCGAAATTCGATTCAGATCGTGATCAAAAATATATATAACACCCTCTGCAAGGGTATAAAAAAATTATTATGCAAAACGTTGTATTTTGTTAATGTTTAATTTTCCAGGCTGCGGTAATTTTAAGTTAAATATCCACATAAAGCTTACGAATATTAACAGCCCACATATCACAAGCCAAAACATTACAAAGATATGTTTTTCAGGTATCTTTAAGATACTAACTATATAAAAGGTAGCATGTATTTAACATTTATATAAGCTAGTAGCTGTAGGTGGTAATTTTTATAACAAGGTGCTTAAAATAACAAAACAGAATTTAAATTCAGCCTATTATATTTGGGTTGATACGATTATCGTTATAGTTATTTTTTGTCAGTGTAAGTCATGACGACGCCGACAACCAAAGCCAGAACGGTAAAGCCCTGAGCGGCGATTCGAGTGCGCATCATCATCTGCGACATCTTGCGGTTGCCAGTTCGAAAGTTGTACAAGCCGGCTGTAAGCGCCGCTGTTGTGGCCAGGCATCCTGCATACGAATGAAATGCACAATTGCACAAATAAACATTTTGTTTTGTTTATATAACCCGCTAGACAGAGCGGCAAAACTTACCCAGTGGAACCAGTGGGTTCTCCTTTATTTTGCGCTGAAGCTTCTCCTTTGTGGTCTCCACCTCGGCCACAGGTCCTAGATCCTGGCGCAATTGAATCCAATCCAGTTCTTCCTCGGGAAGGGAAACTTGAATTTTATTCGACATCTTGCTGTTATTTCAAGTAAATATTAGTGAAACAAGTGCAAACTACAAGTCAAATTATATTATTGAATTAGAGATGGACTTTTGCAGCATATTTCTTCCCCGTGACACAGCACACAAATGATCACACTAATCGATTGCTATCGATTAAAGAATAATTAATGCATTTTAGTAATTAGGATTTTAGTAGTTATGATTTAAATTTTAACATTTTTAATTATAATTCAAGGCAGGAATGTTACAACAATATACTTCTGTGGGCAAAAAGCAAGGTGGATTTTCAATTTAAACTTCGCGGGCTTAACAATTCGGACTAGTTCTTTTTTTCTTGAGTTCGCAGGACATTATCAGTAATATATTTACGCTTATATTTTCGGACTGTTTGGCATGTTTCGAGGATTTGAAAAAAAGTTGGCATAAGTCTTTTATATTAAAATAAAAACAACCGGAATCAAAAAAGCAATAATTTAAAAATGAATTTTCGTGCCTAACAAAATGGGAACATGACTGGTATCCACCTCCTTTTCAAAAATCAATAATAATAACATATTAAATAAATGAAAATGAAAATAACAACCTAATTAAAATCAGTTGGAATCATATAGTTGCCTAAATATCTAACCCAAATTTATTAAAATTGAAAGGAATATTTTTTATGACCAATAATTGACTTTTTTTTTTTTTTTTTTTTGGGACCTCACTTATACAGGGTGCGCCTTCTATATATAACCCATGTGATTCTCTAATAACATTTTTTAGGAAAACATATTTAAATTTTTTTATCATAGGCATTTATTTTTTATATACAAGGGGATAAATATTAACTACTTCTTAACTATTATTTGTCTCAAATGCTCGCCTTTTCAAAATGGTTTATTATTTAATTTATTATTTAAATTAATTATTTGTAGTGTTTTTTGCAAGAACACTTTTGATTTTATTTTTTTATACGAAACACACGTTGAGTAGCCTCTATTAGAAGAAAAGACTTATCAACCATGGCATAACGTTTGTCAATTTGACAATGTATGTCAAAGTTATCCAGAGTTTACATGGGTCACATGTAGATGACCCAGCCTGTAGAAGGCCCAGCCTGTGAATGGCCCACCCTGTACAGTCACACACAGTTGCATTATTTAACACGACTCTCTCTCTCTCTCTTCAAAACGGGAGAGAGCGAGAGAAAAAGAGAGAAAAAGAGAGAGGGAGAGAGAGCTGGGAAGTACAGTCAGACGGGAACACAAAATGAAAATGTGTATGTAGCAGTCGCTGCTATGTGTGTTCTATACGTACATATATGCTGTGGGGTATGTATCGATGTGTTTGCATTGATGCATATCGTTTTTGTAGAATTCGTATGGCCAGCTACGTACATACGTATGTACGTATGCACAAATATGGGATGCAAACAGATGTACAAACATGAGTGCACAGATAAAAATAAAATAAGTTTAAAATAAAATTCGCATTTTCTCTTTGTAAAAACTATTTAGACATGTATAAACACATGCATACATACAACTTTGTTTTTTTCCCCACACGCCTTGGCTTATACGTATGTACGCTTGCCCATTGGAGGGGTGAGGTGCGCGGCATTAATGTACATACCCGTAGCCGTATGTATGCAGGAAAGTAACAAGCCAAAAAATTTATAAGGTCTTTTCCCTCCACCACGTGTATGTACATATGTATGTATCCTCCGCCCCAGCTAAAGAGCGTACACAGTACAGTAAGCCAAGCGCTCTCTCCAGCTGACCCTCTCCCCGGCGCTCGCGCTCTCACTCCCATTCCCCGCTCTCCCTGCCGAAACACATACACACAGTGCGGCTGCAAAATCGTTCGGGTTCAGTCCGTTAACGTTCGGGCGGTTCTCTCGCGTTTCGTACTCTTGGATTATTGGTTTAACCTTTAAGCAAACGTTGTCTCCTGTTTACCAATTTGGAAAAACGTTGTCCTAAGTATCTGTTGACCAGCTTAAAAAAGAGCCTTCAGTGGTCGGAAAAGACTGCCAAATCTTTCGGTACAGCTTCATTCTGTTAACGGTCGGTTGCTTCTCACATATTATCATATGAAAAGCCATTTTTAGCCTTATGCACCGCATAAGGGTTAGACAGCACATTCTATTGCTGTTTCCTTCGCACTTACTAGAACACACCGTTTCACTCGCACTCATTGGGGTGATTGTTAATGGACTGACGAAGCCGACCAGACTAAAACCCTGTACTTACTCTACCATGGCGCATACAACGCATACAGAAGTTTCGTTGGTTTTTGAAGCAGAAAGGCAGAGACGGCGTTCAATTCAATAGCCTTTGCATTCGTTGTTGGTACTCTCTGTGTGTGTTTTCAATCAGGCGAGCGGCGCGCGAACCAACCTCATATATTTTCCGCATTGATACGATACCAACAAAACACGGCGATACGATACAATAAAGGCGGCGTATGCAGCGCTGTTTGTTTATTTTTTACAAGCTAAAAACAAACGACAAAACAAATCAGCTAGACGCCCGCGTTAGCTGCAAGAACAACAACAAAAAAGAAACTGAGAAAAACACGCGTTTCGCGTACCGTGCGTTGTGAATTTTGAAAATTCGAATTAGCGTGTGTCGTACACTATCGTACATACATACACACATACACACACGATACGGTACATACGTGCAATAATCAATACAATACATCGTACAACAAACTGCGTAGAACAGTATTAAAACTGGCTTAAGACATTTGCGTTGGTGTGGTGTGCGGTGCGTTAATACATACATATACATATATATGTATATATAAATATAGAATTGTGCAAAAAGTTACTATTTAGTAGTGGCAGTGGAAAATCGCATAAAACGGTGAACTCAGTACAGCAAATTCGCCATTAAAACCATTCGGACTTGATCCGATATCTCACAGTTATGGAACACTTTCATCAAATACAGGTAAGCTGGCGTGCAGGTATACGGCGTTTTATTTAAATCACCAACACAGACACACTCATACACATTCTCACGGCCGCGGTGTGGTATGGGTTGCCGCGTTTTCTAACTAACTTAAACATTTCCCGCCAAATATACGCGTATTAATTAATAAAAGCCGATGCTTGTATTAGCACAAAAGACGCTTAAACAATAGCAGGGACATTTCGGCACCTGATTGGATTCCTTTCCACAGTGGAAACTTTTTAAATGCTCTCTCCGGCGTACATGATGAATACATACGTACATACACCATGTATGTATGTTTAGGCGTTTGTATTTTCATCATGTGTCGCATTGTTTTTAGGTAATAAGTAGTAACTAATGCAATAAGAGAACGCTGTATGTATGCACATACAAACGAAAACGACGCTGTACAATCAAAATTGTATTTTGCGTGCGCATCCAAGTCCGCCATTTTCCTTATTAGTTTGTATAAATATACAAATATATTTATACCAGAATGGCAAACACTTGGCTGTAAATGTTGTTGCATTTGTTTTTGTTAAATATGCTACCAAAAGCAGCCGTATTGCGATGAACGCATGTTTGTTTGTATATATGTATGTATGCATATGTGAAAACCTGAATATGAACACCAAATCACAGCTTGCGTAATCCGAAATTGGCTATATTTTTTAGCCATGTGTGCATAAATTCATTTGTACATATGTAAATACATTTGTTTGTATGTACGTGCAAATACATACTTAGCTATGCAAATATTTATGTGTATGTATGCTTATTCTTTACGTACATATGTACATAAAATTGCAATATACATGTGTACACATATTTTTTCGTTGAGTTGGGCGGGGGAAAACCCTTATACAGGGAAATTATTTTTGTTTTGCTTGTGAACTTAAAGTGTCTTTACTAAGGCGTAGAAAAACAGATATTTTAGGCTTTTTAGATTGCCTTGAAAATTGCGACATGCCATTCACCAAACGACCATTCATGATTTTTAGTTCTGACTCCCTGGTTTCGCAACCTAGAAGCCCTGGTTCAGAATCGACATAAAGATAATCCAATCTGATTCACAAAACGGAACCAGTGCGCGACTCCTTCTTCTTCTTCTTTCCCCACCAACAATTCCCATTTTCATGCCCGATTCATGTAAAAGCTTTTATCTCGGCGTCAAACAGCTGGTGGGAATTCTTAATTTGTAAACAAATCAAGAAAGAACGCCAAGTTCGAGGGCATTGATAGTGAGGTACACAATTAGACAGTACGCATGCTTTGTTTTTGTAGCTATACATATGTTTACTTCCTCCTGGAAATGTTCAATTAATTGTTTTAAAATGGTTTGTTTTTATTAGTATTTGTACATGTATAGAGATTATCTACATCTTTATTTACACGACATATAAAATAAAAAGGATAACGCCCTAATCCAACTCAGGCTTAAATTGCTTAAGGTTGTAATTCGTTGCGGTGGGGAGTTATAACATTTGGAATTTAATAATGTAAAATTGCAGATGAAGGCATAAAATATTCTGATTAAATATTTTCATATCGATTTTGTGTTTGTAAAAATATCTGTTAGATAAACGGTGCTTTTTACACCCTAGCTATAAAACGGGTAAGCAGACCTTGAACTTGAATCTGAAGAATAGGGACAATACGTTTGGTTAATTCTACATATACTATTATTTTATAATAGCTTAGTGATTACGTTCATGCAACGAATATGTATTCATTGCGGCATTTACTAACTCACAACAAACACCAAACACTATCATAAATGTTAAGCACTGTCTTAGCGGTTAGTGCGATGCCAGACAAGGCTTTACCAGCCAAGGCACACAGAAAGATAGAAAGTAGCTTAGCGACTCAAGCAAGCTGGCATCGCACTAATAATGCTAATGAAACATCACCCCCATCGAACATGAACCAACTATTGATCAGCAAACACTTCAACAATATCAGCAGCAACTGGCTGCTCAGCAACAACAACAAGTACAACAGCAACAGTTGCAACAGCACCAAGTGGTGGTGCAGCAGAATCAGCAGCAGGCGCATCAGAACAGCTCGAACACCACGGCGGGCACCCAGCAGCTGTTCACATACAAAATGGCCAGCAGTTTCCCCAATCCGGCCACGACAATGGCCCAGGTGGTGGCCACATCTAACGCCGCCGGCACCACAGGCTACGATTATCGCCTAAATATGGCCCAGGCAGCGGCAGCGGCCGCCGTTCCCGCCTCACAGTGGTGGTACTCGGCCGCCAATCAGGGCCAAGTCGATGCCAATACGGCGGCGCAACTGCAGCACCAGCAGCAACATCAGCAGCAGCAACAGCAGCAGCAGCAGCAACAGCACCAGCAGCAACAACAGATGCAACAGCAGCAACAGCAACAGAATGTCATCAACTCGGCTGGGGTAATCTATCTATTATTTTCGTTTTCTAAATTGAAAAGTTTCTAATTTTACTCGATTTATTTACCCCTTATTTAGAGCCCAATGATCCGAGGCAAGGCAGATGCCAAGCCCAGAGGCCGAATGACCGCCTACGCATACTTTGTACAAACTTGCAGAGAGGAGCACAAAAAGAAGCACCCCGATGAGACGGTGATATTCGCAGAGTTCTCACGGAAGTGCGCCGAAAGGTGGAAGGTGGGTAGACCAAATGGAAATGGAATGCCTGCCAGCAAAGTGCCTTATTTAATAACCAATATTCCCATTTATTCTCATCCTCAGACAATGGTGGACAAGGAGAAGAAGCGTTTCCATGAGATGGCCGAGAAGGACAAGCAGCGATATGAGGCCGAAATGCAAAACTATGTGCCGCCCAAGGGAGCGGTGGTGGGTCGCGGCAAGAAGAGGAAACAGATCAAGGACCCCAATGCCCCAAAACGTTCATTGTGAGTTCGTAGCAAAGTCAATTATATCCTACTCATTCGTTTCACAGTAGTGACTGTCAAACTTCCAAGCAATTGACAAGCAATAATTAATTACGTCTTTGTTGTTTTTATTTCTTTGGTAGATCTGCGTTCTTCTGGTTTTGCAACGATGAAAGAAATAAGGTGAAGGCTCTCAATCCCGAGTTCGGAGTCGGCGATATTGCCAAGGAGCTGGGACGAAAGTGGTCGGATGTGGATCCCGAGGTCAAGCAGAAGTACGAGTCGATGGCAGAGCGAGACAAGGCTCGATATGAACGGGTAAGTTTGCTCAAACAGAGCCTCCTCTTGCTTTGGCTCGATTACTTATATATATATCCTTCTTTGTATATTGTTTTCAGGAAATGACCGAGTACAAGACGAGCGGGAAGATAGCCATGTCCGCACCGTCGATGCAGGCGTCCATGCAGGCGCAGGCACAGAAAGCCGCGTTACTTGCCGCCGCTGCCCAGCAGCAACACCAGCAGCTGGAAGAGCAGCACGACGACGACGATGGCGATGGAGATGATGACGAAAACCAATAGGTTTAGCAGTAAATACTCTTCACTATTAATACACACGGTCGTTGTCACGATGGAGGAAAAGAAATGAAACATGATAGCGTTGGTCGATCTATTATCAGGTTGGCCGATGTGTGTTGAATATATATTTATATATATAAGGGTGTTCCGTTTTAGAGGTTCCGCTCTCCGGCAACAAATAGTTTTCACAGATTTAATTAGATTTATAAGCATTCGTGTTTTGATTAAATGGACTATCAATCATGGTGAAATGGTTTGAGGTTTTTTAAGAAGCAGTAAGGACCCGAAAATGTATTTTTTTTTTTCGCATAAAACTCGTGTGGATCTCGAGAGGACTTCTTTTTATCCGGGATAAAGGGATTGTTTTTCAAGTCTCTCGGAGATATTTTTCCAAGTCCGGCTAAAAATCCAAGTATCCGCGAAATCTCTTGAACTTTCAGAAGAGTAGTAGGCTATGAAAACATTGTTCCTAATTTTTTAAGAAAATGTATTCCGAAACAGCATGAAATTTCCAGAGATTATGTGTAACTTGTCGATTTTTCAGGCGATTCGTTGAAGACGAAATCTCTACAGACTTCTGTGATTGGAAAAACCAAAGCACAAATTGTTCTATTTTTTTGTGTGGATTTGAGCGTTATCGGGGAATGGAACCTCTAAAAAACATCTATTATATATATGTAAATGCATATATATAAATAATATATAATTTTTTTTTTTAACATAAGTAATCAAATTTCCATGAATTATGAAGATAAATCACAAAGAAACCTTTTATAAGTTTTACGTTAAGATGAATACGATTAAGTATGGTTAGATTAAAATGACATCCATCTGTCTGCGAACCTTATTTGTGCTTCAGTACTAAGTTTCTCCTAAAGTAATAAGAAGAATTATTTTATAAATTGAAGAAATTCCTCATGATGTCATTTCGTTCTCAGCAAATGAAGGTTACCATTACATTTATAAATATTGGTACATATTTCCCATTTATTAAAGTTAGATCCACCATAATGAAAATACAATTAATGCGTTCGAGTTTATATGTCCCCAGCAAAAAGCAAACAACACAATGAAACGTGATAATGTCAAATACTTAACTCAGTGGCGGGTGATATCTCGATCTATTTGCTTTTGCCTCTCGAAAATCAATATTCGATTCGATTCCAGTTCATTTCAGTTTTCAGTTTTTTTTTTAAGATTTCATTTACGGATCTTCTACAGTAACGATCCCTGGACAAATTTGGGTTTGTGTTCATTTGTAAATATATACATCAATAATAATAGCCACGATCATAAGATAATGAAAGTTGATATTAGGTTGTTCAGCGTTGTGTGGAGATGAATAACCAAAACGATATCGGACATTGCAACAATTGTTGACTTGGCCATTGTAAATACTATTTGAAGTATTATTTAGATGAGACTACGTAGAAATTAAAGAGAATCGAGAGCAAATTAAAAAATACAAGCATAATAATAGAGTAGACTTCGGTGGGACTGCAGAGTAATGTAAATTACGTAGAAAGTTTATAAGGGCGAAGTGAAAACTAGTTTTTACCTCGGCCCCAAAACCCGAAATGTTCCAGGCACAGAAAACGTGCTTAAGCGGATATAAAGAGAAACGTGCTTCTGTCCAAAAAAAAAAAAAAGAAGAAATTGTTTGCTAATATCAACATCTTCAAAGATCGGTTGGAAGCATGTTCTTCTTTATATAGCGCCTGTAAGCCAAGTAGCGGTAGGTTATAACGTGATAAGAGAGGAGCAGAAACTATGACTATATGGATGCGACGACGGCCAGTTAACCGAGAGACGTATATAGGATGTACCCCTAACTTCGCTCTCCCCACGTTATGAGTGCAACATATGTATATGTATGTATTTATATATTTTTAGCATGATTTTGATAGAGAATAAACTCGCCACCGAGATTATATTCATAGAAGTGTCTAGGTTAAACCATTAAATCCTAATTTTCTACAAATTTTGACGGTAACAACACCAACCCCTCAAACATAATAAATTACTATGAAAAATTCCAGTTCCCTGTGCGCTTGTTATAAGAACTAAACTATTATAAAATAAACTTTTAGAAATGAGATCTTTTTTTTTTTTTGTTCAGATGGATTTTGATGTGTTTTTCGAATTTGTCTATATTATTCTTTTTGAGTAATACTTGGTACATTTATGTTAAATCCCCATAAACAGCTTTAGCTTTTATATTTTATAGACGAGGACGACGATGACGACAACACTCGGAAGAAGAAACTCTGACCCCGAGTTCCTAAACTTAAAATGTGTGAATTACTTTAGCAATACTATAGTAGCCACTAAGAATTTGTTTTTTTTTTTCCTAAGAACTTACACAATACTGTAAAAATAGTTTGAAATAAATTAAATTTAGCTAGATGTACGCTTGTAAAGGCAAATCAGAGAAAACTTTTGTATTGCGTGTGTAGTCCAAAAGTGGCTTTCGGGTATCTAAAAAACTCGAATTATCCCAACTTTCGTTTTGTAATCAGAGGAAAGAGAGGCTCCACTTTCTAAATCCAAGCAGAGCTTTATTGGCATTGGTGTCCTGTAGAAATGCGGGCTATTTTTATTTGAATGAGTTGCTTTTAAATAATCTGGGAATTTATTCGAATTGAAAAGCTGGGTCTTTATTGATTCTGTTTAAAATGGAGCGCTGTAAATTCGGGGTCACCGATGTATATGTGCAGAATATATTTAATCTTGTAACGCTTAAAGTAGGATTAGCTGTAGATAATCAGAGAAAAACCATAATTGGCCTAGGAAATATGCAGAGTTACTTATAATTTGTAAACATTTTTGAAATACAATAACAATAAAATAAGAAGAGTTTGTTTCGTTTTGAGGTGTAAGAAGCAGGGTCGTGTAAAATATAACTGAAACAAGATATATCTAAGAACACAAGGTAAGTTGAAGTTGTCATTTATCTTACTTTTTATTTTTAAATAAAAAGTTCGTAATTCGATGAGAGTCGAATTCTTCACTTAAATGTAGAATGAAATAAGTTTCTTTTTAAAGTATAACAATTTCTAAAGCTATGGACAAAAATTACATAACCTTATTATTTATTTTGGGATTTTATTTAATTTAAGGATGGCACATTTCATTGAATTTTAAAGTTTACGAATATTCTAAAAGTTAAGCTAACTGTAAAAGCTTGCGGAGTACCCCACACGATTTCTCTTGGCTTACTAGTATTTTGGCAGCCACGCAATCCGGCCACACTGGCGGAATCCCAGCAGCTGGCTTATCTTATCTGTTTCTCTTGTGTTTTTTGGGTACATTTCGAATATTGCACTGTTAAACTCGGTTTTTCGATCGCCCCCAACTGTGCGTTCACTTTGTGGAAGAGGGAGCAGTTGATCTGCGAACAGATCCGCACGCTGGAACCCATCGATTGCATGCCCTGCAAGGAACAACCTGTGGCTGGAGAGGATTGGTCGGGATTCAAGGGGACACGATGAGCTGCTTTAGTGCGATGAGTGCCCCGCTGCTGGGCGAAATGGAGCAGACGATCGGGATGCTAGAGCGCGGTACCATAGTGACAAAACTATATGGTAAACAGCGGAGACCCGATCGCCGCCACCTGATGCTCATACGGGAGACGCGTCAGCTTTTGTGGGCCACGGTGGCGACGCAAACGCCGCGAACGGACTACGAGGGTGCCATCCAGCTGCGGGAGATCCGGGAGATTCGCGTGGGCAAGCACTCCAAGGAGTTTCGCCTCTTTGCCGACGAGTGCCAGCGTTTCGAGTCGAGCAAATGCTTTGTCATCCTGCACGGCAACCACTTCAAGCTGAAGAGCTTCTCGGTGGTGGCTCTCTCGGAGATCGAGGCTGATAACTGGGTGCGGGGATTGCGCTATATGGTTAAGGATACGCTGGGTGCACCCTATCCCCTGCAAATCGATCGCTGGCTGCGGCGGGAATACTACCAAATCGAGAATGTCAACTCGCATTCGGCCAAGGCCACGGAACAGTCGCCGGCGCAGGTCACGATCAAGGATTTCAAGCTATTCCTGGCCAGCGTTAGCTGCAAATTGACCACCAGCAACCTAATGGAGCACTTCACCGAGGATGTGCGACGCAAGAATGATCTGAAGTTCGATGATTTCTCGAGGTTCTACCAAAAGTTGCTGCTACCCCCAGGATTTGCGAGCATTTTGTGCGGTGGATCGGGAAGTGGCTTCCCCTATTCAGAGGATCAGCAGGTGGTGCGACCGGCGGAACTGAAGAAGTTCCTCGAAACGGAACAGCGGGACGTTAACACCACCGAGATAAGTAGCTCTGCAATAGCCTCGTTTATACGGGATTTCGTGCAGGATGTGGAGCGGGATGTGCAGGAACCGTATTTGACCTTCTCGGAGTTCGTGGACTTTCTGTTCTCCAAGCAGAACGACCTGTGGAACAGCAAGTACGATTCGGTGTTTATGGACATGAACATGCCGCTCTCCTCCTACTGGATCGCCTCGTCGCACAATACCTACCTAACCGGCGATCAGTTCTCCAGCGAATCCTCCTGCGAGGCCTACGCTCGTGCCCTCCACATGGGCTGTCGCTGCATCGAGCTGGACTGCTGGAATGGCCCCGATAACCTGCCCTACATCTTCCACGGCCACACGATGACCTCCAAGATCAAGTTCATGGATGTGATCAAGACGATTAAGGATCACGCCTTCACCACCTCCGAGTATCCGGTGATATTGTCCATCGAGCAGAACTGCTCCTTGGAGCAGCAGCGCAACATGGCGCAGGCCTTGATCGAGGTGAGCTGACCTAATCACGTCTATAAATAGCCGTCGTTTATTTATTGCACACAAACTGAGTTCTGCACGAATGCCTTCATAAGGTTATGCCAAGCAATCACCCAAGGCATGAATAAATCTCTAGACGCACGCCACGAATTCTTGGTGAACGCTTCTCTGTGCTCTAGTTGCTAGGTATTTGCAAAATGCGTTTGCATTTCGATAAGAAATGTTTTAGGTTTCTGGTTTTATTTGCATGTTGAGGGAATGCACGAAATAATTTTATAATAATTTTCAATAATCTTCAAACTTATATCAAAAACTTTATGCACTTGCAAAAGAATACCTTTTATTATGATTCCTGTAATTTGATTTCCAGGTATTTGGGGACATGCTGCTCTCGCAACCTTGCGACCGAAACGAGCAGCATTTGCCCTCGCCTTATCAGCTTCGTCGCAAGATAATCCTGAAGCACAAGAAGCTGCCGCAGTTCGATGATATCAGCAATGGGATTCCCGCCACGGGGTCACTGGGTCACAGATCTTCTTCGCTGGGCAGCGGAGGCGGTGGCGGTGGCGGTGGAGCTATCGGGGAAACCGACAGCGAGAACATGCGCAAGGTGTTCAAGGAGGGGTTGCTGTACTTCAAGGATCCCGTCGACAAGACCTGGAATCTTTACCAGTTCGTGCTCACGCAACAGGAGCTGATCTACTCCTCCGAAATCAACGAGTCGCGCAACGGAAACTCCGAGGACGATGACTTTGGGTTATCCTCCTCTTGCTCCCTGAACAGCAACATGCAGCAAAAGCAAAAGGACACGTCGGCCAACGATGAGCTGCACTTCGGCGAGAATTGGTTCCATGGGAAATTAGAAGGTGTGTTCTGAGTTTGGAGTGTAACAAAATGGATCTAATGTGAATGCTTTTGCAATTATAGGTGGCAGAAACGAAGCAGATGAGCTACTGAAGCAGTACAAACATTTTGGCGACGGGACATTTTTGGTACGCGAATCGGCAACGTTTGTGGGTGACTATAGTCTGTCGTTTTGGCGCCGAAATCGACCCAATCACTGTCGCATTAAACTGAAGCATGAGAGCGGCTCGATTAAATACTATTTGGTGGAGAATTTCGTGTTCGACTCGCTTTACTCGCTGATCGTTTACTATCGCAAGAACATGCTGCGCAGCTCGGAGTTCTCGATAATACTGAAGGAGCCGGTGCCGCAGCCAAAGAAGCACGAGGATCAGGAGTGGTTCCATCCGAACACCACCAAGGAGCAGGCCGAGCAGGGACTGTATCGCCTGGAAATCGGCTCGTTTCTTGTCCGGCCGTCGGTGCAGAGCATCAATGCGTTCGTCATCTCGTTCACGATCAACAGGAAGATCAAGCACTGCCGCATTATGCAGGAGGGTCGTCTCTTCGGCATCGACACAATGAACTTTGAGTCCTTGGTCTCGCTGATCAACTACTACACCCGCAATCCGCTCTACCGCAATGTGAAGCTCAGCCATCCCGTTTCGCAGGAGCTGCTGCGCCAGTCGCTGGCGGAGATCGCACAGGGCGATCACAGTGGCGGCCACGACGACAATGGGGCCTCCAACTACATGGGCTCGAACCTCGAGGAGTACGTCACCTGCAAGGCCCTCTACTGCTACAAGGCGAACAAGCCGGACGAGCTCTCCTTTCCCAAGCACGCCATCATCACGAACGTCCAGAGGGACAACTCGATGTGGTGGATCGGGGACTATGGCGGCATGATCAAGAAGCATTTCCCGGCGAACTATGTGAAGGTGCGTTCAGTAGCGTTACTGACTCCCAAAATTCACTAACCATTTTTTCAATATTTTATTGATTTTTTTTTGGTAACTTTTTTTAGGTTATTGATTCTGCCACTGAGGACTACAACTCGTTGAACGAGGAGGGAACGGACGGGCGCACCGATTCAATTGAGATATTTGGTGCCGTGGCGGCACTTTTCGAATCAAATGAGCCGGGAATCATATTCAAGCTGCAAATACAAACGCCAACGATGCAGAGTCCGTTTGTGATTGGCTGCGATAATCAGGAGACGGCATTCGAGTGGGTGAAGGCCATTCAGGATGCGGCGCGCATCGCCAGTCAGTTGGCGACGGAGCGGCGGAAAAAGGAGCGCACCGCCCGCGTCGCCAAGGAGATGTCCGACCTGATCATCTACTTCCGCAGCGTGCCGTTCCGCGAACACTCGTGGATATTCCAGGAGATGTCGAGCTTCCCGGAAACGAAGGCGGAAAAGCAATTCTTTCAGCAGAACACACAGCTATTTCTGTCCTACCATCGCAATCAGATTAGTCGGGTTTATCCGAAGGGCCAGCGACTGGACTCGTCGAACTTCAATCCGATGCCATTCTGGAATATTGGCTCGCAGATGATTGCACTGAACTATCAGACGGGCGACAAGGCAATGCAGCTGAACCAGGCCAAGTTCAGGAACAACGGAGGGTGTGGCTATATCCTGAAGCCGCCGTTCATGAAGTCCGATAGCTTTAATCCAAACAGTCCCCTGTGCGAGGGCATCAACGAGGTGAAAGTTAGCATACGTATCATTGCGGCCCGCCATCTTTTTCGGGGCGGCAAATCGAACAATCCGCAGATTGTGGTCGAAATAGTTGGCGCCAGCTACGATACGGGTGTCAAGTATCGCACCAAAGTGAACGAGAATGGCTTCAATCCCGTGTGGAACGAGTCCTGCGAGTTTACCGTGCACAATCCTCACTTCGCGATCCTCCGCTTCGAAGTCCAAGACGAGGATATGTTTGCCGAAACGCACTTTATTGCCCAAGCATGCTATCCTTTGAAATGCGTACGCCAAGGCTATCGAAGCGTTATTCTAAAGAACAAATTCAGCGAAGAACTGGAACTGTCTTCCTTACTGATCAATATTAAGATTACAAATACCACATAGACGAATTGGTGTCTGGTTGAGTGCGCATTAGGAGTGCGAGCAATTATTCCCAATTAACTAGTTAAACTGTTTCTATTGACGGTAGAAAGTATAAATGCGCTTGTAGTGTATTTTCAAATGTGAGCTTTCCATATCTCTAATTTTTTTTTTAACAAACTATTACCTGTTAGCTAACTAACGAACATATCTTAAACATATCAAAAGTTATGGGAATGCATACTAGTTTTCCACTAACAATCAAAATAATAAGAGAAGCCTCGTTAAACTAAAATCAAATTATTCAACTATTTAAATTGAAATTGCTTTTAAAATGTGTTTTGTATAAAACAAAGTATTACCTTTAAGCCCTAAAGAAAACAAATGCAATTTCTAGAAAACATCAGGCAGAATTAACCAATATTCCAATATTTCCAAACATTTTTCATAGCACAAATACTTAATGTCACTTCTAAACTATAGAATTCGCATTAAACTAAATTATTTTTTGCACTCTTTAGCATCTTCCACTTGTTTAACAAATACGAATTATGAAATAATTTTACTTAGGAAATGCCAAACAAAACAAAACCAACGATGATTTACAACAATTGTCCTTTTCCAAGTGCTTAAAAGTGCCTTAAAAATTAAAAAAAAAAAGAAAATCTAGAAAATTATGAAACGTGAAAAGGTGATGAATTCCTTTTTAAAGAATCATTTCCAAAAATTTATTTTTCGAAACTGATTTAGTTTTAACAAAGAATATTGAAGTCGCGGTTTTTAAAGATTTTCGAATTTCTTTATGTTTAGGACGACATCGAAAGATGTAATTTAAGAAATCGTATCTTTTTAATCTCGACTCTCCCAAGATCTACAAACTCTCAGCTAACCTAACAAGTTTATTTATGCATTTGGTAGTTTAAATATATAACTTAGGAAACATTATGAAGTCCGATAAAAATCATCGGTCGTTTAAAAAAAAGGAAAGTAAATTCCCCGAGGTATTTACAACCTGAAAACGATTTGCATTTCATTCGAATGCCCGCTTAAAATATCGAACGCTATTCCATATGCGCTTTCATACATTTTTCATGCATTTGCATTTAATTATATGATCAACATTCTAAAGCCTTTCACCTTAAAACTATTGGACAGCCAATGATTTTTTTAATATGTATGTGTGTACCCAAAATGTATTTAAGTCGTACGTTCCGTTTTGAAGTGTATCTGTATATCCAATATATTTTTTTAATAATTCTTTAAATGCTATATATTATCAGTAAGCACACAAGATGTCAACAAACGTATTTACATTATTTAATGCCAAATAAATATTTACCGGCGTTAGCTGTCTGTATATTATACTGTTTTATTTTTGGGTTTACTGTCACCAGTTGTTGTGCTATCTCTATAACTTTTGTACAGTTAACCCCATTTAGTGCACTTACTTCATTCGAGTCCATTTAAAAACAAGCGTCTATCTCTTTCTATCTGATGGTATTTTTGTAGTCAGATCGTAAATTGTTACTTTTATTGTGTGATATTTATTGGACAAACGGTGAATGTGAGAAATATGATTTGCTTGTAATTTAGAATTCGCGTCGATGGTATTTGTCAGGATCGAAATATGATGTAACGACAACGCGATCGCTGAATTTTCTTCCGGTAAGTGCCTGCTGTGCCTTCTGGCAGTCGAGAACGGAGTTGAATTCGACAAAGACCTTGCCGCATCCTGGCACTTCAACGCCCTCGATAGGTCGCGGGATTTCAACGCTTCGCACGACTCCATACTTTGTGCACTCCTCCTTGATGTCCTCCAATATATCCTCGTACTCCTCTTCGTCCCGCAGTTCGTCGGGCGTTACCATATTGAGCAAGCAGAGCACCTCTGTCGGCGGTCCAGAGGTCACCACGTTTGACAGGCCCGGCACTTGCAGCATTACCGACTGCGTGGTGTTGGCCGCGTTCTGGGCATTCTTCGCGCCCACACTGGCCCGCTGAACAATCAGTTTCTTGTCGCCCAGCTGCATTCCATTCAGGCCAGCAATTGACTTTGAGTTATCAGCGAAAACAAGATAAAGAGGGCAATTAGAACCATGTTTTGGAAAGTTTTTGATAATCGAATTATCATAGTATTGTAATACTTCCTATAAGTTTCTTACCTGATCTGTGATGCTTAGATCCACATATTCACAGAACGCATAGCCTTTACTCAATCCAGTAGCGGCATCTTTTACAAGGTTAAATGCTCGTAGTTTGCCGAAAGACAAAAGCAGTTCCTTAACCTGGAAAACAAACATTAAGAAATGTAGAAAACAATGCATGAATGCTTTATCGTCGCATCAACCAACCTGATCGTCATTTAAATAGTTTGGCAGACCTCCAATAAAGATTTTGTGAGGCGAGTCCGGAACCACTGTTGAAATAACTCCACTAGATACTGTAAAATAGAACCATTGATAATCGGATGACTTGAATAAACAATGCACGTATAAAGCTTACCAACAGCGGGCTTGATGGCCGGCGTATCTGTAATACCAGGCATCGGTTGGTAATCATGCGGACGCCTGATCTTCAAGCTCTGCCCCTTCAAATTGATGCCATCGAATGCCATTGCCTGGGTGGTCTCGTCTATTGATCGGAACTCGAGGAAAGCAAAGTTTTTGTCCAAATTAATTTGGCAGGCCAAGACGGGACTGCCGGCCGCCTGGGCAAGGCCAACTAAATGCATCTGTTGGTTGAAGAACTCCATCATCTCCTCCTCGGTGACGCCAAACGGAATGTTGCCGACATACAGGCGACGCGCCTGGCGGGTGATTGTCGATCCGACCACGGGCACCGCCGTCTGCGGCGTATCCGGCACAACGCTGGCCGGGATTTGTCCGGACGCCTGCATGGCTTTGTACTGCATTGGGGTGATGTGCTCGAATCCCGGTGGCGGTACATCCCAATAGAGCGATGGCTTGCGCCGCGAATTGCGATGATGGCGGCGATCCCTGGAACGATCGCGATGGCGGTCGCGGGAACGGGAACGATGTCGGCGTCTTTCCCGATCACGTTCACGATCTGTACGGAATATACAAAAGGTAAACATATTACTTTTAAATAAGAAATCCAAATTAACTTGACATGATGCACGCATCTATGCGCAGATGTACAATCGCGAGTGTGCATTAAACCAATAAATGCTTGCTTGTATCTATTTTCGCTGACAGAGTACCAAGTCCTCTTGAAAACAACCAACTGTTTATTGTTAAACTTCAATCACAATCAAATGTACCAGATTTAATGAAAATATGTAATAGCAAAACTAGTTAACTTAAGCAAGAGCTGTGTACATATATTTATGTAGATATGTATGTATGTCAATAATGTAAACCGCCCGCAGGTTTACCACAACCGGTCAAAAACAAAAGCATTTATATTTACATTTAATTCATATTTAGTAATAAAAAAAACTTTATCATAGTTAAAAGAGAAGCTTAGTAGCATCTGCTGCAATCTGGTAAAACTTTTTTAACTTCTTTACTTAATATTATACAGTGCTATGTATGTATACACATACATCTATTTATGCATACTTCGGCATCTTGATTATTCACAGCACGCCATCGATTTGCACTTAATATCAAACTTACCATCATATCCCATTGTTTTTAATTTAAATAAATATTTATGTCTTTAAACGAAAACAATTTTGTCTATATAAAATGCCAATGAAAAATGTATCCCTTTATTGCGTGTATTAATACAGAAATTTGCGAAACGATATAAAACAGAACACGTGAAAACTGAAGAACTATGGAATGGAACGCACTACTATCGGTTGCATAGTTGCAATTTTTGAAGTTATCGTTTAAACATTTATCGACATGCGGTTATTAGTAAGGTGGTTAAATAAAAAACTAATTAGTAATCTAATTTTAATATAAATTTCAACTTCATATTTCATTTCAATTTCTAAAAACACTTTAAATATAAGAGTGAAACATTTTTTTACATTGAAAGGTAATTTAATGTAAATAAATTTTCAGTCGTCACAGCTTGTGACGTCACAACGAATGACACACCTTCCCAGTCATGCACGGTTTGTTTTGTTTTGATTGATTAAAAATAATACCGGTGTTTTTGTGATTACAACGACTATGAGCATAAAGATATATTTACCGTACAGCTACTTTTATCTTAAGAAGCCCACAAATTTGTATGGGCAAGTGCAAATTAATGAAGACAATGTCGTAGCGTATTACATCCTGCAAGCTTCGGAACTGGAGTTTCGGGACAGGGCCATTAATCATGTATCAAGCAATATGCAGTTTTTGGGCTCTATCCTTAACGAGGACTTTAATGCCGATCAAAACCAATATCTTAAGTTTAATATGAGGCTGTGCTTTACATACAATAGCAGTCAAGCGAATATAACTTTGGTTTACATTGGAATAACACCAGAATATCTTAAACATATAAAACTTATTCTTTATGACAAGCAAATGATACGAAATTTGTTTGTTAATGGGAAATCTGCAAATAACCAACCTGTGGAATATAACGATAGCATCAATTGTGATTTTCTCGAGCTATCCAGATTGGCACAACCAGCAGCTGAAACTCAGAAGCCAAAGAACAAGGCCAAACAAAATGTCGCTTGTGTGTTAAATATTATTGCCGACTCTCCAATTACAATATTCAAATATATTGTTGAAAATGTATTCATTAATAGCATAATGGTTCATACCACTATTTATAAGCACTTTAAGGAATGGCAGACAGCTTGTGATAAACGGTAATGGCTCTTAAATACTATTTTTTCTTTGTTATTTGACATTATTTCTTCACTTTGACAGATCTCGCCCGGCTAACATTGCACTTGATAGAATATTGGGAATGGTTTTAATGGCAATCCTTTTTTCCCTAGCAACGCGGCCAGGGGATTTTGTGATACAAATATCCCACGTAAGTCTGCCATTACATATATGTAAAACGATATATTATTTTATTCTCCCCCTGTTATTAGTATATTATAGACAAATTATTTAGCCTATTGAAAGTACTGGAGGGAAGTCCCATTGGTCTAAAGCTGAATATACATTTAAATAATTTCTTTCTCGACTGCTTTAAATATCATATAGAGTTGTGGTCCACATTTTTGGGTAAGAATTTAAAAACTTCAGATTTATTAAAGTATAAAGGCGTTTTCTAATTTCTTTTTTATAGATTTTATCGAACCGTTAGTCCGGCAAGTGTTTTTAGCCATTGGAGTATTTGGTTGTTTGGGCCTTACATTCCAAATAGCGCTTTTAGTGGATTTAATATCCATAATTGGACTACACTCCCATTGCTTCTATATTTATACAAAAGTGTAAGTTCCTTAAAAACATTTTAACAATTTTATACGCATATTGGAAATGATATGTAATGATTCTTATAGGCTCTATAATGTCGAAAGAAAAGGTCTGGCGGTTTTATGGCAAGTTGTGCGAGGCAACCGTTACAATGTTTTAAAAGGCAAGATTATAACTAATAACTAGAGTTGCCGCGAATATTCGGCAAGTATTCGGTATTCGGCCTATTCGGCCACTTTTTTTGGTATTCGGCATTTGGCCGAATAATAGGTACTATTCGGCCGAATGCCGAATAGTGCCAAATCATGAAAAAAACACATCACTTTTATCAAAACTTTTTTTATTATTTAATTAAAATATGTCAATAAGTAAAATTAATTAGCGGTAAGTTGTGATGAACGAACACCAGTTTTTCTGCATTTGTCGGTAGTAACCGATTTCGCTTTTCATCGTAAATAAAACCTGCTTCGGAAAACAACCTCTCACTATAGACGCTACTCCCGGGAGAGGAAAGATAAATTTTGGCAAATTTCGCGAGGATTGGGTATTGTTTTTCATTTGCTGACCACCACTTATAAGGATCAGCTTTCCGATCTAGGCGAATTGATTTCAAATAAAAATCTATTTCATTTGCCACAGCATTCCTTTCCACTTTCTCCTCATGATAAGTGTTAGGTACTATTTCGCCTCAAAGCAGTTCCAAAAACTGTCATGTATTTCAAACCGCTTATCATTTTCGTTCAAATCCCTTTTCTTACGAGGTGGAGAAGAATCGTCATCTGTACTACTATTCTCATCATCATTACAAGCTTATAATAAGCTAAACTGGCAACAATGTAGCATGTACTTTGTGCCGAATATTCGGCGCTTCGGCTTACAGCATGGCCGAACATTCGGTATTCGGTATTCGGCAAAATCACTATTCGCGGCAACTCTACTAATAACTAAGTCATTTAATTTTAAAAATGTTTTTACTTTTGCTTGCAGGTCGCATAGAGTCTCATAATTATATGAATCGACAATTATATCTTGCAACAATTTTTTTCTCCGCTATTTTGTTTTTATTTCCTACAACCCTTGTATATTACATCGTGTTTGCCGCTGTAAGTTTGAGCATAAAAATATAGAAATTTCTATTGACATTCAAATTCTTTAAGTTAAAGGCGCTGACTTTTGCAACTCTTAGCATATTTGAGTTTTTTCGAAGAAAACTTTTGTATCTACCGATTGAGGGGTGCATAAAACGGTTAACGAAAGGGTGTTATGAAATAGGTAAATACGTGCTTAATTGTGACAAAATTTTATAAGATAATACATTTTTTGAAAATCATTTATTTATTTTTCAGATTGTCTTCAAATCAAGGATGTTTTACCGCATGAAAAGATTTTTCTAATACATAAACATCAACAAATCGACGTGACAGTATATAAAATTCAAACACAAACCGAGCCAAATCTTTAATGTATAATAAAAATTTAAAAAAAAAAAACAGTGTATTTAATAAATATATAAAATAACATTTTTAAGCACCAGATATTATCTGTTTTTTTTTTTATGGATAGCAATATTTATTTGTTCCATTTCACGTGGTTCAAAGTCAAAAAGATGCCGCATTCTCTGCTTGCATTCGTGTTATCGTTTCATTTGCCTTATTCCTGTTGTTTTCACTCCATAAAAGTTCGGTTTTCAGGACGGTTGTCTAAACGAGTTATTAAAACAGTTTTCAAAAAAAAAAAAGGATTTTTAAAATGGAAGGAGCCGCTAAAACAGATAATGCCAATACCAGCGGGCCTGCGGCTCAGCGCCAGCAACGGGGAAATCAACCAAATAAAAATATCGGGAAGCATAATGCCCAAAAGCAAAATGACTCTTCCGAAGGAGGTCCGGCTGAGAAGAAGGCACGATTTGGCCCAAACACTCAAAATGGTGGTGCGGCGAGTGGTGGTGCTGGAGGCGGACCTAATCAAAATAAAAACTTTGGAAACAAGGGTGGCTTCGCTGGGAACCGGAATCGCAACCGCGGAGGAAATCAGAACCGTTCCAATTTCCCAGCTAATAATAATGTAAGTTTATCTTTTGGATATCCATGATTAGATTATTGATCGGGTAATTGGTCCAATTACTCTCTATTTGGCACATTTGGTGGTACAGTTATACATACAAACACCTGTGAATAATATAATTGGGACTCGTCTTTGTTGCCATTGAACGCATACATACAATGCTACAACTGATTACTGTTGCAAATTTATTTATGTATTTGGCCAGTTTCTTAACATTCATGTGTACATACATTATTACATGTGTGCATTTGATCCCAAATATACACAATTAACAGTAGCCAAATACGCAAGTGCATATGTGTATGTACATATATTTATAACGTTTAAGAAAAACCCAATTTTCAACGTTTTGATTAGAAATTACATTTTAATAATCGATTTCTCATGTTAGATTTCCCATCCAGTGGTAAACGGCTTGTTGCTATATCTGATAATATAATTACTTTATCTTTTTTATTATTCATTCGGTGAACATTTATTTATTCATATGTCATAATAACGATAAAATGGTGCACCAAACTTTTTTTAAGTTTAGGTTTAACCTTTTTCCAAACATTAAGAACAAACTATAACTTCGAATTAAATATCTAGTCTTTTGTATGTTTGTGGTATTTGACAATTATTCAGGCTTGTTTCTATGTATAAAGTAAGGTAAAGGGTTTTCTATGTCCTCGAAGTTGATTTATATGTTATTTATTCACTGAGTCAATTCCTTATACTAATTAAACTAATATTATTTATAATTCTACTTACCAAAGTCGGATGCTGTCAACGTACCTGCAAAGAACAATGAATCTGGAAACCAAAACCAACCGAATCAGAATGCCAACAAGGGCCAAAATCAACGCCAAGGGCAGGATCAGGGCCAGAACAAGGATCACGGAAATCAAGGAGGTCAGGGAAATCAGGGCGGGCAAGGGAATCAAACTGGCCAAGGAAATGGACAGGGCTTCCGCGGTCGCGGTGGACCGGGTGGACCCCAGAACCAACAACAACAGCAGCAGCAACAACAACACAACCAGCAGGGGAATAGTAGAAACCGCGGCCAGCGACCCAGTGGTATTGGCCCTAATAATAATTCCAATATGGGTGGCGGCGGAGGCGGAGGTGCACGTGGCGGAGAAGACTTCTTCATTTTCCAGCGGCTGCAAAGCATCGGTGGACCCACCGTCGAACTGGAATCGATCGAATTGCCAACCGAGACCAAGTTCTCTGGCCGAAATCGCTTGTATGTGGGCAATCTTACCGGCGACATAACCGACGATGAGCTGCGCGAAATGTTCAAGCCGTTCGGCGAGATTAGTGAGATCTTCTCGAACCTCGAGAAGAACTTCACATTCCTAAAGGTCGACTATCATGTCAATGCCGAGAAGGCAAAGCGTGCCTTGGACGGTTCGATGCGAAAGGGTCGCCAACTGCGGGTTCGCTTTGCCCCGAATGCAACCATTTTGCGGGTGAGCAATCTCACACCGTTCGTTTCGAACGAGCTGCTGTACAAGTCCTTCGAGATCTTCGGACCCATCGAACGGGCCACCATTACGGTCGATGATCGTGGCAAGCACACTGGTGAAGGCATAGTGGAGTTTGCCAAAAAGTCCTCGGCTAACGCCTGTCTGCGAATTTGCAATGAGAAATGCTTTTTCCTCACGTCAACGCTGCGTCCGTGCTTCGTGGATCCCATGGAGGTGAACGACGACAATGACGGTCTGCCCGAGAAGATGCTCAAGAAGATGCCCGATTACAATAAGGAGCGAAGCATTGGTCCACGCATCGCCGATGTCAATTCGTTTGAGCACGAGTACGGTTCGCGTTGGTTGCAGCTCCACAATCTGTACAAAAGCAAGCAGGACGCCCTCAAGCGGGAGCTCAAAATGGAGAAGGACAAGCTGGAGGCCCAGATGGAGTACGCTCGCTATGAGCAGGAAACCGAACTTTTGCGTCAAGGTCAGTATTTCACTATTACATTTGATTTTCAGTAGACAAAAGCTAGCAAAACATATTAGGTTTTAAGTTGTTAACTATTTTGTCAGCTCATTTTTTATTTTCTTATTATTTTCCCAAAGGTAGTTCGAATTTGAATTTGTTTTTTTGTGGATTAAAGTATTATCTGATAAAAATATACACATGAAGAGGAACAGAGAAGTAGACTGTGATCAATTGCTATGTTAATTTATGACATGTTGGGGTACAGCACAGTTTATTTATTTATACGGAACGGAATCTTGAACACATTGTATTTTTAAATTAGGATACCCTACATTGCAACTCACTGTGTACAAAGATTGTATCATCTTAAGTGTACATAATTTCGGACAAAGTTCTTAGAGCCCCCATCAATCTCGAAAAAAAATAGAGAACCCTCTAAATGGTGGCCATTCATTCCGTTTGACAACCAAATATGTCCTTGTGTTGGTTTTACAGAGCTGAGAAAGCGCGAAGTGGACAACGAGCGCAAGAAGTTGGAGTGGGAGCTGCGCGAGAAGCAGGCGGAGGAGATACGCAAACGCGAGGAGGAGACAATGCGCCGTCATCAGGGCGAGATGCGGAACCAGGACGAGGACATGCGCCGTCGCCAGCAGGAGAACTCGCTGTTCATGCAGGCGCAGCAACTGAATTCGCTGCTGGATCAGCAGGAGGGCTTTGGCAGCGGCAACAACTCGAATTTCGACAACTTCGGGGGAAATTCGAATTCACCATTTGAAATTTTCAGAGGTACGCAATTAAATAGCTTTAACTTGCATTATTCGATTTTAATTATATATTTTCACAATAGGCAATAATAATAGCAACAACAATTCCACACAATTTGCAGGTATGTTCAAGTCCTTAATATTTTCTCATCAAGTATAACCAAACTCTGTGGTAGAACTTCTATCTATCGTTCTCGCAATAGTATTCAACCCAATACATATCATCGAGAAATGAAACGAGAATATCTCTGTTAATTAGGTCTACCTCCGAAACATTTTTTATGAGCTTAAGGGGATTCAATGATTTTAAAAGGGGGAATTAATTCTTTCTTTAAAAGATATATATATATATATATTCTTTATAACTTAAACTCCTGTAATGGAAATCATGAAGCCGGGAATGCATACCTATTAATTTATTAATACGATAGTGGGCTGCGCTTCTTCTCTTTTATATACTGGGTGTCTGATGAACATTGCTACATTAAGAAACTCAAATAACTTTTTTTAGCGTATGGAATCAATTCTTTTATTCATGCTAAATCTTATTTAATCCTTCCTGCCGATGACAAGACTTGCTTATTGCAATAACCACTCAGGAAAGCGGCAGTTGAAGCACTGTGGAGTTTATTTACGGAATGTTTTGGTTGCTGGGATATAAGAAGTTGGATCATACTTAACCACCACACAGAGTTGGTTCCGGATAGAAAACATTTTTATATGAGGACGGTGGTTACTCGTTATAAATCACATCGATATGAATAAGTGTGTTTCTGGAATATCCTTGTGGGTTGGGAACAATCATATTTTCTTCATTTGCGTTTTCGTTTATATTATAATGGATTTCGGAAGACAGAAAGAATACAATTTAACTTGTTGTCGTCTTCTTTCATCTGTTAAAACTTATTCTGGCAAAAGAGAATGTGAACCAACAAGCGTTGTGTTCAGTTTTATATAAAATGAGGTCTTACTTTTGTGCATAATTATCTGCAAGGACTTTTTGCTGTTAGCAGAAAAAGATTTTTGCAATTATGTTGACACTCTCCTTTAACTGAATCTATGGAATCCAAACGATTCACCATGTACAAAAAATCAACCAGATTACTTGAATAGAAAAAGTTATTAATTTCTTTGGTAGCTGCTTTCATCAGCCACCTTGTTATATAATATATTCTTTTTGGTAATATATATATTTCTATTTAAACTGGGATGCATTTAGGACTTTTTTGGACGGGTCTGTTATGTTTTTGTTTGAATTTTATTTTTGCCTCCTGAATTACTTTGAAAATTAATGACATTCATTTCTTCTGCGTATCTTGCTTGTAACAGAAGAGGGTAATTTATTCGTTTGGGCGATATACATTTGAATATTTTCCTTGTAAAATGTGGTGGGCCACAGACAAAACCTATATATTTAACTAAATGTGGACTCATATATAATGATAACATATTCCCCTTATTATGTTGGGCTCCACATAGTAACACTCAATTGAACAATTGTATTTCATTGCTTGATAGACTCCTTCGCTTTTGAATTTGGGGTTAACAATATGAACCAAGGCGGAAATCAGCGTGGAAATAATGGAGGAGGAAATAATGTCCCATGGGGACGCCGACGTTTTTAGACACTGGAACTTATGAGGATGACATAACGTGCTCTATGCTCGCACTCATTGAATACGTTTCACATTTGACTTTGCTCGTTAACGAGTGAATGAAATGAACTAGGATAAATGGATCGATCGTCTTATCAAATGCACCCCAAATATGATTTGAATGAATATTTTAGCAAATATTATCAATCGTCAATCGGTCCAAATAGAGAGTCGTCAACCATGATTAATGACACGCAATGGATCAACCTTAATCTAAATCTTAAAATGCTTTCATAAACTAAGTGCACTATTGCAAAACAACAAGAATTCTTTACGTTTACGTACATCTATTTAATCATAACGATAAACTTAGATATATGTACTCTATGTGGTGACATCTTTCTCCATTTATACGATTTTTTTTCGTCTGTCATTCAATTCAAATATATAAAGATATATAACTAATCCACAAATTGAATTTAAAGAAATTATTAATCGAAAAACACATCAAAATATGGTGAGTATTCCGGATGAGCGCATGGACCCCGAGCTCAATCTTTTCTGGACCTTTGAAGCGAAACAAATGGAACTTGTGTTTTTCAAAACCGATAAAAATGTTTATTTCCTATAACTAAACATTTAGAGTTTACAATTTAAAAGCAATAATTACGCAATATGATTTTTAAATATAAATATATGTAAACAATTTCTAAATTTAAAGTTATTTACATCGAAACTGGGACATTAGCAATTTGAAATATTCGAAGCAAATTTTGGAGTATTTTTTTTATTTGTTTTTTTTTTTTTTTTTTTCATTCATTCACATAAAATAAATTTCTTCAAATGGTTAGCTGGGTTTATAACAGGGGACTCCTTTTCATTTGTTTTCGAAAATGTTAGGAAATTATTTATTTAAAACGATAGAAATGTACTGTTGTTTTTATCTTTTCAAAACCAACCTTCTAAACTGATTTTATCTTGAATAACTTCGGCATGTGAATGCAGTTTTCGGGTTAGAAAACTAACTCTTGTGTGTCGCTTATTAGTATAATTTTTCTTTTCATTTAAGGCTGAATCTTTGGTAAATTAGTAAATACCAATTCACCATGTTTACTATTAACAAACAAATTTGTAAAACCAAACGAACCAATTTGAATGAATTAATGTATAAAACAATTAAAGTAGCAAAATATTTAAATAAAAACATTGTGGCGGGAATTCTTATTATTACAAATATTAATGTGTAAAGTACGTTTTTCATGACTAATAGACGTGTTCATTTATGGAAGTTGTTTTAATCTTTCAAAAAGTCGTAATATAAAATCATGTCGTCTGTAGTTTTTGAGTACATATTTGTGTTACGTGAATAGGTTCTCATAAAACCTATACTATTCGGTTCTATAACTTAAGGGTCGTGGCTTTCTTACATGGGAAACAATCGTCTTTTCAATTGGGGAAAACGCGCTGAGATGATTCTATGTGCAAGCGAATTATTTTTTATTTTGCCTAAGGGGTTCTTGTGTTGTAATTAGAAATTGGATTAAATATGTGATTGGGAGATAATACAGTATACGTTTTAAGGGATTGCGATTTAAAGTTAGCAAACAATGTCACTGACGTAAAACATGTCTTGCCGTTAAGATATATTGTTTTTAATCCTACAACATTCCTTCGGCTCATGTTGGTGTTGATTGGAAATTTGGGAAATTTGGCTTGGGGCAAATTTTGGGACGTGTTATGAACAAGATGGGAAAAACAGCGTCTTGCGTTTTCTTAAAGAAAATGCTCTCCAAGAAGGATGAACATTTAAATGCCATGGCGAATGGGAAAAGGTAATGCCTGCCCTTGTAAAAATGTATTTATTTCATTCCCCACAGCTATAATAATTTAATTATTTTCATATTAAAGTTTTTTTTACAGGTTTATTTAATGAGTGTGATGACTTGCATCGTATAGCATGTACAATAACGTTGGAATCATTTTAGATGGAACTTTGCAATGAATTTTAAAGCTTCAGTCAAAATGCAATGCTTGTTTTTGTCCAATTAGGAATAATTTTGGATGGCTTAAAGCACTAGCTGTCCTTTGATTTACACACAAGTTTTTCAAAGCGATGGTGTAGCAAGAAAAAAATACTTTCCTAAAACTCAATTTGTTTTGTACCAATGGGGTTTTCTTTATTGATTTTTTTTTAACTGCATAAAAAATCTACTGTTTTAACAATGTGGCAAAAAATAACGATTTTTATTACAATTTGAAGAAGTTAAATCAGAACTGTCTTCGTCTTTTAATCAATATTGCGATATTGTCTGGAATTTTCTAAGATATTCAGGAGTTGGCCAAAATGCCATTTTCATCAATTGGTATTTGCCAAACGAGTTAAATATTGTTACTTCTCAAGGTTTATTTGGGTGATTGTTGTTTATTTCAAAGGACCAAACGATCTCAATAAATAATAAATATTCCGGATGGAAAAGGGGCATAATTACATTCTCATAAATTTTGGATTTATTGGAATTGGAAGAAATAAATAAAAAAAAAATGTAATAAAAAAAATAGAATAAAAATAACGAAAAGGTACTGGGAAACCCTAAAAAATCTCAATATCTCTTTATAGCCTAACGCTAAGATTCGTTTAACGATTCTTTAGCTATTTAAAATTATTTAAAATAATTTCTTCCGACAATGACACTGCAACAGCGCTTAAAAATAACACCTTTCTCTTTAACAAACAAAAAGTCCTCGTCTTTTAATTTTAAAACTAAGGCAGCAGAATCAGATAAAGCTACTAAACATATTTTCTCGTATGATCGGATGGGACTAAGTTCAATATAATCTTTCCTGATCGCGTAACTCCACATCAACCCCACGAACTGTAAAACACGGAGGAGGCTTAACCATGGTATGGGTCACGCTTTTTAGGTGTTAAAAAAATTCATCGAACTAAAGTCGCAATGATAGCGGCGGCGTTAAGTTGTTTTAGTTTTTTTATTTTAATATTAAAATAGCTCTCATTTATAAGAGTTGTAGTCCTGCTTCAGCGAATTAACTTATTTTTTACAGCTCAACCTTAAGGCAGTGGTCTGCTTTACAGACTTGAAAAAAATCGATTTTTTTTTTTTGTCTTAAATCTATTCCAAAACTATCCAAGAATATGTGTTCAAAATTTTAGAGGCCAATTCGACATATTTTCGAAGCTAGATCAGTTTTAGTGGCCGAGCGTCGAGCAAGTTCGTATGATCGGGCAGACTTTACAGCCCGTTTTCTCGAGTTTTTATTTTCACAAGTCTTGGAAAGCGGTGCCGGCCATAGTAAAAAAAATATATGTCCGATCGAAAAAAACCAAAGTGATCTAGCTTCAGTATTGAATTATCTTCTATTTGAACTAAAAAAAATGGATAAAAGTACTATTTAAATTATTTGTTTTGCAACTTAATGTGAACTTTTTTTCCAAAAAAGTGAATTTTTTTTTCAAACTTAGAAAAAATTTGGAATTTCGTCATTTCTTCGGAATTTTTTTAGTTCATATAGAAAAGGAACTTATAAAAAGTAAAAAAAAATTTAGTTCCACTGTTTCAGATGCATCGCACGAACTCCATCACCGGCACCGATTAACAAGTGCACACTCTAGGCGCCCCAGAAAAATCGTTACAACTTCCGCTAATTTCAATTATTTGCAATAATAAAAATTGTTTTTTAAAGTTTAAATACAATATTATATCGTCTCAAAATTTCGTTTACCGCAATCATTTCCTTCCCTTTCAAAAAAATTGTTGAAAAAACGCTCTTTTTTCGGCTCCTAAAGCAGACCACTGCCTTAAGCCGACTTATTGGATAAATCCTTTTGTTCACATATAAAATTTAGTCGTTTTATCCGACTTGAATTTGTCGTTTTGAATTTTGTTAAAATGGGATGACTATCATATGGATCCCGAAAAAACAGTGTTACTGCTTTTTAAGAATTTTTTTATTTTAGGAAGCTGTTATGGGAATTATTAGGAAATTCTTTTAGCCCCAGCTTTTTCACTTTACATAAACTTGGCGAATAATTTGTAGTTCCCAAGTTAATCACTCGATATGGAGTGTATTTAATGATGACGAAAATGTATACTTTGGTTTAACCTGTGATCCAATGTGTTCACACTTAAAGAAAGCTATCATAAAGCAATCATGCAAAACAAGTTAAACAAATAATATGTGATAATGTGTAATTGGATGAAATATCTTCTATGAGATATGATATTGAAGATTTTCTTCACACATAATTGGCAGAGGGGCCCAAAATAGAAAGCCAAAACAGATTCCAATTGGCACAGAGCGTACCGCTTTAGTGACCAAATTGATTCGTGACAACATTTGTTGTTGTTGTTTTATGGATGATTGTTAACCGTTGCCAAAAATAATTGCGTTTGGATTTGGGGTCGAGCCAGCGATTAGCTGTTTTTTTCGACGAAACTCTTCAGCCTTGGCCGAAGAAGATATATTCTCAAGATCGCAATATGTGGTGTCTTTGCTCGCAAAAGAAGTCCAATCGCGACTGGCAGCAAAACGCTTAAATATATCAGGTAATCTATGCTTATATGTTTCCGACACTTTTAAGCTTAAAAGTGTTTCCTAATCTAACTATTATTCATTCGATCAACGTTGCTTGGTTCTTCGGCCGTCCAACGTGGCTTTGCTGTCGATTTTCCGTTTTGTGCAGCCATCTCTCAATTAAGCTGCATTGTTTTTAAAATAAACCTTTTTAAGACTTTTTGACTAATCCGTTTTATGTTTACAGGCGGTTAAACTCCTTGACGACTCTTCGCACGGCTTTGCTAGAGATCTTTAACCATTCAGATACGCACTGGAATATAATGGCTTGCGTATTGGAGCAGATATCCTCCAACTCGAAGATTGAAATCATTTCAATCAGCTTATAGAGCATACATTCAAATGCTGAGCAAAATTTAATTAAACAATATGAAACTGAATAAAGCTGCTTTGGTTTTTTTAAGAAGGGGATCGTCAATTATACTTAATTTTGGGAGATAATGGTCAACAGTATTAAACGAGTTTTATAAAAATAAATCATTATTTTGTGCGAAATAAAGAAAAATGTTTGTCAATATATGCATTTTTAGACCTTGATGAAACTCAATATAAAACCTAAAAAAATATATAAGGCAGTTGTCCAGTTGTAATTCTTAATTGGGACAAGTATAGTCAAAAAAAATTCCTGGTTGTGATTCTCACTGAAAAAAAAGTGATATCCGGAATTATAACACAAAACATTTCTTTTAATTTAAAACAATTTTTAAATATGATAGGCTATCCTTTGAAAAGATTTCAGCATTTCTGGACTTTCAGCGCAGTGTAACTCAATTTGCGCCCAGTTTTAATTTGTGTATTACTTCCCATTGAAAACAACCATAACCTGTCCTAACCACGAATAATTGTTTAATGGTAAAGCAGATATTTTAAAGCACCGCTCTTGCCTTCACATTTGTATTTATGTGTGGCTATAACCGGGCTTCACGTTCATACATACATACGTAAATATGTAAGTTGGTTTGGGATTTGCCAAATCTTAGGCGCACGTACATACAGACGTAGTACGTGTGTGTATTTATAGGGAATTTGTTTTTACGTTAATCTTTTCAGGTCATATAAAAGCGGAAAATTCAAACGTTAATCTCCGCTAACCACTCCAAAAACAAAACCTTGCGCTGCCGCTAAATGTTATCTCTTGTTTGAATGTCAGCGCTTAGAGAGCGTCTTCGCACGTCTATATGTATGTATGTATATATGTACGTACATCGGTAGGTTTGTATGTATGGACATAAACAAGCCAAAGTTGATTTGTATTTGTATTGAGCGTACAACTTGGCTTGTACGAAAGTTTCCTATCGAAACACGTCTTGAATGTGTATTTATCATCGCCGAGGTACCAAATGCACGTCAGTGTGCGTGCGTACGTAATACTTATTAATTTTGTTACAGCACGGTTTGCGTGTTATGTTTTGCATTTTGTTTTGAAAGCTCCAAAAGCTGTGCTTTCATGGGTCTTCAGTGCATAAACATACATTTGTGTATACATACATATGGGCTACGAAACGAACGAATGTACGAATGTTTGATTGCACGTCTCTATGTCTGTATGTCGGCGTGTCGCGCTGTGTGTTTGTGTATGCGGTTAGCACAAATCCAGCGAGAAAGAAACAACCAACGTTGGCTATATGTATTAACTTCAAAATAAAGTTCAGTTTAAGCTGGAGCGCAGTCGAGGTTGTGTCGTTTGTTCGTTCGGTCGGCTTTGGTCCACTCGTTTTTCGGCTAGTTCCTATGTACGCATGGTAAGCACGCGTTCTCCTTTCGATTCTCAGTTTCAGTTTCAGTCGTTTCGATTGCGTTCATAAAATCAAAAGCTAAAGTTAAAGCCTAACTAAGTCAGTGATTTATTTCGAAAATGTGCCTGTAATAGATCTTAACCCGCTCACAGACACACGCTTACACAAATTTGGATTACATGAATTGCTATTACCATTTCTGATGCTTAGTGATGTATGTACAATAAAAAGCATACAAATGCATTTATGCATTACGTGATTGCGTATGTACATAAATGTATGTACGAATTGAAATGGCAAGTCTTACGCATAGAGTTGCGAATGTGTATAAAGCCATACACAGGCAAACGGTCACAAATTTATACATTATCGGACGCATCAAATACATATGTATGTATATGTATATGTATACTTTCACGCGCACATCCAAAAAGAAGGTGGCTTGGTGGCTCCATTGTTGTTGTTTTGGTTGATAGTGTGCACACAGTGCAAAATTGGTGTCTGTAAAAATTAGTGATTAAATTGAAGATGTGTGATTTTGTAAACATGTGGAAAATAGAGAGAGAGATGGAAAATAGGAGATGTTCAAGCTGAACTTGCATACATATTGTATGTATGTATGCACATAATCAAGCTCAGACACCGACGTGCATATTCGGCAAACTATCACACTTATGTATATATGTATGCACTGATATGTTTTATAAACGAATGGCACAGTAAAACAGAAACCGGAATCGATGTACATATGGCACTGTTGATATGAAACTGTAACCAATATTTCCGAGCCTTTTTATGCTGCCCATGTATGTACATACATATGTGACCAGTTATGTCGGCACGTAAAAACCATGCACATAAAAGTGCACTGCACATCCTATACCGTTATATGGCATTTATCCTATTTAATTGTTAACCATATGCAGACATAATATATTGAAGAAGAGTACACGAATTTATGCATTTATAATATGAATAATACATGTGTGCATAGCGTCATGTGCACTGGACAACTACATACATACATACATACATATGTACATGCATACATAAATTTCTAATTGGAAACGTTTAAGGAATAGCCAAACACTTTGATTATAAAAAAAAAAAACCTTTTTGATAGGGAGGGATATATGTATGTACAACTCAGTTTTCGGGGGAAACGTTTTTAAATTTTATTTAAACAGAAAATTAAATGAAAAGGAAAGGTAGCTAGACATATCAATATCATAACATGACATAATAGTTAACTTACATGTTTATTGGGCAACTCAAAAAAAGTAGGCTTTGCGGCTCAGTGTAATCGATACCTGATCACATTTGCAATTTCTTTTTACCACTTTCCGGTTCCAATCGAATTTTTACTCTTCCTTAATACCTACGTTTATGTAAAAATTAAGCATTTCCACTTACAATGAATGATAGTTTTTTTCTATTAAATAATTGCTCCTTAATTTATTTACATATTTCCAATTCATCTTAATGAACACATTTAATTTCAAAAGGTTCCTTTATTAGGTATTAATTAAAAACAAATATACATACGTAAATAAACACGTTGAGTTAAAATAAATATTTGTCAATTAAAATAAATCAGAATAGGGGGTAGATTAACATATGGCGCACCAGTTGGATCCCCCATCTGCTTTGGGAATTTCCCGCGAACTCTACAAATCAACGATTTGTTGATATGTACATATGTTTTGTTGCTTAGTCACTTTAAATATTTACTTAACTGTGGTTCCCCGCGGAAGATTCTGTTGTCTCGCCCCCCCGACGAACAATGGAGTTTTGCAAATAGGTAGCTCATTATATTAAGTGAGCACAAGCTTTTCAAGCCATAAATATCTGTGGAATATGATTCATTTTGGCATCTCGGCCATAAGTTATACAAGCAACCCCACGTTTACCGGCCCAAGGTTACTTTTTCGAGGGGGCTTCTCACATAACACCATCAACAAACGACGAATAATGTGCTTTTCTTGTTCTTGCAGATACGTCGTGAGATAGCAGATCCCAAAAATAGATTCATGAGTACGACAACAGGAAAGGGACACGTCGCAAACGGACTCTTCGGGAGAATCAAACTACCTTAATACTATAGCTAAACCTAGTTAAATATGTCAAGTAAGCGGTCCAGCAGAGGAGCCATCGGTAGAATAGGACTCACTCCGAGCACAGAGCAATGCAAAGCCTGCTGTGGAGGCCCAAAATCTCTCGGGGAGCCAACGTACCGAAAGATTGGACGGAGAAAGATACTCCAAGTTCAGGGAATCGATGATCCTGCGACAACGACGAAACCAACAAGAAGAACAAAAAGAACGTTAACGGCGACGCCTGATGCAAAACTCAATAGAATCTATTTATGTACATTTAACCGAATGGCACAGAGCTGTATATATTTTGTATTATTTTTAGTAATCCTAAGCCCAAATACTAGTTGTGCTCTGAGGAGTAGTGAGGGCGACACTCAAAATAACGCCGGAATACTCAGCAACGTGAGCAGCGTGCACAGTAGAACAAGCCTACCAGCAACCACTGATAATGAAACTATTGATGGCCCCACTTCCTCCTCCAAGGTCGAGCTGGACCCTCGAGGTGACCGGGGTCAAGCTCAGCAGCACATTACTGGCGGCAACACATACGATAACAAATCAAATAATAATACTCACACAAATGCCAGTGCGAAATATGAAAATGTCAACCCGCTTCGGCAGCAACATCACCAACAGCAGTCAAATAGCCTCGACCTCGATCTCGATGGGCTCGAGGGCACGTTTGGCGCCTGCAGTATTCCCGAGGAGGCGATGTACACCAACGAGTTTGCCGTCAACATTCCCGCTGGCAAGCAGGTGGCAGATATAATCGCCTCCAAGCACGGCTTTATCAACAAGGGACAGGTACTCATTCGCTATTCGGTGTATTTGCCTAGAAAAAACTTTGAACTCAAGCCCGGAAGCGAAGCTAAAAGCAAACGAAATGACTCTTCGTTTTTAAGTTTTAATCCCATAAAAAGCGTATTACTTGGTCTAAGTTTTTATACCGTGTTTCTTTTTGTAATATATCTTATAAGTTATAACTTACTTAAAACGTGCCAACTTACAGATTTCCGTTGTCAGAAGATCTTGTTTAGAAGGGAGGAAAGATATTTGATATATAGCTTTCAAGATTTTGTGAAACATTTGTATTGTCTAATCAATAATCAATAATCAAAAGCTAATAGTACATTATTTATGGCAGGTTTTGAATTGATGAGTGCGATAAATTAAATTAAAATGAATTTTTATGATATCGCTTTTAAATAATAGTTAGTTTACGACTTAGTTCAATTATAAACTATCTTATTTTATTTCCTTCAATTTCAGATTGGATCACTGGACAATTACTACCTGTTCCAGCACCATCACGTGTCGAAGCGTTCGCTGCGATCCAGTGAAAAGCACCAGGGAGCCCTTAAATCAGAAAACGAGGTAACTATATTATAATACTCCCCCTTCTGTGTGTGAACATATGGTAAACCGTACTTACTTCCAGGTGAAATGGATGCAGCAGCAGCATGAAAAGGTGCGCCGGAAGAGGGACGGACCGTATCAGGACTTGCCCACCTACAGTCCGTATAATCTATTACGCCAACCCGGCGCCTACGTTGTCGATCCGAATCCGCATCTTTCATTCTCCCCAGCAGAGTCAATTTCGTTAGCCTCGCACTCACCGCGCATGGAATACCGGGACGTCAGTTCGCATTTCATATTTCCGGATCCGTTGTTTAAGGAACAGTGGTATCTGGTGAGTAAAGTATGTAATCATCTCTCACTTAAATGCATGCTTCATAAATCCATATATGTTATAGTTCATAATCGAGTCCATCTTCAGTAGTTTCCCTAACTTCACCATTCAGTTTTTGCTACTAACAGTTCAAAAAAATTAATGTAAATAAGAACTATTTAAATATATAACCAAGATAAGTTTCCTAATTCGATTACTATTGGATTTCTTTGTTGTGTTTTGATGGAGTTATGTTACCTACACCTTTATGATTTTATTTTGTCAATTGTTGATATTATTGAACTTGTTCTATAGAACGGCGGTGCCAAGGATGGCTTGGATATGAATGTGGGTCCCGCCTGGCAAAAGGGTTACACGGGAAAAGGCGTAGTTGTTTCCATTCTGGACGATGGCATTCAAACAAACCACCCGGATTTGGCACAGAATTATGTGAGTATAGTAATTTCAATAAATTACTATTAAAAACGTTTACTAATTACGATTAAAATGTATGTAGGATCCCGAAGCCTCGTTCGATATAAATGGTAATGATTCCGATCCCACGCCCCAGGACAATGGGGATAATAAACACGGAACCCGATGTGCCGGCGAAGTGGCTGCGGTGGCTTTCAACAACTACTGCGGCGTGGGAGTGGCCTACAATGCCAGTATTGGTGGTAAGTCATTTGTCATTTGCATCATTTAAATGTTTTAATATCCTACTTAATCGTTTCCCGTTTAGGAGTGCGAATGTTGGACGGAAAGGTAAACGATGTGGTGGAGGCCCAGGCACTGAGCCTCAATCCCTCCCATATCGATATCTACAGCGCATCCTGGGGGCCGGAGGATGATGGCTCCACGGTCGATGGTCCGGGTCCCTTGGCACGACGAGCCTTCATTTACGGCGTGACCAGCGGACGTCAGGGCAAGGGATCGATCTTCGTCTGGGCCTCCGGCAATGGTGGTCGCTACACGGATTCCTGCAACTGCGATGGCTACACCAACTCCATCTTCACTCTCTCCATTTCGAGTGCAACGCAAGCGGGGTGAGAAAATTACACTAAAATCACCTAAACAAGTGATTAGATTCTAATTTATGACTTGTGTTACAGCTTTAAACCTTGGTATTTGGAGGAGTGCTCTTCTACGCTGGCCACCACCTACAGTTCGGGAACACCAGGGCATGACAAGAGTGTTGCCACTGTGGATATGGATGGTCGCCTGCGACCCGATCACATTTGCACCGTGGAGCACACGGGTACCTCGGCATCGGCGCCACTGGCTGCTGGCATTTGTGCTTTGGCCTTGGAGGCGAATCCCGAACTGACTTGGCGCGACATGCAGTACCTGGTGGTCTACACCTCGCGACCGGGGCCACTCGAGAAGGAGAGCGGCTGGACGCCGAATGGCGTGAAGCGAAAGTACAGCCACAAGTTTGGCTATGGTTTAATGGACGCCGGCGCAATGGTTTCGCTAGCCGAGCAATGGACAACGGTGCCGCCGCAGCACATTTGCAAGTCGCGGGAGAATAACGAGGATCGCAAGATCGATGGCGCCTACGGCTTCTCGCTGTCCACACACATGGACGTTAATGGGTGTGCGGGCACGATAAATGCAGTGCGCTACTTGGAGCACGTTCAGTGTCGCATTACGTTACGTTTCTTCCCGCGCGGAAACCTGCGCATTCTGCTCACCTCGCCAATGGGAACCACGAGCACTCTGCTCTTTGAACGACCGCGTGATATTGTCAAGTCCAATTTCGATGACTGGCCCTTCCTGAGCGTCCACTTTTGGGGCGAAAAGGCGGAGGGACGATGGACGCTGCAGGTGATAAATGGAGGAAGGCGGCGTGTCAATCAACCGGGCATTCTGTCCAAGTGGCAGCTCATCTTCTACGGCACCTCCGATCCGCCGATGCACGACAAGTCGGAGCTGCTCAACAGCAGTCCGCAGCTGCGCAGTCCCATTGGCAGCAATCCGTTCCTCATCCCATCCGCCTCGAACATTGGCCAGCCGGCCAACGAGGGTGGGAACTTCAACACCGATAGCTTTGCTGGCTACCTCAACTACCAGAATATCTTTAGTAGTGCCGGCTCGAATCCGGAACCGGCGACAGCCACCCTGGATGGTCAGAATGTGAACGCTTCGGTTGCTACCGGCGGACCTGCAGAGTTCGCTGGACTCACCGCTGCCTCGCCTGCACAATTGGTAGCTGCGCCCGATTCGCGGGATGGCAGCAAGCTGATCCTGCACTCCTGCGATGCCGAGTGCGATTCCTCCGGCTGCTATGGCCGTGGACCCACACAGTGCGTGGCCTGCAGCCACTATCGATTGGACAAGTATGATGGATTAAAATATAATTCTATCTGTATTTAATTATGATTCCTTTTGCAGTACTTGCGTGAGTCGCTGTCCGCCGCGCTCGTTCCCCAATCAGGTGGGCATCTGCTGGCCCTGCCACGACACCTGCGAAACGTGCGCGGGTGCCGGACCCGACAGCTGCCTCACCTGTGCCCCCGCCCACCTGCACGTCATCGATCTCGCCGTCTGCCTGCAATTCTGCCCGGACGGCTATTTTGAAAGTAATAACAAATGAATACGTACAAATTAGAATGTCATTGCCCTATTGTTTTATATGTGTTAAAGATTAGGAAGAATAGTAGCATAGGTCAATTGCTCGGACGTGTATTTTGAAAGTAAAAACAAATGAACACTAACAGTTTAAGTTGTCAATGAACTTTTATTTTTTATGTGTTAAAGATTAGAACGAGTAGAAGCTTAGGTCAATTGCTCACTTGAATTTATTTAATAGTTTTGTAACCAGTTGTCTCTTTGATTTAATAACAGATAGCAGGAATCGCACCTGCGTTCCCTGCGAGCCCAACTGTGCCTCGTGCCAGGATCATCCCGAGTTCTGCACTAGCTGTGATCACCACCTGGTCATGCACGAGAACAAATGCTACTCGGCCTGTCCCTTGGACACTTACGAAACGGAGGATAACAAGTAAGTGGATAATAATACACTTTAAATAAAATATATAATTCAAATGAAATATAATCTACAGATGTGCCTTTTGCCACTCGACTTGCGCCACTTGCAATGGCCCCACGGACCAGGACTGCATCACGTGCCGCTCGAGTCGATATGCCTGGCAAAACAAATGCCTTATTAGCTGTCCGGACGGATTTTACGCCGACAAGAAACGGCTGGAGTGCATGCCCTGCCAGGAGGGATGCAGGACCTGCACCAGCAACGGCGTCTGCTCCGAGTGCCTTGAAAACTGGACGCTGAAAAAGAGAGACAAGTGCATCTTATCCGGAAGCGAAAGCTGCAGTGAATGTAAGCAAACTTGAACTGTGCACTCCATTTGTTAGTAACTCAATATTGCATAGTAAATACTATTTTAATATTTAATCTATTTAAATTTATTTTTCCTTCTTCGTGCAGCTGAGTTCTTTAGCCAAACTGAGGGACACTGCAGTCCGTGCCACGAAACCTGTGGCAGTTGCAACGGTCCCGCGGAGACGAACTGCATGTCCTGTCCCCCAAATCGATTGCTGGAACAGAGCCGCTGTGTGAGCGGCTGCCGTGATGGATTCTTCATGGAAGCGGGCTCCGTTTGTTCGCCATGTCTGCACACCTGCAGTCAGTGTGTCTCGCGGACGAACTGCAGCAACTGTTCGAAGGGTCTGGAGCTGCAGAACGGCGAGTGCCGCACCACTTGTGCTGATGGGTAGGCCCACCTGCTGCAATCCCCCGTTTTGTTCCCTTTTACTTTCAACTCCTATTGCGCAATCATTGCAGTTACTACAGCGATCGTGGCATCTGCGCCAAGTGCTATTTGAGCTGCCACACGTGCAGCGGACCGAGGCGCAACCAGTGTGTCCAATGCCCGGGTGGTTGGCAACTGGCCGCCGGCGAGTGTCATCCCGAGTGTCCCGAGGGCTTCTACAAGTCGGACTTTGGCTGCCAGAAGTGTCACCATTACTGCAAGACCTGCAATGGTAATGCACACTTGATTCTAGGGATATCCGAATGATAGCTAATGGCTTAACTTGTTTATAATTTTAGGTGCTGGCCCATTGGCATGCTCGTCGTGTCCGCCGCACTCGATGCTCGACGGCGGTCTGTGCATGGAGTGCCTTAGTTCTCAGTATTATGACACCACAACGGCCACCTGCAAGACGTGCCACGATTCCTGCCGCTCCTGTTTCGGTCCCGGCCAGTTCTCCTGCAAGGCCTGCGCCCCGCCACTTCACTTGGACCAGTTGAACAGCCAGTGCGTGTCCTGCTGCCAGAACCAAACGCTCGCCGAGAAAACGGCGTCGGCGCCCTGCTGCCATTGCGATGGAGAAACCGGTAATACTCAGCTCTATTTTCCCAGTATCTATATATGATTCTTTTAAATTCTTTATAGGTGAATGCAAGGCCACCTCGACGGGCGGCAAACGACGCACGGTTATTGGCAGCGGCAGCAGTGCTTTCAAAAGCAGCGAGTCTGACCACGGATCGTTCGAGAGCGATGGCAACGGCAGGGAGTTCGTCCTGCGACTCGACTCACCGCTGACGGCAATCACAGCTATTGCCGTGGCCATCTGTCTTCTAATTATTACGATATTCTCAATCATCTTTGCTGTCTTGCAGGTGAGCACATATTATTATATATTGTAGTGCTATTTATTGTATACTTACTTTTGTTTTCTATTCACTCCACAGCGCAACAGCAACCACGTGTCGAGAAACTCAGTGCGGTATAGAAAAATAGCGAACACATCTTCGTCGTCGGGCAGGCGAAAGAACCTGTCCACGAAGCCCACCAGCGATGCACGATTTATTTTTAACATTGGCGAGGACGATGATACGGACGGTGATAATTCCGAGGATGATATGGACGGTAACCTGGGCACAGATATTAACAGGATTGTCTACGACCGCAAAGGCAAGGATCATGGACACGAATTTTACATTGAGAGTACAAATGATATTGATGCGATCGAGTTTCACTGCAAAGGAGCGCAGAAAGCTGAGTCCCAATCGCGAAGGTGCAATGAGAACGCTGATGATGATAATGATATTCATTTCAATACGAAAACGGGCAGGAATCCGTCAACAACGAGCAGCCGTACAAACATCCGTAGCTGATCGATGATCGATCACAATGGACAACGCGACAGCGAACGTAATTGTACCAACCAGAACTTTGATCTTGGCTTTCTTGCTCTGGACTAGTAAATTGTAACCTTGCTTTGAGGAATATAGCGAATCGAAATATTTAACATCTGAAAATGATAAAAATTTATATGTGATTGTGAATTGTTTTTATATATATATTTGTAAATTTAATGTTTGTATTAAATTTTTATGAAAAATGTTATGTCAAGTTGAATAATGACAATGTCTTTTTTATTGTTCCAGCCATCTTTTCCATTAAAAAAAAAAGGGAAGAGAACGTAGGTTCAGAGAAAACAAAACACCAAACTAAACTTTGATCAATATCGCTTTCGATACAAAAAATTAGCCATAGGACTTATTGTTTTTAGTTTAATAAATTTTTTAAATAAATGCAAACATTTTTTAAGGATCCAAAGCATTGTATTTTTGATTTCTCTCGTTTAACCCAACCATTGGTTAATATTTATTGTTTTTGGACAACACAAAAAAGAAAGAGATGGCAATATTTCCTTTTGGAATTAAATAATAATTTAACCCGGATCCGTTTCTTCCACTTAAACACATAAAAGATTCGTTCGTAGAAAATATTTTATTTACAAAAATAGAAAATATCTACATATTTATTATACATATGCGTCGATCGCTTATTTAAATGCAAACCAAGAGAGTCGACCACAAATGATTGTAATTGGTTTTGGAATTCGACATTTATTCGAATGTTTATAATGTTAGTTCCATGTAAATCATTATAAATTCGGTAATACTTCTGTTTTCGCTTTCGTCTTATATGTCGGCGTACAATGCTTATGCTAAAGTACAAAAAAGTCGAATATATTTTTACATAGGTGGTTGAGAGGTATTTTACATGGACGCTTTTTCGTTTATACGACCGCCTATAACCTACGATATTGTACAGTCGCAGCACATTAAAGAGTAGTATAGGCATTTGACAACCTTTTCGTCGTTGTCATCGTCGCCCTTGCCATTCAATTTGGCCTTGTCATTGTTTTCGTAGCCAAAGATTTTGCCGTCCAGTTGATCGGCTTCCAGGCCATCGACTTTCTTAGACTTCTTGCGCTTATTCTTATGCATCAGTTCGTTGCAGTTTCGCTGCTGCACCATATCATCGATCCAATCGAAGTCCGTGGCGTTTGCCGGGCATCTTGGGAAACTGGAAATGCTCTCAATGGAGTTTATGTCCTCCTGTTCAAAATTTAAACATATGGTTAATACCAGGAACAAACTTTGTTTTTAATCTGTGAATCTAATTTATTTACCTGATTATTATTGTGATTCTTATATCTATTTTTCTGTGGCGTGGTCTGTTGGGAATTGGACGTGGTCGGTGATCCCGACTTGTGGTTGGTCATTGGCGACGAGGTCGTGGCTATCGAGGCTGTGGTTCCCGCCGAGCTGTTTAGCACCACCTCGGTGTCGCCGCTTCCTGTTGCAGCAGTTGGCACTTTGGGCAAGTCATCCGGGCCCATCAAATTGTGCTAAAGAAAAGATCAAATCAACTTTAAAGTTCGGGATTTTGTTTTCACCCAACGTACCAAGTCTTGTATTACCACGGTGGTAATAACATTTGGCGAAGTCATGACTCTGGTAGATGCCGATGCAGTCTCAGAAGTCGGACTTTTCAGGATCGGTGAGTTGGTGCTCACTGGCGTGGCTGGCAGAGTGGCAGCATCCGAAACGATAGCCAAGTCATCAGAGGACTCCCTGGCGCTATTTGCCCCTTGAACCATCGAACAGGTGGCCACAATGCTTAACGATGAAGAAGGTGAGTTGCCGGACAAATCGGGAGAGGGTCTGAAAAAAGAAACATGTTTTGTGATGTTAGTTATATTTATCCTTTTGTTATATACATATGAATGTATGTAGCTTAGGATTATGGGTAACTTTGGATTAGGAAACCGGTATTAATTATGGGTATGGTGTGGTATTCGTGGCCAATTGTGTCAGTGCATTATTTATTCGGTGTGGTTATTTGAATCGTGCTCGCCTCTCCACCTTACTTACAAGTCAATCAGCTCGGACTGTGCCTTGCTGCCTCCCAAAGACCACACTTCGCTCTTTTTCTGAGGACTCGAGTACGAGATGTGCTTGCTGGTCGTACTATAACGACCCTTCGAATGCGACTTTCGACCCGGTATCCACAATATGCGCAAACCAGAGGATTTGCCTTTCTTTGTTGGGTTGGAAGCCATCTGAAAATCGTATACTAAATTCAGAAATTAAATGCCAAAAAATACTCGTATTTTTATACATAAAAAAAAGTGTGGACTGTGTTGACACATGCTTGTCATCTAGTGAAACATGACACGGGAAAGTTTTTGGGAAAAACATGACAAACTGGGTTTTCACAAGTAAAAGTCGCTTGAAAAATTATGAAATAAAGCATTTCCTGATTGTAAATGGCTTCATAATCATTATATCCTGGCTGTTGTTTGTGTACCTCAGATCTTATTGGGTATGCTTAAAACTTTAAAATAAATAGGAATCCTTTTGATAAAAATCCTATAGTTAAATATAGGAATAATTGTTATATTCTAAGAATTGAAAACTATTACTGATTAAAAAACCCGATATAGGATATTATTGTCATCTTCCCAACCAAATTTCTAACTTGTTTGTTTAGATTCTGGTTGGAATTTGTTTAGAAGGCATTTTTGTGACACACATTTTCTACTGTAAACAGTATAATAGAATCCAAGGGGTAAACAAATTCCATGGTAAACAAACAACGTGATAACATTACCTAGAAGAAATAACTGTTGACAGTGGATTATATTGACAAATTGGCACTTATAAACGAATACATTGTACGGCACACACACACAAGCATCTCAGCTTGGAAAGGTATTTTCACAATTGGATTTTGTTGCTGGGATTACGGAATAAATATGCGCATCGCGTCGACGTGAATAAAAAGTGGTTTACCGAATACAAATGTACAAAAGTCGAGATTCAAAACACCACGCACATTTGCGCTACCATATATCCACATATATAGCCATAAAGACATACACATATATACTTTTTGGGTGACAAACAAGTAGTGGTATACAAAAATGGCTTTCCAGTATTTCGGCCGTGTGTTAGTGTTTTAAAACAGAAATTAGACTATTTTTTGTTAAATGGCAACAAAACCTGTATCGCTCACCTTTTCTCCTCAGATCTTGACCTCAATATCACAAGGTTTTGTGCAAATAACGCATTTGTGTAAGCCAAGTATGTAAATACATATACATATACTATCGTATATAAAGTAGGTTTTAGTATGAATTCGTGATATGGTTGAGATTCCCAGCTCTAACAGAATTGAATTGAACTTTATTCTTTTCGTATTTCCGCGGGACTTTGCACTATATTTGGATAAGGGTAGCAAATAGTAGTGACCACAAACTTTACATTACATTAGTTTGTTTTTATTTAAGGACCGAGAGCCGACCATGCTGTATATGTATATCGAATAAACAAAACCGAACTCAACCAAAACCAGTGTTGGTAAACTGATTGCACGCAATAGCTTTCTCTTTTCTATCGCTCAATTTGTAATTCTATCATCAAAAGTATGGTGTCCACTAACCAAACGCTTGTTATCGATAAATAAAGACTCACAAGCTTGCGAAAATTCGTATATTATCAAAACGCTGCGCAATTTTATTGGAATAACCAACACAATTAAATAAATTTGTAATGGTTGAATGTAATGTAAATGTAATAACAAATATGTTAAGAGGTAAATTTTGAATGAATATTGTTTTGCTTAAGTTTGTACATTTCATAGCTTATGATGATTCCTGTACAAGTTAATGGTAATTACTTTACTTTCTTTCTTGTTTTTATCTAAATTAAGATAAATATTTATTATGCAAAATTGGTGGTGAGTAAAGTTTATTTTGAAGAACCCCGAAAATAGTATTCGATCCCTATTACGGTCACACTGCTATCCTTGTTTAGCTTGGTAAGCTTTTTATATGTTTTGTTTACGTTGAGCAGTAATCAAATAATTTATGTAAGAAGCCGATGGGTGTAAATAGTATTAAGCCTATAATTACACAAAAACAAGCAGCATAAACCACATAAGCATCCATCAATTAATGTTTATTTAGAGTGCGTGTAGATCGTGTAGATCAAAGAAATAACTGTATACGCGGGCAAGTTTGTCCGTTGATTTTGAAAGTGATAATGGCATATTGCTCACGCAGGAAATAGCGCGAGAGTTTGCTTCTCAAAAAAGTCGAGCATTCTAAAAATATATAACAAAGTTGTCGAGAGCGGCGGGGATATAATATACGGGCCATCGAATTGGCCCAGTCTCCCAGTGTTCGTGCTGCACTCTGCTATCCGCTATCCGTTGCTCGCGTGTTAGACGTAGGTAATAATTATTTATTTTTTTTTATTTATTTACCGCGTGTGCGGAGATGCCTGGATCCACAAAAAGCAAAACCTACGAATTAACTCCACCGAGAGTTACGTGCCGATAGCGTTCATTCGTATTAGCCTTTATCACCCGTTCAGGCGGCTTTACATACATACATAAGTGTGTACCGACCACAAAATCTCTTCCAATTTACGCCGCTCAAAAATAGCCGGGAGGCAGCCAGAGCATATAGTATACGTACATAATAAACACAGCTGTGGCTAAAATATTAGCGTTTACAAATAATCAGATACAAGACTAAGTAGAACGGATGGGCATCTGTCAGATATAAAACCACTTATTTGTTAGTTTTCACACACGAGAACTGGATTCTGCGATCATTGACCCGTTTATATCTCGCTAAATCGTGATTTTAATTTCATTAGAAAGCGGACAAGATTGTGTAATATACTGCTATAATAAATTGAAAAGATTTGCAAGTGGGAAAAACTATATAATGTTTAGAAGTTTAGACAGTTTTATAAACTTTTCTTTTAAGTTGTATGGCATATTTCTAAATGACAAGCTACGACAAAAAAACTTATAAATAATAAAACTTATAAATTATAAACGCAATTTACTATTATCTTGATCACCATTGTCGATATAAACAATCTTATGTATATATCGTACATATATACCAGGACCGACCCGGCGCGCTTCTTTTAACAGCCCTCATGGTGAAATTTATTTTTGGAGGTGCGGCCAAAACACCGCAATTTTTATTCGAATTTTTTCTATGTTTCGTCTACATGAACACACAATCTGACAACTTCTACATCCCATCCTCTGCGTGCACCGCCTGCATTTCTATCAGCTTCAATTGCATGTGAAAATCAAGCCACCCATACGCCAATATTTGCACCCACAATCTTGGGAATGTAAGGGATCGCGAATTGAGAACCTTTACCATCCCCTAGGCTTTTATCCCAAAAATTACAGAAAATATTAAAGCATAATGGAACGCGAATTCCCACTTTTTCAGTTATGTAACGCTCAACAAATGAAATAAGTGATTTACTTGGGCTTTTGAAACTTTTAACTTACATAAAATATAGAATTCAGTAATTGTGTATGCTAGATTTCAATATAAATGCGATATAAATATAAAAATCAATAGCATTCAAGTTTAGATTATTGTTATAGTATTTGAGATCTTTACGTTTTAATACGATTTTAATTATCAGAATATATTTGTTAAGGTGAACGTAAACTTTTTAACTGTCTAATTATTTTGATGACTATAAACGAATATTTTGAAAAGTTTTTAGGAATGAATGTTGTTGCTACGCCTTTAAAACTAAAAAAACTGGATTGTTTTTGTTTTCTAGATTATCATCCGTGAAGGCAGGACACAAGATCGGCTGTGATCATGGACCCGGAAGCATTTTTGGACGTGGCCAACCAGGTCATCAAGCTGAAAATGTTTCCGTTCTTCGACATCGCTCACAGTCTACTTGCCGCGCTGGCCGTGCGCGAGGACTTGGGCGCGAATGCACAGGCGTTCTCCCGTAAGCATCCGCTGGCCTGCTGGCTCTCCACCATGCTGGTGATCTTCGCCGGCGGAATGGTGGCCAACGGGCTCCTGGGCGAGCCAATTCTGGCGCCGCTTAAGAACACAGGCCAGCTCTTAGTGGGCACCGCAGTGTGGTATGTCAATCCAGTTCATAATACTCCATAATCACAGCTAATGGAAATCTATCTTCAGGTACGTGGTCTTCTACACGCCTTTCGACATTGGGTACAAGGTGGCCAAGTTCCTGCCCGTCAAGATCGTTGCTAGCGCCATGAAGGAGATCTATCGGGCAAAAAAGGTCTACGATGGCGTGGGACACGCGGCCAAGCTGTATCCGAATGCCTGGATAATCATGATCATCATTGGCACCCTGAAGGGCAACGGAGCGGGCTTTACCAAGCTGATCGAGCGCCTGATTCGGGGAGCATGGACACCCACAGCCATGGAGTTCATGCAGCCCAGCTTGTGAGTATTTACGAATATAAATAAATGATTTTTCTGGTACTAATTGAATTATTTTATTTAGCTACACCAAGGCCTCCCTGCTGGCCTCGATTATCTTTGTGCTGGACAAGAAGACCGACTGGATCTCGGCACCGCATGCACTCGTCTACTTCGGCATCGTCATATTCCTGGTCTACTTTAAGCTGTCCTCCATTCTGTTGGGCATCCACGATCCCTTCCTGCCGCTGGAGAACCTCTGCTGTGCCATCTTTTTCGGCGGCATTTGGGACAGCCTGGCCAAGATCCTGGGCCGCGGGCAGGCCAAGGACGGTGACAGCAAGGACGTGAAAAAGAACAACTAACTGAAGCCATTTTGTAGTCAGCCCCCCCAATAAAAAAAAAGTACTTAAAACGCTGCCAACCAAAGCTAACGACTAAAACGCACACATAATATTATAATATACAATACATAGCATAAACATAAACATAAACATAAACATAATCAGAACTAATGACTTCGAACGAGAGAGACAGAGAGATCTTCCCATGTGATTCGATTCAGAAGCGCAAGCCAAAGACATATTTTTTGTGAGGCGTGAAAATTACTCTTGAGGCTCAGCATTTTGGTGGGTGTGCCAGCTGTTCCTCGACTCCGATTTCACGCCGAGAGTTAGGCCCTCGAAAATTTGTATTGTTTAACGATTGGTAAGATTTACGATGACGAGCAGAAACCACAGACTTGATTATATTGCCATATTTAAGAGTGTTTAACTTGGCCAAAATACAGCTTAACTATAACTGAAAAAAAAACCTGAAGAACGCGCCGAGTTTTGTGACTTTTACTACAAAAGCGACGTGCTCAAACGAACAAATTGTGTAAATATTGAAGTCGTTTCATTGCAACTCCTTTTTTTTTTTTTGAATAAATTTAAGTTTTTGCCGAAGTCCTATTCGAAAATTGAATGATAGATCATTTGCTTTGAGATTGTGAACACGTATTCAAGCTGAACTTAAGGCTATTGTAAGAGGTGTGAATGTTTATTGTTTGCAATAAAATTAAACTATGATTTTGGTTGATTGTCTTGTTTGCATAAATGGGAATCAGTGGCTATGATCGAAAGAATCTTAACAAACGGCCCCTTAATTATTATTTGTATTCTTTACATGTTTGGAAAATACATTAACAATTATCAAATTCTGGGTAATCCAAAAATGTGAAGAATAGTCGCCAGAAAAATACTTACAAAGTGATTTATCTTAATGCCTAAATATATTTATTTTTTCTATTGTCATTCTTATTCTAAAAGTTCAGTTATTATATAGCATTAACAAAGCATACAATTTATTAGAATTTATACAATTTACTTTTTCCTTAAACCTATTTTTTGTTTTTTTTTTTTTTGATTCAATATATTTGTAGTTCGCAATTAACTGATTAATTTTGTAGACGTTATGCAATGTAAAGAAAGGTGTAAAATGGGTTTAAAAAAGTAATAAAGCTTGTTCTTAAGATTATACATTTTGAGCTTAGACTAAATTTATGAAAATTATTCAGAAACAAACCATTTCGCTTAATTAAATATTTGAAATTAAGTTATTTGTTGCTAAAATTTTCATTCAATAATATTGTAAGAGAATTTCCTTTATGAAATTACCATTTAGAATTTCTTTCATAAAAACTCTGAATGGAACTTCATTGAAAAGCAATTGATTGTTTGTACTTAAAATAGTTATTTGAAGTTGGGCATTTTTGAAGGCCATATCGAACGGTATTCGCGACTTAAACATATTCTATTGCCATGTTCTATACAGTTGTGTAGTGCGCCTTACAGTGAACTGAAATGGAAAACAATGATGGTCAGGCGGAGGTGTGGGATGTGATAAACTTCCATTATCTCACCAATAAATTCGGAAACGGGATCGTTGTCGCCTTCGCCGCGCATTGTGCCGGTGATCTCCTCGTTTTCCACCATCGGCAGGAAGAGTTGAACGAATTCCGGCGAATAGGGATGTGTGATGGTCTCCAGAACTTCGGTGACGAAGTAACGGATGAGGGAAATGTCCGTATCCTCGATGGCGCAACACTGTTTGATGTACCGCAGTACGGGAACAACGCAGCCGCGAGTTAGCAGATTAACCATTCGATCCAAGATCATCTTCTTCATCTCCAGTTGGACAAGGATCTCCAGTTCGTCTTGTTTCGATTCGAATAGACGGATGAGCAGGAATAGAATCTGCTGCTGCAGCGTGGGATGCACCGCGGCCACCTCATCGAGAACTGCCAGATGCGTGGGACAACTGTCGGTGGAAAGCTTGAAATACGATGGCTCCATAACAACATTCTCAATCCACCGAATCACACCAACTCCCACAACTGGATATCTGGATTAAAAATATTAAATGTGATAAAGTTGCTTATTAATTTTAAAGTCTTATACTCACTTGATGCAATTGTATAGCGTCTGCAATTCGGCAATTAATTCGGTGGATCCCTGATCCACATTGCAAATGGTATGAGCCTTTTCAATCGCTTGAATTGTGCTCTTCAGCTCCTCCTTGTTCAGCATGCGTTCGGTCATCGGACGCTTTTTGGCCGGCTGATCGATAACAGCTGACGCGTAGGCCAGCAGAAACATGTACTTCGGCTTGTGCTCTGGATTAATCTTAACGCCGGAACGAAAGAGGGCGTCCACCAGGAGCTCCAGGAATTGCGGGTTCCGTATTAAGTCTATGGGCGGCGGATCGGATCCAGAATAGTTTCGGAAGAGCACGGTAATATCGGCGGGATTAAGTGTATTGCGGGTAAGCATCGAAGTTAAGGCTTGACAGGCTTGGGGATAAACTGCTGAACCATTTAAAGCCATTGTGATTGGAGTTACGTTTTGATTGCTGTAAGAAAACAAAGACAACCGTTTGGATTAGATTGAACACTAAAAGAAATACATTACTAACTTCTGCAGAGCGTATTTAATGATTTCCTGAGAGAGCCGCTTCATATTGAATCCACCTTTCTGCTCCTGGCTGAGCACCTGAATCAGCACCTGGGAGTAGACATAGGTGTGCTGACCGTGGCAGACCATGCGAGCGCACTCCTGAATGGCGCCGTGCACATCATCCGGATTGTTCAGAAACTTGACAATCGAGGTCTTGAGAACCCGCGAGAAAACCTCAATTTGCTGGGCTGCCGTTGATATTGAGGTGATTTCGCTCTGGAAACCCGCATCCGATATTAATTTGATGGTAAAGTTCAGCATAAGGCAGTCGGGATATTCCTCTGCTAATCGGTAAATCAGGGAACGCCATGTGTAATGATCAATCATTTCGGTGAGCCAGTCGGGCGTTTCACCCTCCTCCGTGAAGATGGTATCCGCTTTCTTCGGATCAAAGGACTTCAGGATCATTTCCTTCAGATGATTTTCAACCATGGCCTGCACCTCGGTCACTTTTACGCCGGCCAGGATTAGCCATTCGGCGAGAAGGTTGGCCATTTGTGCCACCGCCTTGTAGTTTTCCGATAGCATTGATATAACCTCCTCGGGAGATCCGCCAGATTGGAAGTATCGCTTCAGTTGCGTGAAGATGCCCGGTTCCATAATGTAGTCCGGTGTGAGGAACTTTTCCAGGCATTCTTGAATTGTCTTTTGCGGATTGTCTTCGAGCATTTCCTTGGTGGGGAAAACATTGTTTAGTTAACTCATCTATCGTTTTGGATGTACTTAACAACCAGTGGCGTCACCGGCACCGGGTTTTCCCGCCACGCCGTGTTTCCAGTTACCTCCGGATTTGCCTGCCCTTTAGCGCGGCCCTGCCAGCCGGAATCTTCGTATTCTACTTCCATTTTATAGCAAAATACTTATTTACAATAACATATAAAAAAATTTTCTTATTTTGATTAATTTCCATGCGTTTAAGTGTGGCTGTACAGCATCATGACAAAATACCACTAAAACAAAGTTTAAGAATTATAGGCCGCTTACACTGGTACCCTTAAGGTACATTTACATGCATTGAACTGTGACTAAATATGTTTTTTAGAAAGTAAAATATATTCCTTTTTATTTTCAACATTTTTTAACAACTTTTTATTATCAGAATGTGCGAGTGAAATTCAGTTATTATTTAATCCGATTACCACTCATCGAAGTAATCGATAAGTACCGCGTAAACTAAAATAGATGAGGTGGCAACACTACGGCGGATTGCCGGTATTGATAAACAAATGTCTTTCTGTTGCGGATTTCAAATAAACCTGGCAAGATGTCGAACCAACGAAAGGACATGTGGAAGCTGCTGTACAACCACGTCAATCGGAACGGCAGCAACCTCTCCCGCGTGTACACGGTGATCGAGGACATCCTGTGCCAGGAACCGAGCCTTATAAGTTGTTCCTTGGTGCGCGAGCTGCACAACAAATTCCAGGACACATTCCTCCTTTGGCTTCTTAACAAACTTGCCAAGTGCTTAAGTGAGGCGAAAGATGGCGGCAGGTGGGTGAATGAGCAAGTCCCTTAAAATAAAACATCAACACAAGCCATTGTTTTTCCTCAGCCAGTGCATCACACTGCAGAGGAAAATACTCAGTTCCTGTTGCTCCAATCATCCGAAGTTGTACGAACGCCTGGTTTTGGCCTATGTGGAAGCCTTGCAGGAGATGCACCTGCAATTGAGTGCTTTGGATTTCAGTCAAGTGCGCGAGGAGCACCAGCGAACCATTTCCCTTCGCATTTTCCACTGCGACGTGACTTGCCTTCAGGAATTTGATCCGCAATGCGCCTTCGAGGAGATCAACGTGGCCATTGAGCAGGCCGACATGTATGCCAAGAGTCTGCTGCAGGTACTGCAGCACGCCCATCACATTGGCTATGCCACGCACGGCGACATCTTCTCCGGAAGCCTTCATCAGGCTTTGCTGATCCTCAAAGAGTGCGACATGGACACCAAATTGGCCAGCCTGACCTACTGTCACAGTGTCCTGCGGTCACAGTCCAACGACCGCTGGCTAACCAATCCGGATGTTGGTCATTATGCTCAGCTAACACTGGAGGCAACGGTCATTATTTGGTCCTCGGTTCCCAAGTGGTTGGACATGGGCTGTATGACGCGGCAGGAACTTAAAGGTTTGAATACGGCCACCAAAGAACTGCTGGATGTCTTGCACATCCATGGCCGTTCGGCTCTCGAGCTTGGCTATCTTCTACTCAACGAGATTCTAAGCTTGCCCGCAGACATCGAATTGGAGGAGGGATTACTGGAATCTCTGAGTAAATTTATTCAGGGCCATCTGGAGCATTCGGTTGTATCAATGGAGCAACTTGTGCACTTGCAGCAGCTGTTGCTTATCCACTGGCACTCGCACCCAGCTCATTTACTGCCCATTTTGGCTCTTATGTCTCTAAAGCAAACTGAGATACGCACAGCAGTTGTGCAGGCCCTTTCCCAAAGTCTCGTTCAAACCGTACAGAAAAGGGAAATATTGCCCAACGACTGGATTGAAATAGTGTCCATTTTACGTGCCTTTAAGCAGCTGGAACAGCTGCACCTGTCACAAAGTCAGCAAAAAATATGTTTGGAGGAAAAGCAAATCGATTCTTCAGTTTTGGCGAAACTACCGCTCCAGTGTGAGCTTCCAAAGATGAGTGAAACCAATTGGAACGGCCTTTCCATGCAGTTGGTGGAGCAGGAAACCAAGTGTCCCTCGGCCAAAAAGGATATATATTTCGAAATCTGCTCGCTTCTGATGAAAATCGCTTTTGTTCGGCACTTTTTAAAAACACAAACGCAACACCAACTGCTGGCGATTCTTCAGCGGCACATGGAGTTATCCCACCTGGGCGCCATTCGCTTGGAAACACCTTCGAGTGCCCACACCCAAATGCAGACCTTCTACGCCCAGCATTACATGAACCTCATTAAATCGGAGGCGACACTCGCAGTATTCTGTAGCAATCTACCTCTGTTGTATATTTCGGGTTATATTAAACCGGAGCAACTGCTGAGAGCCCTGCCCTCGATGGCCAGCCAAAGTAGCCGTGCTCATGTCATCCGCTTGCTGCTGTGCTCCCAACCAGGCACTTTGAGTGTCTTTAAAGTCCACGATCGCATCGAGTTGTACTGCCCGAAGTGCCGGCCATTGCCAGAGAAACTTCCTGGAGTTTATCTCGGAAAATGCAAGCAGCCAATGGCCAGTCTAGATTTCTCCAGCTCCCTCCTCGAAATGATAGCCAGGGATTTCCTATTTCATCCCGATTTCAATTACATTTCCCACCATCTGGATGTGCTGAGCTTTGAGCCTGATTCGATACTTTCTCTCCTAAAAGAAACGGATGGATTGCAAAGAGTTTGCGTAAAGATTCTTGGTCATTTGGTTGCTGCAATGCGTGCGATTTCATCCGATTTCATGGAGCAAATGGCGAACCTTGTGCTTGGTGCTATTAAAACGATGCTGGCCAAACCGCTTGCAGAGCAAAATGTTTTGCAACAGCGGCGAATGCTCAACATACTGAACGCCATCGCTCACACGGAAGTCGATGAGATCTGGCTCTTCCACTGGTTCAAGATGACCTTCTTCTTTTTGGTGCACACCCAGTCGCTGGTGGCCCAAGAGGCAGTGCTGGCGGCCACCGAGATATGTGCCAGCCACGGCCTGCAGACGATCAATCTGTGGAACTGGTACAAGCGGGATGCCCTCGATTTGACAGTTCGACTGGCCCTAACTGGATATCTTTCGGATGGCGTTCGGTTCACCAGATCCCTCAGAGCGGTGAGCACTTAAAGACCACTTGAACAAACCTAATTTAACTTGATTTCTGCTCTCTAGTTGACTAAAATGCTGGGCTTTACGTGCGTCCAAGAGTTCACCTGCAAGTATCATCGCCTGTTGACAGCCATGGTTTTGCCGCACTGCATTGTTGAGCCGCGTGCCAAGGGAGTTCTCGTTTTGATAGCCAAGCAGATGCGGAAGCCACTTGCCACTTTGTTTTCCATCTCGTTTCTGAGGCTATACACCCATGTTTATCTCACCGAAGAACCCGAGTTGGCCAACAGTTGCATTGAGCTGGTGGTTAGTTGCACCCAATCCAGTTTGCAGCAACTAATGAATACAGATGTGAAGGTTAGCTATATTATATATATTTCATTTCCTATTTAATAACCATATTCTTTATTTATATTCCCGCTAGCAAACGGTGGCCGAATTGCTAATCTATTTCAACCGGAATCCCACATTTGTGATGCGCTCCTTTCAAAGCCTTTTGCAATTAACAGTCGGTTCGGAGGAGGAGCTATCCAGTCAAACGGCCAATGCAGAGTTCGCCAACTTTATTGCCGAGCGTTTCCTGGGCGTGATCACCTACTTCGAGAGCTGCCTGAGCGAGCCGTCCTTTGAGAAGCCGCTCAAAGAGGAGACTCTCTACAGCTTGGGTCAGATCATGCGCTTCGTGGGCGCCCAGCACGTCACCCAGTTCCGATTCAAGATCATCGCCATGCTGAGCTTCGTGCACACCCTGCAGGAGCCACGACTGCAGCGAATTTGCCTCAAGATCTGGCACATCTTTCTGCATGTCGTTAATGTTCAGGAGTTGGGGCCATCGTTGGGCAGGATTGTGGCCACTTTGCAGCCGCTCTTGGCGGACGGGGAAAACGTTAAGCAGGTCAACGATCTGTACGAGTTCATCATCCTGCGCAACGCCTCTATGCTGGGCAACTTTGTAACCGATCTGTACTTCCTAGACCGCATGGAGAATGTCTCGCCAACGATTCAAAAGTGCATCCGAAGGCATACAGCTCATTTGGACCTGAAGGGTTCCAGCGATGAGGAGGGTCATCAACCCCAACTCTTGGAACAGTTGCGTTTCCTGCAGAAGCACATAACCGACGAGTGCCTACAGGTGCGGGTCTATGCCCTCCAGCATCTGGGTGAACTCTTTCGCAGGCGAAGGCCGCAGTTGAATAGCACCATACTCAGTGAACTGCCTTTGGAGCCGCTGCTGGAGCAGATTGTGAACGTTCTGATGGCCGGCTGTCAGCACGACGATCGTCAACTGCAAATGGCATCGGCCAAGTGCTTGGGAGAGCTGGGAGCCATTGACGCCAGCTACTTGCCTTCGAACTTCAACTTTGCGAGTCCACAGCAATTGCCGTTGAATATTCTATCGGATGACTTTGCCATTTTGGCATTGACTGCCTTGTGTCGCGGTTATCAGTTCCAGCAGAATACCAAGCATGTGGATAGCCTTTCGCTGGCCATCCAGGAAACGCTGGCCGTTTGTGGCATTTCACCCAAGGAACAGAAGAAGGTGCAGCTGTGGCAATCGATGCCGGCGAGGATGCGCCAGGTGATGGAGCCGCTGCTGCACTCCTGCTACACCAGCTGCCAGCGGCCGAGCACCTGCACCCAGCAGCCGCTCTTCGGGAGCCACTACTCGCACAGCTTCTACGAGGAGTGGGCCTTCCTGTGGGCCAGTCGACTGATCGACTACATCAAGTCGTCGGAAACGAAGCATCTGCTCAGCTCGTACAAGCCGTGCATCAAGAAGGATGGCAACATGTTGAGCACCTTCTATCCGTACATCCTGCTGCATGCTCTGCTCGAATGCTCCGCAGATCAGCAGAAGCACATCCAGGAGGAGTTCATGGCCGTGCTGAGGGCCAATGAGGAGGGCTCCAGTTCGGTGCGGGGTCGTCAGGGGTTGGGTGCCATCAAGGAGAACGCCTTCAAGCAGTTCGAGTCGCGAAAGTACGCAGCGGGTGTGAAACCCTTGTCGAGTAATTCGGTTCTGGAGCGCAAGGAGGATTCGAGTCGAGTTCCCCGCCTTGCTGGCAAACTTTGCGCCGAACTGTTGGACTTTTTGCAGCGCTGGCTGAGGGAATGGCAGCGGATCCATGGCCGCAGCACTGGGGGCAAGCCACCGGAGACCATAGATGCCAACTACCGGAAGATCCACGAGTTTCTCAATGGCATCCCCAAACTATTGGTTTCGCGCGCCAGTTACAATTGCGGTGAATATGCTCGTGCACTCAGCTACCTGGAAAGCTATCTCGAGGAGGGCGAGGACAAGTCGAAGCGTCTGCTGGAGCAGTTCACGTTCCTGGTGGAGGTCTATGGTTCCCTCAGGGATCCCGATTCGGTGGAGGGAGCCGTGCAGGTGCGCAGCTACGACATGAGTGTTACACAGGACATTCTGGTGAATCGATTGGTGGAGCGACAGCAGGACATGATCACCTCGTACGAGCAGCTGCTCTCCAGCACGGATCAAATGCAACCGGATCACGTGCGCGCCATGATTGATGCCTATTTGATTGACACACCGAAGACCGCTCAACTGATTGCCGATGGCCTCTGGCAGCGACTTTCCGATCGGTATTCGGGTCAATGTTTCGCCGAGTGCAAGTCCGAGTTGCTGTGGCGTCTGGGCAGCTACGATGAGCTGGAGGAACTGCAGACCAACTGGCCGGCTCGGTGCTCTCAAGGTTGCCTCAAGCTGCGCAAACCATTGACCACTCGCCCGGAATTCGATTCGCTGCTGGATGGAATGCGGGAATCGGTGCTCGAACAACTCAAAAGCTGTTCTGCCGTTCAACAGCATTCCTATGCGAATGCCTACGATGCTGTATTGAAGTTGCATCTGGTTCACGAACTCCAGTGCAGCCAGGAGCTGGTGGAGAAGCTGGAACGAGATGCCAGTCGAGAGAATCAGGAGGATCTCATGAGGAGATACTTTGAAGATTGGGAATGCAGATTGCAAGTGATTCAGCCGCAGGTTCGCGTTCAGGAATCGATTTACAGCTTCCGCAGGAATCTGCTGGCTGAACTGCAACGTCGCCTCACGAATCGCGACCATTTACTGCCCCGTTTGCAGACAGAGCTGGCCAGGATCTGGTTGAATAGTGCCCAAATCAACAGGAATGCCGGTCAACTGCAGCGCGCTCAACTGTACATTCTAAAGGCGGCGGAATACCAGCCCACGGGCCTCTTCATCGAACGAGCCAAGCTGCTGTGGCAGAAGGGCGACCAGGTGATGGCCATGAACTACTTGGAGGAGCAGCTGTCCATCATGCGGTCCGCCTGTCATGGCAACTTCAAGCAACTGCCGCCGGAGCAGCGGCATCTGTTCTTCCAGGGAAAGTATCTGCAAGCCGTTTACAGCGCCGAGTCCATGCACCTTTGCGCCGATTCGGTTATCAAGTATTTCGAGGAAGCGATCAACGTGCATCGCCAGTCGGAGAGCTGCTACGTCCAGATGGCGCAGTTCCTGGAGAAGATGCGCGAGGCGAGGCAGAGCAGTAAGGCATCCGGATCCAACGAATCGGACGACATGCTCATCGGTATAATGGCGAACTATGCGAGATCTTTGCGTTATGGCAGCGAACATGTCTACCAGTCCATGCCGCGCTTGATCAGTCTCTGGTTGGACACCACGGAGACCTCCACGAACAGCGAGCAGGTGAAGAAGATGAACGACCTGCTGACCAACTGCTGCACTGCCCTATCCACATCGGTGTTCTATACGGTCTACTCCCAGATGCTGAGTCGCCTCTGTCATCCCTTGCCAGAGGTTTTCTCCGTGCTGCGGAACATAATCATCCGACTGGTGGAGGAGTATCCGCAGCAATCGCTGTGGATGCTGCTGCCGCACTTCAAGTCGGCCAAGGCGAACCGGATCAAGAGATGCAAACTGGTGCTCACCGACAGTCGACTGCAGAATGGCGCATTCCAGAAGCTGCTGCACGACTTCAACTCGCTGACCGAACGCCTGATGGAGCTGACCAACAAGGAGGTCACCCTGGATCGCACCTACAAGCTGAGCGACTTGGACACACGGCTAAGCAAGCTGTGCAAACAGTCGGAGTTCTCCAGCATACTGCTTCCCTTCGAGAAGTACATGCAACCCACATTGCCACTGAATTCAGATTCGGCAACTGTTTCGTATAATCCGGCAAAGGGGACAAAGTCAAATTGGTTTCCCTACACGCAGATCTACATCTGTGGCTTCCAGGAGTCCGTCTTGATACTCCGGTCGGCGGCCAAGCCCAAGAAGCTAACCATTCGCTGCAGCGATGGGCAGGATTACGATGTGCTGGTCAAGCCAAAGGATGATCTTCGTCGCGATGCTCGCCTGATGGAGTTCAATGGCCTGGTCAAGCGGTATCTCCACCAGAATGCTTCGGCCAGGCAGCGCAGACTCCACATTCGCACGTACGCCGTGTTGCCCTTCAACGAGGAGTGCGGCTTGGTGGAGTGGCTGCCCAACTTGGTCTCCTATCGCAGCATTTGCATGAGCCTGTACGCCCAACGGGGTCAGGTGATGTCCAGTCGTCAGCTCCACCAGCTGGCTGTGCCGCTGAATGAACCGCTGGAGCGGAAGCGGGAGGTGTTCCTCAAGCAGTTGCGACCCGCCCATCCGCCGGTTTTCCAGGAGTGGCTGCGCCAGCGATTCGTCACCCTGCCCAGTTGGTACGAGGCGAGGAATACCTACATCCGCACCATAGCCGTCATGTCCATGGTGGGCTACATCCTCGGATTGGGCGATCGGCATGGCGAGAATATCCTGTTTGCCGAGGGTAATGGGGATGCCGTGCACGTGGACTTCAATTGCCTGTTCAATCAGGGGGAGTTGCTGGCCTATCCGGAGGTGGTTCCCTTCCGGCTCACCCAGAACATGATCACCGCCATGGGGCCGCTGGGCGTGGAGGGCAGCTACCGCAAGTGCTGCGAGATCACGCTGCGCCTGCTCAAGCAGGAAACCAAAACCCTGATGTCCATGCTGCGTCCCTTCGTCTACGATGTGGGTGCCCAGACCAGGAATGGTGCCGCCGCAGCCAAGATAACCAAGGATGTCCAGCGCATCGCAGATCGTCTACAAGGACATGTAAGTATTCCTTGGATGCTTTTAATAAAATTGTAGATCTTTTTACTACCACATCTGATTTCAATATAATTTACTATATAACATATATTAATTTACAGGTCAAAGTTCAGCAGGCCAACAGCATTCCCCTCTCCACCGAAGGACAGGTGAACTTCCTCATCAACGAGGCCACCAAAGTGGACAACTTGGCTGTAATGTACATTGGCTGGGGAGCCTTTCTCTAAACCCAGTTCAAGGATTACCAACAAATACTCGTTTTTCTACTGATTCTTTGCCTTCAAGTGTGTAAATAATTTATGTTGATTAACTAATATAGGTCTAAGACAATAACTGTTAATTGTTAAGTTGGGGGAACTTAAAATTCGTTTTTAAAAGAGCTTAGATGTTACTTCGTATAAAGAGTTGTTGATTAAAGTCTTTCCTGTGAAATGTACCTTAAAAATTTGTAAAATAATATAATATACTATATATTGTAATTCATATATAAAGATAAACAAAATATTTAATGTATTATGATCATAGTTGATTTTATTATTTATTTACACCACCAACTTGCTGGTGGGCGGAACCTTTCTGAACACATCATTCACCACCTTGATGATGAAATCGGGCAGCAGACAAGCTGCCGAGCAGATGATGGTGAAGAGCCACAGAGGAAGTGAAGCCAGGAACTGATTGTAGACATCGTACAGCTCGCCACTCGAGTCCAGATTGTAGAGGTACGTGGTCAGCATGAAGGCGACAATCGAAGCAAAGATCATGGCGATATTCAAGTAGGTCATGTAGCGACCCACCAGTAGCAACTTCAGGTTGCCCACAATCACAATGATGGTTATCAGCATGGTTCCGAAGGTCTGGAAACTGGCAGGTTGGCCTCCGTTGAAGAGCACATTGGCATCGTTGAGAACCGCGTAGGTGAAGTAGAAGATGATGAAGCACTGGACAAACCCGTTGAGGATCCACAGACAGAAAACCCCCATCGATGCCTGCCGATTGTGCGCGAATCGCTTGTACAGCTCCGGATGCCTGAAAGAAAGTTAAGAAATGTGTTTTATTAACTCCAGGGTTTCTTTCTAATTTATTTTTTTAACAAACTGCTTCATTAATTAATTTTTTTTTTTAACTTTTATTCGATTTTTTGTAGATTTAATGTCTTAACCGCTTTCTGGATTTTCAGTAAACTTCTAAGACAATAACTTCTTTAATTGATCACCGATTTCGAAGTGGAATACCTCTCAAAGTTTGTAGTTGAATTCTCTAAAAAACTGCATCATTAGTTTAGTTTTTATTTTTGGACCGATATTTTATCAATTTTTATGATACAACCCCTTTTCAAATTCCCAAAAATGGGTTTGACGAAAAGTGAACAAAATTCCAGTGCTTCTTATCTCATAACTTGTATAATTTTTATCCGATTTAAAATTGCAATACCTCTAAAAATTTGTAATTTAATACCCTTACAGTCTGCATTATTATTTCATTTAATTTTTGATATGCAGAATACTGGCCCAAATACGCACTTTTCCAATATTTATTAGACCTATGTCTTGGTACTGAAAACTAAATCTATTATTGCGACATACCTGAGCAGGGTCTCCTCGCTGTAGTCCTTGTCGGAAATGGCCAGATAGGTGAAGCTGAACGAGATGTAGACGATGTCGAAGAGCCAGAGGTACAGCGAGTTGTAGACGTTGGTGGCGGAGAAGAGATCGTAGACCTGGAAGAGGGCCATGCACCCGGTGATGATGATGTTCTTGTAGCAGTAGAAGAGCACCAGGAACGCCAAACGATGCGAGTTGTAGTGTCCGTGGACGAGGAGCAGTCGTTGCAGCATTTCGAATCGAGCGATGGCGAAATCGGCGCACCTGGCAGCCTGTTTTCCCTCGCGACCCGTGATTCCAATTCCGATGTGTGCCTCCTGGATCATGGACACATCGTTGGCCCCATCGCCAATGGCAGCGGTTATATACTTCTTCGTCTTCTTGATCAATGTAACAATCTCGCACTTTTGCAATGGACTCAATCGACAGCAGAGAACCGCTCGACACTTCAAAGCCAAATCGGCAAACTGACGAGGAGTTTCCTTTAGCAGAGCGGTAATTGTGATGCCATCCACCACGAGAACCTCTGGATTGTCGGCGTCAATCTCCTCCAGTCGCGTGAGGAGCTCCTTTGGATCGGTCACGTTCACAATGAAGTGCTGTTTCGATCCGGAAGGAATATGCCGGCAAGCGAGTCCAATGTTGTATGCAGTTTCCACTTTGTCGCCGGTGAGAACCCAAATCTTCAGTCCAGCGGTTTGGAGAGCCTCCAGAGTCTCACCCACGTTTTCTTGCAGTGCATCCTCCAAAGCCGTGGCACCCAGCAGGTCGAGACCTAAAAGATAATAGTATTTGCTTCGTTTCAATAGGAGATATACCAACTTTCTGAGTTGGAGCTTATAGATTTCAAATATTTTTGGAATTTTCCGTACAAAAGAACTTCTGCCTTTAAGATCTGAACTCCTTAATCAGCGATATAACTTACCAATCTCTACCGTTTCGTAGCACTCCCTGATCAGCTCGTTTCGATTGTTTAGCTGGGTGTTGGCATTCCTGAAGAGTCCTTCAAAGTTGGCCAACTCCTCGGGGGTCAAAGTTCGTCGCGCCACGGCCATTGTGCGGAGACCCTTCTTCGCGTACTTCATTATCTGCTCATCGATCACCTTCAGGCGGGGACTCTCCTTGCACCTCGGAAAGATGGCGCTCTCCGCTCCCTTGGAATAAAGCCAGGTGGTGCCACTCTGATCTCTCAAGATCACACTCATCCTCTGTCGCTCCGAACTGAATTCCAAAACATGCAGCCGCTCGAACTGCAGTTTCTCACCACTTGGATATCGACAAAGGCGAAGGACATCGTTATCCTGGCCCTCGTAAACGAGTCCCAAGCTGGCGCATCCTTCGAGAAGAGCCTTCTCATCCGGACTGGATGCCTGATATCTATCAACAATCTTCTTGCCCATCAAGTGACTCCTTTCCGAAAAGGATTCTGCCGATTCCAAAGGCTTTTCACCCAAATCCTGAAGGATCTCCACAGTGTGACAAACAGTCAGTGCCTCAAAAAATATATTGGCTTCACTCTATAATAATAAAATATATATATTAAGGTTAAAGGTAAGAAAACATTGCTTAAAAACCTACTCACATCAAGTTTTTCCAATTCAAATTGTTCACCAGTTGCCTCGCAAAGTAAATGGGTATTTTGCAAAGTGAAATCTTTATCTTCCACATAGCAATTAACAAATTTCATCAGGTTTTTGGTGAGTGTACCAGTTTTATCCGAGAAAAGTATGTTAACCTGGCCCAATTCCTCGTTCAAATTGGATGCATTAACTCGACAAGGTTGATCGGTCTCCTCGTCGTACAAACTCAAGTCATTGTGCATGAAGTGCATTCCGAAAATGCGATACAACTCGATGTTCATATACGCTGAAATGGGCACCATGTAGTTGAAGAGCAGCAGGAACGAGAGGAAGTCCTCGAAGATTTGCCAGGCGGAATTGAAGTTGGTTGGCGGACCCAAAAAGGGCATGGTTGGCACAATCTTTGCCTCCTTGTGTCTGTAGAAATATAATTTAGAATGGAAAAAAAAAATAAGATATGTAATATATTATATATAGGATTACAAGATGTAGGTTCAATCATTTTTCAACTTGCTTAATCTTAATATAGATTACTATAAACAAAGCACGTAATGAATACTAAAAGTTGTAAACACTTATGCTTAAATCGGTTCATTGGTGATATAAAAATAGTAAAAATAATTATCTACTATACTATACTATACTATACTAATTATTTATACACAAAACTGTAAGAGCACTCACCTTTCAATGAGATACAAAACCACGACAACGACGATCATTCCAACGATGAGTGCCACCATGAACCTGTTGATATACTTCTCACTCGAAGCGGATTTATTTCCAGTGTAGCGGCTATTCAACTGCAACTTGGTGTGCATACCTGTGTATATGGCACACCCTATAACCCGATCGGTGCCCTTAACCCGAACTCCTCGGAGCAGAAGGTTCTCAATGGTCAGGGGAACAGCATCTCCATTTCCGCCTCCTTCGGTTTCGAGTCTCCCATTGAAATTGTAGAGATCAGAGGTGGAAGCCTCGCAAACAACGCAATCCTTGCCAGAATTTCCATCCTCGTTGGAAAGTGTGTAGTTCGGTGGAACGGAAATGGTTTTCAAATTGGTCTCACCATCCAAATTTGCCGTGTTCACAAAGCATTTTCGATCTGCACTCGAGGATTTCAGCAAAACGAGATCGCAGGGAACATCTCCCCCATTTTTCACAACCACAAGATCGCCGGGAACAATGAATTCCGAATAAATAACTTCTTCCTTTCCATTTCGAATGACAATAACTAAAATACGATTTAAAATGAATTTAAAGAGGTCAAAGAATTTGTGACCATTTTATGATCTTTTAAAAATGTCAAAAAAATGAAAAATTCAAAAAATACAGACAAGATTACAAGATTATATTTATGGAACTCAGATTTTGTATTCTTTTATTTACAACTTTATTGATTTTTGCACCACTTTTTCTTTAATTTATAATATAATTAATTCCTTACCTCTAGCTGTGTTTACAAGTTTATCACTTTTCGATCTCGAAAAGTCTTCCAATCCCTCCTTCAAAGCCGTGATTATCATGACAAAAAGCAGGGGAAGCAGCGACACAAGCGGCGATATTGTTTCATCTAGTTTTTATAATAGATATAATTCTTCAAATGCGAACTCCTTGAAGTGCAGCCATACTTACTTACGAAGAAAGACACAATTGTGATGATCAAGAAATAGAAATAAACAGCTCTCCTGAACTGCTCATAAAAATTGAGAGGCAGGAAAGTTAACCAATTATATTTAGTGGTTGTAACTCGATTCAGAGACTTCTTTTGCCGACCATCTATACCACCGATCTGTATCCGCAAGGGATCACTAGATTTTTTCTTGCTCGCTCCCATAATCACTGTTTTAATTTTACCTATTCACTATATTTTAATGATTCTAAAACTGTTTCATTTTAGCCGAATTTAAGATTAAAGGAGGTGGGCACGCGTGATTACTTTCGGAGCCAAAGTTGGACTGAGTTTCGAATAGAAATAGCCAAATAAATTGAGGTATGATAAAGATAATGTTCCATTTGCGCTTATATAAACTTATTTTTGGTTTCCAAGTGGTTCTGTCAAAAAAAGGCTGACCATTAAGTTTTCGTGTTTCCGGCGTTTTGGCCGATGTCGAACTGAATTATCGTCATTAAGCACCCACGATTCAGATTAGATGCACTCATCATTTCAGATTAATAACGAATTTGAATCTTCCACGCGAAGATTACTTCAAGCCAACGAACAAACCATTTGTATTGGCTGTTTTTCCCCTTAGCTGATTAAATGTTTCGCCTATTTAGAATTCCAATATCTAATCCGCCTGATATCTGTTTACATACTGCTATAATCACTTGTCTAATCAGCAGAACACCTCGATTATGGCACTGCCACTTCGAGCTCTTTTCTAAAATAAATGAAGGTCTTTAAACTCTGGACTCCCTGCTTCTGTTTTCGGGAAAGTAAAGGGTTGCCGACTTTTCCAAATAAAGGAAAGGAAAGAAAGGAGGAAAAACTTTCTACTTTAAAGAAAGACATTTTATTAACTTTTCACTTAAATAAATATTATATTTTGTACATAAAAATATTGAAATTGTTAAGCATTGCAGATATTAGATGTTGAAAAATTACTCATCCGCCATGTTGACTGTGTGATATTACTTATCCGCCATGTGGCTTATGTTTTGTTACTCATCCGCCTTGTTGGCTATAATATCACGTATCCGTCATGTTGTCATGTTATATACAATGTTTAATATTTGTTGCTCTCACTTTACATGATTTTTTTTATTTATTAAATCAAGTGCTTGGCCTACTGATCCAGTTCTTTGATGTTTCTATCTTTATGCTATAAAAGATATTGTTAATTAAATATAATAAATACTTACTAAATACACTTCAAATCAGACTTAATTCTTCAGCTTAAATTCATTTTAAAAGTTACTCTCTTTTGTAATTAGAAATGCATTTTCTACCAATTTCATATTATTTAGTTGTTATGTTGTGGTTGCCAAACGCACTAAATCACTTTGAATAAATGTTTGCAGACATTGACTCTTACCGTTGCCATTTGTTTACTGATTTCTGTGACTCACATTTATGATTTATAACTGGATCTGTGCCACATGTGCCCCCTTGATGGGCGAGTGAGTCAAGGTGCCTGCGTTGCACGCGATTCCAGATTCAGATCCAGATTCAGATAGGTTCGCCCGTCCGCAGAGCCCGACGGATATGTGTGTGTCCGTTCCGTCCGTCCGTTCAATGCTGAACGATAAGATATTGTTATCGACATTATCTCTTGGAGTAATGGAGTAAAAAAAAGCGCCACCCGATGGGCTGGCTTATTCGCTCGCGAGAGCGTCGGGGTTGAGAAAATCGCCCGAGGAGAGCGAATATATATATCGGGCGGAGAACATATATTCAGTGGGAGGATCGGCGGCGACTGGGCGACTCCATCAATCGGAGAGTGCAATGCACTTGCCGTGCTCCTATTTAGGGATATCTAAAAGTTGGCAAGAACCCGCTGCTTTGGGTGTGCTATTGGATATAGTATGGGTATGGGTATGGGTATGGGTATGGGTATGGGTATGGGTATGGGTTTGCCAAACGATTTCGCTTGTATTTGGCCACGAACATTCATGAAAATGTCCGACAGGCTAGCCCATATATATGTATATATACATATATGACGACTTTTGTTAGTGGTATATCGGTATCAACAATTCTTCGACAGTTTGCCGATAGATCAGTTTGCGCGTGGAAGGTCTCTCCTTCCTTCGTTCAGTGAACCTATATGTCTTGTATATTTAGTTGACTCTGCCGTTTGTTTACCCGTCTTTTTTGTTTGGCTAGGACCTTGAGTGCTCTCGACAAGCGGACAAAACAAATCAGTTAATAAACCAAAGAAAACTCAACTAAATTCCGTCGCTGGGAGAATGGTATGTTCACCCCAAAGATCATGTCCCACCTAAAAAATAAAACATCCTTTTTATTCATATAAACAAAATTACATCTTCCGAAAGTATTTATTATTAAAAGTGATTTAGTGATGAAGTGTTATGTTGAAGATCAATTATAACAACAACATTTTAAGCAACGAAATTGTATAATAAAAATATACATTAAGTAAATTTTATGTTTATAAAATATAATAGTTGGGTGAATTTCTATGAATCGAGAGAGAAATATTTTAAGAATATAATCTAGAACCGTTTTTATTTTTAAAATAATATTTCTATCAAAATTGAAATTAATTAATGATGAAATTTTGTATGTTTGGATCTTATAAACACGAATCAAAATATTGTGAAATACGAGATAATAAAGCTATCCTAAAATAACTTGGCTTTTATGATGTTTAGTGATAAATGCAGAGAGGAATGCTTTTTTCCTCTCTGAAATCCGTACTTCTTATCTTTACTTAAGGGTTATAAAATGACAAGAAGATTTTTGATTAGGAAACGAGAATTACCTTGGTCATGTTAACAAAATGATAAATCAAGCGTTCGATTTGTTCGGTTTTAAAAAATTAAAAAAAAGAAGCTTCAACCCAACCCTTTCTTAAAAAAACATTCGATGTCTGTAGTTTTTTTTTTTTTTTTTTTTTGGAATTGTCGCTCAAATAATTCTCGAAGAGCGTCGATTAGTCAGCTGAGGTGCCCGGCACTTAGATAGATATACCCATAATCTTATCAGTTTTTTGGCAGTTTACATATAAGCGGATAGATATGGGTGGGTCTCAGCCCCGACGAGAGTTGTGTTGGCCTCCGCCGAGAAGAAAGAGAATCACAGTGAGATCGTTTCAATAGGATATCGGATTATATAGCCGATTCTCTGCCACGGATATCAGTTTGAAAAGCACGCTTTGCGAGACCAAAAGTCTATGCGTTCACCACCTTGTTCGTTCTCAACTGAAAAAGACAAAAAAATATACAAACTTTTTCCAACCCTTTTTTTTACTCGTTATAAAAACACAAGTTACGTTAAGCCATTCGACTGATAAGCAATGTGCAACGCATAAAGATAAAAATATATTAATTTCTACACTTACAACTGAAGTTATGGAAATGGAAATGGAAATGGAAATGTCTGCGGTGCTTTTATTTTCGTCAATCGTGCATCGAATGACTCGCATTGAAAATATTGCATTCGGCCAGATAAATGTGGCCTATTTCGGGTTAGAGTGTGCAAGATTCGGCTTTTCAAACTGATGGGCGATAACTTACTCATCGAACTTTAACGAAGAGATTACCTGACTAGTCGGCTATTGGTTTCAAAAAAAAAAAAAAAAAAAAAAAAACAAAAAAAAAAAAAGAGGGAAAAAAGTTATTCCCGATAAGCAATACGACGAATTCGTGGTAACGAAGTATTTTAGAGAGATACGGAAATCGGTCAGTTTTAGTTATGCTATTGTTTCGCGTCGGTGCCGCATTGTCCCCAAATTCAATCAAATTTATGAACTTGGTTAGGCCCTAAGCCCCATTTGGCAGTGGATAAAATCAAGGCAGCACCATGGATAAGTTCCTCGAACGACTTCTTCGCAAAAGGGTGAGTTCAAAATGGTGCCATTCGATTGTATAACACCGAAAAGAACAAACAGCGGATATTGTTCCTCTATAAGGTCGCTGCATTAATGTGATTATGTGAGTGCGAGTGTTTATCCATCAACTAATACTTCAATAAACTAACTTGGTTCGTCAATATGTTGCGGAAAAATGAAAGAAATTCCCGGTTTGATAAAGTTAAGTCTTCAAATTTCATCGCATTTCTATTCAAAATTCATTTTCGATACATTTCACTTTTAAATCCCCCCAAATAATTGCGAATTTCCCGTAGTATTTGGGTTTTCCTTTCCGAATTGATTGATCGACAGCCATGGACTAAAAACATATGACTCATCTTAGATTACACAGAAAGAATTTTAGCAAAGCCAAAAACTAAACGCTTGATTATTTATATTTACTTTGATAAGGGAAAAGTATATATTGCATTTAGGAAACTTTCATATTGTATTTTTTAAATAAAAAAGTAAATATTTTATTGGTTAAATAGAAAAGTACAATTCTTTATTCATACTCTTCTTAGGAAATATGATAGCAAACTTTACGAGCAAGGTTTTACTTGATAGCCAGACTTGTTATTTTTTTATAACACCAAACAAGATAAAAAGTACCTCAGTTCGTACGCACTTAATTCTCCAAGTGCAAACGTTTTTAATATAGAACTCTTTAATCGAATTAAAGCAGCATTAAAAATGTGAGTTTTGCCATTAAGTGAGTATATAACCCAGGTCTTTCGTGTGCTGCCTTTCAATAAGTTCAATTCGCATAAAAAGATCTTATTTAAATGAAGCAACAAACTCCAACAAGAATCAGCTTTCGAATTGCGATCGTGCACGTAAAATAGTCAAAGCTAGTTCTTAAACAATTGATTTTGATGAGATTTGATTTGCGCGGAACGTCATCGAATTGACAATGCGGCAAATTAACTATGCACTTTGAACCTATTAGTTTGGTTCGCCTCGACTGTCTTCGTAAACTTTTCAACCGGCGACGTCAATAAGTTTGTTTCTTTTTTATTTCGAGCTTTTGAATTGAATGCCCGAAGCTGAGGCGCTTCTACCGATTTTCGAAGCTGTGAATGAAATGGGAATGGGCATTAGTATGGGTTCGCATCGTATCGTATCGTATCGTATCGGATCGGATCGGATCGGAATAGGAATAGGTATGGAAATGCAGATCAAATTCTCAGTGTGAGAACGGCTTTTCAGTGGCGCACATCTCGTGAATTTCGCGCTATCTGTTTAGTTATTTTTTTTCTTAGCTTCCGCGTTCAAAGGAGTCGTTAGAAATACAAAAAAAAATATAGTGAACTATATAGAACTAAGGCCAAATATCATAGGCAACTTTTAAGTGAAGAAGTGTGTGGTGTGTTTGGGCAAAGTATAAAACACAATTAGATAAGATCCATGTAAATGGAAAGGCAAATATGTACCACGCACTGATACGATACACAAATGCCAACAAATCTACTATATGTGTATAATATATATCTGACACAATGCTCGTGGATGTGCATCATAGAACTGTTCAATTGAAGTGTTAAAATTGCCCACTTAACATCGTTTTAAGGTTATACATTTAAGTGTGCTGAGAAAAAGTCGATAAATATACAAATGTCTGTATGTGCATTAGGGCGGACCTGAATAGTATGCCAAAAAAAAGTAATATCTTTGATATTTGAATATCAATAAATAGAAAATATATGCAGAAAAGATAGCACACTTAAAACCATACCTATAAAAGTTCGATCTTTTGTACATACAGTCGTATTGTGTGATAATCATACAAGAAAAAATAAAAAACAAACAAATTAACAACAACCAAATGGCAGGTGTTTGAAAATGCGATTGCGCCAAATGCGAAAAAAACGGGCATTGTTGTTATAAAAGTTTCCATTGTCCGGAAAAATCATTTCCCGGCGTGGACGCGTGGAAATTTTGCTTAGAGAAGAGATGATCTGGCGGAAAAGTGGTCGCACCGCCACCAAATGCCTCAAATTGATAATGTTGAACAATGAATTTCTTTGGCCATGAGCATCTGAGCGGATTTCGACGCATCGATCGGATTGGATCCTTTCCCACGAGTCCTTGGGCAGAACAGGAATCGTTCCACCTGAAGGACACCTTCCTCTGGAGCTGGCATAAGGTGTGTGATCCAAGCATATAGACGGTCTGGTTGTGCAATAGTGCTGGTGTACGCAACATTACGAAAGAACGCCAATCTAACTGGCTTATGTGGCGTATGAGTAATATAGACAACTAAAGTGTTCAGGTCATTGTCCTTAAATTAAGTACATGAGCACTATCAATGCGAATTCTTAAAAATAGTTATTATTATATTATTCAGATTAATAGAATTAAATATTTGAATCATTAAATCATTTTCAAAGATTTTATAGTTACATATACAGTCGACTCTCGTTAATTCGAAACTCGAGGGACTCTTGAAATATTTCGAATTATCGAGTGTTTGAAATATCAAATGGTTCGAAATTTGTTCTAGGGCTCATAGCTAACACTAACTTTTAATATGCATACCAACGAAAGAGTAACAGTAACTGAATAACTACACAAACCAATTCGTAAGAAGTGTGTGCGTCAAAAACTACATAATCAAAACAAAAACAAAGGCAAGTTTGAACTTGTCGCAAAATTTTTTTCTCTGCAACTTTGAATTGTCGAGTGTTAGACGCTGATGAGTTCGAATTAACGCGTGGTTTTGTTAAATATCAATGATTTTTTCGTTCGAATTACCAAGTGTATGAAAATGTATTGATTTAGTTCGAAATATAAAGAGATTTCGTAGGGACCTCGTGATAACTTTGAATTATAGAGAGGTTCGAATTATCGCAGGTTTGAATTAACGAGAGTCGACTGTATCAATCTTAAACTAAGAAGTCATTAAAGCTTCACTTTGTTAAAACCACTCTACGTATAGATAATAAATATTTTATTTTTTAACTCAACGCTTCCTTTAATCAACTAAAAATGGAAGCTGATTCATTGCGCAGACATAGAACACAAATATTCTGATAATAGAAGCTCTTATCACCATAAATACCTACCATTATGCTTTCCAATCAGCCCAAGTTCACCCGTTTCTTGCCGATTTGTCTTCCAGGGTTCCAGAGTTAGTACAATAAATGATTGGCTTCAAATACAAATCGGTGGTCCTCAGGATGTCAAGAAGAAACGGCCGAAGGGCCAAAATCGCATCAAGTCAACAAAATACACGTTAATCACATTCCTGCCACAAAATCTTCTAGAGCAATTTCGAAGAATTGCGAACTTCTACTTTCTGGTTATGACAATTATATCGCTTTTAATTGGTAAGAACAATTTATATGAAACATTTAAATATTTTTAAATACTATTTTATACTTTGCTTATCTATTTATGTATTTATTTCTTAGTGGTTAGAATTATTTCATTTTGAGTTTTTGTTTTTGCTTATGTTTAGATAGTCCTGTGTCTCCTATGACTTCGCTTTTACCCTTAGTATTTGTAATTGCCGTTACTGCTGCCAAGCAAGGATATGAAGACATCCTGCGATACAGGACCGATAATGTGGTCAATTCCTCACCAGGTGGGTACCAATATACTCCTTTCAATTTAGTCCTTTTTTAACAAAACTAGAAACTAATAAAATTTAATTTTATGGTTAGTATTTCCATATAAAAATTTAACGAATTAGCATTTTCTTTAATATATAAATGAAATGAAATTGTTTAAAAATCAAGAAATATACATATTTCAAAGAAGTTACAAAAGAACTATTCATTTTAAATAATATATCATCTAATCTGATTTTATTGTATATTGTATAATTATTTCTTTAAAGCAACATCTTTTGAAATTGCTTTCCCCTTTAAGAAAAGTTTTTCTACTTTTTAGCAAAAGAGATTCCCTTAAAATAATGGGAGGCTGCTCTTGAAGATAAAAGTATGGAAAGAGTCTTAAGTTTCAACCACTTGTTATTTAATTTGACATTTTGTTACATTTTTTTCTGTGTAGTTACTGTGATCCGTGATGGAAAGGAGGCGATAATTAAATCCCAGGACGTCTGTCCCGGAGACCTGATCGTTGTGGAGCGGGACTGCGATGTGCCATGTGACTTGGTCCTGCTGCGATCCACAGATCCCCATGGCAAGTGCTTCATCACAACGGCCAATCTGGATGGGGAGTCCAACCTGAAGACGCTGATGGTGCCAAGGGATCTGCCCACCGTGGACATCCAGGAGATGCACAAGCTGGGGATGATCGAGTGCGAGAGTCCCACCACCGATCTGTATAGCTTCAATGGCAAGATCGAGCTGAAGGGCGGGGAGGGACGAGTCCTGCCGCTGTCCACCGAGAATGTCCTGCTGCGAGGATCGCGGGTGAAGAACACCGAGTGCGTCATCGGATGCGCCGTCTACACGGGAATGATCTCCAAGCTGCAGCTGAACAGCCGACTCACCAGGAACAAGAACGCCTCCAGCGAGATATATATCAATCGGTTTCTGATCGTCATCCTCATCGCCCTGATCGCCATAGTCACCCTGCTCTACTTCCTCAAGAGGTGAGTTTCCCTTTGGGAAAGTTGACTTGATATAATCCCTAAGGAAGTATCTTAACTTTGATTAGAATCTTTTTTATCTTTTTATCAGTAGTCCAATGTATGGAGGTACTTACAGGTTTAAATATTTCAAATCAATTGGTGAAGTTCATTCGCCATTTAAAGTCTGTTCAGATACACGATGAGTAAAATCTTTATCTTCCTTTTAGCTAGCTTATATATTTTTGAATTCAAGCTAAATCAAAATTTTATAATTTCAACTATGTACATATATTTATTATACTATAGTTATGATTGTTATTATTATTATATTATATTATATTTATTCTATTTATTATCATCACATTTAATTGAACCTTTTTTTTATCAGATACAACGAACTGTTTGTGATCCCGAAGTTGACGTACTTGGGCGACGCGACGGACAGCTACAGTGTGAAGCAGTTCCTGCAGGACTACTTGTCCTTCCTGATCCTGTTCAACTACCTGATCCCCATCTCCCTCTACGTGACCATCGAACTGCAGCGGGTGATTGGGTCCTGGTTCATGGAGTGGGACATCGAGCTCTACGAAAAGGAGACGGACCAACCCTGCGTGGTGAACACCTCCAATTTGAACGAGGAACTCGGCCAGATCAACATCCTGTTCTCCGATAAGACTGGCACCCTAACCAAAAACGAGATGAACTTCCAGCAGTGTTCCATCGATGGCAGTAAGTTCCTCTTCAAGAAGACGCGACTGGAGGATGCGGAAACGAAGGCTCTCTTGGATATCAATAAGTTTAGTGTAGGTTTAATGAACCTTTAAAAAACTAACTTGATAATCCCTAAAAATGTTATTTTAATTTCCAGGCAAGTCAGAGGAATTTCTTCCAGGCCTTATCCATTTGCCACACCGTTCAGGTGGCTTCTGGTTCACTGGAGGAGGCTGATTCATCGGGCACCAAGAGAGAACCCGTGGCTGCCATCAAAACTGGTCCACCGGAAATGTACCAAATATCGGACATCACCGAGGAGAGTCACAATTCTAGTCAGCAGAGCGAGCTCAATGTGAGCCACACCATCGATAATTCCCTGTCCGGTCATCCAAATGGTGCTGGTTCCACTGCCGTTTCATCGGATGTGAATCCCCTCCTGGTTTCCGACGAAAGTTACGGCGTGGAGCGTCGCAAACGGCCGGTGGTTGTGAAGAGGAGTCCCAACTTTGCTCGCTCCAATCGAATGCACAATGGTCCCGCCATCGATCCGAATCCGAATCAGACTGATCTTAATGGTTCTCCCAATGGCGGCGGAGGATTGGGAGAGGCTACACCGAACTATCGGCCCATCTCGCTGCAATTCCGACGCTCTACCTCGGAGAAGGATCTTCCCCAGTCGTGGGAGGCCGCCAATGTCCAGGCTCCCGGCCATCGGAGAGCCCACTCCTATGGCGCTCCCAACGCCTACCTCTCCAGCCTGCCCCTCTCGCCCCCCGACCGGCCGCCCAGCGGCCTCTTCCGGTCCACGAGCACCGCCTCCAGAGAGTCCTACGCCGCCCCCACCTTCACCCGGCAGCCCACGATCCTCGTCCGCGCCGAATCGCAGCGCAGGAAGAACGAGATCCGCGACTTCATATTGTGAGTGTTATTTTTAATTGATTAATAGTCACATTAGCAAAGTTCTTTGAAAGTTTGGAGATATTTTCAAATTTATTGCCTACATTTATTATTGCTTTTTGAATGCTTGACGTGCAGGAAAGTGAGATTCGCGATATCAAATTGTAAGAAGGTTTTGATTTTTGATTAACAATTGGTTAACACAAACCACCAAAATGTATCAGAAACTTTGTAATTTAATGGAAATCTCAAACGAGGTTTGCCTTTTAGTTGGTTAAAAAACTTTACGAAAATAAGAAGGATATATCCATGATTTATAATATAATATACATTTTTTCCGAACTTGTAGAATTTTTTAAGTAAGTTTAATCAGTAAGCATTAACCATTTAAGATCCGAAAATAACAATCTAACATATTTGTTATTTTACAAGAATTTTATCAAGTTTTGATATTTTGTACTTCTGTTTAAGTGCCTTGAGTTTTTTGTGTCGCAATTTTTGTTATCAGCTTGCATAACTTTTAATAATCGGATGATTTCAGAAAGCAACAATCCATAAGCAATAAAAATATGGTATAGATTTTCATTCGTACCTACCTTTTTAACAATAATATCTATATCAATATCAACATATTCTTACCCAACTATTTTCCTAACTTATTGAAAGCAGTTTGATAATTTCTTTTTTGTAAATTACTTTCCTTTAGCACCTTGGACTACCAGGCTTCGAGTCCGGATGAGAAAGCGTTGGTGGAGGCGTGTGCCAACCTGGGAATGGTTTACACCGGGGACGATGACGAAACCCTTCGGGTGCGGATCGTTCCGCCGCACATGGACTACAAGCGACCGTTCGCCAAACCGAAGGAGGTGACCTTCCAGCGACTCCACGTCCTGGAGTTCACTTCGGATCGCAAGAGGATGAGTGTGATCGTTAGGGACACCGACGGCAGGAAGTGGATCTACACCAAGGGAGCCGAGAGCTATGTGTTCCCCCTGTGCGCCAACAGCTCGGCGGATCTGGTTTCAAAGACTGACGGCCACATCAGTGACTTCGCCAGACTTGGCCTGCGCACCCTGGCGATTGCCAGGCGTCTGATACCGGAGGAGGAGTACCAGGACTTCCTCGTCGAGTTGGCCCAGGCCAACAGCTCCCTGGAGAACCGGAAGCAGCTCAGCGAGGAGTGCTACGCCAAGATCGAAAGCAGTAAGTACTCCTTTTGCCTAAATGGTTTAGCTTTAGGTGATTAAAGTTTAAAGTTTAAAGTGATTAAATACCTTTAATTACTTACTTATTAAGAATTTTAAACACAAGCTTTATTGCTTATTATAATATTATAATACAATTTACAATGCAATACACTTACTGTGCTTTATTTCAAAGCAATTATAATATACAATATAACATTCAGTTGTACTTATTTTCTATCATCCAAGATCTTCATTTTCTTACTTCAGTTCAGTATTCAAATAGTTTTTACTGATCTACTTGTTTTCCATTTTTTTATTTCAATATTAGAATAACTTTGCTTATGAATTTATTTTCCATCATCCAAGATCTTTAGTTCTTATTTTATTGAAATATCTCAATAATTTTTCAATTTCCTAACTTTAATTCATTTTTCAAGATCTTGACCTCCTGGGTGCAACTGCTGTGGAGGATGCTCTGCAGGACGATGTGGCGGATACTCTGGTGTCCCTTCAGGCGGCTGGCATTAAGATCTGGGTGCTGACAGGCGATAAAGTGGAGACGGCTCTGAATATAGCGCTGTCCTGTGGCCACATTCCGCCCGATGCCAAGAAGTACTTCATCATCGACTGCAAGAACAGGGAGGAGATGCTGTTGCACCTGAACGCCCTCGATCGGGAGATCATATTCGGAATTGGTCAGGAGTGCGCTCTGCTCATCGATGGAAAGAGTTTGGGAGTTGCCTTGGCGGAGGCGAGTTCCGAGTTCCGAGATGTGGCCGTGAAGTGCACGGCAGTTCTCTGCTGTCGCCTGAGTCCGCTGCAAAAAAGCGAAGTGGTGTCGCTGATCAAGTCCTCCAATGAGAACTACAACACGGCATCGATTGGCGATGGAGCGAACGATGTGTCCATGATCCAGGAGGCCCATGTGGGCATCGGAATCATGGGAAGGGAGGGCAGACAGGCGGCTCGATGTGCTGACTTTGCCTTTGCCAAGTTCTGTATGCTGAAGAGACTGCTGCTCGTCCACGGCCACTATCATAGTGTTCGATTGTCCCTGCTGGTGCTGTACTTCTTCTACAAGAACATCGTCTTCATGGGGATCATGTTCCTGTTCCAGTTCCACACCTTGTTCTCCTCGTCGTCCGTCTACGATTCGCTGTTCCTCACCTTGTACAATGTGATATACACCTCGCTGCCAATCCTGTTCATAGCCATCTCCGAGAAGCCCTACACCGAGGAGAAGTTGATGAGGTGAGTGGTCTGGGGTAAGGTGGCATGCCAATCAGGCACCCTAACCTTTTTTTTTTTTTTTCCTATTTGATTGAAAAGAACCCCGCAACTTTATAAGAAGAACACGGACAATAAGCAGCTACATTGGCCATACTTTCTGATGTGGATGCTGTTCGCTATTTATCATTCCGTGATCATTTTCTACTTCGCCTTCTGCCTGTTTACGTACAACAACGTGATCCTAAACTACGGACAAACGGTGGCCTTCTCCTGCTTCGGAACCCTTCTCATGTGGACGGTGGTGATTGTGGTCAACCTGAAGCTCTGGCTCGTGTCGATGTATCTGTCCTATTGGTACATATTCACAATCATCATTTCCATTCTGGGCTTCATTGTCACGACGGTTATCTACAACGTTATCGATCTGTGAGTTCCTCGCTTCTTTTTCTGGGTCAAGTGTGATATGTGTATAATATTATATTATATATTATAGGGACTTCGATACGGACATTTACTGGGCCTACAACAATCTGCTGGCCTCTCTGCCCGTCTGGCTCTGGCTGCTGGTGACCTGTGTGGCCTGTCTGGTGCCCGACTACACCATCCGAATGCTCGCGAGGGCTCTCAACATCAAGAGCTTCAGCATTTTCCCGGGGAAACAGCGGAAGCTCAAGATGCGCGAAAAGTTCGAGAACACGTACTTGTAACCGACGACCCTAGGCCATAGTTTTTATATCCCTAATTTATTTATTTGCCCTATGTATACATTTTTTTTTGTTAGATAAACAATTTTTGTTGAAAAATTATCGTTGTTTTTCTTTTTTCTTTGGTGCCTTTTTAGGTACATTACCTTGGTATAACTGATAATATTATTATCATAACCGGAGAATTTTTTACAGCAGTAACATTATAACCAAAAATCATGGAACGTTTTCATAATAAATGGGAAAAATTATAAGCTGTTTTCTTCTTTTCCTCTTTTACTCAAAAATGCATTTTTTTATAAGGTTATTTAATTGTAAATCAGCCAAAATAAATGTTACAGCTTAAGGAAAAACTGTTTTTGTCAGCTGACAACCTAAACTAACAAGACCTATCACTTTTTGGCGGATTACGATAGTTTAATTTTTTGACTCATTTTTGACTTTTTAATAATAACTTTTTAATAACTTTTCCAATAATTGGCAAAAATTAAAAATTTCTGGGCTTTAATGTCAATCGATTGCAAATTTTATTACGAGTTCAACGTTATATGACACTCCATATTCGGATTAATATTTCCTTGGATTCCATTAAAAAAATTTATGTTTTCTGAGTAATTTTGGCATTAAGAAGTTTTTCTTAAAGTAGGTTTAAGTGGTTTTAAAATGTATATCAAATAGTTTTTTTTGGTTTGAAGATAGGCAATGGATTGGACTATCCATGTTTAAGTACTCTTAATAATTTCGTGCTCAAAGTTGTAGTGTATTTATAATAAAATTAAATACTTCTGTAGGTAAATGTATTTAATTGAGTACGAAATAATCACACGAATAGGAACCACTAAAACGCAATTTTTTTTGTTACTCCCTAAGGTGTAGTTATATTCCGATTTCAGGTGTGAAAAGTGCTTATAAAGTAGGGATAGTTGCGATTTTCCCACCTGCGTAGGGCACTTGTTCCGTCGACCTGCCCACATTGAACCATCATATTGCCATATAACTATACCGTTATCTGGTTGATGGCGTCGTTCCCATTTGCATTGCCTCAGAAATACCGAAACTCTGTTTGATTGTGGTGCCTTTTTCATTGATAATGGTATCTCGCATTCCGCACATTTATACTCTATATATATGTATGTAGCCAAGCAAGATATGGGTGTATTTTGCAGGTACACATCGTATATAGAAGATCGCGTCATAAGGCTGGCTGCTCGAGAACGATTTCAGTGGAGATTTGGTGGCTGTGTTTTATGGTCGAGTTAGTGGTCAATACAATTCGTTTGTTCTGGTTATTTGTAACTATATTTGTGTTGTGTTTTTTTTTTTTCGAAATAATAGCAATGAGTGTGTGCTATCAGTGCGAGGTTGTCGTATAGATTTCGTGGACGCCCTAATGCCAACACAAGTGCAAAGCTATATCTAAGCCACGTCTGTGTGCCGCGAATGACTATGGCGAAGGAAACTCTTAATCATTATTTTCGGCTGAGTTTAGTGTGCACAGGGCGGTTCTCGGTTCGCAGTTCTCTAAAATAATTATTAATTATTCGAAACAGTATATATAAGTAGTATATATATAAAAGAAAACATGTCTTTAACCAAGACATCGTCGAGGAAAGATCTATCGGAAGTATCGGGCCAACCGAAATCCACGACCATAGTCAAGTATGAGAAGTCCTCGTGCCTCTTCTGCAACGAATGGTTCGATGCCCAGACATTCACGGTTATAATCGCCCAACTTATCCAGTATTCCCCATTTATTTGCGATAACATTACTCTCACTTTTGGCCGTGATCCCCGCAGGAACACCTCATCCACTGCGGTCAGGTTTTGGAGGAGTGTCCCAACGGCTGCCAGGCCTTTATTCCACGAATTCGAATGCGTTCCCACTTGAAGGAGTGTCCCAGGAACCAGCTGCAGTTGAATCAGAACGGCCAGCGGATGAGTGTCAGCATGGATCGGTTGGACAGGCAGTCGGATCAGCGACTTGTGGTCATCGAACAGGATGTGGGCACCATTCGATCCGTTCTCAACGAGGAGATCCGCCAGCGATTGCACCTGATCACCGATGTGGGGAACATCCGCAAGCAGAACCAAGTGGTTGAGGATTGGACCCGGGACACGGAGAAGGCCATCGATGAGCTGCGTCGCCAGTTGGATGAGGAGGCCAACCAGAGGGCCTTCGCCTCCGAGCAGAACCAGCTCGACTTTCAATACTGCTGTAATATCGCTCAGGTGAGTTTGGGGAATTTAATTTATTCCATTCAGTGAATGATGAAGGGATTGGGAAGCACGTTAGAAGCTTTTTCTATTCCAGAATTTATTTATTATTCGTTTAAGGAATACAATTCTGAATTCAATTTGAAGAATAACACTTAATTTTTCTCATATTTGAAAGAGCTAAAACGTTAAAATGTAACAAACAAAATAAGAAACCAACAACGTTATGAAACACAACAAAGAATGTAAGCCTTCAACTTCCGCGAAGCTCAAAATTAAACCTTGGAGCAAAGAACAAACAAAAAGGTTGATAAACTATAACCAGAAAGATAATAAACTAAGAGGCAGTTTCTGCGTATTCATTTTGATTCTTTATTTGTTACCCAAGTTCCTTAATCGGTTAAAAATGATATCTTTATGTGATCTTTATTGCAGTCCTTAAAGGAGCAGGTTGAATCAAGACTTGACGAGGCCCAAAAATTGGTTAACCAACTCTCGGCGGATGTTACCTTCCATCAAAACCAACTCAACGATAATATTCTCAAGTTGGAGGAGTTGATATTCGAAAACGAGCGACTGAATCGGTGAGTGGAAATCAATAATTAAGTGGCATCAGCATACTAAAATACATTTTAGGGAGAAGTTCTTTCAGATCGAGGAGTTTCTGCAGCAAATCAATGAGGATATTAAAACAAAGTTGGGAAATAGTGACTACGTCACTTCGAAATACGCCACTTTGGATTATGAGGTGAAGAATGTTAAGAATATTGTTTGCGAAACCGAAGAGCGTTGCGATAAATTGGATCGAGCACTTCATCAAACCATGCAGAACATTTCCGATTTGGAAACACAAATGGCAATGCAGCAAAGGATTGCCAGTGTGCAAAATATTAGAGGTACCTACTATATAAATTATGTACTTTTTATGTTAATTATTGATTTTAATTTTGCTTATGTTACTTGTTTTTCAGGCCACTTGATTTGGCGCATTAAGGATTACTCGAAGAAACTGGATGAATCCAAACAGTACGATACCATTTTGCACAGTGCCATGTTTTCCAATAAGGCTTTTAGTTATGCTTTAAGGGTGAGTTTATATTATAATCATTTGATTTAATATAACATGTATTTTACTTATATATTAGCTGGATATTTACTTGAATGGCAAGGGAACCTGGAAGGGTAGGAATTTGATTGCCTGCCTGAATGTTTTGACCGGCGAATACGATCCCCTTTTGGCCTGGCCATGTCGCCTTCAAGCCGAGATCATCATTCGCGATCAGTGCTCGAATTTGGCCGATGCCGAGGATTATGTCAAGACAATTTATGTGCGAAAGAAGAGCGACGACTTTATCCAGAGCAACCAGTACTTCCACATACCGCACAGGGTGATCACCAGTAGGAATTATCTTCGCAACGATTCCATGTTCATAGAGGTTCGAATTCTCAAGTGATCATTAATTAAAAAAGAATTCCAGTTTTGTAATACACACATGTATAATAATTTATTCCATTGAGAGCGAACTAGCAGTTAAAAACCCGCTTACAAAAACGAGATAATGTATAGTGTATAAGTGAATACAAATCGATTCTGTTCAATACGCGTATATATCATATAGTTTTGTTTTCAGTGTATGCTTTGCAGTTTTAAATGCTATTTGTGAAGTAGGCAATAAAGTTACGTTGAGGCACTCGTGAGACGAAGTCCATAGATGGAAATTGAATTAAATGTTTAAATGTTTAGTTTTTATTTGTTTATTGCACTGTAGTTGTATACTTAATAAAATATTTAGCAAATTGTTCATCGTCCAAACGAGAAGCAAGTGAGACGAGAGGAACTTCCATAATTGTTGTCTTTACGAGCGCTTTTAAATACAAAGGTCTTTCAATAAAACAAACACAACACTTGCTAACCGTTGGCCTTTTCATCTTTTTAAGAGGTATCAAATTGTCGAGAGGATGTGGGATTTTAGTTCCCGTTTTCAGGTAATATCTGTGAGCACTTAAAGTCCACAAAGTGGGTCATTTTCATTGTTTTGGCTCCCTTGGCGTGTATGTTGTATGTATGTAAATGATCGAATACATAGAAAAGATAATACGTATTCGAATAATTGAATTCAAGTTCGATTTGGTTTGAATATTGAATATGGGATGGATCTTAAGATGAGCGCTGTTCACCAACGAGGGCGTAAAGAGCGTGCTTGTAGTGGCCCGAAGTATCGCCCTGAAAAACATTATATTATTAATATAAATCTACTTTATATTATATAGAATTCAATATATTAACTTACCTTGATCCAGCTCTTTAAGGACTTGCCGTACAGTCGTTCAAAAGCCACCTTGATATCATGCATATCGATCTGGAAATTGGAATAGACGTTAAGCTTGGTTTATGGAATACATTATAGATTATGGAATATATTACCTCGCACCGCGTGATAATCACACGGATCAACTGGGTGTCATTGGTGCCGATTCCAGCCATCGACTTGTGCAAACGCGAGGCAAAGTAGTCGGCCTTGTTTGTGACACATCGGTAGATGGCAATCAGACCCTCCATCACGTCGCCCGAGAACTCCTTCTTGATGGCCTTCTCCAGCGAGTGGCCAGTCATGCCCTCGTACTCTTGGAATATCTAAGGGAAAGAATAAATGCGTAATACACATTAAATACCGGAGGAATATAGAGAATTAAACTACAAACATTTAGAGGTATTCCACTTAAAAATCGGAGTGAAATTAGAAAAGTTGTGGATTCAGAAGTAGTGAATTTGGGTCACTTTTCAGCAAACCCATTTTTTTTTTTTGGAAATTTGAAAAAATTAAAAATTAACTAATGATGCAGTTTGTTGAAGAATTAAACTACAAACTTTTTGAGTTATACCACTTTTGAGTCGAAGTCAAATTGGAAGAGTTATGGGCTCTAAAAGTGCAATTTTGGGTCACCTTTTTGTTTTTTCCTCGCTTTTCCTTACCATTTTCAACTGCTGGTAGTTCCTCTGGCAGAGGATCATGTTGAACATGCTCTCATCGGTGCCGACACGCAGTTCGCCGGCTTTGAGCAGCTCCCTGGCATCGTTTTTGGCCGCAACTGGATCCACACGGCCACTTTCGTCCCGCGCCGCCGTGCACAACGAGGTGAGCAGCCGTTTGAAGTTGCCCGAGGTCTCCGACTTTAGTTCCGACTCCAGATGGGCACCGTACACTATAATTATTATATTTCTGAATATATAATATATAAAAGATTAAGGCTGGATGAAACGTACGTCGTAAGTACTGGTTTTTGATCGTGTAGATCTCCATGTTGGACAGCGTGCAGAGGATCTCGATGAGGACCTCCTCGTCGGTGCCCAAGCCTGCCATGGCATCGTTCAGTTCGGCGCAGTAGTAATCGACGATGGGACGCAGCAGGCCGACGAGGAGCTTCTCGAAGTTGCCGCTCGTCTCCGACTTGATGTCTTCGATGAGGTCCTTGCCGAAGTGCGTCTTGTACTGACGCTGGATCTCCTGGCGCTGCTCGTTCGTCCGCCGGCAAATGATGTTGATCAGGGCATTCTCATCCGTGCCGAAGCCCTTCATCGCCTTGCGCAAATCGTGGGCATCCTTCACGGGATCGAATCCTTGCGCGGCCACCACAGTTGGAGTTCCCTAAAGAGTAAATTGGAAAACGGGTAAGAAACTTGCCTTAAACAAATCGATTTCGTTTTGATGAGGTGATGAAGTGTTAGTACTAAATCCCCGGTAAAAATGGGTGAGTGCCCAGCAGCCTATAAAACGATACTTTGGAGATTTAAAGCTTGTTAACTTTTACCAAAATGAAGTCATTAAATCTAAGCACAAGATCTTAAAAAAGAGTAATTTTAAATTTAAAATGTAAATATCTGTTGGGATTTAAATTTTCCCTGACAGATCTCAAATTAATATAAATAAGATTGTATTTTTTAAAGCCTGCTTTTAGGCACCCTTTCAAGTGGTTTGAAACCCCTTTTTGATGACCAACCTCTCTGTGAGCTGTGAGTGACCGATGCGCGTGCCCCTGACCATTCCCATGCCCCTGTCCATGCCCGTAACCCTGTCCTTGTCCATGTCCTTGTCCGTATCCTTGTCCTTGTCCGTGTCCTTGTCCTTGTCCGTTTCCGTGGCCAAAGCCCGCATCATAGCCGGCTGTCATGGCCGGTGTATATCCACGATCCGGCGGATAGGGACTGTTCGTCGGTTGCTGATGATGTTGCACCGGAGGAGCGAATTGTGAAGGATAGGGATTCGAACTGGGATAGGGACTGGAAGTGGCATAAGGACTCGAATGGGAAGGAGCGGCCGGGTAAGGTGCCGACATTGGTGGATAGGGTGCACCACCGGGATATTGTTGCTGCTGCTGGTGGTGGTGGTGCTGTGGGTGGGCGTGTGGCTGGGGGGGCGGGGGGTATGGCGAGTTCTGCTGCATCGGTGGCACCCAACCAGCTCCAAAGGGCGCTCGCGGCGGCTCGTTAGTGGAGGAGGGGTGCGGGTGCGATGGCATTCCGGATCCCTATAAGAAGTCGGAAAAGATTTACAATTCAAATTGACTCTGTCGAGCTGGAAATTCAATGAGCTCACACGGCAAAACACTCGGGACAATTATTAATTGTATATTTTAAATTAGGATAATTTTGAAGAGAAATATATATTTCAAAAAAGGAATTTGTGGCCGAAAATTAAAATATTTTATATACAATTCATAATGACTTATAAAGCAAAAACAAAAAAAAATGTTCCCAGAATAAATTTCTAGCTTTTTAGCACAAAATTTAAATTATATTTTATTATTTATTCTTTTTTTAATTTTATATTCTTTCACCTCGCTGGTAATTTTTATATGTGGTAGTAATTAAATTGAATATTTAAATTATAAGAAATCATAAATAAAAAGTATAGATTGTTAGTAAAAAATAAGCATTGGTTAAAAGGATGGTTGATGCTTTTGAAGCTAATATATTTATAATCTAAAGCCAATAGCATTTGGAAACTTACGAAGGGATACATTATGAGGGAGATTCTATTCTGTGGGGGATTTCCGGTGATTGAGATTCAGTACTGGAAAAATCAAAAATAGCAACAAGTGGGGTTCATTAAAATCAACATATTTACACACTTATGTAGAAAACTATTATTTCAATATTTAATCAGTTGCTATGATCACCATTCTTATTTTGTTACCATACACATGTACAAATACTTAAATCTACGGAGAATTCATAAATGTTTGTGCCCACCAATTCTATTTCACAAGATTCCGAAGGTTGGTGCTAATGACTGTGGCCCAAATTGTGCTAATAAAAATGGTAATCGATATCAAAAAAGGTTCGATTTAAGATATAATACGTTCTGACTTTATAATTGCAATCACCGAAAAATAGGTTGGAAAAACTACACTAAAATTAACATTCCTACCAGAAACAAAGTAGAAATGTCAGGGGTCTGCAAAAGTATATATGTTTTGTGGTTGAGAACAAAATAACGACTGCTTTACTTAATATGCAAATTTCAGAAATATGATCTCATGGTAAAAAATATTAAAAAACAAACTTGCTACCCACCCACCTAGATAAACTTTATAAGTGCAGTTTAATAAATATTTATTTGTTCAAATGAAATTTAACCCTACCCATCATTACAGTTTAGATATTCACACCCATTCATTTTTGTATTTATGCACCTCTTTTATAAAGCCAATAACCCTTTCCTTTGTTTTTGATAGTAAGCTTAGTCATAATCAAATGGAAAATGGTCACGAAGGACGAGTCTAAATATAAACTTGGTCCGGGATTAAGCTCTTCCCTAAATTAGAAGTCAGTATCTCTGACTTTATTATACTATTTCTTTGCTCCTCGCAAAACCCAACCCAGAAACGCAAATTATATTGTGTATCCTTTGGGTTTTTATTTACGGGTCATGCGTGATACACTAATGCTTTTTTTTGTATTTTCTTTTCTTTTTTTTTTTTGCTCCAGTCATCGAGACGCCACCGACTGTATGGGAATGGCAACAACTGTCTGAAAAATATATTTGCACAAGTGAATTTGTGCCTTTTTCTTTAATGTTGGTTAGAGCATTTACCATTCAAAGCTCTCCTTGAAAATATAAATAGAAAAATTATAACCTGGTAACTAAGACTTAGTTTCTTAACTTAAAAAAGAAAGTAGGAAGAAAAAGATATTGAATTGAAAGGTTATTGACACTTTGTAACTCGTTGTCTTATTGCAATAATTTTGCACAGTTTGTACGAAAATAAAAAACCATTCTGATAATCCAAACAATGAGGCTGTTATCGCCAATTTTGTATTCGAGCAACATCTGAAGGTTTGTTTGCACAGCGACTGAATTTGCCCGCTTTCAAGATGATTCATCTTACAGTCGAACCCACGTCATTTCATTTCCCAGTCCGCTGGTGTTTGCATACATAAGTATCTATATCTATGTATATCAATTGAGTCATGCTTTTACACACGAATCGCGTGATAATTTGTCTACGAACCCAAGATTCATAGTTACAATTTATTTAGCACGTGAATCACGAATTCACCTAAAAATGTGTTTTAAACAAACTAAATCGTTCGAGTGGAAAACCAATTGCTCTTTCTTTTCGAATTCTTAAGATTCTTTTTGTGTTTCTGATGAAGCTATTATTCATTTTTAATGACTTCTCTTTTTGCATACAAATTTTGTATACTACTGCTTGGATTTTTCTGGGCTTTGGCCAGACGATTTAGTTAAGGTAGGACTGGTTTTACCACTTACAAAACGCACTTTAACCTTGCTGGTTACTTATGAGCTGTGGCTTTGAAAATAGTACAAAAGTTTGCGTTGTTATGAATTTTAAGTGGCCGTTCAGTTGGTCAAAACTATAAAACATTAACAGCCGAAAAGTACTTTAAGGTTTTAAAACAATGTTATCATATTAGTTATCATACGAATTAAGCCGGCAATATATTTGATTATAAATTATTGAGTAAGGTAAAGACCCCATTTTTTGCCAAACAGATATACTCGTGTAAATCGCATCAAATCAATCTAATAATAATAATTACTAATTAGTCTACTTCAACTGAGGTGGTTTCGCAAAAAGATATAAAGATACATTTAATGAATTATTTGTTGTTGGTAAGCTCAATAATGAACTAGTTATCAAGATTATAACCAATTTAAATTCTGACGTAGGAATTAATAATAATGTGGCATTATTAAAAGCCAATTAAATTCCTATCTATAAAATTCTCTTGATAAAGAACTAGTTGCTTATTTAGAAATATTTGTAATAGTTTCTTTTTTAGAACAAATACACAACAAATTGAAATTCAGAAGTGGGAAAATGTGTTGGGGTCGCCAGAGTATAAAAGCATACAAATATGCGTATGTATGGGTTCCTAATAAACTGGGCGATATCATAATGATTTAGATGGTAATTATCTCCTGGCAAGGTCGCAAATCAACAGATGGGCGCAACGCATACAGATGCACCAGCAGCACATGGACACGTGTCTGTGCCGGTCTGCTTTTTGCGTGTGTATGTGTGTCCGTGTGCGGGTGCATTTTAAGATACAATTGTATCTGAAGATACCAAACGAGTGTTTTTTTTATTGATGTTACCCCGCCGCAAGTCGGACGATATGTATTGCTCAGTGGATACACACATATGGGCACACGAATACGTATATATCTTGGAGATTATTTGGGAACAGTCTTAGAGTTAGTACAATCATAAATGTAAAGTCCTCTTCTATTTCACATAGCACACACACAAATCACAAACAGTTGAGCGAACAAGTAGCGCAGAAAAAAAAACAACAAAAAGAACAAAGTCGGATGGTAATCTTAATGCTTTTAATTACTTTAAGTATCTGAAAACGCGACGACGGCTCTCTCTGCGATGTATATTGTAGTGCCGAGGTGATTTTATCAACTGACTTACCGCCAGGGCGGGACAACAACCTGTTGCCTTTTCTGATAACTCGATTGTGCGGGCCTGGTCGATACATTCACTCCCCTCAGCTGTTTATCGATAGATATCGAAGTAATAAGCATATTAAACGATGTACTCATAATTTCGCTGAGCGCTTATTATTGCCCGGAATCGGGGTATATATATATTTTTAGCAAGTGCAACAACAACACAGACAAACTACCCACTTGATTTTCTTAACATAGGGGTTAATTTTCTTCAAAAAAATATGTATCTCAAAAACCTTACTTTAGAAATTTTGGAAAGTTAAATACAAATTTAAGAAATTATAATCAAATAAATCAAAAAACCCACAAGTAAATAGGGATAAATGAATAAATAAAATAATAAATAAAATAAAAAATAAACAAATATTCAAACAAGTGTATATATAAGTGTAAATAAATATGAAGCCAAAAAAACAACTTTTCTTGAAAATTATTTAAATAATAAATTAAAATGATAGTGTTGACTTTTTCAATTATATTTTTATTCATTTTTCTGCTCAAAATTCGGTATTTTCGCTGGGTAAAAAACAAGGTCTTACAGCGTGCCAGCTGTTTTTTAAACGAAAAAAGGACTGCTTCCATTTCCCCCCAAAGGATTCACCATGGGGATGAAATCAATAAAGATATAGCTGCTTAAGATGTTCCTTAGGATAAGTGTAAATAGTTTAATTTCTGTGGTGATTGTGATTCTGGTGGCTGTTTATTGGTACCGATTTCCAGGAAAGAATGGTGAGTTGTATTCACGAAACAAGGATATATGAACTCATATTCTTGCTCTTCAGTTGCCGAAAAGTTGTCCCGAAGGCCACCGGATCCGGAGGATCCCCTGCCCCCATCCAATTCGCCACTTCTTCAGTTTTCCCAGGCTGCAATTTGTTGCGACAGCGATGTTTGCAGTCAGTTGGCCAAGAAGGTCCTTGAAAAAGGAGGCAGTGCGGTGGATGCAGCCCTGGCTGCCTTAATTTGCAATGGATTGATAGGGATGCAGAGCATGGGAATCGGCGGAGGCATGGTGATGAATATCTACATCCACAAGGAGCGCAAATCCTACAGTATTTTGGCAAGGGAAATCGCTCCTTTATCGCTGAGCGCCAAGAACTTTTCGTCCTTTCAAAAGGAGGAGGATCTAAAGAGGTCCAGTTGGTCCATTGCAGTTCCCACTGAAATGGCAGGATATGCACTAGCTCATCAGAGATTTGGAAAACTTCCCTGGGAGGATCTAGTAATGCCCACTTTGGATTTATGCAGAAAAGGCTATCAACTCTACAAACACCAATATGATGCTTTGATTCTTAATCAGGAAATGATTAAAAACGATCCTTTATTGCGCAGGATGTTCATTAATCCTGATTCTGGTAACTTTTGGCCCTTGGGTCATTTGATTCGTCCTTCTTCTCAATTGTGCAACACCTACGATCGATTGGCAAAGGAAGGACCTCTTTCATTCTACAAAGGATCCATTGCCGATGATTTGCTGGCCGATTTAAAGGATATGGGAAGTGCTATTGAGAGAGAAGACTTAAATCGTGCTCATGCCAAGTTAACTGAGGCTATTGTAATGCCTTTGGATGAGTATGATCTTCATTTGACTCCGCCGCCAGGAAGTGGTCACGTCCTGGGCTTCATAATGAACATTTTGCGAGAGTTTCGATCAGACTTCTCAAGAAACAAAGTTATGAGTCCTAGAGAAATCCACCTTATGGTTGAGGCCATGAAATTCGGTTTTGTTAAGCGTTGGCAACTGGATGAAGCAGCTGATGAGGAGGTGAGTTATACATAATCCTTCTCTTTCTAAATCATGATATTGAAATACTAATACTAATATTAATTTCAAAAAAAATGTATTCTTTATAAATTATTTATTCTTATTACTTACATACTTACTTACTAAGAAGGGGTAATCTTCTTTTCTTTTTAAACAGCTTTTAGCGAGTCTAACCAGTCAGCAATTGGCCAAATCCATAGCCCAGAAAATTAATCAATCACATACCTTCGACAATGCCGAATTTTATGGAGCTTCTTCTGGAATTAAAATACGTGATGAGCACGGAACGGCTCACACTTCAGTTTTATTCGGGAACGATGCTGTTTCAGTCACCAGTTCTATTAATTTCTAGTAAGTAATACCCATTTGTGCCTAATTCATAAATATATATTCCGTTCTTCTTAAAGTTTTGGCAGTGGCCGCACTGGAAAACGTACAGGTGTAATATTCAACAATGCCATGTCGGATTTCTCCATTGAGCAGCTGAAGAATTACTTTGATTTGCCATTCGTTCCTGGTAAAAATCAAGTAACTCCCGCTGCTCGTCCCATGTCCTCGATGAGTCCAGTGATAGTTACAGAGAAATCCTCTGGAAAAGTTCATTTGGTCGTGGGTGCAGCTGGTGGAACCAAAATAATATCCTCACTTGTTCCACTTCTCGTGCGAATTCTTTGGCAGGATGGAACCATCAAGTCCGCCATTGATGCCAATCGCATCCATCACCAAATGTTGCCCAATGTCCTGCTCTACGAATACGGACTTTTGGAGAGTTATGTAAAGACCTTGGAGCAGAAAGGACATAAGTGTGAGCGATATGAAAATCGAGGTTCCGTCATCTGTGGAATCACCCAAAATAATGAAACCATTTGGGTGAACTCTGATTTTAGGAAGCCAGGCGGTGTTAGTGGATTTTAAATTAACTGCTAAGTAAACGAAGGGGTTACAACTCAGAAAACGGTGTAATATGTTAATATCAGATTAAGAACATGATGAATATCTATAATGTTAGTCTTAAGATGAAAATGTTCCTAACCCGGGATAAATTAAGATGTGTAAATACAAGCACAATATGCATTAGGGCATTTACTAAATTATATTTTGGCTAAAAAGGTGTTAGAGATATCCAATCTATTTATAAGAAGTTAGTAAAATGTAAATATAGAGTATGCTTACCAAGAATTGGGACATTAAGGGGGTTCCATACAATTATTATAGATTATACAATTATATATATTAAAAAAGAGATTGTGAAATACCCAAACTAAGTAATTTATTAGATAAATAATGAAAACATGCATTTAATAATTTGGAGGGTTCCAAAGGGTTAAAACAGGTTTATTGCTCAAATATGAACTATGAACTTTAGATTGTATAAAATTAGCTATGAATAGGCAAGTATCAAAACGAAATGATCTAACTTCAAGTCTCCAATTTCATATGCACAGAAAAATAGTATTATTATTAATAAATTATTTATTTGTGTTTGTTTTCTGTAGTTACTAAAATAATTTAAGTAGCATAAATTAAGTAAGCTCCCTTACACAGACGTGTAAAAGAGCTCCCTGTTGCGGTGGCAACAAATAAACAGCGTTATGTATAAGAATGTTGCAACAATGCCCAAAGTGTTGAGCGCCATCGAAACGGCGAGAAGATACTTCCATTCAATCCGAAGCACTGCACATCCGTCGTTTCTGTAACAAATAAATGGTTTACTCACCAATTCAGTTATAATGTTCGAATGTAAAACCTACTGCGATGACTCCTCGCTTAATTCAGAAGCTATTTGATTATCGGAGGCGATGTTCCCATTCTCAACCTCTTCCGCCAAAAAGCAGGTGCAATTGTGGTAGTTAAGAAGTGAACTGGATGTTGGGAAGCATTCACCATTCGCATTCGATCGATTCAGCTCGGCGAACTCGATTGCCGCACAAACGAGGGCCAAACAGCAGAAAACCAATGCCAAGCCGGTGAAAACGTAGGACTCGGCCAGAAGGACCTTGTAGCAATTGTTCCTTGGCCTGTGCTCTATTTTGTGGTCCCTTCGCAGCAGGAAGAGACCCGCAACACTAGCCAATAAAAGCTGTAAAGATCAAATCAATCATTAAGATTCAAAATATGACTTGTACTCAATTTGGGTTTTCTATTATTTCAATGAGTTTAAAATGCATTTGAAATATTTTTTTTGAATAATAGGTAATTCATAATAGTTATAGATAATATATCATCACCCATTAACTTACCGATAAGCCACTTAGATAAGGATTGATTAATATCGATGCATTTGGCGCTAAAATAAGTATCCAAGCGGCAAGTCCGACGATCAGAACGCCAACAGCTAGCTGCATAATTAGGAGTTGCCGCGAAATATTCAGGTTCCTGATGTAAGTCTCTTGGAGAGCTGCACAAATTAAATAGAAATATATATAACTAATAATAATTATTTGAAGCTTATAGCCTTGAAAAGGTTGTAATAAACATAAAAGCTTATTGTGCTATACTATCAAAATTTTATTTAACTATTTCTACCACACTTCAAAAAAGATATTTATTAGTCAATAACTCTATTCAAATCAATTTTCTATCTTTTAAATGAATCGAAAAGCTTGGATAGACATTTTATTGCTCCTTTTCTGATTCATTTTAAGCTAAACTAATTTACTTTGTAAAACTTTCCAAAGCATCTCTAAAATGATTGATTTAAGTGGAAGCTTATGTTTCTGTGGTTTGTATTATTTGCCAAAATTAAAGTGGTAAAACCACCCACGCAAAATGTGTTTTAATTAATGATTGAGGGAACTCACTGTCGTTGTTTTTGTGATTGACAACGATCATTCGGCTGTGCCGCAAGCTATTTCTCGTTGGCGTATGTCGGCCGGCGATCTTCATGCCTTTCATGTTTTGCGGAACCGTGGTGCTCATGTAGACGGCCTTTTTTGGTCAGGAATTAAGACATACAATTAGTTGTTTAAATTCCAAATATCATTAATATATATATAATATATCTCTTTACCCACCTGCGATGCTTGAGGGGGCTCCAAATCGCTGAGGGGAATCTGTTCGTAGGTGGTTGCATAGCGAAGTGCCCGATTTGGACCACCGATAATGGTTAGATCTCCGGACGGAATCGAGGGAGGTTCCGAAGCAGTAATCTCCGGTTTTTCATCTCGTTGTGGTACATTTTGGTACTTCGGTTCCGGCTTGACAACCGGCAGCACTTGAACAGCACTTTTGTTGACCGCCGGTGACTCATAGTTGTTGATGCCAAAGAATTTTGACTTGGCATCGTTTAGAGCCGCCTTCACAGCCGCTATGCTGTGGCTGGTATTGAGTTCCGTTTCCGGTTCCAAGTCCGGCTGCAATTCCGGCTCATACATTCCGGATTCCAGGTGCCTCGACTGCTGGGAACCCAAGTTATCGTAGGTGCTCACGGGACGGATTTGCTGCATTGGCATGGCTGCCTAATATCTTTGGGTTAGGTGCTCATTCTGGAACTATATATTCACTTAATTAATCTTGTATATTTATATTATTTTTATACTCATTTGTATTACCTATTGAAAGCACCAATCCAGGTGCTACATGCATAATCCACTTGATCGCATACTCTGAAATAGAAAAACCAGTCAAACAATGGTAATAAACTCAATTCGAATGGACTGACAATTACATGACCAGCACTCATTGCATTCAAATAATTACACATGTGCGACGACGTTTTGAATAGTCAAATGGTTTTAACAAAACAGGTGAGTCAATCCGTGCTTTTATTTTAAAGTGCTAGCGTGAAAAAAAATCTAAGCTGATGAGGTATTGTAGTTCGAAATGTAAAAAATAGAAGCAAATATGAGTGAATTTGACTTAGAAAATAACCAACTAGGAAAAGTAAAATAGTGCAATATGTTTTTTTTTTTTAATTTTGGGGGTTTTACTTTCTTTTTTCAAAGAACAGTTATATTTCATATTCCTTATTAAAATCTTGATAAAGTAATGTTTGCGTTAACTTATTATTTTTGTTGGGTGTTGTTCTTAAAATTCTCTCATTGTTTACTAGGTTAAAAATGTTGGTATTTTTATTGAAGCAGGACTATGCTTTTATAGGAATAGTGCTAGTTAAAATTTTATTTGAGCTTGCTTAATGTAATTCTAATGTTTATGTTTATGTTCATGGAATGTGTTCCAGCAAGTGCAACTAAGAAAGGCTTTTTGAGAAAAAGGACCGGTGCGAAAACCTATATTAAAGATTATTCACTTCTCTCCGGTTTTATGTACATATGTATGTATTTTTTCCGGTTTTTAAATGGGTCGTTGGCATCATTGATGCCTCTAAGTCGGCAAGAGAGTGGAGGAAAATAGTTAATCACAAATTCCAGAGAACGGCCAACTCCGCCTCTGGGGATATATAACTCTATTCCGTTGGGGTTTAAGTTGATGGAATTTTTTGATTTCGGTTATGGGCCGCTGAACAGGCTTCCGCCCGTTTCGGTGGTGTTAAATGGTAGAATTCAGTTGATTTCGAACAAGGTGTTGTACAATCAGTATCTTTGATTGCCAAACTCTTCTTTTGATCTATTTAGAGAGATGGCCTCGCAGAAACACAAACAAAAAAACATATAATTTTATCGTAGTGTTTTAAAAAAGACATTACAACTTTATAAAGAGCAGAATGAGTCGTACCAACGCAGGAAAAAAAAACGAAAGTCGAAATCGATTCGATGAAAAAGAACGGAGAGCAGCAGTAGCGAAATCAAAACAAAATCGAACCGAACTGAACGGAATTGAAGTGAAGTGAAGTGAACTAAAATGAACCGAAAAACCAACGGATTGCCGTCGAATGTAAACTGTGCGAACCGAGAGGCGAAAACAAACTAAAAATAATTCTCACTACCACGGCGGCGATCGAGCGCTTCAAGCGAGCCATTTCCATTTCCAATTCCATTTATTCATGCTCTCGTGGGTCGAGGCGAAAAGGTGGAGAAGAAGCGGAGAACAGAAAACGGAAAACACAAACACAAAACTCGGGATCCGCTCCCAAGCGCCATATAAACGTACCTGAGCACACAGGTACTCTCCAACTTCTCGCTCTCTCTCTCTTCACTCTCCCCCAAAAACAAAACCAAGCTGAGATCGCCAGTGCACTGAGAGAAGAAATGGGGAGTTTAAAGCCAAGGTTGAAAGCAGGTGAGAAGTATAGCTTAAAAATATGTTTCAAATTCAAGAAATATCTATAAAAAAAATTAAAGACATCTTTAATTAATTAATTAAAATATATTAAAATCTTGTTTTAAGCTTGCGATCGTTTCGTAATACATCGTTATGAGAATATATTCAAAACCCAGCTTAATTTTTTAGTTATTCTATAATGCAAAAATATATCTAGTTACCAGAACAATATTTGTTTATATCTTAAATTACAAGAAATCAAGCTTTTCGCTTTATAGCTTTTCGTTTCCATTGTTTAGCATTCAAAAGCTTTTGCTCAAGTTAGCAAGACCGACTAACTTAAGACGTTGATTTTGAATGTGTACTATGTTTTTCTTGCTCTCCTTTTTGGCCCTCTATTTCAAGACCGTGGAATTGCTTTTCAGTTGTCTTTGCATTTAGCAGTTAATTCAGTTATATCATAGGTAAAAATGTTAAATAATAATTTACCAACTGAAGCATTGCAAAGTTGGCCCAAAGGCCCATAAACTGACGTCAGCTGGGAAAAAAGGCAAAGGCGGCTGAAGATGACGACAAAAGCCTGGCCAACGGTCCAATGCACTTTGCGAAACATTGCGGAATAATAAATTGTCAATCATGCGCAATGGTTGATTGAGACAGAATGAACTGTAAATGTTTTTTTTTTTTTAATGACAGCTAGAGACTACAAAAATAATACCCAAAAGACCCGCTTCCCACATAAATCGGCGAAAAAACCTTAACTTACAAACCTGACTTTTTCTTTCCTTTTCCGGTATTCGCAGTCGAAGCAACGGAGATCTTAAAATTCGATGCGATTTTATGTCTTTTTCAAAGACGCTTAGTTTTGCCAAAAACTTAGTTCGAATTGCGGTACATGGACCTCAAAATTGGAAAGGTATGAAAAGGTAATCGGTTAATAACTTTTTACTTGTAACTACTATTGGCCACAGTTGACGGCTTAGAACCGAGTGGAAATGTCAATTATCGGCATCAAACAGAACTTATTGTGATCCAGTTTTAGTACGGGTGTTATTGGCTTACTTCTTTCATTCACCGGGATCGAACTGGCCAGCAAAATTACAGAAAAAAAAACCATGAAAGAAAAACTAAAAGAAAGGAAACTAGTTTTGTTAAGGCAAAGTTGGAATACCCTTGAATTAATTACAAACATTTTCTTTTATTTCGTTTGCATTCGTATCGTAACTTTTATCTAGTAAGTTTTCATATTCGAAATTAGCATTCAGAGTTGGGAGATCTATTATTAATGATCTCGTGATGCAAACATAAATCAAGTTAATTTCCGATTTTGGTCACGCGCCTTTTCGCCCCCGCTAATTGCAAAATTTACACAAATTTTTCATAGTAAACAAATTTTTGGCGGTACAATTTTGCACGCTCCTCATTTGGCCATGTGCAAATATATGATACGAAAATACATACATATACATATTTCAAAATATAAAAAATGTATATAAAATATATTAAGCAGTTTTAAAGCAATCTAAAAGATTTGAAAACAGAAGGATATACAATTGTAGATGCATTGTGAGCATCTGGGAACTAGAATTTCGAGAAGGGTGGTGTTTATGGAAATTAGTACAATAGACAGGGTAAGCCTTCCGCAGAGGGCAGCATATGGAACGCTCAAATCGACTCGCGAGCGGGTTGTGTAAAGCCTTTGCGATTGCGCATATTGTATTTCGCGTCGGCAACAACGCCACCATGACAGACCAGCGAAAACAAACCGAACTACCGTCCGCCATTCGTCGAGCGGTAAATAAGTCCACCACACTTAAAAAAAATATATACACTTTTTTTTTGGAATTTTAAATAGGACACATTTCAAAAATTTGCTGATCTTGTTGATTTTCAAATGCATACAACAAGTAGAATACTTAAAATCAACATTTTTATACAACATAATTATTTTAAAATATATTTTTACCTTACCCATTAGCATTAAAAACTAAATTAACTAGAAGTAAAAAGTACAAAAAGGTGTATTTCTTGTTACTCTATATTTATTGGCAATGATTCACCAAAGCTCATGAAATTCCCACTTGATTGATTTACTTGATTTGGTCAAACACAAGAGCAGTGTCAAAATTATAACAGCATGTGTAATCAAATTAATCTCTGATATATAATATATATATCTTTTCTGGTTTGAGACAATTAAATAACTTTCGTTTCATAACCGGTTTGAGAGCCAAGAATAATAATTAAGGTTGCTTTCGGATCCGAGTGATAAGATAACTGTGGGAGAACATCAGCGGTTCCTAATGCATTTTGCGTGAAAAGAAAATAACTGGGGAAAAGCGCACAAAATGTTTGCTATTTTTTTTTTTTTTAACAATATTGGGAAAATGTATACATTTTAAAATGTTTGTTTGTCTGTTTGTCAAGTGTAAAGGCGATCGGTCAGCCAAGCAGCCAACCGACCAATCAACCTTATGTTGTCCGCGGTGCACAATGGGTGCAAAGACCACATTTGATGGCCAAAATGTTTAGCTGGCTCAATTTGAAAGATAGCTACAATCGTCATTCGTTATCTGCAGGCAATTATGTTCGAAAATCGTTTATATCAGACGGGTTCCTTCGCTTTTTATCGATGCCATTGGCACGGTCAAGTTGAATTGGTTATTGTGAAAGATAAGTGCATAAAACTTTTTGGATTGCCAGTTTTAGGTTCTTAAGCTTTTGTCAGATGGTAAAAAGTAAAGAAATTTGCATTAAAATGTCTCACTAAAAAAAATTCTTAAATCTAAAAATAATGAAATGCTTTTAAGAGCTTCTTATAATAAAATTGATTTGAAAAAGTCATCTTCCTAACTTACAGTAGGAAAGGTGTCTTAAATAAACTTTCCACTTCTAAGTGCTATAACTTCTAAAATAATTTGAATTTGTCTAAACAAAAACCCTTAAAAATTCTTCGAACTATTTATGGTTATATGAAAAAAAAACCAAAAATGTAGCTGCTCGCCCCATGGTGTTTTGGCCAAGTTTCTGAGTCGCCTCATGCGCTCGCCGTTGCACATGCGCAGCACCGAGTACCCAGTATTCGATACCGAGTCCGAGTACCGAGTAGTCGGCGCAGTTCGGATCTTTTCGGGATCGTGGATTGTCGTGGCGAGCCGAGTCGGCATCCGAATGGACTCGGCTCAGCTTTGGCCAGAGTTGGCTTGGCTTGGCTTGGCTTGGCTTGGCTTGGCATAATGGTGTAGAGTTCGGTGCGAACTTCTGTGAGACAGTAAAACCAGTTATAAGTCAACTTTCATTCCGAGCAGACGTGCTGGGAGTTACGGATCGGATCGGAAAGCGGCGGGTTTCTTCTCATACGGTTTTCGGTTTTATCGGAATCGGTTTGGGTTTCGGTTTCTGTTTGGGGTTTACTGTCGGGTTTTCTGTTACTGTTTCTCGCCGTTGCAGTTAACTTCGCGCAAATGCAGCCAGGTCGCCCAAACGAGAAATAAGTTCACGTTCATAGGTAGCCATTCATATTTTTTTTTGTTTCTTACCATTTTTTTTTTCTTAACTTAACTCGCCAACGTGCAACATAAGCCGCGCTGCGAAGGCTTAACTCTTTTTGTTTATGTGGTTTTTTGTTTTAGTGGCTTTATTTTCTACTTATACTACTTATACTATTTCTGTGCGAACTGGTCAGATTGAATTGAGTGAGTTTTTGCGCTTGTCTTACAGAGCCACCCACCCAGATCAGAAACAAAAAAAAAAAAAAAAAAACAGAAAAAAAGCAGCTGAAAAAAAAAATATCTGAATCCGGTCATATTGAATCATGCTCATATATGAATGTTAACCATTCACGATTCGGTACGTTGTATATGCAAATAAAATCGGGAACGTTTTCGGATCGTACAAGTCTTTCGATCTCGAGTGATTGTGATTGAGTTAGTGTGTGTGTGTGTGTGTTGTGTGTGTGTGTGTGTGTGTGTGCCCCAATATTTCTAGTTCGCCAGCATCGTGTACTTTCACACACGGTTCAAATTAGCACCACCGATATCGAATTAGAGTGCCCAAGCCAAAGCCAAAACCGAAACTTTCCTAGCTCTTCCAGCGCCTCAGGCAGTAGCCGATAATTAGTGAAAGATATAATATATGTACATATATATATAAATACTCGTATATAAAACGCTCTTAAGAAAGTTGCTTACACACACCGGATGGTCAACAGTCCCCGGATTTCGAGTCCCCCGGGCAAAGTGAAACCGAAATGTAAAAAAAGTGGGTTCTGCTGGCAGCATTAGTTCCCGATCTATACTGCATATATAGTTATAAACTATAAAACACGGCTTTAAGTTGTGGTAGCCAACCTTGAAAGCAACACCAAAAAGTAACACTCGCCCTCGGGCAATTTCATTTGTTTTTCCCTCTTTTTTTCTTTTTTTTTTCCCCATTTTTTTGTTGTTACTCTCTGTTTTATTTGTTGCTGTCTGCACTCCGCTTATTATTCTTTTGAATATTCAAGCCAGCCCCCTGAAAAGGGAAGCCATTTAAAGTTTACTTTTACTTTTCCAATCGAGGCAATCGAATGGGAACTACTGAATCGAATCGAGTGGTCAGATATATGTATATATATGTAGTGTATATATATATAGTATGTGGTGTATGAATAGTATAGTGGGAACCTAGGAAAGTTGTCTCGACTTCGGAATCTGCGGACAGGTTGAGGGAGGAGTCAACGTCCGACGAGTTTAGGCATTAATATCTTGTGATCTTGTGCGATTTACACGACTATTATCATAGTGTGCGAATGGCTTTAATGCAATATGCAGTGCAGTAATATGAAAACATCATAATTAGGCGGTGGAAATTCAGTGTGAATGCAAAGTGAAACCTCGCAGTCACGCCATACATACATACATACATACATACATACATACATACATGTGCATATATGATTTTAAAATATATAATTAATCGACAAGTGCATGCATAAATTAATCGCTCGTGATGCCACAAAGGCAACAAACGCAACAAGAAACAACAACAACAACAACAACGAAAACAAAAACAAACACCTGTAAAACCTCTCAGCTAATCAGCATCTATAATCAACAGCATCATCATCTCCAACTCCGGCAGCATCGGATATACACGTATATATATATATATATATACTGCGGCAGCAGGAAAATGATTAGCTGCCAACGGCAAACATTGTTTTGCTGCAACTTATTGTTGGCTACCAAAAGAGCCATGACTCTTTCGAATGCAATGCCCCTCATTACAATACTGCTGGTGGCTTTAAGCACAGCTGGAAATTGCCAAAGTAAGTTCAACCACATCTATATATCCACCTATCTACATATATCCACATCCAACATCCACATCCAGCGTGGTAATTTCAAAAAACACATCCCGTAGTATTGACCCCAATATTTGGAGTACAACTCTACGCCGCGTTTATGCACTCCATTTTTTTTTTCTTTATTTTTTTTTTTTTTTTCCAATTAGCGCCTTTTAAATGGGGTCACCAATCGTGAGAATGTTTTTAGTCGTTTGGCTAAGTCATTCTTGGGTCGTGGGATAAAACCACCTGCCTCGAAAAATGCATTCTGATTTATACATATTTTAATATAAGCTCATCGATCAATTCGATTTGTTGCATGAGAAAAGTTATTACAAAGTGCATTCTCAAATTGATTAGGGTAGAAGAAATGCTTAAATATTTGTAATTAGTTATTATAGGAGTTATTACTAGTTAGTTCTTAAACAGAAAAAAAAACATTGATTTATTAAACTATTTATTTGGGTTTTCTTAAAATCCAGAATAAATTCGTTAAATTTATTTGCAACCGGAAAACCAACTTAAGCATAAACAATTTTACCACAAGCTTAGATCTTTTATGCCGGCTAAACCCCGAAAAATACGTTAACTATTTGTTCTTTTAATATGTAAACTGGTTTATACACATCGGAATCTTTGATGATCGCCATTAAAAAGAAAAACGTTTCGCTCGTAAGCGAGCGCAATTACACAAATCCCGTGGAAGAAGTGCAGAGATTGACTTCGAAGCACAAATCGCCAGCCGCTGATCGTTTTGGCCTATTTTCTCATTTCGAAGGGAACAAACGGGGCTAACACTTTTGGGTCAAATCGAAGGAGGGGCCGAAAAGAAGCCAAGAAGTGGCCAGCCAGCCAGCTGGAGCTGAAGCAGTGAAAGTTTCCCAGTTCCGAGTTCAGTGGTTGAACGACTTCTACGATGTTGATGTTTATATACCTATATATCGTATACTATGCCATACTATACTTTATGTATGAAAGACTCTTGGACATTGTTGTCTTTGGGGAAGCCACTTGGCGGCTGGTGACATTCTTGGCCCCAAAGTTTCACAAGTTCAGGTCGTTGTCATTGGATGGTTGGTTGGTAAAGTTGGTTAAGTCTTGCAAGTACGTGATTGCGTTAGTACATTTCACCGCATTTTGTTAGCCGACTGGAGGTACAGGTATTGCGCCCTCCGACGTGCCTCAAATTACAATTTCCCCCTGATGATCGCCTCCCGATGTTGTCACATTCGGCAATCCGGGCCACCTTTCTAATGCCGCCACAATATATATATATATATGTTTATACTTATATACCACAATAATGCCCAACCGATATCGACAAAAAAAAAAAAGAAGAAAAAAACGCTTTTGCCATCTTCTGCAAGCGATTCGCATTTTGGGCATTTAGCTTACAACAGCTATTCGCTTTTTTGGATTTTGCAAGCCAATCGTTGGGTTATAAAACAAATCGTGATTTACATTCTACAGAAACATATATATTCTCGCTTATTTTACCCACAAGCTGTTGAATATATTATTGGTACAAAGGATGTTTTGAAATATTCTGTAGTTCTCGAGTTCTTCGAGGTCGTGCGAAATGTGTTTCGTGATTTTATTTGCATCATGTATGTAACACTTTGAATGGTTTTTTTTTTATAGGACCTTGAATGGGTGTCCCGAATGGATTAAGTTTTATTTAGCTCATAAATAACGATTGGTCCCAAGGGAAGAGAAATAAACTAGTTTTGGAAACACTGCATAGTGGAATTGAAAATAATTTTTAAATAAAATTTCTGGTTGCAACATTGCAAAACACAATAAATGTTAATGAAAATTATTTTATAAAAGTATCATAAAGGAAACACTTCTCCTACTTCTCTATAATATGTTTTATTTACTAACTTACCTAAATGTTTTATGAATAATATGTTTTATTTACTAACTTACCTAATCATTTTAAGAATAGTTTTTCTTAGATCCTAGGCGTGTAAAATATGTTTCCTTTTATTTAAAATAAATTGAATATATTTGTGTACGTTTTTTGTCAATTAGCTAGAAAAACCCTAAAGAAAAAAATTGTACATTTTGCCTAAAAGTTTATTACAATATTTTTTTTATATCTACTGATATATTTATATATCCTTGTTTAAAATCATATTTTCCCACTGTCTGAAGATCAAAGGCTAGCCATAAAAAAGGTTTCACTTAATTTTTAGGGTTCTCTCACAAAAATGTCGTTTTTTTTTGCATTCTGTGAGTCTGTAGGAAATATTTCATTTATTTTGTTTAGGCTGCCAGGTCCACACCCTTCCGAAAATTCGCCTTTTGGGTGGAGGGAGGATGGCTGTTTGGTTGGTTGGTTGGTTGGTTGAATTGCTGAATTGCTGAATTGCTGGGAGTGTGTAGGAAGATCATTGACACCAGTAAAACCGGATGACTGCGATCCGAAACTCATAACAATAACGGCTTTTTGGCGGTTGGGAAAAAATAACATCATCGTGTCAGCTAGCGCAGCTGTTTCTTTATTGCCAAATTCATGACTGACATCAACAGCTGCAGGCCAACAAAATATTGACGGCTTAGTTTTCAGGCCAATCTTCCATTTAAATAACATTTGTACATATGCAAAATTCTCAGCAAAAGCGTTGGCTTCTCCAAAAAAAAAAGGAAAATATCTAATTGTTTTTAATTTTGTTTTTGGTTAGGTAATAAGTGTATATTTATGAACCTTGATTATAAATTGTATCTTTGTAAATATAAAGAGTTTAAAGTGGGAGGATCAAACAATTTTCGGTTGGCAGCTTTTTAAGCCTTACATTTAAATAAATTCCTTTTATATGTGCATCTCTTTGTGAGAGTTAAGTACAAAAATAAACCCCAACAAATACCAAAAAAAAAAAAAAAAGCAGGCAAATAACTGGGCCACAAAGCTCACTCCGCGTTTCGTAATCGCTTTTTGGCTCAGAAAACGGTGTTCTCCTTGGCGACAAACGGAGTTTTGTGTTTTTTGTGTTGTTTTAGCCTGCCCTTTAACTTGGCCAAAACATGTTTGCCGACCGCTTTTCGCTCTCCGCTGTTTCGGCCACTAATTGCCACTTTATTCTTAATGAAATTACCGAGGCCCAAATACACATAACTATGTAGACTTTTTTTTTTTGAGAATAGGCTCACTATTATGCTCACTATTTAGGCGGCGAAACAATTGTGAGAAGATGGAATTTTAGAAAATACCCATGGGCTTTACTATTGCATATTCATGATGGGAATAGGAAAAACACTTTTCCCAAGTTCTTAGCTCAAATTGTTCGTTTATAAAATAACCATTTTCTTGAATGGATCGGGAGTTTAGCTGGAGAACAAAGGTGAGAGATAGGGAAAATACCCACGCAGAAAAAAAAGCCACTAAAATACAAGATTTCTTGCGTCCTTCTATATAAGGAATCGTTTGGCGAGCTCCGAAACTCAGACACTTCAACTGGTTTATTCAACTCCCTGTGCTCGAAATATATTTTCTTTTTTTTTGAGCAAACTGCAAGGGAATTCTCTTCCATATGTAGATTGGTTTAAATGTCATTTTGGCACCCTTTAAGGTTAGTGTTTTTTGTACAGAATTACTTTTTGCTATAAATCTTATCTAATGAGGAAGAAAACAAAGTTTGCCTTACGGGAATTTTATATACCCTTACAGCTTAAATAAAAATTAGTTAAGCAATTAAGCAAAGATCTGAAATGTTTTATTTTATCTTTCATATAAATTAAATGTATATCATGATCATATAAGAATAAGTTTAATAATTGTAATTAATTAATTGTAATGGATACAAAATGAAAAGTTACAATTTGCTTGTCTAATTTATTTATTTTTCAAACTTGTATTTCCAAATTAGTTTTATTTCTATCTTTGATAACTTTATGAAATTTCTTAGGGTATTTAAAAATGTTAAATAATATTGTGTGGAGTATATGTTACTAATCCAGTTTTTTGTTTCGCGAAGAAAACTTGATTGCGAGGCTGAGTGGATTGCACAGCTTAGATGCTCGGGCTTAAAACTGAAAACCTTTCACGTTATATATCATTTTGCATTATACTTTGTGTTTATTGCTGTTGATTTCAGTTTGCGGTCCGCCGGCGGTGCCGCTGAATGCCAAGGTGCGAACCGTCACCGCCGACTCGCAAATTGCGGAGGCGCACTACGAATGCGACGCCGGCTACGAGCTGTTCGGCTCCCCAACGGTGAGATGTGACCCCCAGAGGGGCTGGGAGCGGGAGCTGCCCTTCTGCGGGGTCAACGTCGCCTACCGCAAGCCGGTCAACCAGAGCTCCTACACGCGGAGCGGTCCTGCCAGCTACGCCAACGATGGCAAGCCGGGGAATAAGGTGAGTCCTCCTTATGTATTTAACAATAATATAAAAAATATACATATTTTATAACATTACTAAATGTTAGTCATTTAATACACCAAAGCAGGTTAATAACCAACCTGTTAAGTTTTAACTACCCACTTAAAAGTGATTCCTAAATTATGGTATTTGTTTTTGAATTTTGTAAGCTGAGCTTTAAATGCCATTTTTATAAGGAATATAAACATTTTATTGATTTTAAAAGACATAGGTCATATGGTATTATTATATACAATTAATTATTGGGCAACTTTGCTTTTTTTTTGCTGTTTAAGAAACGTTTGTTTGTTTTCTTTTATCTGCTTTGTTTTTGCAAAAACTGAATTTTAAACACATTTATTTCCGATGAAAACTAAAGGTCAAGGTTTGTCAGCTTGTACGTCATTTGTATTAATCAAAATCAAATTATGCAGTTTATGGTGTCTTTGCTGAGTTTCGTTTTCAATAAAAAACTAATCAATGTATTGATGAATTGCCAACAAAATTAAAATATTATTTTTATGCGTAAACTTGAAGGTAAATTTAAATAAGAAAACATATTTTTGCTGTTGCTAAAAGTGTTAAATTCTAGGTAGCAATTTTTTTTTATGCAAAATGGTCATAAAACTATGAGCCGAGTTTGCTATTAGTCATCCCATTCTTTAAAAAAATATTTCGTATTAAGAAGTAAAAGAAATAAATATTACTCATACGCCATGTGGGTTACGTATGTAGGTGTTCAAACATTTATTTTGAGTCTGTGTTTCTTAGCTTACTTTCTTTGGACTAACATCAGCTAATTAAGTTTGCTAACTACATACACATCTTTATTTAGAATCCGGACGGGCAGGAGTGCTCGGAGACGCAGAAGGAGCCGTCGCCGTGGTGGCGCGTTGACCTCTTGACCCCGCAGGCGGTGCACGTGGTGCGGATCACGACACGCGGCTGCTGCGGCCACCAACCGCTGCAGGATCTGGAGATCCGGGTGGGGAACAGCAGTGCGGACCTGCAGCGGAATCCGCTGTGTGCCTGGTATCCGGGAACCCTGGACGAGGGCGTTGTGAAGACCTTCACCTGCGCCCGTCCGCTGATTGGACAGTTCGTGGCCATCCAGTTGGTGGGGGTGGAGGGAAGCCTGAGCCTCTGCGAGGTGGAGACCTTCACCAACGACGAGTTCTCCGTGGATCGGTGTCTGAGTCCCAAACTCGGCGTGGACACCGTGGTGACGACATTCTCGAAAACCTGCTACGACTTTCATATCACAAAAGGAGAAAGCTTCGACAAGGCGCAAACCATTTGCAAGCAGACAGGTGAGTTGCTCGGTTGTCTCTCGATCGTGATTAGTGGCCAGTAAATCGCCCCCTCTCCCCTGCCAATCTCTAATGATAGGTGGCGACTTGGTACACGACTTTCGGGGCGCCACCAGCCAGTACATCCTATCGGAGTTGGAGCGCCGGAAGAGCGAACTGAAGCCGCAGCTCGTCTGGATCGGCGCCCAAAAGGAGCCGGGCATCACGTCGCGTACCTGGAAGTGGGTGAACGGTGAGTCCGGAATGTGTATATCGTAATTATATGGTCGGGATCACCAGATGTGCATATGCAGATTTATATCATGGCTGGGAAATTGAGGGAAATTGATTGGCTCAATGTCAGTGGCCTTTGCACATTTTTAATCACTTTCCTTGTGGTTTTTTCGAGTCAATGGCTTCTGAAAATTTCTTTTCACTTGTATTATAATGGGTTTACCAAGTTGATTTTAAAATACAAAAAAATATTGCAACAGAAAAAAAAAATATTTAAGCTACTTAATAGCTCATCTTTATAATTTATTGAAATTTGTATATTGTGTAGCGGAAGTTGCAATATTGTCAGTAGACGCTTTTGTTAAGCGTTAATAAAGCTTAATGATCCAATTCAAAAACCACTTAGCAAGACTAAGCAAGAGATTTTTTTATCTTAAAGCGATTTGTAGAACTACAGTTTTAATTATTAAATTAAATGAAATAAGGAAACCTATTTTTACGGCAAAGAAAAGAATATCTAAAATATAAAGCGGTTAAAAGCGATTAAAGTTGTTATTGTAATGGATAATTCTAATATATTCTGACAATATATGGTATTATATTATTTTATATTTATTGTGTATGTTATATGTATATGTTATATATATTCTGACAAAATATGGTATTACATTATTTTATATTTATTGTGTATTAATAATGCATTCGTGAGGCCTAAGCTTTTATGGCTTTGATCTTTGCACCGCCATAAGAAAGACAGGTTCCGTTTCGACTTGAAAACCTGATCACCACCTTTCCTCCTTCCGGATTCCAATTGCAGGCGATGTGGTGCAGAAGCCCACGTGGGGCAAGGATCAGCCGAACAACTACAACGGGGAGCAGAACTGCGTGGTGCTCGACGGAGGACGCAATTGGCTGTGGAACGACGTGGGCTGCAACCTGGACTACTTGCACTTCATCTGTCAGCACTGTAGGCATTCCCATTCCCCCGTTTGTCAGCACCACAAACTCAGCCACTCTTTTCATTCCCATTTCTGTGTTTGCTCTTCTTCCGGCAGCTCCATTGTCTTGCGGATCGCCGGATGCCCAGCAAAACACCACTGTCACGGGCAAAAAGTTCACCCTCGGCGAGAAGATCCAATACAATTGCCCCAAGGGCCATTCGCTGCTCGGTCAAACGGAACGCGAGTGCGGACTCGATGGCACCTGGAGTGGTTCGGCGCCGACATGCAAATGTGAGCAAATGTTATGCAATAATAATATCTCGCTGCTCCAATGCATTAATGCCCGGGGTCTGCGCAAAAAATTGCGTTTTTTATGCCAATTTTAACGACACATAATCCCATTAACTTGCGAGCTTAATGCAAATGAACTAAAAAACCAAAAAAAAAAAAAAACTTTGTACTAAGAAGAGCTCATAAATGCTAAAACATAACCCCATAACCTTAAAACTTAAGATTGAAATACTTTATTTAATACAAAGAGGAGTTCACAAAAGTTGTTCTTAATTAATCTTAATTTGTCTTTCAACAATTACTTCAACTCTAATTTGTCTTTTGCCATTTAATCTATTTGTAAATGTAAAGATTGTGATCTTAAAGTTCCTTTAATTATTTTATAAACTTTATCCTATTTTTTGACAGATGTGGATTGTGGCAGTTTGCCAGAACTGAAGTTCGGATCCATTCACATGTCGGAGGAGCGAACGAGTTTCGGAGTGGTGGCCACCTATAGTTGCCACGAGAATTACACGCTAATTGGCAATGAGAACCGAACCTGTGCCTTAGATGGATGGAGTGGCAAGCAGCCGGAGTGTTTGGTGGATTGGTGTCCAGATCCCCAACCAATTACCGGGGAAATGTGAAGTTCAACGACAAAAGAGCTGGATCCACGGCCACTTATGTTTGTGAACCGGGCTATGTTCTCGTTGGCGAAGCGGTAAGTTGAGATCATTCAATTCTACGTACCTTTTTATATATATAATATCTGGTATACTAGATAATCTCCTGCGGATTGGGAGGCGAGTGGTCGAGTAAGACTCCCTCTTGCAGATTCGTGGATTGCGGAGCTCCAGCGCGACCAAATCGGGGAATATCAATCCTTCTCAACGGAACAACCACGGTTAACTCTGTGGTGAAGTACGAGTGCGACGAGGATCACTGGCTGGATGGCCAGTCGGAGCTCTACTGTACCCGCGAGGGCAAGTGGTCGGGGGAGGCGCCCGTCTGCGAATTGGTCACCTGTGACACTCCGCCCGTTCCCGCGGGCTCCTTTGTCATCGGCTACGACTACAATGTCCACTCGAAGATCCAGTACAACTGCGATCCCGGTCACATCATGCACGGCACTCCGGTTCTCGAGTGCTTGGACAGCGGCGAGTGGAGTGCCGATGCGCCCTACTGCGAATGTAAGTCCTTAAATTTAATTTATTTATGCTGGGAAGAGTGCTTAAAATAGTACACCAGAAATAACTTAATTCAGTTCAAATAATACGGTGTGATTCAACTACAAGAAGGGTACATAAATTAAATATGCGACACATTAAAATAAATTACAATGCAAGTGTCGGAATGTTGCCATTAAAAAAAGGGTGCGGCATTATGAGGGTTACAGAAAAAAGCTAGTGAGTGATTAAGTCTAATAATATTTCTTGTTAAATAGATATCGACTGTGGTCAAATCCTGCCCATTCCCTTCGGCAGTCACAAGTATGTGACCAATACCACCTACGTGGGATCGGAGGTGGTCTTCAGTTGTTCCCAATCCCATAAACTCAGTGGAGTTCTGAAGCGACAGTGCCTGGAATCAGCGGTCTGGAGTGACACGTCGCCCAAGTGCGAAGGTAAGGGTTAATGATAAGGTTCATTTTCTTTAATCACCTAAATATATATATGATTAAATTACTTCAGAGATTCGCTGCCCGGAACCAAAGTTGGCTGCCCACAGTTTGCTCTCCGTCACTGGAAACGATCGAATGTACGGACGCACTCTCATTCGAACCTCCGAATCTTCGCAAAATGCTGCTCAAACCTACAAGTAAGTGGAACCCCTGATTTTGTAATATATTTATTTATTTTATGTGGGAATTTTTTGTATATAGAATTGGCGCTCTGGCGAAGTACCGATGTGAACGGGGCTACAAAATGGTTGGAGAGGCTTTGGCCACCTGCACGGACAGTGGACAATGGAGCGGAACGATTCCGGAGTGTGTTTGTAAGTAAAAGGAATTTATTAAGAAGAATTACTTTTAACATTTAAAAATAATTCTTAATTTTCTATCTTATATTTGAATGTAATATCTACAAGAAATTTATTATAATTTATTTAAATTTTTGCTATGAGGAATCTTTACTAAACAAATATAAAAAGATTTAAACTTTTTCCAATAAGGTTGGCTCTATTTGTGATGAAGATAAAGACAATTTATATGGCGTTTATTTAAATAAATTTATTTTTAATAACAATTTGACCCTTTCAGATGTGGAATGTGGTGCTCCGGAGGGCATCAGCAATGGTAAGGTGGTCCTGGCCACCAATGCCACTTACTATGGAGCGGCGGCCCTTTACGAGTGCAATGTGAACTTCAAACTGAACGGAGTTTCCCGCCGATTGTGCACGGAGCACGGAAACTGGAGCCACGAGGCTCCGGAGTGCGTGGAAGTGGTCTGCGATACGCCAAATATCAGCGAGAACCTGATCGTGGATGCCGGAACCAGAGCCGTGGGATCCGTGGCCACTTTCAAGTGCGCCAAAGGCAGAATCATGATGGGAAATGACACGCGTGTTTGCCTGAAAAATGGGAAATGGGCAGGAAAAAGTCCCACTTGCAGACGTAAGTAAAGAATGTTATTCCAACCTCTATATATTTGAATACTACTTTATTTTGAGTCACTTAATTCCCATGAAACTTGTTTAATTAGTTCGCATTTATCTCCAAATCGTATTAGTCCATATTTGGCCATACTAGAAAAACACATTTCTAAAGATTTATGTGGGTTCTTGTTTTAGGTCAACAAACTTTTAAGCTTTCTATTGTTTTTATTTTAAGTAGCTAATGGGAACTATCATTCAAGAAATTTCCCACACATTATAAAATACAATGCCAAAAAGGAAACCTTTAACTTGATTTGGTTAAACTACTTTTACCAAACCATATTTAACCAAACTAGTTAACTAGGAAACAAGTTAAATAATTTATATATGTGTACATTTTTCTATACCTTTTTTTTTGGTGAATAAAGGGAGATTCAAGCCACTGCTTAAGTATTTAATCGGTTGACTAACTTTTCCCCTCGATTTCCTCAGCTGTCGATTGCGGACGACCTTTGGCGATTGAAAACGGTCGAGTGATTGTGGTTAATGATTCGACGTTGTACGGGGGATCTGCGGAGTACCATTGCATTCCCAACTACAATCGGATCGGTCAGTACCTGAGGAAGTGCACCGAGGACGGAGCCTGGAGTGGAAAGCAGCCCAGGTGTGAATTATCCACGACAGAGGGTCACGAATCCTCGGAATTGGGAACGGGCGTTGGAATTGGAGCCACAGTGATTGTGGCTCTCCTCGTGATTTTTGGTTTGATTTTCCTGTATCGCAACAAGGCGAGACCCGTGAAAAATACGGAAAATGTCCAGGCGGCGGAGACGAAGGACGAAAGGAATGCGGCGGTGATGTCCTACTCCACCTTGGAGGCAAACAATCGAATGCACATGGACAACAATCCTTCGGCGACATTCAACACTTTTCATGGAGGCAACACTGGTCGGAATAATTCCAACGGAAATGCAGATGCCAACAGCAACGGAGAAAGACTGAACAACAATCGGTCGGGTGAGGATTGAAAATATATATAAAATATTTTCTCAAGTTAATTTTATTTGTTTTTATTTTATTTATGTAGAAAACATTTACGATCAAATACCAAACGAGCAGTTTTACGATGCTCCCTACGAAATGCGGACAAATGACGAGGTCTATGAACCCGAACCGGTGGCCAGTAATGTTATCACCATCAACGGGATATCCGTGAGATAAAGATAGTCCCACGATCCGCATAGCAGCAGCAGCAGCAGATAATAATTAACGAGCGTTTAACGTTAGTTTTGTGTTAATAACTGTACATATTAATTGTTTAAGGGAGGTTTTGAGTTACTCGTAGTTTCGCCAAAAGCTAACAACTTTCGGCCGCCTTTGATGCACACGCACCGTAGCCCCATATATCTATATATAGGTCTATCTACTCTACATACTATATACCCTTACTATATATAAAATTAACATATGTCTAATTGAATGTACCTACACTGCAGCCAATGTACTGAAATCGAAGTAGGAGTCTTTGATCAGGAGCAAGGATATACATATATTCTCGTATGCTTTCGCTCGAAATCAAACTAAACGTATTTGTGTTTGTGTTGTTTAAATTATTTTTTTTTAATTATGTAGTAGACAGGAAGGATAGAGAGAGAGTGAACAATTTTATTTTGTTATGCAATGTGTAAGAACTCGCCAATGTGTGTAAAAAGCATTAATTTTACGAACAATTAAACGATTGTGGTTGACTAATTTATTACGATTGATGGACAAAACTCGTCAAGTGTGTTTTTCAATGCGAAAGCGAAACATTGTTGAGGTAAGTTGGAAATCGGAAATCGGAAAATGGAAAATGGGGAGGCAGCGCCTTGTTTAATCAATAGTTCATGGAACATTCAGTTTCGGTTTGGCATCCAGAAAAACAACAACCCCACAAAATTAAAAAAAAAAAAAAAAAAGAATTGGAAAATTATTTGGAAACCTTCAGGAATCGGATGTGAAATTTTGGTAGGCCAAAATGGCTAAAAAGGCGGCACAACAACAATTGCAGGCTGATATTCAAACCGACGAGGATCTCGAGCGTTTCCTGGACCGCCCAGGACTTTTGGGTTTGTTTTTGTATTTTGAACCATTCTATATTGGCTAAATACTGGTTATCCCCTCAGTTTTGGATGTTTATTCGGAGTGGTGCGGTCCTTGCATCGGATTGGTGGGCTCCCTGCGAAAATTCAAGCTCGAAAGTGGCGGCGACAACCTGCACTTGGCCATTGTGGGTGATTTAGTCGCTTGTATTAGTAGTTAATGCTCCCTAATCGAGTCTCACTTAGTGCAAATCGGACACCATCACAAGTCTCAAGAGGTTCAATAAGAAAAGTGAACCCGTTTGGCTGCTGGTTACGGTGAGTTGAATTAACTTCTTAAATACAAAATGAAAGATCTCTTTTTGTGGTCGGAAAAATAAAACAAAATATCAAACAATATTCCCTCATTTGGAAATTAAACAGATAATATGTTGGTAGCTCTAATCACAAAGAAAGAAAAGTACAACAATCTATTTTTACTTTAAATAATCACATGCCCAGAGGTAACTTTTGATTACAATTAAGATTGTATTTTATATAAATGTAAAACAATTTGCAAGCTTAGTGAGCTTACTAATTTATTATATAAAACATAAAAATAATAAAATATTATTAAATTGATGGTTTAGTTGTGCTCGAAATAGTTTTCAATAATTGCGCGCATTTTAAATTAAATTCTGTTTTAAATCCCTTTCTATATAAATTCAAAATAATTTGTAACCAAAATGTCCTTCCAATTGATTTATGTTTAGTATTAAATATGTGAAAATATGAATATTAAATTAAAGGTTTCGTTGTGTAGAAAGTAGAGTTTCGCATAATTCTAAGATCTAGTGATAACTCATAAATTGCCTCAGGGTGGCAAAGCAGTTGGTCTGATGTTTGGCTCGGATGTGCCGAAGCTGATCGGGCTGATATCCCGGGAGCTGGAGAAGACCGTATCGAAGGCGCCGCGGCCAGCTGTCTACCGCCTGGACGAGCTGCAGCCACTGGAAGTGGAGCAGCAGCGAATCAAAATGGAGGCCATCGAGCGGGCGGAGCGGGCCGAACGGGAGATCAAGCACAAGAAGCAGGTGGACTACCTCACCCAAGTGACGGACTCCATCATGGAGAACATGCCGGACATTGGAGTGACGGTGTTTGGACCCCAGGTCAACCGGGACATGTTCAAGAAGCTAACGGAGCCGGCGGAACCACTGAAGATGCAGTGCAAGGACCGCCGGGTGATCCAAGTGACCCCCGATCAGTTCGAGATCGTGAACTTCAGCTGCAAGAATCCAATGCCGCCGGATGTGATCGAGCAGCTGGATGGCAAGGAGCTGCTGATGTGCTTCTGGAAGATCGACGAGAGCATTGGCACGGTGCCCAATGTCCTGATGGCCTATGCCCATGAGCTAACCAAGGAGAGAGTCGCTCCGCCGAACGATGAGATACCCGAGGAGCATGTCATCCCGCCGATCATCACCACCATGAAGCTGAAGGTCGAGGTGGAGCTGAAGGAGGGCGAGGTCTGGGTGGAGGAGATCAGTTCCGAGGAGGAGCAGCGCCTGACTGCGGCGAAGCCCAAGGGCAAATCCAAGTCGGTCATCCAGGAGGAGGCGCCGCCCGCCGAGGAGGAAGCCGCCGACTTGGATGCCGAGGAGGAGGCCAGCGAGGAGGAGGCACCCGAGCCAGGTGGCGATGCCATGGGCGGATTCCCCTCCATTCCCGGCTTCGACATGGATCTTGATGGCCTCGACGAAGCCGCCGTCGAGGATGAGGAGGAGGTGGTCGAAGTCAAGGAGGAGGAGCCACCGAAACCCTTGACGCGCACCAAAACGGTGAAGATGCCTCCGATTTGGGTGCCCAACAACAGGAGAACCCACGCCGCCTTGGTGTACGTGTTCTTCCGGGGACAAACCACCGGATTCCTGCCGCCGGATCCCAAGCCGGAGCCACCGCACGTCATCATGGCATTCGATGCCTCCAAACGGAAGGAGATCATGAACGTGGTCGATCGCCACAAGGACGACGTTCCGCTCTACGGCTACTTCTCCAGTGCGGAACCGGATGAGGCCGAGCTGATTGCCAACTCCACGGACAAATACGAGAGTAGTCCGCACACTCCGTAAGTTAAATGTTTAATTTGTTTAGAAAATCAGTAGAACCGATGGTAATTCTTTGTGTACTCCCCAAAGGAACGACAAGATCGTGCTGAAGGTGAACAAGGTGCAGTCCAACATGATGTTGTCCCTGGTCTCCTACGGTCCCAGCTATGTGAGTCCCAATGTGAATGTCGGCAAGGACGAGGCGCTCAAGTTCTTCCCCGAGGACTACAAGCTCCAGGAGGAGGTCGTCGTCGAGCCCGAGAAGAAAAAGAAGAAGGTGAGTCTTAACCTTTTGCAGGAAATCGATTTTTAGACTAAGTAAACTAGCATACAGACAAAGAAAATAGTACAAGCTTCAATTTTTTCAGTTACTTTGTTAAGAAACATTATCTTTTCCGTTTCAAGTTTCTTTCAGTGCACATCTATATCATTTTAAAATCGATCGGATAAAGTTCTGTATTTAACATTAATAATAACGATTTTTTAAAGTGATCTCTATTAACATTCGAATTCCTTGAATAAGGAATAAAAAAAAATATTTTATAATTTTTGCATATATGTAATTTTATTAATACTTCAACTATATTTCTTGAACATAATATTATTTTAAGAATATATATTATTAATTAATATATATATTTATTAATTGTGATATATGAAATTATACTCGCTAATTTCTTTATTTATTTTTATTTTATCAATATTTTTTTTTTTTTTTTTTCAATATTTTTTTGCAGAGCAAAAAGGGCGCCGATCTTTTGCGGGAGTCCGTGGAACCGGAGGCGGCAATGGCAGCTGCGGCGGCACCTCCAGCAGCGGAGGCTCCCGCTCCCGCTCCCGCTCCCGCTCCCGCCGAAGGAGAAGCACCCGCTGGAGAAGTGGCCGCCGAGGAGGGCGAAGCTCCCGCTGCCGAAGGCGTTGAAGCTGTCGAAGGAGGAGCTCCGCCGGTCGAAGGAGGAGAAGTGGCTCCCCCGGCGGAAACCGGAGGAGAGGCGGCTGCTCCGCCGGCAGCGGAGGCAGTTGCTCCGCCAGCGGACGCGCCACCGCCGGAGGTGGCACCCGAGGCGCCAAAGGAGGAGGCGCCTCCCGTGGAAGCTCCTCCCCCAGAACCGGAGCACGAAGCTCCGGCGGAACCTCCTCCAGCTGCAGAACCTGCCGCCGAATAATCTACAAAATTCTATTTTCAGATACCAAATTATGCAGTGTAAATTACTTCTGTGATTTTGTAAAGCCATTTACTAAATTGTTTAAAAGTGAAAACCTTTTTTCAGTGCATTTTTAGAGATTATTGAGAATTCGTCTGTGGGTTTTTATTGTTTCAGTTTTTGAAACTATTTTGTGTTGATAAAACTTGAATAAAATTTTAACCGTTCTCGAAATATTATATTTATATTGAATTTTATATAAAAGTACAATTTTTAAAGTGCAAATAAAATTTACAGGTGAAATATTTTTTTTTTTTTAATTGTTTTAGGTTGTTTATGTTATACACTATGCAAATTGCACATTGTTTTTTAGTCTTTAAAATTCATTCAGCTTTCTGTTACATATTTATTGTAATACATATTTATATATTTTTGTGTACATTTCTATAACACCATTTAGCGGTTTAGATGTACATATGTTCACAAATTTGTCTAGAACGATATGTATTTATGATCGCTGGTTGGCTTATTTTATGGCTTGCAATAGAAATCAACAATGCAGGTCAGTGGTTAAGGATTTAAGTCCTGAAATCCAGCTAAACAGTGTTGTTTTCTCAGGCCTTTTTTGACATATTTTATGGAGGTTTAAGCCTAACTGGTTTTAAATTACCAGCCCTGTTGTTTGGTTTGCTCTACCTGTTTTCAAAGGTTTGCGGATTGCGGTGAGGATAATGCCCGATGCTACCTGAACATCTGGCTTAGTGTGTTTCGCATATAAAGGCGTGTGGCAATAATGCATAATGTGTCATTGAGTTGCGAGTTGTCGGCCAGAATGCAATTGCTGTGGTGTTCTATTTTCCTAATATTTGCATTGGCTCCTTCGCTATCCTTTGCCAACGATGATGGTTGCAACGAAGTGGTTTGTGGATCGGTGGTTTCCAAGTGTTTAATAACCCAAAGTTGCCAGTGCAAATTGAACGATTGCCATTGTTGCAAGGATTGTTTGAATTGCCTGGGAGAATTGTACATTGAGTGCTGTGGCTGTTTGGACATGTGCCCCAAGCACAAGGATGCTTTGCCCTCGCTAACTCCCCGATCGGAAATCGGAGATATAGAAGGATTGCCGGAGTTATTCGATACTCTAACCGCCGAGGACGATGAAGCCTGGTCAACCATTCGGTTTCCCATGAGAGCGGGATTCAAGCAGCGAGTTCAAGGAGGAAGTACAGATACCGGAAACGGAAACGGATCGGGTGGCAGTACCATCTGCACTGTGATCTATGTCAACTCATGCATCCGGGCCAACAAATGCCGCCAGCAATGCGAAAGTATGGGTGCCAGCAGCTATCGATGGTTCCACGATGGCTGTTGCGAATGTGTTGGCGGCAATTGCCTGAATTATGGAATCAACGAGAGCCGCTGTCGAGGATGTCCCGAGGATCAGGATCAACTGCTCACCGCCGAAACAGTTCCCGCCGAGGCGGAACAGGATCTGGAGCGCTTCTTTGGCAACGAGGACATCGAGGACGATGGCTGGAGTTACGGCGAGGATGATGAGTTTGCCTAGGCTCTACAGCTTGTGGAGTTCGGTTCGATCTCAATAAAGTCAAAGGTTGAATAATCAATATCTAAAGTCCTGTAAATACAAAAGTAAAATAGGTTTATAAATGCTGATATATTATATTACATGCTGATCGTTTACATAACAAAAGAATAAAATTATATGATATTTTTGAGGAGGTTAAATTTTTAAATGATCGAAACTATTATTATTACTATTACTATTAGCGATTTTAAAATTTATGCAAATTACAAATAAACATATTCAAGCGATATTTTAAATTTTTAAATAATTTATCCACAAATCTTTTTATCTACTCCATTACATTGAACACAATTGGGTTTCTTTTATATGAATAACATGATATTCGATTGCAATATCGATAAGTTTGAGGAGTCCGTTAAGTTGGAGCTTTGGGGTTATAAACATTATCCCCCCATCCGGCAGCCCCGCCAAAGCCCAGACTTTCGGATCTCTGATCAAGTTATTGTTTACATTCGAGTGAGAAAACAGAGCGGATTTCGAGATGAGGCTTCACCTGACGGCGATCCTGATCATCTGCATCGAGCAGTTTTCGAAGGCGGTTGCCCAGGGAATGCCGATCAGTCCCTGTCCCAAGGTATTCCAATACCGATTCGATGGGAGCGAGTGGTTCGGATTGATGGCGATTAGAAGTCCGGAGGGAAATCAGCCGCTCCACATTCGGGTAACCCTCTCGATGCGGGGAAAACCCACTACGGTGGGTAATCGGGAACATGGAAATGGGTAACACCCAATCGGGAATTAACAAATCCCCCATTTACAGAACTATCTGGGTGAAATAGAGCTGCTGACCCGTGGAAAGTTCAACCACAATGCACCGGTTCTGTACAAGATTCGGTTCCCCAAACACCACTTCCCACCGAAATTGCTGCTCATGTCGGCCAATAATCAAGTTATATGCTTTGGATCCGGAGGTGCGCGTTTAATCTATGTTATTAAATGGAATAATCATTTAATATTTATTTTCTTAGAACACAGCATCTTCATGACCCAAATCCAATTGGAGCACATTAGGAAACTTTCGTTTATTCCCGATAAGAAGAGCTCCTCGCTTTTGGAGCCCGAGGAGGTGGAGAAGACCATTGATGACTTTCCCGCCAAGCCGCCCATCCAGTTCAAGAAGTATGCATCCGGATTTTGGTCGGTTGAAGCACACGATCTATATATTCATACGGTTACTCAATGTCCGATCTTGTAGAAAACCATTTGCCCCGGCGCCCAAGGAGATTTGCGGACACATTGATCGGGAACTCGATTTTCGGTTATCTGAAAAATCGGAAATCGGTGCTAAGAGTTCCAATTCGGATGGGATCACTTCACCAGTTTTTGTGGATGACGAGGATGAAGATGATGGACTGGAGCACTTTGTGGATGAATCGGAAGCGGAGGAAGGGGATTCATTGGATGACAGCAAGGGTCTGCCTTCGATTACCAGGGGATCGTGGCCCTGGTTGGCGGCCATCTATGTGAACAACCTGACCTCCCTGGACTTCCAGTGCGGAGGAACCCTCGTCTCGGGTCGAGTGGTCATCAGCTCGGCGCACTGCTTCAAGCTCTTCAACAAGCGGTACTCCTCCAACGAGGTGCTCGTCTTTCTGGGCCGGCACAACCTCAAGAACTGGAACGAGGAGGGGTCCCTGGCTGCTCCGGTGGACGGGATCTACACCCATCCCGACTTCAACAGCCAGCTGAGCAGCTACGATGCCGATATTGCTGTGATTATGCTCAAGGATGAAGTTCGGTGAGTTCTTAAGGATTGTAGTATTATGCTGTAGAGAAAGTGGAATCATTATATTATCATTTTATTTGAATAATGATGGTAATAATTACATAAAGAATCAAATGCCTAATCATGTTCTATTCGGTTTTAAATTATACCATTTTTATATAATTAAAAAGCGGGAATAGATGATGTTATTTGTTGTAAAAATATTATATAGATATTTTTCTAGTATTAATAATAGATCTTTTCATATAACAATTCTATACTTAACATTTAAATTCTAAATGTAAATGTGATTAATAACCCATTTAATAACATACATTATTTTGTAGATTCAATACCTTTATCCGACCAGCCTGCTTGTGGTCCGGTTCCATTAAGACGGAGTACATTGTGGGGGAGCATGGCATCGTGATTGGATGGAGCTTCGACCGATCGAACAGGACCAAGGACCAGAAGCCTTCGGCGGTTAATCCCGGCAAGAAGTCGGCCGATTCCAGTGCACCCAAAGTGGTGAAGGCTCCGATTGTCGGGAATGCCGAGTGCTTTCGGGCCAACTCCCACTTTCGCAGCCTCTCCTCCAACCGGACTTTTTGCGCTGGAATCCGGACGGAGGATCGGGAGCACCATCATCCCCAGCCAAGTGCCAGTTTCTACACGGGAATCTCGGGAGCTGGATTATTTATCCGGCGGAACAACCGGTGGATGCTGCGCGGCACAGTTTCTGCGGCTCTGCCCGCCGTGGAAGCATCGGATCCGGATTCGGATTTGGATTCGAAATCGAGTCATAAGCTCTGCTGCAAGAATCAGTATATCATATATGCTGACGTGGCCAAGTTTCTCGATTGGATCACGGCCTTCGTAATCTGAGTTACTCTCCAAAAAACACAAAAAAGGTGTGGAAAGGATGACTTTTCCAAATAAGCGCTGTGATAGCCCCACAAGAGGAGCAATGGAAGGAAATCGTGTGACAGGGACACCTTCCCCAACTTATCGGTCTTTTGCTGATGAAAATTTCATTTTTACTTAAGGTACTGTGAAGCAGTGTAAATTATAGCAGCGGAAAACGAGTACGTTTTTATTTTCCAAATTGAAATCTAACACTTCCATGTAAACAACTAAATCTCTACCAGCCCATGGAATTCTCCAAAGAAAAATTCCAATAAAAGAGAAGCGTGCGTAAAAGAGAACATCAATTAATACGGTAGTTCCCATCAGTGAGCGAAGGTGGACTCTCTTTGTTCGCCAAGGAGGCTGCTAATTTAAGGTGTGCGGGAGAGGGAGAGGGAGAGGGAGGAGGGGTGCACCTCGTACCTGGACACCTAATTACGAACGCTAAAAGGCTAGTGCGCATATGCTGACTACTATCAAGCACGTCATCAGTCGCAATCGTCGTCATCGCCATCTGTGTCGTTATCTTTCTTGTTTGTCGGCACATCGGAAACAACAGCACTCTCCATTGATTATCAGTTTCGTTTTGACAGCGGCAGCTGGTGGTGCATCTCACGAGAAGTTCGCTTTGTTTTTTGTGTTTCACCTTTTCTCACCTTTTTGTTTTGCAAATCGATGAGGATCCCCAGTCGCGTGTGAAGTGTGGCAGTGAATATTGCACAGAAATGGCCATATTTGGAGCACTATTCGCGCAGTGCAGTGTCCGTTTAACCGAATCCCAGAATGCTCGGCGGAGTGGGAGCCCGTCGCAGAAGGGGCTCATCACCTATGGCGCGATTGACCATTAGCAACATCGGCGGCCCGGATGACAACATAGCCATCATTGGGGATGGCGTCATCCGCCGGAGCCAGCAGCACCAAATCCCCCAAGGCTCCAGCAAAAGGCGACGGGCGCCGGAAAGCTTCGCTCTTGTCCAGACACGACCGAACTTGGGCGACATAATGTAAGTACAAAAGTCCACAAACCGAAATTCAATCCTTAAGAATATTTAAAGGTAGAACACTATAGCATACTTACTGCGACTTTTTCATGAGTACGTGCAACTCGGTTTACCTATATAGTGGCTCGCAGCTTAGACGGCAGTTAGTAATGCGTGTGGTTTTAATATCAAAGCAAACTTAACTTTACAATGAATGTTATATCTTATAGATAATTAGATCTTACTAAAAATTAAATTAATTTATTCAATTTAATTTTTTTGGTAATGGGAGTTAATGGAATATCTTCTTAAATTGATTTATAAAGTCCTGTTGTGTTTGAATTTAAGTGATCGTGACTAGAGAAATCAATTTTTAACTATTATAATACCAACTTCTAAGAGATTTTTTTATTATATGCATATGTATGCATATAATAATATATAATACATATATTATTTAATTAATAAATAAATGAATTAATAATTAAAATATCTCTTCGAAGTTGGTATTATAAAAACTAAAAATTACTTTCTCTAGTCACGATCACTTGACATCAAACAAAACAGGACTTTTAGTTAACTACAGAAGTTATTTCATTTCCATTACCAAAGAAATTTATTTTAAAATCGATTGCAAATAAATAAATGAATTAAATTTTTAGTAAGATCTAAATACATATCTTATTTATAACATCCATTGCAAAATTAAGTTTATTTTGATATTAAAACCACACACATTACTAACCGTCTTACCGTCTTTCAAGTCGAATCAAAAATAGAGGACATAATATTTAGCATCTCTGTTCTTTAACACAAATGCATATCAATAAAATGAAATGCCTGCGCTGCGTTCTTCATAAAACATACATTTTCATATAAATATTTCGTAAATATTATAGCAGTATACAATTACCATTTGACTAAAATATTTCCTTAAGGTAAAGCTAAGCTGTAAATATGGAAAGTGGGTCAAACTTCCAACCGTTTTTTGTTGGATTCCAAATCTAGGTTTAAATCTGGACTTTCAAGCGAGCGCTGTCGGAATGCGATAGTTTTCAGTGAAATAGGGGTGGAAAAGCGGAGCTTAAAGCTTAACCGTTTGCTTTTGGGGGTGCGGGTGCCACCGTAGCTTACATCAGTAAATGTAACGGTTCCAGAGCGGACTTAACCTGCAAGACGCGCATGCGCACTTGCTTTCGATGGCCAGTGTTTGCACTCCTTAAAATGTTAACCCTTGACTTGAGCTTGGTTGTGAGCTTAAGTTGGAGCTTTCGGGCGGACGCAGAGCGCAGGGCTGATGACAATGTGCGATGGTATTTGTGTGTAGGTGTGCTCGTGCTTGTGCTTGTGCATGTGTGTGTGTGTGTGTGTGCGTGCGACCTGGCGATGTGGTAGTATGTGATACAAAGTCGCCGAGTTGAAGTCTTGCGTTTTGTTGAGTTTTTCGTCCAACTGGTGAGGCAAAGTCGGTAGCAGCTCCCGTGTATTAGCGGTTTTTGTTTTTTATTTTTCAACGAATCGCTATTAATCAGCAAATATGTGTTAGCCAGCAAACGGGGAAAATCAAGGCCCGTTGGTGCCTGGCAAATCAAGTGAAATTATTCGCGTCGCTGTGAAAAATTCGACATTTCGAAAGTTGTGTGCGCTGGCATCCGAATTCGGGTCGAGTGGTGAAAATAAAACTACAAACATCCAACCAAAGAAAAAGAAAATAGTCGGGGAAAACGCAACGGCAAAAATGGCAGCGAGGACAGAAATAAAAGACAAGTGAAAAGCATTATTCGGGCGTACTGAAGCCAATAAACGACCTCTGCACCGAGATCTATATATTTTTTTTTTGTTGGTTCTGTTTCCCCACTTACCCATTTAAAAACCCAAAATCCGTATAAACGTCACAAAACTAAACACCAATAAATAAAAACCTTTCCCCAAATAACCAAGTTGTAAGTGTTGAGTTGTCGTTGGCTTAAAGTTAACGCACCACACACAAACATGCACAGATATATACGTGTATGACCAAATATATATATACATACGTACATGTATATGACTTGGGATTGGGTCAGCGGGTCGGTAGCACAACGGGCGGAATGTTGCGTCGGTGGTTCTATATATATACACACATATATATATATATTGCGGTGGATGGAAGTGGTTAAAGGAAAAAGGAGATATGGTGCGCCAGTGGATTTCGGTTTCGGGTTTCGGCCAGAGCGGGTATCGGTATATATATCGTTTTGTTTTGTGACGTGTACACGCACAACGAGGTGAATGAATTGTTGCGACGCAGCAGCACACTGAATTTCCAATGCAGCATAACATAAAAACACAAAAAAAAGAAAAAATAATAACAAAAAATATAACAACAAATTAATATGCAAAACTTTTTTCCTAGGCCCATAGTTATTTACGATTTGTCTTTCGCCCACACACACATTTCCATCAGACTTGCAAGCCGGAAAAGAATTCAAATCATGTGTGTTTTCCCTTTTCCACGGAAGTGAACGTTTTCTTTTTTTTTTTTTGTCTTTTTTTCTGTTAACATGGCCAACAAGAATGTGTAGAATGCGAACATGTGAGCAAACACTGTTCTGTAACCAAAGGGGCTAATTAATAAATAACGAGATTATATATTTTTAGTTAGGAACGCTTACAAAATGTCATATTTTTGCCCAGAAACAATTAGAAACGAAAGTGGAGCAGCCTAAATAATTATTCGGGTTTTCCGAGGGGAGCGGCAAGTGTGTCATTGTTGCTGTTTATTTTTGGCAATTACAGGTTCGTTGGTCCTATGAACCGACAATACATACAGATATATATAGCTTCTGCCCATTCCCATTGGCATTTCCATGCTCGTTCCCACAAAAAAAAAAACATCGTCAACATAAAAAAGGCAGACAACTGTGCCTGGTGACGTCACGAGAGTTAAATTTATAATCATTCCGCTGAAAAGCAACCAAACTATACAAACATAAAATGAAAAGCATTTGTTTTGATAATTCATAAACAAGTTCAATTAATGTAGAGGAATTTGCTAAGCCAGATTTACTGGGCCCATAAAAGTAGGCAAGCGATTTGTGGTTGTATGTTATCGTTATCGATATGACCCAGTGATTGCTGAAATCAGTGAGAGAGCTCTTGCCGGTACGTGTGTGTGTGTGTGTGTGTGCGAGAGAGTTGAATTTTGCAAATGCCAATTCCTCGTTATCAAAGGGAAAACAATTAAAATGGTCTACAATTAAGAGTGGACACATTCAGCTAAAGAACTTCACGCAACTTCAAATTCCCTTTTCCCGTTTTTTTCTTTCTAAAAATAACTAAAAAAGGTAAACAACAAGATTTTCGAACGGGAACGAGAATCCAGTGAATTCCAGTGATGTCGGAATTGAGAATCCCACCGTTTCACAACTCACCACAGTTCTTTATATGTGTGTATTGAGCTTTTTCTTTGGCTTATATACACACATACGTATATATTCTCAGCCTCTGGCTTTCATCCCCTAACTTTTTCATTCATGGCGTGTTCCAGTAATGGAATTTTATACCAATAACCGAAATAACATCCCATATCCCATAGCCATAACCGCATCCATCCATCCCTAGGCAAATATACATATGTTCCATGGGCCAGGGAAAATAATCAAACATAAAAAAGCGACATACGAAATAGCCATGCATTTTGTATGCAACCCCATCCCCCATTCGTGACCCATGTATGTATGTATGTATAAGTGTATGTGTATATGTGCGTGCGCGAGTGTATGTGCATGTTTTCAATAGGTCATGAACTGAATTGACCCGAGTGCATCATAATTATCGGCTGGCAAAATAAGTAGCACAAACGCAACGTCGAAATATCGAAACACCGAAAACCACCGCAAGCAATTGAAAACTACGGCCGGAAATTAGATTATGGAATCTGTCCAATTAGACATGCACGTGCATGTGCGGTTTCGAACTCGTGCAAAACGACAAAAATAGAAACACACACACACGCAACTACACACGTCGTGCATCAAAAATGCCCATTTACAATCGCAAGTGATTGATAACCAAATTAAAGTGCGGTGTCGGCGGATAATGAAAAAATATAAATACTCAACCATATATGTAATTCAATTTAAATTTCAATCCAGTTTAAGTGCAATAATAACACGGTAATGCCGAGAAGAAGCTAGAAGAAGAAGAAGGATAATAAAGACAAAAATAGATACGAGTCAGCAGAGAGAGAGAGAGCAGTAAACAAAGGCCAGGAATTACGATCAAAATACGGCGAGGGATACGGCGGAGAGCAGAGAGCAGAGAGCAGGGGAAGAGGAAGAGGAAGAGACGGATACGCAATCCGGAATCCGGAATCCTCCAGTAATCACTAGCACCAGCTAAAAGGACTCGCGAGCTAAATGTCCTGTTGCCGCTATCGTGCCATACGGACGGCGTGTCACTCCCGACAAATGCGTATTGTGGTTGACCTTGTTTAATATAATTATGGCCGAGCGGTCGTTACAAAAGTATCAGAAATTGGATACAGTGACGGTATGTCCTCCCACTTATCTTTCTCTTAATTGTCCTCTATCTGATTACATTAAGTGGGCTATAAACTTTGCTAAGTGGGTATTTTTTTTTTTTTTAACTTTAAAGGTTTTTCTCTACGGAACAACCAATGTAAAAGGTTGTTTTTACAAGTAATACTTCATTATTTATATTGAATAACATTTATTGTTTATACAGGGTTATATAGACTGAATATAAATTTCGATAAATTTGATTTATTAAAAACCGGATTACATGGCGTATGGGTAATGTAATTATTCACGTTGTAGATTGGTGTGGTGTGTGAACCAAAAGTGTAGCTTTGTTATCTGTTAAGCACTCCATTGAAAGCTAAGCAACGATCAGGGATATTTTTCTAAATTTTATTTAAGAATTGAAACCCAAACTCTAACTGGCATGAAAAAGTTATGGTTTCAGAAAGTGGGGTATTGAAAAACTTTTCGCAACCCATTCAAATTGAATTTTCAACATTAAAGTAAATATGTATGTATATGCAATTTTTTGGGTAATCGAGTCTGAAACCTTTAAAGGTGTGCCACTTTAAAATCATAGGCGTATTGCTCAAGTTGCGGCCCCTTGAATTCAACCTGTGAACAATACAAACGTTCGTTTTCACGTATAATTAATTAATACCAATCGTATCGATTAGTAGGGCTAAGATACCCTGCAATTTGCTTGTCTGACGGCTTTTAATCCTTCTTCCCGTTCTCGAATACAGGTTGGAAGCGGCTCAGGAAGTAGTGCAGGCAGAGCATCAACAGGACTCCTTAGGCGGGGGGGCACTTGGGTCGAAAGGGAGCCCATCGCTTAGCTGATAGAATGGGTGGCCCGAAAAAAGAGGAAAACCCACCAGGTGGTGGTCCGACGTCATTGTTTATTCTAACCGAGGATAACCCAATAAGGAAGTACACACGATTCATCATTGAATGGCCGCCCTTTGAATACGCTGTGTTATTGACAATCATAGCCAACTGTGTTGTGTTGGCACTAGAGGAGCACTTACCAGGGGGCGACAAGACAGTATTGGCTCAAAAATTGGTAAGACTTCGCCCGATCCCCCTTCCCCCCTCCAGCAGCTTTTAAGGTTAAATTATCCTCTCACCCAAAATGGTTTCCCCCTTGTTTTTTTTTTTCGTATGGCCGCAAATAGGAAAAAACGGAGGCCTATTTTTTATGCATTTTCTGTGTAGAAGCGTCGCTCAAGATCCTCGCCTTAGGGCTTGTTCTGCATAAACACTCCTATCTCAGGAATATTTGGAACATCATGGATTTTTTCGTTGTAGTTACGGGGTAAATAACGAACCAAACTAATAACCAATTATATATATGCACTTTTCCTTTATTGTTTTTGAATATTAATGAACACCTAAGTGAAACACGCTGTGCAAGCCTTATTTTTTGTTCGATCCAAACCAATTTTTACGATTAAATCTACTATACTATATAATTACAAAAAAAAAAAATGATTTTTAAACATAAATAGTAAGGTAAAAAAAGCTAAATTAAGATATGTATTAAGTCCATTTAATTTTAACTTTGAAGTCAAGACTTGCGGTTGAACATTCTTAAACTTATACTTAAGTGATTATAATAACAACTTCTTCCGTGTGTTTAAATGCATATAACGAATTATAATGCCAATATCAGAGCCATGACGATATTCGCTGAGGCCAATATAGACGTCGATCTGCGTATGTTGCGATCTTTTCGTGTTTTACGCCCACTGAAGCTCGTATCCCGAATTCCAAGTAAGAAATCGGCCGCCAAAGGATCCATTAGTTGCTATGCAAAGAACCTAGGCCAGATAACATAACGATTTAGTAAAGATATTTTTGAAAGAATAGATTTAATGCCAAAAGAATAACATTCAAAAACTTAAGCTAGCTTATTTATGTTTTCTTTTATTTTGAACGGAAGTGAACTTAGGAAACCTTCCTACTATGGCTAAATATTTCTTAGAATTAGCTATATATTAAGAAGTAGTAAAAATATTTATCTGTAACGCTCAACCTACCGGCCGTGTTTCCATTTAAAATGAAAAAAAAACACAAGAACGTTTGTAAAATTAAAAAAAAAAACACACACGAACGTTTAAAAATGGAACCAGGTTGCGAATAAAATAACTATTTTTTCTTCATAAACAAAATAGGACTATTCACCTTTAATTTTAATTTCATCATTAGGATGCAATATTTTAGAAAATGTGTCTATTGTATTTTTATTTTGATTATAGAAGAGTTTAGATGGTAACCACAAAAATATGATAATTGGAATCAATGGTGTTAGCCATACTAATAGTATAAATGTATCAAAAATATTAACTATTTTAAAAATTTCAGGTTAGAAACGAATCAAAATATATCGCTTGACAACATAGAATTATAGTTAAGGATTTCTATTTGTTTTTAAAAACTATTTAAAATAATCTCTGCCCTATGATATTTTTTGGAACATTTCTGTTGGTTTTTTTTTGTTATTAACTGTTTATATATTTCTAGCCATTATCTTAAACATGAATGGAAACATTTTTAAATTACATAAAAAATAGCAATAGGCTCAAATTTTGTTGCAGTGACAATAATAAAATAGAAAATTTGTCTGAAATAATTATCTCGCCAGATAACTAAACCTCCTTTAAAACGTGGTAAAATAGTTACTTATACTACGTTCGATTATAGCTGGCACATAGAATAAAAGTTTACAATTGAAACCATGTTAGAATATACACTTATTTATTTAGTTCTTTAAGTCAAAGTCAGGTTTTAGTGACCAGTAGATAGATTAAGTTTATTCTTTTATCATATGGAAAAGCCATCGAAAAAGTGGTATTTCTTATATTTGTAGCCTTTTAAAAAAATTAATTCATTGAAAGGATTAGTTAAAGCTTAAATATAAGCAGTGGCCAATATATTCATAGTCTTATCGATTTATTCTTGAATCACTTTCTATTTTTTAGCTGACTAATTTCATAGTTTAGATTTGCTCTCCAGCATATTGCAAATTTGCTAGAGAATTCTTAGAAAAGTATTTGAAAAAGGAGAGCAAATACAAACTATTCTGCGTTTCCGCTTGGGTTTCCCATTGTGTGTGCCAAAAAAAATGAACTAACCGCGCGTTAAACGTTAAAAATGTTACTTTACTATTCACTTGTTAATATTGTTTAAGTTTTAGGTTGCTTTTTGCTTTCGATTCGAGTTTCGATTTAAGATGCACAATACATACTATAAACCTTTGATTTCAACGTACTCGTATGATTTCGATTATGATTGCATATTGCAATTACGATAATTTGATCTTGTATTCGATTGAGTATCGCTAATCAATATTTACATATACAAATTCGTTTCGATCGCTTAACGTCTGCAAACAGATTCATGACACAGTACCCACAAATAGGGCCCGAGGTAGACCTAAGAACACTTAGAGCCATTCGTGTGCTACGGCCCTTAAAATTAGTGTCTGGAATTCCTAGTGAGTAGTTCCTCTGTTTTAATCAACTTTTCTACTTCTACTTCTCGTTGTCGTTTATACGTTTATACGTTTATTTTCCTCTTGAGTGTGTGTAAATGTAACCATTAATGCGAGAGTGTGTGTTTAATTTATAATATAATAATTTATTTCTAGTAAGAGTGAGTGCAAGTGAGAGTCTCCATCTTAGTTATTATTATTTTATTTTCGAACGTACTAGTGTGATTAGATTGGTTGTGTGAAACATGGTTGTCGTAGAGCTCGAAAGAATTAATTCTTTGACAACCATGTATGTTAAGTGTGTGTAAACGATCGCCCTCCTTTTGAATCCTTCTAATCCCGCGTAATATTTCTCCACAATCAACATCAACATTTAACTCTGGATTGGATGAGCGACGTCTACAGGTTTACAAGTAGTTTTAAAATCTATAATCAAGGCGATGGCACCTTTACTGCAAATCGGTCTCTTGGTGTTGTTTGCAATCGTAATTTTTGCAATCATTGGACTCGAGTTTTATTCGGGCGCACTGCATAAGACTTGTTATAGCTTAGAAGATCCAAGTACGTTCGATATGGCATATACATATTATAAAAGGTGTACAGGTTATAGATGTGGCTCTCTTTGGTAGACAAACTAGTGAAGGAGGGTGAATCAGAGACGCCTTGCAACACGGACAACGCCACGGAAAAGGCAACCGGATCGTTTGTATGCAACAACACCACGAGCATGTGTCTGGAGAAATGGGATGGACCAAATTCAGGTATCACGAGTTTCGATAATATCGGATTTGCCATGTTGACCGTATTCCAATGTATCACGATGGAGGGCTGGACGTCAATACTGTATTGGGTAAGTTGAGTATATATAGTTAGAGATCCTAATATATTAACAGAATTTATAGGAGATTTGTAACCCTCTTAAAAATGATCATAAAACTATGCTACACTATATTTTGAGCTTAAGAGTTCCAAGAATCTAACCCAAAATATATTTACTAAAGCATACTTTTAAGCACCGTTTCGCTTTAAAAGCGGTTTCAAACCTGCAGAGATTTCTGTAACATCACAAATAATCTTAAACTTAACTCATAATTCTCATTCACAGACCAACGACGCATTAGGTTCAGCATTTAATTGGATATATTTCGTGCCTCTTATAGTTATAGGCTCATTTTTTATGCTCAACTTAGTTCTTGGTGTCCTTAGTGGGTAAGTTGATCGCGAATCGCTAAATTATCAATGAAGCCATTTCTACACCAGTTCACATTATCTTATACTTATGATTTCGATTACTTCCGTTCGAAAAGGGATTTGAAAATACTGCATACATATGTTTCGATCATTTCGAAGAGTCGCGAGTTCTTCAATGTCAAATTGTAAAGATCAGATGTAAAGAAACGCCAGATTATACATATGTATATATCGGTTTTACATAGTTACTTGCATGCGAATAACACGGGGTGCAAAACAAAAAAAAGGAATTAATTCGATGTAAATTAATGGAAATTAAATCCCTGTCGACAAAGGATTCAAAAATATATGTATGTACGTGTTTGAAATACTTCTGTTTTGATTTGCCATTGTTTTCGGTTTCGGTTCAAGTATTCTGTTTTGGAATTTTGTTATATGCATTTAACTATCGTATTCCCGAATTCAGAGAGTTTTCGAACGAACGAAATCGTGTCGAACGTCGCATGGAGTTTCAAAAATGCCGCTTTCGGGCCATGTTTCAGACAGCAATGGTTTCGTACCTTGACTGGATCACACAAGCAGGTTTATACAACTAGATCTAAATCTAAGTGCCACCAAGTAAACCGCCATAATCATACAACACAACCTGCAATATATAACAATATCGGCCAAAGAAAAAATAGAGAATAAAATAAACAGAAAACACTGAAAAACAAGTCTACTCGTATGCTATCGAATCCGAGCGAGTTCATTGATTTAAACACCCATCAACTAACTAAAACCAAAAGCAAGAAAAAAACGACCTACTCCTCCCGAATTTATAAAGAACTTGTTTGATTTACTGCTAGTTACGTATTCTTAAATAGATCGCAAGCAAATCCCCGGCTACAAAAATGAGTTCTGGTACCCAAAACTTACCTACTACTCAATAATACAACAACTACTTCCAAAAGAACCGAATTAATACCAACTGCGAAATGCCGTTCTCCCCTTTTAGAGTTCAACCAATTGAAACAATATCCGAAACCATATACAATATATTCTCCAATGCGTATTGCGTATTATATATAAAATATATAATATATATATATTCTCTGCATTTTGCTACACACCCGACTTTACCCGATACTTAATACCATAGCGATAAAGTTGAATTCCCAGCAGCCTAAAAAACAATAAACCAAACTAACCAACTAGATATTTCTACAACAGTTAGCCATCTTTAACAAATATCCAAATATATACATTCCCCGCCAGCGGAGTCGTGAAATGTTGTTTGAATCTTGGCTATATTTTGGCTATATACTATATACTATATACACCCCACAAGTCCACACTGATACTGATACTGATACCAGTGCACCCACCTATCAAAATCAATGTTCTGTCCCGATTTTCTTTCAACTCCATCAAAGTATCATCGATCTAGACTCAGAGACTCCCAGCGAAAAAACAGGGCAAAAAAAAAAAATATTTAAAAAAAGAAAAAAGAGTTATTGAAGACCCGATGGCATCATCAACCCATGCGTACTATATATTTATTTGTCGCCACCGAATAAGTCATTCTATATATGCTTGTATGCACACATATAATCTAACACATTCCCTTCTTGTATCTGTTTCCTTGACTCTTGACCTCTGACCTCATCGAGGGTCTCTTCTCCGATGCCAAAAAAAAAAAAAATAAATAAGATATATTTATATATATATCGAAATGTTATTGTGTTATTTAAATGCCAGCTCATTATTTCGACCTTCTGTTTGTTGCCCGTTTGTTGTGTTTTGAAAAGAGAAAAGCACTTGAATATTCTTTGACTTTGGTTTTGTGGTTAAATTCAATTCAATTTAATTCGATTCTCCTCTGTTGATTACACTCGTACTATACAAAACAACCAAATGACGAATGTATGGTGTGAACTTTGCTATTGTAATACCAAAGCATACATGATCGTTTTTAGCAATCAATCAATCCTGTTTTTTCGGTTTATCACGTTCTACTTAATTATTTTTTGTAGTGAATTCGCAAAAGAACGAGAAAAAGTAGAAAATAGACAAGAGTTTCTTAAACTTAGAAGGCAGCAGCAACTAGAAAGAGAGTTAAACGGCTATGTTGAATGGATTTGTAAAGCTGGTATAGTATTTACCCCTATTTCTTGTTTGTAAATCTATCTATATATACACTCACTTTGACTCGAATCACAAACAACTATCATACACGAATATTCAGACATGAAAATTTAAACCATATTCACCCCATACCCATGTTCATCCACAGATATTTGTATATAATGTTTCTAAAACGATATTGATCTTTTCTGAATCAGCAATTCTAAAAAAAAAAAAATTCTATATATATCTTTTTAAAACAAATCAACATTTAAATTAAAAAAAAAAACAAAAAAAACATTCAGATGGAGATTTTAGCAAGAGCTTCAATTTAACTTCGAATTAATGTACAAATAACAAATTTGAAAAATTAACTGGGCTTCAAAAATATTTAAAAAATTGAGAGAACTGTTTCAGTGTCCAATAATTATTTAGGACTTTACTTCAATATCATCTTTTCACTTGATATTGCTCAACTCATTCAAAAACCTTCATGTGAAACAAAAACATAATCAATTATATGATATAACAACAAAATAAAAGATGCGTTTATGCTGTACTAAGATATTGTTAAATAGCCAGCACTCTTGGCACATTCTTAGCATCCCTCTCCTCATAGAAACCGAGTCCTTAAAACCTTTGCTTAGCCAAATTGAAAGTAAATAAATTCCCGACTATACTCCGACTAAATAAAATAGCTATCGTGGAAATATGGACACAGATCCCTCATGCCTCCCAACTATATATGAAAAAAAAAACAACACACTATATCCCACATCAACTATATTGAACATATATATATCCTTTCTGCTTATGTGTTGATTAAATCGATTTGCCTGCCATGAAAAAATACCAATCGCCCGATTTTGCTGTTATTGCAGAGGAGGTAATTCTAGCCGAGGAGCGAACAACCGAGGAGGAAAAAATGCACATTATGGAGGGTGAGTTGCCATCGCATCGCATTTTTTGATAAAAATACCATCTTAATTAGTGAATAACATTTTCATTTTTTTTTTATACAGCTCGCAGACGAAACGCAGCCAAGCGGAAAAAGCTGAAAAGCTTGGGAAAATCAAAGTCAACTGACACCGAAGAGGAGGAAGCCGAGGAAGATTACGGTGACGATGGTAAGAAAGATATTTTAAATAGATAATTAAGAGCCCGGTGTTTGGCTTTAAGTGCCAACAACGTTTGACCTTTCTCGAAAACCAAAAAAAAAAGAAAAAGCTTCTGGTTTCACAGTTTCAAAGAAACCTAATGGGGTAAAACATGATAACGAAATCAAAATTACATTAAATGCTGCAATTCCAGTTGCACTTCGCTTTTCAATTTCCTTTTTCCCTTCTAAAAAAAAACAAAAGTAAAAGTGGGTACTCCTAAGTTATATTGCATTTTATGGGATGGCAATATGCGATTAATTCAATTTTTTATTTCTATACTTGAACTTACAACAACAAAACGAAATTGTATTTCATACATTGAATATGTTCCGAATGTGTAAGTAAATTATTATTTATTTGTTCACGAAGCGAGAAATCTGCACCGGCGTCAGATAGTGAAACCCCCATTAAATTCGCAATCCAAGCAAATAGAAATTACTTCATAAATCTCATCGTACAGATACGTTTTTAAATCGATGTAAAGCAATCACTTGTGTAAATATGAGAAAGTAGTTGGTGTTAGATGTAAAGATGGCCAATGGAAAATCAATAAGAAAACATCAAAAATATTGGTGAAAATAAGAGGAGCTGTTAATGGACCTTCGAGTTTTGAAAAAAGAAACGAGCACCTTAGATAGAAACCTTTAGGCGGCATTCGTATGGATTTCAACGAGCTAAGCTTTAAGTAAACTATATAGATAGTGCCCACCCAAAAATATAAAATCCGCACTTGTGTAACGTCGTCTATATAAACAAATAGTAATCCATACCATGTTAAGATCAAAAACAACATACTCTTTCGCATTGTATTTGAGTACATTTAATTTTGCTAGCAGTGCATTTCAAAACAAAATAATAAAATTAGAAAAATAAACTTACAAAGTCCAAAGAGGAATAGTCATTGAATAGTAAGAGTATCCGAATTTTGTTTTGAAATTGCATCCGTATTTGAGCAGTGTACACAACATTTGCCTGGTTGTTCAATAGGTGGAGATATTCGTAAATGCACAACTAATTTATTGTAAAACTGGTACTTAAATGATTTCTTCTCTGTGTTCCTCCTTAGGTTACCTGAAAACTCGCTCGAAACCTCAAGGAAGTTGCACTGGATTTTGGCGGGCGGAGAAGCGGTTTCGATTCTGGATCCGACATACAGTGAAGACTCAGTGGTTCTACTGGTTCGTGATCGTCCTCGTCTTTCTCAACACAGTCTGCGTTGCCGTCGAGCACTATGGACAGCCATCGTTCCTTACTGAGTTTCTGTGTAAGTTTCGAATTAATTGTAAATTTTCGAATTAAAAAGAAAATTCCAAAGCTAAGAAACATAACTAGATTGCTAACAAAGCCTTTTGTAATTTTGTAACAATTTCGCCAAGGAATCTTGCTTACAGTAGAACTTCTTAAAAGTGTACAATATACATTTCTAATGTTTAGAATCTTTAAAAATGTAACAACAATTTTTCTAAAATTTTTCAACATGATATTCGAACAGTTAAATTGCTGAGTAATAGTAACATTTTAAATTTTGTAAGTTTATTGGAAGAAACAAACCGTATTTTTAAATGTAGAAAGTATACTGAATTGAAAGGAATTTTTTGATGAAGCCTTTAACCATTTGATTTACTTTATTGACTATAACTCCTTGTGGTTTTCCCTCACAGACTACGCGGAATTCATCTTCCTGGGACTCTTCATGTCGGAGATGTTCATCAAGATGTACGCGCTGGGGCCGCGGATCTACTTTGAGTCGTCGTTCAACCGATTCGATTGCGTTGTCATTAGTGGTTCGATATTCGAGGTGATCTGGTCCGAGGTGAAGGGCGGCTCCTTCGGTCTGTCCGTGCTGCGAGCCCTGCGATTGCTGCGCATTTTCAAGGTCACCAAGTACTGGTCGTCGCTGCGCAATCTGGTGATATCCCTGCTGAACTCGATGAGATCGATTATCTCGTTGCTGTTCCTGCTCTTCCTGTTCATCCTGATATTCGCCCTGCTGGGCATGCAGCTGTTCGGCGGACAGTTCAATCTGCCGGGCGGAACGCCCGAGACCAATTTCAATACCTTCCCGATCGCCCTGCTGACCGTATTCCAGATCCTCACCGGCGAGGATTGGAACGAGGTCATGTACCAGGGCATTATATCGCAGGGCGGCGCCCAGAAAGGAATGATTTACTCTATGTAAGTTTTGTGTAATCGTATCTCGAACCAAACAGATATCCAGACATCCAGATATCCAGCTATCTATCTATCCATCATGTGCATTGTAAGCCAGTTGCTAGTTTAATTAGGTGTCCCCATGCAGAACGTAATCTGTTCTTAAGATCGATCAAAATAGTAATTACAATTCATTGAACGTCGAACCATTAATGTGTGCAATCTACCATTGACTTGGGAGCTTGAAGAATTTTACCCAGAAACAAAATTCTGCAGGCTCAAGTCACGAGATAAGCTCTAAACCACAATAAGAATCATGCATCCTGAATATCCGCTAATCCGTAAGTGTAGAAACTTGGTCATCGATGACATTCAATTGTGCATCCGATTAAACGCTATATCCTTTTTGTCTACTCTCTCGATCTCATCTCTCTTTGCAGCTTTTCAACCGACTCTTTTTTCTATCTATCAGATACGAGGCGTTTGTGAACGAAACCTAAGCGTAGATCCCAAAACACTTTCCCCACAGCACACGTACAATACACACGTACATTTTGAGTTTCATGCCACATCGAGGAGGTTCCACACTCCTGAGCCAATGCCCAAAAAAAAAAAAAAAAAAAAAAAAACAATATTAAATGACAATATTTGAAATGATGATCTAGATCATCCGATTGATTTCTGTGTTCTTGGTGCTCTTTCGACAGATACTTTATCGTTTTGGTACTCTTCGGAAATTACACGCTATTGAATGTGTTCTTGGCTATCGCCGTTGATAATTTGGCGAATGCCCAAGAACTAACAGCAGCCGAAGAGGAACAAGTCGAAGAGGATAAAGAGAAACAACTGCAGGAGCTCGAGAAGGAGATGGAGGCCCTCCAGGCGGACGGGGTTCATGTGGAGAATGGTGACGGTGCCGTTGTGCCCAGCAAATCGAGCAAGGGCAAAAAGAAGGAGGAGGAGAAGAAGGAGGAGGAGGAGGTGACCGAGGGTCCCAAGCCGATGTTGCCATACTCATCGATGTTTATACTCTCACCGACCAATCCGTAAATATTCCCCTCCATTCGAACCGATCAAACACACTCGCCCATTCATCCCATCATCCTCGTAGTTATTGGATAGGGTTCATCCTTAGTCGTAAGCTAATCGAATCTCTTCCAGCCACCAAGATCCGCCCAGAAGGATGTGATATCTCTAAGACTATCTATCAAGCGTATATCTGTACAGTATATCTATCCTATCCTAGCTCATCCATATATCTAGATCTAATCTAATCCGATCAACTACAATTGCTGTAGTGACAAACTTAATCGATTACTGATGCAATACTCTTTTCTTTTTTACCTTTTTTCCTGTTTTCGATTACAATCTTATGTTGCACACAACCAACCAAACAATCAATCAATCAATCAATCAATCAATGATCGAATCTACATCTGTTTGTAAATATGTATATTCAATATCCGACTACAATTATTATAATCATCAACCATAATCAACCACCATCATGATAAACTGCAAATAATCATCGACACTCTCAACAACAAACAACAAACTGATTACCAACAACAACAACAACAATTCATTCTAAACAACGAACATCAACGAACTCATCTCAAAATTCAAACAAACAAAAACAATAATTCAAAACCTGAAATATTAAATGCGAATTGGAACGACGACAAAAATGAAATCCATCAACAAATTCAATATAAAAATCAACGGTTGTCAAAAAAAAAAAAAAAATTCTAACAAAATGCGAAAATTACAATCGGAATCTGGAATCTGAAACATCGAAAAAATCTTTAAAATTTACCCACATCAAAATAAATTGCAATCAAAAACCGATAAAAAAAAACCTTATAAAATAAAAACTAAACTGACATCGAATTTGACGCAATCCCGAATGCTAAAAAAATATGATCATGAACCTATTTGATTGCCAAAACCAAAACCAAAATCAAAATCAAAACCAAAAACCAAATGAATCGAAACCACTCAATTATCGATACTAAACCTATCTATCTATTCGCTGTTCCGATGAATTCGATAAACGCACGACTTATACAGCATACGACGCGGCGCCCATTGGGTTGTTAATTTGCCATATTTTGATTTCTTCATTATGGTTGTCATCTCAATGTCATCAATAGCATTAGCAGCCGAAGATCCCGTTCGTGAGAACTCAAGGCGAAACAAGATACTGAACTATTTCGATTATGCATTTACCGGCGTATTCACGATAGAAATGTTGCTGAAAATTGTAGACTTGGGTGTTATCCTGCACCCTGGCAGCTATTTAAGAGAATTCTGGAATATTATGGATGCTGTGGTCGTTATATGCGCTGCTGTTAGTTTCGGTTTCGATATGAGCGGTAGCAGCGCTGGACAAAATTTATCGACTATTAAATCGCTTCGGGTATTGCGAGTCCTTCGCCCATTGAAGACCATTAAGCGGGTACCAAAATTGAAAGCCGTGTTCGATTGCGTCGTGAACTCATTGAAAAATGTTGTTAACATTCTAATCGTGTACATATTGTTTCAATTTATATTTTCTGTTATTGGAGTACAATTGTTCAATGGAAAATTTTTTTATTGTACGGACGAAAGTAAACATACTTCCGCAGAGTGCCAGTAAGTAAAACTTATATTCAATTCAAGTTTACAGATTGTTCGTTCGCTTTACTTAAGTTTGTCTTTGTAACCTTATTCTTGATCTTAATTAGTCTTTATTTCCCAATGTTGTATTTTTTCTTTATTGCTCTGTTTAGTTCTGATTTATTTTTTGGTTTTTTTTTGTTGTGAATCATTTTGCAAAAGGGACTTGGCTAAGGTGCCATTTAAATGTCCTTACGTAGTGACCTGTTTAAGGTTTTTTGATTTACCATCGCGATCATTTTTAAATCCTAACAACTCGTTTAGCCGCGTTACACTGTAGCGCTCTAGCTCTCCCACTCTCTCCCACAGAAAACACGTTCTCTACGACTATCTCTCTCTCTCTCTCTCTCTGTCTCTGTTGCTAACTCTGTGTGTTTATTTGTCTAAGGTCAAGTAACATGATTAGCTAACTGAAAAATACCCAACAAAAAAACTATATGTACATTGCGTAGCTTTTAGATTCGGAAAGAACGAACACATTTCACCCACTCGTACGTACATTTCCCGAAACATTTTTGGGCTCTCACACGTACACGTACAGCCATGTTCAAGATAATAGTACCAACTCCTTCCAATGCTTTACAAAGTGTGGTGTGACTTTTTCCTTGAAATATATGTTGTGCCATAGTTTTTAGGCTAAAACATTGTGTAGAAAATAAACTAATTTTTATAAATCTAGTGCTATATTAATTAATATTAAAAAAAATAGCAACATTTGTTTAAACTAACATTATTTTAAGTGATTTTATCTATTGTCGTAGGCTAACGAATTTATGCCAGGCTAACAAATTTCAAATTATTTACGATATTCAAAAAGTGTTGCCTACTTAAAAGGGCATTTCCGGTATTTATGAAAAGTAATTGAAAACATGTTTTTAAATTCAAACAAAAGGTTATTATATTTACAAAAATACATTTTTAATTGACTTTCTATTTCTTGTTATTAATTTTGCACAATTATATTAAATTTAAAAGAAAAAGTGAAACAACAAATTTTGAAGGTGATGGAAGGAGTCAATACTCTTATATTCTGTCCAGTCGTATAAAATAGGGGTGCTTTGCCTACACAACACTTCTATAAGTCCCAATACATAAATGTCTAGCTGTAAAGTTTTGATTTTGGCCTGACTAGCGCATAAATATCTAAGTATGTTTTGAATCCGTCCCACAGTGTTACAATATATATTTGTGTGTCTATTTGCATACCGATTTGAACTCCCTGTGAGGTGAAAATTACGAGAGAGAAACTACGAGGATTTTATTACTGGAATCAGTAATACCGAGAGTTAAATGGAGAAAACAGGACGAGGCTTTTGTTAGCTACTTAACTCCCCAATTTATTGTATATAATTATAAACCATATATGTGTGTGTTCGATTTTAAAATGGTCCCAATAAAGAGCAATTAGGATATAAGTTTCCAGCCCCAAAATCCCCGTTTTTAAATGTGTGTCGTACGATTGTTTCGTTAACCCAACCATTATCGTTATCCTTCTGTTCGTTCTATTATCGTATTTGTTTTCATGAAACCAAAAAAGGTGCACTGATTTAACAGAATGTAAGAGTAGCATTTTATAGTTTCTTGCCATGTTTTTCTTGCCTGACTTGTCTAATTAACAGTCACGCGACTAAACGGGCCAAAAACAAACAACATACAAAAAAAAAAAAAAAGAAAAAAGAAAAAGGAAAAAATATACAAAAACGAATACCAACCATAAATATAAAATTGATGGAAATACAACCGAATCAAAAAGTGGATGATAAAAAGCATATATAAAAGAAAAAATAGAGAAAATGCGTTCGAATCAACATCTGTGATATAGAAATGCAAACCTACAGTTTCTAGTTGCCACCTGAAAAACCTTACCAGTTACGCCTAATTTTCTATATATTTATTTTATCAATATATATATATATATCTATATTTAATCAGTTGAGCCGTATCAGTGTATGTTTGTATATGTTCTCTTCATAAAAACCAAAGCTCGGGAAACACCAAAGGATATAGCAGGAATATCTTCGCGATTAGCCACAAATATTATATATCTTAACTTAAGTGTTTCATTTAACTGCAATTGGGTATTCTCCAAATACCAAAGAGTCCATATTACTACCAGAAGATTTCTTAATAAGCACGCGCATAGAATAGACAAATGAATAGATTTCCAAAGTTAAAACAGAAGATAAGATGATAAGATGAAGCTCTGATTTTCCACAAGTTCAAGACCCGATTCCCTAGGGAAGAGCGAACAGTAGGGTCCAAGTTTCTAGGTCCTGGCTTCCCTTCTTTTCTGTAAAGTCTCTCCAAAAACCAAGTAGTAAGTGTATCCCAATATCTAGCCATCATCCATGCATACACGCCATTATTTGTATGTTCCAGTATTTATAAATCTATCCACCAAAAACGAACAAGTTTTCGGTTTTGTACGAATAGTGATAATCTTTCGTAGGAATATCGTAACCAATTTGTAGTAGACTATATCCAAATTAGATGACGAGCGCTCTTTTCCAATTTACATATGTGTGTGTGTGTATAAAGAGTATCATTATGTATTGTATTATATTATTATATTGACACCGCGTATCTTTGTTGAGAAGTGAAAAACAATGACCGATACTTGCGTTGCAACCGAGGGACGTTCAACGAGTACCAAAAGCCATTAGAGTATCGGTTTGTTTTAGCTGTTTGGCCTTCGTATGCAATAACTGTGGCCCAAACGCCCTGCCTAATTGACAACCAAATCAAATCCAACTAAAATTTACTCAAAAATAAAACCAAAATACATATGTACACGTACATCCCAACGCCCACTAGCATTTGACACTCACCGCCAGCGAAGAAACTTTATTTTTTTTTCTGTGTATTTTTGCAAGAAGAAAGTACATTTTGAATTTCGGTTACAGAACCAGTCTCTCAAAATTTTCAATTGGTTCGAGTAAAATTTGCCAGTCAATTTGATTGAAAAAAAAACTCTACGTATTTGGATTCAATATATTCTGTATTAAATAATTCATAAATATAATATAATATTCAATCAATAAATCATTTGCAATGTACTTTTTTTTAAACCGGTGACTATCTGCCATTTTGGCATGTAAAGTAGCTTATTCCTTCGAATCCAAGCCAAAAAAAAACTCACCAATTTAAGCGCAGCTGCTTTGTTACACATCACCGAATTGACAACGGGCCGAACCACGTAAAAACCCAAAAACCAAACCCAGTAAGAAATGGAGCTCGAACTTTTTGAGAAACACGACTCCGAATCGAAACCCACAGTCTTGTCCATTCATTCAATCAATACCATGGGTACAACAATGGTTTTAGTAGTTTCTTCATTTTTGTTTAGTGATTTTCGAACATTTCTTTATTTGTACGCCTTATTACTCCGACCTTATCGAGTGTTGATTTGATTTGAGTTGAAGTGCCAAGTGCCGAGTGCCATATCAAATTTTCCACTCGAAAAAGGTCAATGCAGTATGTAGAATTTTGAGAGGGAAAACAGCCGCTTTTTGCACCACTGACTTACATACCTTCCACTAACTGAAAAACCAGGACACGCCATGCTTAAATTGCAACGAAAGTCACTAATTTAAAATACAACTCTGCCAGGGGTGTCACAAAAATCTATCGATTTGAGTAGAATTTAGATAAAAAGGAATTTAAAAATAGATTTTCAAGACACCCCTGAATGTTTTTCTTTAGAAATCTAACTGTCGTTTTCGTTTACTAGATTTCGATTTCAACATGTACTTAACATTAAAATCATTTCACCAAACCATTAAACTTTCAAAAGCATCCACCGAAAAAAACGGAAAAGATTAAACCATAAAATGTATTTTAATCCCCAATTGATGTTCAGTTTTAGATGCTTGCCAAGCTTTAGTTTCGATTCATTACCTCTTAATTTCGTTTTGTGTTTATTGTTGCGCAAACTTTATTTGTGGTACTTTCTCTAATGAGTCTCAATCAAATTACTAATGACTAAACCACACCTGCGACAAACACCATCTTAAAAAAAAAAAAAAAAACATGAAAACCAATTTGAAAACGAAAACCAAAACGCAAAAAACCGAAATGCAAACCCAGGGGGTCGTATTTCAAGTACGAGGAGGACGAATTGCTGCCGAAACAGGAGTTGCGGGTTTGGAAACCGCGGGCCTTCCACTACGATAATGTTGCTGCCGCAATGTTGACGCTATTTGCTGTGCAAACCGGCGAGGGATGGCCACAGTAAGCCAATTTGTTGTTGTTGTAAACCGATATTTCCACCCCATCTATGTATATTTGTATCCGTATCATGTATTTCGTATCTGTATCTCAAATCTGTCTTTTGATCTGTCTCTCTGTCGGCTGCAAATCCAAAAAAAAAACCAATCAAAATGAATAACATACCTAACTAATGTATTTTACCTTTCTTTCTCCTCAAAAAAAAAAAAAAAAAAAAAACAAAAAAAAAAAAAAAAAAACAACTGCACCTTGAATGTTCATCCACACACAACATTCAACATTCATCGATCGAAAAAATATGAATACGAATAAAATAGGGTCTTGCAACACTCAATGGCTGCCACTTATGAAGATAGGGGTCCAATCCAAAATTTCCGGATCGAAATGTCCATATTTTATATTGTGTATTTTATTGTATTTCCGTTCTTCTTCGTCAACATATTCGTGGCCTTGATCATTATTACGTTTCAAGAGCAAGGCGAAGCTGAGTTGCAAGATGGCGAGATTGACAAAAATCAGGTGAGCCACGCCCATTCGACCTTTGAACCAGTTACGTGAGTCCAAAATCCAAATCTCTGCCTTTCACTGTCTCTATCTGTCTCTCTCTCTCTCTGCTTATAAGTATCTGTGTGTGTGTTGTGTAATGTACCGCTCTAGTCGTATTTGTATATGTAAAACCCAAAAAACCAAAAAAACAAAAAATACAAAAAAAACGTTAAAGTTATTTAACTAATAAATTGATTTAAATGCACGTACATATCACTAACTCGTAAGAAAAATGAAAACCCGCTACCGACATAACTACCTACAGAAAATACTTTCCAGATGAAAATCGAAAAACGAACTCCACAACATGTACACACTGTACTACACTGATCAAAATAAACTCGTACTCGTACATAGAATGTCTCCAAAAAATCCTAGAGTAGCTCCATTTTGAAATCGTATGTGCGAAATGTTTGCCTTGCTTTTTCGCCTTATTCGTTGTGGATGTCACCCCACTGACCCCCCTTAAAAAATATAGAAAAAATATATAAAACACCTCCACAAACACTCTCCAACTACATATATACTACAATATGTGTATAGATCCGCTCTAGATAGTTTTGAATTCTGGTTTACTCAAAACAACTTCAAACCCCAATCAAAACCGAAAAAAAAAAAAACAGAAACGATACTTAAACCGAAACCCATACATTCGCTTAGAAGCCTCGATTCGATCAGTAGCAATTTTGATATAAATAGTGAACATTTACCGGAAAATAGAGATATATCATTTCACACACGATAGTCCTTAAATATTCCCTACTAGTTTCGGAATATTTAACGATCTTTATCGTCTCAACTTAGTTGTCCAAACCCAAATCGCGAGCAAAGCCGATTGTAAGTATGCATTCGTATCCAACTCGTAAGCAGTGTCTATTATTAATTTTAGTTTGCCAAACTAACTAAAATCCGACAAGTGTATAGCTAATTCCAACTAAAAACCAAATACAGACACAACCCATTGACAAAAACCCGAGCGTAAACCATTAAATTAAATCAAATTGGGCATGTGTTAACTGAATGTATTCGCCATTATTTTAAGGGGGTAGAACTCTTTAGTTTGCTTTCAAACAATTTGCATTTGATTTGTGATTGATTTACTAACATTGGATTACCTAATTATTACTTACTGCAAGCAACAGACTAATCGAAATGTAGTTTAAATCGATGTTGGTAATTGATGTCTGTATATATCATTTGTAAATGCCAAACTGGTACTATAAATTATCTCGTTTATGAAGTACGCCCTAGTTAAACTTTGGAAAAAAGAACTTAGCCACGAACGCCAATTGAGAGGACATCCAAATCCATCAACATAATCACATTTCTCTTCACTCTAGAAATCCTGCATCGATTTCACTATAGGAGCACGACCTCTCGAACGATATATGCCCAAAAATCGGAATACCTTCAAGTATAAAGTCTGGCGAATTGTGGTTTCAACTCCCTTCGAGTACTTCATTATGATGTTGATCGTATTCAACACGCTTTTGCTGATGATGAAGGTAAGTGTTCTTGGCTTTGATAGGTTACCAAAACCACTTTTGGAGGGCCACACAATTAAAGAGTTGTAATAGAAGTCTTAGAGTTTTCATTAAAGTAATGAAATGTTCAAACAAATATAATGTTTGGAAACATAAGCTTCCATTGAGACATTGGTATTTAGATAAATTCTTAGACAACTTTACTGTAACAACTTTATATCTCAACAGTATCATAATCAAGGAGACATGTATGAAAAGTCACTGAAGTACATCAACATGGGATTCACCGGAATGTTCAGTGTAGAAACCGTGCTGAAAATCATTGGATTTGGCGTAAAGGTGAGTACTTCTCTCCATAAAAAATCCTTAAAAGCCCAGGAATCATTTACTTATATTAAAAATTATTTCTGACAATTAACAACACATAAAATTACATGATTCTATTCGAACGCGTTGTAGAACTTCTTCAAGGATCCGTGGAACATATTCGATCTGATCACAGTGCTGGGCAGCATTGTAGACGCACTGTGGATGGAATTCGGGGTAATTATAGTTGATTGTCACAACACCACTCAGAGCATACATATTATTGTTGTGTTCGATTTTTGTGCCGTTTTATGCAAGACAACAAGAGAAACAATGTAATCCTTAACTAAATACCAAATGTATCTAGCTTCATTATTTTGCCAAGATACAACTATACACTTTATCTTTGACACAGCCACACATCTGCAGAAATACGCAATTAAGCAAGAAGAAGTACTATATATCGAATAAGTATCTGCATAGTCTATAATCTATACAGACCTGATGCGTATGACCATATGTATCTGATGTATATGTTTAAGTCTTGATCATTTCAATGCCAAAGTTAGTTACACGGATGTTATTGCGTAAAGAATATAATTATTTATTAATATAATCAGGGTATCAGTAACTTCGAGAAAGAAAAGAGGTAGAAAAAGTAATATCTTTGCACCCACTTGATATTTCTGTATTACTTTGGATGCAAGAGTCATTCGTTGTTGGATTTAGCAATTGAAAATACATTCCAACAATGCACTTAATGAAAGGGACTTAGCTGAGATTTATTTACCTAAGATATCTGATCAAACTATGCTGGGTTTCACTGTGTATCCCTAAGATATATTTTTATCCAGCGCAACAGTCAGGATTTTGGCACTATGCACAGATGGCAAGGACAGTACAGTTACACCCACTGTTTAAACATGTTTTTCTTATCCGTTTAACATGCGAACACCTATACCTAAATTTATATTCATTTAAGTTTTTTTTTTTTACATATAATATGATATCGAGAACACACACACATACACACAAACAGTATAACCAAATCAAACAAAAACGAAACAAAACATCACAAATTACAGAAATTAATAATCATATTTCTTTTTTGATTTCCTTTTCCATATTTATTTATGTACGAAAACCAAAAACCAAATGTGGTTTCAAAATCGGGAAAACCCAATCCGAATCAATCCAAAAAATATGTTTCGATGAATGCAAATAAAAAAATAAACTACATAAAATATATAATAATCACTCACGCAATGATATATATATCTACACAATAATGACAACAACAAAACCAAAAACAAAACCCACGCACACATATCTAAACAAATGTGTAATTTCATATAACTCACGCAAATCTCCACATCTAAACACTGGTGTAAAATTATCCTATCTATATTATATATATAATGTTATTATATATGCGAACGCAACGTTTTATATGTCCCTTGCAATTGGCTACATCGGGAATGAATTGAAACGAATTCGAATTCGAACAACGTTCAACTTGCAACTTTCAACTTCAACACAAACAACTACAACAACAAACAAACAAACAACATCAATTACAACAAAACAACAATAACCAATAATATATACCATCTATGTAATTACAAATACAAATGCAATGAATGTGCAACAAACTTTATATGTCTCTCCCGATCACCAAAAAAACCACCATCACTGATCCACCGATCCACTGATCCACCGAACCCACTGATCCACCAAACCCACTGATCCACTGAACCACTATCCACCAATCACCAATTCACCACTGAATTTGTATATGAACAAATTATATATATATATCAACTCACTGAACCGAATCAAAAACGATTATATGCAAAATATATCAAAATATCATATGATATCGATCAAAAATCAAAAAAAAAAACCCAAATGAAATCAATCTGAAATGGAATCCCAACTGAATCAATATCAACAAAAAAAAAAAAAAAAAAAAAAAATCGACCAAAATTAATCAATCAATCGATCGACAATTTCGATGAAATTAATCAATCAATCATCTCGACAATCCCATGCATGTGTATGTGTATGTCCTGCAACTGTGCAACTGTGTGTGTGTCAATTGAAACGCGTGCACGCACATATACACATGCATCCATGCATCTGTCATGCACGTGCACACACACAACTGTGGCAATTGGGCCCGTGTATGTGTGAACGTGGATCCTTCATCAAAAAACAACAACTACATCGACAACAACATGTACAACCAAACGACACAACCTGCAGCACGATGTAAGTACGAAACACAATCTACACTGATTTTGCATTTATCCAAAAAAAAAAAAAAAAAAACAAGCAATATACAAAGTTTTTAAAAATCCTTTTCGATGTGTACCAATCAATGAACTTAGATTCCGCTTAAATCGCTAAGTAATGGCCTTCCACTATAAAAAAGCTTATTAATTACGATCTCTTAACTTTCCTCTATCATTTCGTTTCGCCTAAAAGACACACCTAGTTTCATTTACTTTGATTATCGACAGCAAAACTATATATTTAAATTAACTTAACTCACTACAATTAGCTATTATGTATTTCCTCGTACAACATTGTATACTTATTTGTCTTAGTTAATCCATCTTCTTTCGATTTTCCCATTTTCATTTCCGTTTCCGATTTGGCAATCACTTTTTAGTTGCATAGCACACAACATTGCGATTTGTACTTGCTACTGTGTCTCTCTGTCTGTCTCTATATATCTATCTGTATTTATGGTTACCTTTAACTGTCTTTCTCTGTCTCTTGTATAAAGTTGCTTTTAGTCGAGCATAAGCTAATGGTGGAATGTACAGCAAGGGGTGGTCGGAATAACATAACTATATACATTTAATAGGAGCTCAAAACTGTAGTGTTTCCGATGGCAAACATCCAAATTATGTAGTAGAAAGGCAGGCATTTCTTTTTATAGATATTTAACATGTCAGTACTACTAATTAATATAAATTTATAAAGAAAATGGCTTATTCTTCAAACGTTGCAGATAATATTGCACAAGACGTTACTGCATGCTCCAATAAATAACTTGTGCCTTAACTCTAAAATAAGTGATTTTCACATTTAATTTCACATTGTGATATGTGTGTTTGTTATTAAGGTGTACGATCCCTACAAATAACCTTTGCGAAAACAGTCTTCAAAAGTCAAGGATCGCCTTGTTTAAAATCTAAACCCAAAGTTAAATAAGTTTTAAATGAAAAACTAAAAATGACACTGATCGTGTCGAATTTAAAGTGCCTTGTGCTCGAGTTTTAGTCAAATTCTTCCGTTTGGTTAACAATGCACTGGACTCCTTGGTTAAATATCGATATTGCAAACTCACGACAAATGTCACACACACCAATACTCGTTGCGGTTAATGCTCACCCATACTGTCATGCACACAAATACGCAAACCCCCCGCCCACTGAATACATATATAAAATCAAAGGTGAAGGCCACTCCACTATCCGATATTGAATAATGCTTCGATAATTGTTCGATAACTAAACCGATAACCAAAGCAAGATCAAAATCAGCATCATTGTCATCAAATTCATCGGACGAGGTATTTTCTGAGCTGCCCAACAGTCAATCGATCGGCAACTGTAAGTACCTGGAAAAGTCTGAGTTGCATTGAAGTCAACTAATGAGGTACAAAAAAAAAATAAATAAAAAATAAAAACATTACAACAAAAATAGAAGAAAAATAATAATATACCCTCAGACTGGATATATAAATTTTTATATACGTCTCTGTTGATCTTAAACTTGACTCTTCAAAAGCATGATTTCAAATACTGTCTGGTCTACTTTTTTGAATTGAGAACCCCAGTCCTTTGCCAATCTCCGCCTGCTCCTGCTAGTTTTCTCTCTCTGGGTAATCTAATCTCATTTTTCGCAGGCCCTCAGCAGTAGTTTCTCTATCATAAGGACTGGCTTTTTAAAGGACCTCTCTACCCCCGACCCCAAATTAAAAAGAATATAGCTCTACTTCCTGTTAAACACCGCCACCTTCAGTTTTGCTATGCTCACATATATTTCACTCCCATGACTGCAATTTCGTAGAGGGCTCAGCCAAACAGTTGGGCTTGGATTAGCTTTCGTTGCATTTCCTACTGCATGACAACCACCACACATTTCGCACCTTCACACACATTTCGATTCGCAAAACACACTCAATTCAGTTCACCGACACTTGCGGTTTGGTTTTATTATAATAACATTAACGTTCAATCCACTCGGAGTTTTATCTTGATGAGTTTCGCTTTCGCTTGTAACACGCAACCCAAAAAGTTTTCGAACATTTTCTGTAATTCTGTAAAACGCTTATGAAGTTTCAATGCCGAAGTGTTAGTGGTTATAGTTGCTTGATTGCCTTGGTTGTTCCACATCAGAGTTCCCGAGTTCCCGCGAGACGAGCGCCCTTTTCAGTTCCATTGAGTAAGTTTTTATCGAACAAAAAGACGTGTGTTCCCGTATCAAAGTATAAAAGTATACAAGTATACAATAAATATGTCCTCGTAGAAGCCAATCGAAATGCCTAGCATAGCCAAAACCGGTCTGCGAGCATAGATATATCGAACTAGATCCTTGCCAAGCTGTAACTTTCCCAACCAACAATGAGAAATTAGCGAACAATAAAAACAGACACTAGACACTAGACATACAATATATAAACACACAAACAAACACAGTGATATACCAACATAGAATACAATCTGCTTACTGATATTGATCTTGATCTATCTTTGTATACCTGCTAGAATCTGCAGAAAAACATGTCCTACTAATTTTCAACTCTACTTTATTTGTTTCTGTATTTTTCAAAAAAAAAAAAAAAAAAAAAAATATTACAAAATCTATCTCAAAAAAACAAATCAACAATAATCTCTTGAACGCCGCCCAACGAATTTCGTTTGACCTGCGATCGATCGTCAAACGTCGAATATCAATAAATCTGCACTGAACAAAAAACTAAACCAATTGAATACAAAACCAAAAAAAAAAAAAAAAAAATCCTGAACATTTCCTTGTTGTTATTCGCCTTGTAAAATTGCAACGATCCGAACAATATCTGAATATCTGATTGCAATCGAATACAATCGAAAACTGCTGAATGATAAATTCAACAACAACAACAACACCAACCACTACTACAACAACAAATTAACAACAACAACAACTACAACAATGATTGAACAATTGAATGAGTGGTCTCCAAAAACCAAAAAAAAAAAATCTATTTAATCGATTCTAATGCGGTTGTGTGAGTTGTGTGCACATTGATTTGTCTCAAAACAAATCCAAAAATTTCAATTGACCAATGGTTTCTGACTAACAGGATGTAAGTAAACAAATCTATCCTAACAAGCTTTCTACTTTCAAAACTAACCAAACTCCAAAACATCAACGGATGACAACGAATTATACAAAACCAAACAAAACACCAACAAAACAGTCTACAAGTCTACAGATTTTTTCGACTAATTAGAGAATCTAGCAAAAACCCTAAACGTACAACGAGAATGTTTTTAACATTTTTTTACAAATCTTTTATACTCGAGTAGATCGATCACATATTGTCGAATCATTTTGTAGATTCAACTATCTATCTTTTATTTGTTCGCCCGCTCTCAACGTAATTACTCTTAGCTAGTTAACCATATATCAGCGAACTTAGTCGGGGTTTTTGGGCCTGTTCTTTGTGAATATATACGTGTGTGTACTTACCCGCATCCCCTATTTTCGATTTACGATTTTCGATTTTCGATTTACGATTTTGGATTAGAATAGTCCAATTAAGTTAGCTTTAAGTGCGTCGTCCCAAGTTTTAACATCTTCGAATGGAACAACTGCGTGGAATTGCTCTTCATTGTACTCCTTTCTCTATTTTTCTAAACCCGCATAATTCTCTGATTCCCAGGTAGATATATACATATATATAGCCTTTCTGCCTAGCTCATGCCATAGATCCCGTGTACATACTCTATGTTTCTCGATCGAAGAGTACGCGAGATTCTTTCGTTTATTTGTTTTGATTCAATGTACTTAAATCCACCACCAGTGTTGTGAAAATAAAGGCAGCCACAAGTTTGCCTCACATCTCGCTATTCAAACATCCAAATCCCATATCCTCTCTAGACTCCGTAGTCAAATAATGTTTGTCTCTAACTTTAAGTATCTGCAAACTCATTAATTAAGTACTTTTCACCTGAAATCAACTTCACTTTCAAATGGTTTTCGGAAAGCGTAGTGCGGAAATTAGTTTACATTGATCCGAAAAGAGATTTTCCGAAGCCGAACCATACTACCAACTTCTCTCAATCTTTTTCGAGTTAATCTAATGCTTCTTTTCAGGACTATCAACTTATCGATTCCATTTGGGATGGAGTTAATTTCCGTTTGTTTCAGTGTACATATGCAATATTAATAACCACCAATATATAGTATATATATAATTCCATGTTCTACAGTGTCGAAGGCTTTTAATTCCTTTGTGATATAACAAATGCAGAATCCACGGTGAGGCGGTATGCGTCCTTAAATCAGCGGTTGATGTATTCGGTTATTATCGATACTAACCGATACACAATATCGAAAATACAACCCATCTGCGCGGATGCATTTGCATCGAATGCATTCGCCCATTTTCGGGTTTCAACAGCTGATGCGTAAAATATTTTGGCCAAAGCCCCCCGTCGAATAAGAAATGATATAGTTAGCTAAAAAAAAATCAAAACCCAAACTTGTACCGCAACATTTACTTTCTTCGCATCGCAAAATTAATTGTACATACTTTTACCACCTAACTGTTGTACTGTCCAATTGGTTTTCGCCAGCCTAGGCCCATTTTCAAATTAAATACGTAGAACACGCCTCGCATGTTCCACTTTTACCTTGGGACGATTAGATTAGACGAAAAAAAAAAAAAAACAAAAATACAAGTAAAAATATGAATTAAAAACCCACGCACAAACATCGCTTTTCAAAATTTCCTCCTTAGACGAACAAAACACGTATATGTGTATTTTTCCTAACTTCGTACAGTTTGTTAATTAGTATTTGGCAAAAGCCCACGCACAAAATCACTGCCTTTTTTGGGTGATAATCCAATCGAAAACACGAAACACTCGAAATCAGTCACAAAAAAATACTCACAAAAGACAAACAGGCACCGAAACGCACAAAGAACACAATTTAAATCTAGTTATTTGTTCATTTTTTTGGACCAAAAAATAAAAATGATCGGAAAAGTGTAAAAATATTTGAAAAACCAAGTTTTTGTTTAGCATTTGGCCTTATTTCTATAAATATATATATATAAACACACTATGTAAATTACGAATTGGAACGTTTTTGCTTTAATTTTTGCGATAGAGCGATAGAGCTCTTAATAATCTAAATAGCTTAATTGATTTAACAGCGAATTACTGCCACTTCTATGTATGTAACTCTCTGCCTTTTACGAAACAAACTACTGCACCTCACGCGAAACTCTACTAACTAACTACTTACTACTAAATACTAACTACTAACTAACTACTAACTACTACCACTTACGGAACGAGCTACTACTAATCGATAGTTTAGATTGAAATGCATCGAACCCACATCGAATCACGTAGAATCGATGGCGACGCCTTTTAGTTCCATGGGCTTCTCCCTTCCCCACAAAAAAAAAAAAAAAAATAAAAAAAAAAAAAAAGAAAGCCCATCGAATTCGTACTTTAAGACGGGATCGTAAACCAGTCTAATGGCAATTTCCTTATCTGTTCTGTTTCTCTCTCTCTTTCTTTTTGCTTCCTCCCCTCTCTCCCTTTCTCCCTCTCTCCCCACACACACACTCTCTCTCTCTCTCACTCCCTCACTCTTGATCGACCATCTTCCTTTGGCCAATAATATTTTACAGTCGAACTCAATCAACGTCGGCTTCCTGCGTTTATTTCGTGCGGCGCGCCTGATCAAATTGCTTCGCCAAGGATACACAATTCGAATTCTCCTGTGGACATTCGTGCAGTCCTTCAAGGCTCTGCCATATGTCTGTTTACTCATAGCCATGCTATTCTTTATATACGCCATTATCGGCATGCAGGTAAGTCACAACAAAAAAAAAAAAAAAACAAAACAAAAAAAAAAGTAGAGGAGTGAATTTTGTGTGGGTTAAAGAAAATTTTTGTTAGCTTTTCGCCGGGTTGTTTATAAACATTTTCCAGGCTCCACTGAAACATTTTGTGCTGCGACGGGTGGTCTCATATATATTAAATAGCATAAGTAACTAGCTTTCCCGTTTGATTTTGCATTAGTTAACCTTTTAAACAAATAGACACTAGAATAGGATGCTGTTGTTGTTCTTGTTGGACCAATTTAACTCTTCCATTCAATTATAAATGTCTACATCGAAACGAAACAAAACGAAACGAAACGAAAAAAGGTTTTTGGCAACATTAAATATGATCCGGACACTCAACTCAACCGGCACAACAACTTCCAGTCGTTCTCCGGTGGAATCATGCTGCTCTTCCGGTAAACGAGTCAAGTAACCTAGTTAGCCATAGTAAACTATATAGTAACTCCGATTATCCAAAGACGGCACCACAGTCATTTAACAACCTATTATACTTTGCATTTAAACGTAGTCATTATCCGAAACTATATCCCACTCAAAAAGTCTGCGTTGGTGTAATTATTTTAGAGGGAATCCGCTGTGGTCAACTTCCCATTATATGAAAAAAAAAAAAACAAAAACTCCATCATCAATCCATAGTCTGTTTGAAAAAAAAAAAAAACTGTTAAGCTTTTGCCTCTCTATATATATTATATATACATTCGCGTTCAATCGAGGTTACAGTGTATGCGTTTTAAAGTTGTTTGATCCGTATTGTTTGCCGTTGAGATTTGTGATTTTAGATCGAGCTACTTGAATCGTTTGCAATTGGTAGCTTTGAGTTTGAAATGTTTCAGTTTTCTGGACTCGTTTCCATCACTAATCGAATGTGAATGTAGCTTATCCATAGCACATTATCTTTTCATGTTGTACATAGATGCGCTAGTTAATAATATCGTTATGTTATTTGTGTTCTGGCGAGGATTCCAGCCGAGTATCAAAGATGTTTGCTAGTTTTTAGACCTGAGGTTATACGAATCAAAAGCACTTGTAAAATTCATTGAGTTGAAAACGTAAGAAATTTCCTAAACATTTTATTTTTGTGTATCTAAGAATTATGTGTGAATATTTTTTATAATGTGTCCAAAGAAATATATTTATTTTTTAGTATCCTGTTAGTTAAACCAATTGAGTCATAAAAAAATTATAAGAAAATTTGTAAAATATTTTCAAATATCTTTTGATCAATCCTTTGGAAGGAATGAAAATTCCTTTAAGTTACAGATTTGATTGTTACATGATCTTCCGTTTTTTGTATGCAGTCATAGTTTCATTTCATTTCAGTATTATTTACCATAATATTTGTATGTCTCAAGGAATCAGTTTATAGCACAATAACAATATAATTTGTATATTCACTAAGCTTGTTGAAAACCCAAAGTTCGTGAGCCATTTGAGAAAAGAGTTTTGAGTGTTTGCTGTTCCAATGTTGACTGTTGACTGTCATAGAGTTTTAGCTGTGCAATTTGCAAAACTATCAACTCACACCTACACATCCACATCGAATCCTGGCAAATCGGGGGAAGTCGCCACAATATATACTATATATATGCCCTGATCGTTCCGATCCCCACTGACATAATGGATATGGATTTGCCGTTGAGTTTCGCGGGTCTTTTCATTCGCTGGTAGTTTGAGAACAGCAATTTGTGGAGATTTGTTGAGGTGGAGGAGGCGAATTTGTGTAATCTGTGTATCTCGAATATAACTTAACCATTTCAGTTACTAAATCAAAATGAACAATTAATCAATGCATTCTTTACCGATATATCTGATCTGAATCGTGAATAGGTGTTCGGGAATATCAAACTAGGTACGGTGGAAAATTCCATTACTAGACACAACAACTTCCAATCATTTATTCAAGGCGTCATGTTGCTCTTCAGGTACGTAACTCCAGATCTCTCCAGTCACTCGCAATATGTACTCGTACTGTTTAAATACCCAACAACAAAAAGTTTCGACTCTCTCAGTAATTAAGTTACTAGTTATACATTTAATACAAGTTAGCATAATTTAACTATACCACTATCCATATGTTCGCATTGATAGATCTTCTTCGTTCCAATCGCGTCTTTATATACCTTATGTACCTACTATATAAATAGTGAACCCATAGAATAGCGATAGGATCCCCTCAATGGTGGGTAGCACCTTGAAATGGATAAATCCTAGAATCAACAACACTATAAATGTCAGTTTAGATACTTAGAAATCAGTAGTCTTAATGGGATATTCGTTTTTCAAGGAAATACAATTCTTAGCTCTTCGAATATGATCTCCCATTGATAACCCTAGGTTTTAGCACAATTCTATATAATCTGTATTGGTTTCTAGTTCGATGAATTGTTACTTTTCTCGAGGTTCTCCAAGCTGATCGGATTTGTGACAACCATGAACGGTGGTAAATCCATAACTACAACTTAAAACAATCAATATATATAAAAAAACAACTCAGATCTCCAACCAATTTCATTACATACATTCGTTTTGCCTAACAATAATTCGAGTTCTTTGATACCTGTGTAAGTAGATTGAGTTCTAGAATTGCGACACTGATTCAACAAAACTGGAATATACGCATACATATATGTAATATCTATGTACTTACCAACCTGTAGAGCTATATTTTTGACAAAAAACCAAAACCAAAAAAAAAAAAAAAAAAAAAAAAAATTATTCAAATTTGAGCGCAGCTTGATTTTTCGAAGTTTGCACTTTTCGTTGTTGCAGTTACCAGTTGAGATTTAAATGAAAGTTCAATAGTTTTGCAGTATTGCTGGTAATTTACGTTATAGCTATATATACATACATACATATATAGTTGTTATATACTTGTACGACGCAAAACGATCTGCCCCTCCCAACTTATATTTCTCTATATCTACATACAACAAAATGATAGAAAAGTTAATAGAACTCTCGGTTGGCGTATGTCTGTATGGAAATCATGTCATTACTCCTCATTTTAATAGATTCACACCTGATTTCAAAATATAATCTACACTATGAACTTAGGTATGACAAGTCTGTAAAACAAATGATAATCCCAATTGGCATAAAGAACAGTCTGTCCGATAATTGCCAACTATAAGTATTTAAAATCGTAGCTTAGTTCGTAGGTAACTCTTTCTAAATAGAGATCGAATAACTATAGCATTTATTATGAACTAACAAGAGTCAGACTTACATTGTATTCCAAACATTTAGTTCCATCTGAAAATTAACAATTTTTGAGTGCCTTACTAAATTTAATAGTTTACCAATAAAGTATTCTTAATGAAATGTAGCTTAACAAATATATTTAAATGGTAATCATACTAAATTTAATAGCTATCTGAAATCAGAATATTTCAGGGATCGAAAAGTTGTTAATTGTAAATTGTAAAGCCAAGAATTTCTCTGCTATTTTTAAATTACTTAAAATATTAAATTAAAGAATCATTATAACATTTGCTAAAGTTCGAAGAGTTCTTCTTTGCCTTGACATGCTACAATTTTAATAATAAAAACTTGTATTCAATTCGTTCCCTGAACTATCTTGATGTCGACCAATAATTTGGAAATATAGAACTTATAAGCTGTTTAGATATTGTCGATTTTATGATTTGGAAGTATAACGTAGACTTGATAGACTATCGAATTGAAGCTGAAGAGTACTGAAGAGCATATAGTCGTATATAGAGTAAGCCCCACTACAACCGACCTATAACCTATAACCTATAACCTATAACGATCATTCAGTCCCGATTCCCCTTCACCCCTCACAGTTATCAGTATGTATATACACTTGAAATGTAAATACATAAGTTCATTGAAGAACATACAGTAGTTGAAAGCCTACATACTCATTCTCATAATCATTATCGTACCAATTAACCATAGTTATATAGAGATAGCTAAGTAGAACTAGGCTTGGAATCGTGTGTTAATTAACGTGTTATGTGTGTTTAACCACTCGCTGGAACCGATCCTAACTGTGAACATATAGGTGTGCGACGGGCGAGGCCTGGCCGAACATAATGCTGGCCTGTCTGAAGGGCAAGGCCTGCGATGAGGACGCCGAGAAGGAGCCCGGCGAATACTGTGGATCCACATTGGCGTACGCGTACTTCGTGTCGTTCATCTTCTTCTGCTCGTTCCTCATGCTGAATCTCTTCGTGGCCGTCATCATGGACAACTTTGACTACCTCACCCGGGACTCCAGCATCCTGGGTGCCCATCACTTAGACGAATTTGTGCGCATCTGGGCGGAATATGATCCAAATGCGACGTAATTATCTGTTTAATATATACACCACACATATCCACACGCCCACAAACACCACACCCTCTTTTTTGCTTTTATTTTTCCACTCCCTTTGATTTCCCTACTTCATTTTCCACCATTTCGAAGCGGGATTGCGATTATATTAAACGATTATTATTTGGTCGTATTTGATTCATACTCGTTGGTTGACGTGTGTCAAGTGTCCCGAGCGAACAAGTTGAGCTTAAGTCCTTTCGCCGGAAACAACAACAACAGAAAAGAAGGATACAAATACGAGTACTTGGTTTTGTTTTTATTTTTCCAAGCAAAAAAAATCTCCAGCCAGTAATTAAATTAACCACGAAATGTCCGAAAAGAATATAAAATCTGGCTGGATTCATGCAAGTTTTCTACACAGATAATACCCATTGCTTATTATTTAAAAAACAATTTAAATACTGGGTAACTTTCAGTCGGTTGAATCGACTATCTAGTTGTTGTAAATCTCGGACCAAGAATCTCGGACCGAATGCCAAGTTTAAGCACTAACTTTTGCTGATTTCCCCTGGAAAATTAGTGGAAAGATACACTACACGGAAATGTACGACATGCTGAAGAACATGGACCCACCGCTGGGATTCGGCAACAAGTGCCCCAATCGACTGGCCTACAAAAAGCTAATCAGAATGAACATGCCCCTCGACGACGAGCTGAGAGTCCAGTTCACCACAACGCTATTTGCTCTGATTCGCGAGAATCTCAGCATCAAAATGCGAGCGCGTAAGTATTCTACCTAAATTCCCAAGATCACCTCAAAATTCTTATGTGTTAAATTGTTGTCTATAACGTGTTGTTTTGGGATATATTTAAAATCAAGAAATAAATATTGTAATGTGATATTTTAAAGAAAACTTATAACTGTAACGTTTCCTAGTTACACTTGACATTCAAGCATTTATTTTATAACTTCCCTATGATTTCTCTTTAAAATGTTCATTCATTCATTAACAAACCGGATTTTTCTATATATAAATTTATTCTCTGACCCTTAATAAATACATAATTAGTATATTTATAGTTCTGTAATAGTAAAATTGTAATGTAAAATTACGCTGTTATATTTTAATTATGTTTCGTTGAACTAACTTATTTATTATTTAATCGCTGAAGGGTTAAGGGGTTATATACCTTTTTCACCAGAGAAATACATGGTTTTTATTTATTTTTTTTAGCATGTTACCATTGTTTTATTTAAATTCAATAAAAATTTTATCAAAGTACGTGTCCTTAACGTAATTCGTATAAAATTTCGAGTGAAAATTTTGAGTATTGTGGAAGTTATAGTCCTTCCCGCAGAAGTCCTTTTTTCATTAGAGGCTTGCGGTGAGCATGAAAACAAGAAAACGGCTCAACTTAAAAAAAAAAAAAAAAAACTACGTTAGTATATAGTGTTACCTAGTTCGTGAACGAAGGATTTTACGAAAAAAAATTTTTTACTGTTACAGTGACTATTTTTTCAAAAAAACCGATTTTTCGAGGTCTAATAATTTAGTTTTTTGCCCCAAAAAAATAGAAAAATTTGTCGAAAAAAAAAATTCCTTCGTTCACGAACTAGCTATTGTATCTACAAACAATCTCCCAAAATTTCAAATCGATCGATGTAGTGGTTACCGAGATATCGTGCTCACCGAAATGACCTTTTCTCAAAAATGCGATTCCGAGATAATCGCGTTTAAAGTTTTAGGTGGACATTAGGTACACTGTACACCGTGCGCTATGAACGGCTGTATCTTAGGTTCTAGTGCTCCGATCTCTAAAAAATTTTGCAGAAAAATTGTTGAAAGTATGTACATCAAAAAAAATTTATAAAATTTTTTTCGATTTTTTGATTCTGAAAAAGGTATATAACCCCTTAACTAAATAAAACACGCGGAGCAATCACTGCTGTATAAATTAAAAAAATATTAATAATAGCTTCTAGAAAATAGTGATCAGATCTAATAGCTAATACTCCTATCTCCACTTTAGCTGAGGAGATGGACCAGGCGGACATGGAGCTGCGGGAGACGATCACGAATATCTGGCCGCTGCAGGCGAAGAAGATGCTGAACCTGCTGGTTCCTCCGAGCGATCAACTCAACAAGGGCAAGCTCTCAGTGGGTAAAATCTATGCAGGTTTCCTCATCCTGGAGTCCTGGCGCAGCACCAGATTCGGCCAACTCGATTCGGGAATGCCGGTAAGTCACTCAATAACTTCGCTTAGTCCCTAACACAAACTACCTACCGAAGATGAGTCTTCTTAGAAAGGTTCTCCCAGAATTAAGAACCCTTTGTGTCAGATATTATATCCAACAATCCAGGGTTTGAATCCTCAGGAATCTCTAGACAAAATTTAATCTCAGTAGGAAGAAAATCTCGAATAGCAATTATTAACAATAAGTCTAAGTTAACATTTAGATATTGAACCGTCAAAATTACAAACAATGCCTTTCAAATACCCATCAGTCTTTCAGAAGTGTAACGCACCACAAACTTTAAAAAAATCGCCCTAAGTTTATTTGTAAAATACAAATTTTTATTTAAAAAGGGATTTACAACAACCTTTTGTAAATATACAAATATACGTAAAACAATTACACTTTCTTCAACTTGACTTCATTTTATAAATGAAATTTGTGACCTTCAAAAAAAATCCATTTTATATTAAACGGAACAATTAAAAAATTCTTTTTTAATATTGTTTGCTGTTGGTAAACTTATATTATTTGAAAAAAATAAAAGGGATCATAAGTTTTTAAGCCTAAGGTTATATTTAAGAGTCACAAAATATTTTACTATTTAAAAAACTCTTGTTTAAAGGGAATTTAGGGCGATTTTGAATATGAGGCCTAGGAATAAGGAATCCCTTGTTTTCTCTAACACAAACAATATACATATAACAACACAACAACTACAAAATATGCTATAATATCTATATAACATGGAATAAATATGTGATATTATGATTTCTCTTCTCATACGATCGAATATGAACTCTCTCATTGAATAACAACAAATAAACAAAAATAACCAAAAACTGTTAACAAATAAATCGCGATAATGAAAAATACGCAGAACTGGAAGGAGGTATATAATTAATTTTATATGCAACCTCATGTTTATCACATTTGTATATACAATATAAGACCTTATATATTGCGCACATACATGCCCGTTTGTATGTGGTAAAAAAAGTACCCTTAGAACTGAAAACTCTATACATCCACATAGTTGCGTGCATATATACTATATCGTATGTGTACAAACAGCTGCCCATAATTGGCTAAAAGCCCGAATCAGATTCGATTTTGATAATGAGTTTACAAACTATAAATTTGAAATTATTATGGGCAGTCGTGTGGAATCAGCGGTGGATCCAGAGGAGAAAATTGGGGATAATTAACTTCGAAAGATGTGATTTAAATTTATTGAAAGTTTTAGTTAACAGTTTAATCAACTTTGGATCTGCCACTGAATTGTGATGCATTATTTTCTCGATTCGAATCGATTGAAATGTATCGAAATTGGGAGCAGAAAATGTTGCAAATGTTGGCTCGTGTAAGGAGCAATGCAAATGCCGTTTCAGTAGAAGTCGAGTATACTTAAGTAATTAACTACTTTACTACTATATAACATATCTATACATATATCGGTAGAGTTGACCAGTTCGTAATTTGATTCTCGAGTTTGCAAGTACGTTCGTTTTAAGTAGATACGATCAAAACCAAACCAGAGTTTACACGTTATACTAAAACAGTATGTATTGATTCTTAGATATTTCTAGAGGTTTGCCATTTGTTTCTACACAAAGTTACCACTCGAATCCGGAATCATTCGGCATAACTTGAGAGTCTGATTAAAATTAATTGAGGGATTTATGAAAAGTCCAGGGACATCCTCTCACCCTCACATTATCTCTAAATCTCACTCACTTGGCTCCGCTTTTTCGCTCTTCAAATCATATTATATATATTTTTTCTGTAATCAATAAGTCAATGTTGAGGATTGAAAAAGCGGAGCTACTTGGTCTAAATACACACGTACTGAAGTAATTAATTAAAATGTTTTATCTGTTATCCTGTTTTTGTGCACAACACACAAACGATCCATTGACAACTCAAAATTGAAAACTAAAAATCGATAAATAAATATTGAAACATGTTTATAATGTCATTCGAATTAACATCGAATATCGATAAAAGCGGAAGAAGACGGAAGACGATGATGAGCATAAATATAGCCCGACGGCAGTCGAGGAGCCGGTATATAATATATTTCCATATATATACCTATCTATCTTTCGCTTGGTTTTTCTTTCGCCTTTTAAATGCTCCTCATCTACTAACAACTACTACTTTTGTACAACTTTTCACCATTCTCGGCTAGAGGCATGTTTACATACTCGCCTAAAGAGTACTAATTCCTAGGAAACCAGCATAAAAAGCCTGCCCTAAAAAACCAAAAAAAAAAAAAAAAAACGAAAAAACAAAAAACTATAACAAAAGTGCAACCAAAAATCCAGTAAACGAACACACCCAATCCAATATTTATCCAGCTGTAGATGAACACCCAATGCAATGCAATGCCAATGGTCATGTTTCGCTTAACTTTCACCCACTAGCCAAGTTTTATTTCGATAGAAGAGTGCGCACCTTCCAGAATCCAGGGTATTGACCAGTGGTCTGCTAGACTTTGCCTGCTTTCACCAACCTCTTCGTCATTTCCGCAGGATCCTCTAATTATTATCAAGCAATCTACATCTGAAAAGCTTTCCTCTTAGAAACTATTGCTAGATTTCTCATCGTGGGGGTTCGTGAATTTTTTCTATTGTCTGAATTAATAGTCAAGCAGTTTTCACGGGAATTAATCTTTAAATTAATTAACTTTAGCCTTGTTTTACGTTTTTAACTCAGAATAGATGCATATTTTGCTGTAAATACACCAATGCAGGTATTTTTACAGTAACCTTACAGAACCATCTACATGCGTATGCAGTATGAGTAAAATTCATAAGTTATTCTACATAAAATGGTTCACAAATATTCTGATTTGAATTAGCTAATTAGACTTGCGAAAGCAATGTCCGATGTTTGTCTAATAAGAAAAATGGACTATAAATATTGAAAAATATTTCACATAAATAATTCACATAATAGTTGCAGACATTGTTTATCAATTAGTTTGATTTGCTAATTATGCCGTCAAAAATTATTTCTGGGGTAAAAAATAAAAAAATAAACAATTAGGCGAACCGAAACAGGATTTAAAGACAAAGCTTTTGTGTGTTGATGCATATATTGCATTATTGTCCCTTAGTTTATTTCTCACTTTAGTGCAACTTTATTATAGTGAGCATATAAATAGTGCACTCTTTATTAACAATGGATCGGACTTTTGCACTTAATCGCAAGGCTGCATTTTGATATACCAGCCAAGCTATCAAAATATATATATACTTACACTAGTACAAACACTCTAGAATGTGTAAATATTGAAATTAAAAAATAAACAAACAAGAAATTTATTAAAAAAAATGAAAATTAGGGAAGAATTGACAATATCAGGCAAATGTCCTATATTTAATTTTTAAGTTCACTCGTCGAATCGCTATTAAATTTCTTGTAATCTTTACTGCTGAATAAGCATGCTTAAGGAAACCAAGAGATTGCATCAATCTGAAGACACTAATTACAAAAAATCAAAAAGAAAGCATGAACAATATAAAAAGAAATCGGTATAATTTAGTTATGCTTACATGCCTTTATGATATTGGACTAAAAAAGTTCCAAAACATTCTCAAAATTATTCAATTCAAATAAATTATTTTTTTATTAAATAATTTTCATTTTATGGTTTTTAATTATTGTTTCGAACATTTCTCTAAACAAAAAATAGAATACCTACATTTTTGAGGAAATAATTGTGTTTAAAAAAATATAGTAAATACAAATCAACTCCTTTGATATTCTCACACGTTTACACTACACTTTTAGGTCCAATGTCGTATGGGTATTTAAGATCATAACTAACTTAGAACCGACATTTAAATGCCATGCAAATATAAGTTTATACTTTTTTCGACACTATTGCTATAGTTTCTTTTGGTTTGGATAGAACTTTGATCGATTTCGTACACACCTGTTTCTTTGACCATATCTCTAAATTGGCACATAATAAACAATAATGTTTGAAAACAATCGTAATAATTTTGTCTCATAGCGGTACCTCTTAGATTTTCTTTAAACCATAGTGAGTTGTAAAAATGTTTGCGCATGCTTTTACCATATTAAGCAAGCCTCTCTTTTAAGCTACTTATGAATTCTTGAGCGAAAGCATCTCTTATATAATATAATACATTGCCTCCTTTTTAACCCACATAATATACCGACACGATCCTCCGAATAGAGCTTGACACATCTCGAAATGCTATATACTTACCAACCATTACCCGAATGTAAAGATATCAAGCAAGGGCTGTAGCCCCACTATCAATAATCGTACATATGTATAAACCGATATTTACTATGCATATGTACATATATGCGATAATACCGATACTTTTGATTATCATTTTGTTCTGTAATCTACTCATGCTCTTTAATTATTCTATAATAATTCTTACATTCCATTTTCAATGCTTATACAAAAACAAAAAACCACAAAAAAACAAAAAAAAAAAAATATCTAAACAAAAACCAATCCCAAATGCGTTGCAATGTTACTACTACTACTACTACATCAATATTCACCACTCACCCAACTTTAACCACAACTGTGTCTACAATAAACAACAACCTAATTGAATTGCAACACTATCTGAAATCTGTATCTCTACAACTTAAAAAACAAATAATTAAAAAAAAAAAAAAACAACCAAAAACACACGAAAAATATATTCATGCAAACGAACCACAACGAACAAAACCGAAACCCAAACGAAACGTAAACAAAAACGGAACGGAATGGCGATTCGAATTCAAATCAAAATCAAAATCAAATCGATCAAAAACAAAACCACTGCACTTTCCCGTCCAACAAATGGTTGCCAAAAAAAAAAAAATGGCTGATAAAATGCGGAATACCCGTAGAAACAATCGTTCTTTAACTGCCTACTCGATATGGCCGCCCTCGACAAAGGAGGATCGCGACAGGGCTCCATAAGTTTCGAGCCGAATGGGGAAGGAGCCGCCAACTCACAGACACATTTGTTAGCCAGCACGCACCACCACCACGCAAACGGTGATGCCGAACACAACAGTTTGGCAACACTAGCACGGCGGAGTACGATCAGAAAGCGGTCAGTTAGGTAATTTTTTAACCAGCTTCAAACTCTCTATACCATTTAGTCCGTAAAGTGCAAAGTATCATCTCATCAGACATCTAATCTCAGATATCAGCCATTAGCCATCAGCCAATTGCCATTTGCCATTAAACATTAGCCGTCATTAGTCCATTTGATCACCATTGCATATTTATCATCAGCAAAGAAGACGAGGAGATTATACTTTTGCTATCTGAAGCCCGAATCCTAAGCTCTATCCTTGAATATTTGTTGAAAGGAATACTTATTTCGCTTTGCACAAAAAAGTATGCTACAATATTTTTCAGCTGTATCTGCTTATCCCGAAAAACCAAAAGCAACAAAAAGTCAACGAGCAAGGGTTCAATTTAGTCAAAGTTTCTTGGTATTATATACTTTAAAATTCTACAAAAGATACAATACATTTCTGTACTACCTTTAATTAACTTCTAAAAGCCAACCATTAGTTCACAACAATAGATAACTACTCAGAAATAAGTTTTGTAAAATCTTTAACTACGGTTTCATAGTCAGAAAAAATTCCTACAATTTTAAAAAACATTTTCAAACCATTTTCAAATAATTTTCTTTAAAATTCAAAAGTTTAAATTCAAAGTTTATAGAATCTCTGATCGTTAGGGACCACAGCTCCCATTTAACATATGTACATGGCCATAAGCAAACAATCGTCTCTCACAAAAATACAAAACAACTACTAACAAACACACCTAACAAAACACAATTAGCAACTAACTACAAGATCTCTTTGTGCCCCTGTGCATTTTAACATTGACATAAGTAAATTGTTTTTCTTCTAATTTTTAAATATTTCAGAAACAAAAAGGTGAATAAGTTTGATAAACTCCAAGCGGTAAACCAAAATCAAATTATCAAAAATTTTACTACAAACCAAAAAAAAAAAAAAACAAAAAACAAAAAACCAAAAATCATAATTAATTGTGTATTATATAAATATATGTGAATACTCTTTGTGTCCATACTCCGTTTCCGATATAAATGTTGTTCACAAACCGATTAAGTCAAGTAATCAACTAGTACCTTTTAAATACATACGTACATACTCACTCATAAGTATATGTATATGTATAGCTGTACGCGCCAATGTGCAACCTATGTATGTATGACTATGTAGAGTGCGAACAGTATGTAAAGTGCTCCGTACTATGAGTTACATACATACATCATATATACATACATACGCACATGTGTGTACTGCGTATTCAACCTACTACTATAAATCTTTCATTTGCGTTTACTCAATAGTGCAATACATACTCGTACCTAAATGTTGCATAGCAATTAAAAAAACCAAAAAACAAAAAAAAAAACAAATATTAGAAACGCAAAACTTGGCTTAGTACTCGTACTCGTACTCAATGTTGTAATTTGATCGTTTCTATAACCACTAAATGTACTCCTATGTACGTAGGCGTTCGTTCCTCGGACAATTTTTTAAGAGTGGACGGAAAGGCCCTCGCAAAAGATCCACTCAACCAAAAATATAAATTAAAATCCCATCTTCCTATTCAATTTTGATTGTTTTATCCTGCAAGTGCACAGTGGATCAGAAAGTTTTTTACCTAACCATTTTTTTTTTTTTTTGTAATTTTTTTGAAAACCAAAGAACATTCTGAATTCCTGTGCATCGCACTTGTGTAAATTAATTTAAAAAAAAAGAAGTGTTGAGTGGAAAATGCAGGGCTCTTTGATTTAAGCAGGCTTAGTTGACTTGTAGAATCCAAAAGCGGACTTGCAACCGTTTTTTTTCTATCTTAATGAGTGTGTAATCCTTCACCGAATAATATTTTGCCAGGTCCGTAAAAAGAAAACAACCTAGAAAGTAAAACTAGGCAAGTGCAATTAAGTCGTTTGAATTCACGTACAACATGCCAGCAATGTAAGATTACTCACCAATTAACCAATCCAATCCAATCCCAGTACAGTTGCGACTAGACATATCGAGACACCCTCATTCCACACGAGATCCCCAGGACTTCTCACCCACCAAACAGTTCAGATCAAATCAGATCAGATCAGATCAGCTCGTTTATTTGCAGTGCGAATAACCCCCTGCCACATCAATCGCCGCCTCCAATTCGCCACAATTCTCAGACATGCCAATTCCTTGTGCCACAGTTGGCGGTTCCAACTCTGTTCCCACTCCGTTCTCAGCCCCTTTGGGCCATGTCCGATAGCCCTAAGTTCGATCTGCACAGGATAAATAAGGCTCTTCTGGATTTCACTTTCGAGGAACTCTACAAAATTTGTTAGTACATTTTAAAACATGATTAGCATCTGCAGCATTTGAAAGTGAAATCCAAAACAGTTCCTATAGACTTTTCTACATACACATAAAGTCAGTAACAAATAATGTAGGGTATAGATAAAATATAGATCATTATTAAATTCAAGAGAATTTCATTTCCAAAATAGTCTGTTGTCTTCCAAAAATAAAGATTTAACAAGCGATCGCAATTAAATTTGGGAGATCAGGAGTTTAAATAAAAATACAGCATTCAATTTGTTGACTGCTTTTCATATTCAGAATTTTATCAATTAAATAATTCTAATTTCTAATATCTCCGAGGGCAGATTTTATATCACTAGCTAATTTGTTTTCTCTCTTATAGTTAAAGTTAGTAAATAAGGTAACGATCTGTATTAGTTTACTACGGATTAGAACACAAGTTTCTATTTCTATTGAACCCCCTAGTTTCATATGTAAAGACGGCTTTATGTGTAGGTAGTAATTGTATTCGAATTCGATTTGGATGTAATGCGTACACAGTACAGTTTTGGTATTTGAATGTTATTCGTCAGTCCATCACGAGTGCGAAACGATTTGTGAACGGTAAGTAAATTCAAGTGGCAAGTTCGGTTGCAAGTTCAATCGGATTGAGACTCGATGCAGCTGCTCCTTTGCAACGGGCCGAGCAGGAGCAATTGGAAAAGGACCCAGGACCTGACCACCACCCATTACCCACCATTCTACACCACACATCCAACCAATATATATTTACTCAACTAGTGCATGCCTTTAAATATTAAATAACTCGCTTAGCTTTTATTGTTCTGCACTCAAAAGTAGTTACGCTGGTTTAGAAACGCTTTAGCAAGCTCTAGCTTTAGATGTAGAAAATCACATGCATGTAAAATAAATCCTCAACAACACGTAGATATAGTGTAGAGAACGAACATCTAGCTGAATCTCTTGAATCACTTTTCCAAATGCAAGGATCGATCAGTACTTCTTATTCCTTCGTATTTTGCGTTCCACCTTTTTCGTACTACATATCATATCACCATAAATATAGGACAATAAACCGAACCCGATAACGTAGCTAAAACCGAGTAACCAAAATCAATTGGCGTAATGAGAAACGCAATATGGCAGTCATATCATTTCCAAAAAAAAAAAAAAAAAAAGAATTGAGGACAATTAGCTTATAAAAAACCAACAAAAATATCTATCGAAAGCGATCAAGTATATATGTATATGTATACGCCCGAGTAGTGTATGGAATTCCTTAAATGTTATATGCCCTATAACTAGGTTAATCGAAACTACAATCCAATATAATCCCGCATTGAAGAACCCCTCTATATACAAACTAGTACGATTACGAACGCATTTGGATATGTATTTTGTTGCAGTGGAGTAATGATTGCTTTTGTTTAATTTTATATACCGTATATCCCCCCAAATACTATATATCCCGCAAAGTAAGCATACATGTCTCTATGTATATTTATTTTGTAGCATTTAACAAGTACAAACATATATACAATATATATAAATATATATTTCCAACGCTCCATTACGGACGCATTGGACAACCATAGTTTCTAATTTATAAATACACAGATATACCCAAAAATAAAAAAATAATACGTTTGCGTACGGAATGAATGAATCCACAAGAAATCGGTCTGGAGAAAATCTTTACACTGAAATTGCTAACGAAATTAACTTAGTAATTTGACCAATTAGAAACGATTCGAATAGCTGCAAACTTCCCCGATTTCCCCTGCTAAAACCCAAAGTAGTTCTCAATCTTTTTCGACTGATTTCGAGTGGTGGCATTCATGTAGATAGCAACCTGTTTACTTAACCCTTTTCTTAAAAACTTTCCAATTAGATGCTGGAGCTGCAGGACGCATCGCGACATCCTTCGCAGGAATCGCTTACCGGTGCCGATGCTGGCCATTTACATCCTGGACATTCGTACATGAATGGCCATCGGCGATCGCCTAGCTTGAGGTATGTCAAATCTTATATAGAAATGTAGAAAATATGTACAATAAATTGTAATTTACTTTATAACCCTTTTGCAGGCACAACGGCTCTCCATTGGCCAGATCTCCGAGTCCTCGACGGCGTGGCCATCAATACATACATCATGATATCGGGTTCTCCGATACCGTATCTAATGTTGTAGAGATGGTCAAGGAGACCCGGCATCCTAGGCACGGCAACAGTCATCCGCGGTATCCAAGAGGTATTTATTGGCCAAAAAATAAACCCTATTAATTACTGAATTACTACTGTGTGTGCTGATTGTTAATCCTGTTTTCCATTGGGAAACCTTGAGCACACTCCTTTTACAACAACAAACTTGTCTGCATTTTATTCCTAAACAACTGAAAAAGGACTTGCAATCCGCACACTCAAATTGAAACTTGGTCACACCGAGGATTTTTCAACTATTTTGTAGAATCGTAGTTATATACATATATAAATATATGTCTACAATTCCATAGCTAATAACGAAATCTTTTAATACGAATATGTATTTGAAATATATAAATATATTTATTTATTTTTTTTTTTTATATATATATTTCGGTTAAGTCGGTCCTCCTTTGTTTGAATATTCTCTTCAAAAGCAAAAGTGAAGAGAAGAGAAAAGATAAAGAAAATGAAAAAGAAAAAGAAAAACCAATAAATATGTTGCTTTAACCAACTACGTAAAATGTTGTGCCCCGACATCCTTAATTATTACGTTTTTTTATTATTGTTGTTATATGTACGATATAGGTTCATGGTCAGCATCGACAAGTCCGGCCCGTTCGCCTTCGCCTTCTCGATATGGTGGTCATTTGTCTCGCAGTAAACGCACTCAACTGCCTTATCCCACATATGGGACAACCAGTCTCTGTCAAAGGTCACGATCGCCGAGTCCCGCTCGACTTCAGGAGATGCGTGAACGAGACAGACTTGGTTATGGGATTGATATGGGTACATCCTTAGCACTTGTTAACTAACGTCCAACGCGCTCGAAAACAAAACTCAAAAACCATTTTTAAAACTACCAATACCAAAAACAAAACAAACCAAAAATTTAAACTAAAAAAACAAAAACAAACAAACAACAAAACTACTCAACTTGTTTTCTATATATGCTAGTATTTTCTTCTACACAACTTTCAACTTCAACCATATTTCAAACTCTTACAAAAAAACATCCGATCAGACATGCTTACTCGTAACTAACTCGTATTCTCGTACATAGTTGCCAACCATGCTTAACATGTACATGTATTGTCATGCCAAGACGTTCGTTCAACCAGTAAAACAACAATCAGTCAATCAATCAATCAATCAATCAATCAATCAATCAGTCAATCAGTCAATCAATCCATAAGCTTCAAACAATCGAATAGTTTTATACGTCATACCAACCACATTCTCAATTCTGAGCATCCACACTGAAATAACAACTAACTCATTTGAATATGTGCTCTGGTCACACTAGCAGCGTTTATTGTTTTCATTTCTATAGATGACATCCACCTATATTATAACCACATATCGTTTGTAAGGTACTGCCATGTACAGACATCCATCCTCTCATCATCTCAAACTAACACACTGAATCTCTGAATCTCTGGCAAACTTGTTTGTGTTTTAGCTATCCTAAAAGTGTGAGAGTATTTTGAAGTCAGGGCTGCTTTTATCAGGGGTTATTCTATTCTTTTCTTTGTTTCGTTTCGAACTGGTCACAGAATATTTGAAGAAGAGCTATCCTAGAAAGTGAGATAGATGAACATCATTTCCCAGTATTTTTCTGCCCCCAAAGAAGGTGAAGTTCGTAAGCCATAGTTGTATGTAGTATCTTCCTTCTCGTTTCAAATTGACCTCTGTCAGCCTGACCAGCACAGGATAAGAACACTGACCAAGAATCTCTATTAAAGCTTGCTGCTTGTTTCAAAAAAAAATAAAAATAATAATTATAATAATAATAAATATTCAACACCCACTACCTTAAAAAAGATTACCAGGCAAATATCAATTTGTGTCCACTTTACCAGTTTTTGTTTTCAACCAGTTTGGGTTTTCTTTTTTCGATGAAATCGCGTGAGAACCAGAGAATAATCATTTTTGGGGTGCAGCCTTTGGGTGTTTCAGTATCTAGACGTGTGTGCATATCTACCTGTATTATCTATCTGTGAATGTGCGTCAATAGTGTTCTGCACCATTTCTTGATTCATCCTCCTTGTTTTTATGCATTTTTTGGTATCAATTTCAATATCAATAGTTCGATTCGAGCAGTCATGCATGTTGCCATGAAGAATTTAGCTGCCGACCGGCAATTTCCAAGATCATCCAACTACTTGTGTATATTTCTCTCAATACATTATATATAGCACTGTTGTTACTGTTCAATATCAAATATTCAATATTCAATATTCAATACTTTTTTCTAAGTTGTATAAATCCGTACGGTGCTCAAATAATTGCACACGCTTTTCAAACGTAGATACAGAGAATGCATTTTTGCATAGCAAGAATTATTTAAAAACTTTAAACATCATAATAAGTTAATACAATGGGCTCTGACTGGGACATGTTCTTTTCAGCCATATCTCGATCACATTTAGAGCATATCATTAAATAAATATTAAACTATTCAAGTTAAATAACACAGTGAAGTTAATATTTTGAAAGGACTCATCAAAATGAAAACATAAAATAAGAAAAAACCTATGCAATGTTTAAAATGTAAATAATTATAAATAATAATGCTTTACAATTTCTACTTACTTTCGATGAGTTCTTTTAAAAATCCAAAGTCAAATAATAAAACGCACATTCCATGACCATTAAAAGTAGCACAGTCTCATTCTATTTAAATTTGAATAAGAATTAATCCATTTTGTGTACGCAAAAGTCTGTCCGTTTTTGGGTGAAATTAGTTCATGATTTGTGTCATTAAGTTTATTCGATCCATCGTAATTTACTTAGCAAAGGTTTTCGTTTTCTGAACATGTCCCATTCTACTTTCGTTTTCGTTTCGTATATATTTGTATGTATGTTTTAAGCATTGTCCATGTTTATGTCGATGAAGAGCAATTCAGGTACACTTTGTTCAGTATCATATCAGCAGAGTATTTTGCAACGATTTACGCCCAAACACGAAACGTGATCTAGGAATCTTGGGAAACTAATGCCTCCGATCTCCGCAGGTGTAACGCACGTGCAGCACAGTTACCCCACCTTGGCCTCCCGACGAGCTGGCATTGGAAGACGACTGCCACCCACTCCCAGCAAGCCGTCGACCCTCCAGCTCAAGCCGACCAACATCAACTTCCCCAAGCTGAACGCGAGTCCCACACATGTAAGTAAAGAATAAATAAATAAAACTAAAATGTAAAAAAGAGAAGAATTAATTACATAATTTTATTAAGATATAAAAAATTTACGTAGTATATAAATTTAGTAAGTCAAACGAAACAAAAACAAAAAAAGGAAGTAATAAAAAAAGTTAAGTAAAGTAAAAGTAAGGCAGAAAAGTAGAAAAGCCATGTAAAGAAAACGTATCAAGTAATATACATAATTAAGTAGAATAGTTAAGAAGTAGAGTCAATAAATAAAATCAAATGAATGAAGCAACAAGTAAATGAATCAAAAAATATTGCAAAGTAATAACTTCCTTCTTTAATAAAATAAAAATAATAAATGAAGTAAATTAGAAAGCTACTTAAATAAAAACTTAATAAATACCGCATTCCCCAATAATTAAACCGGTCTTCCCTCTGCAGACACACCACTCAACGCCCCACAGTGTTCACTCGCTGCCGCACCACCGCGACCTGCTGCGCGACCCCAGGGACATGTACTACAGCAGCAGGGAGCGGGAGCGTGACCGGGAACGCCTTAGGGACCGTGACCGTGACCGGGAACGGGATCGTGACCGGCTGCACGAGTACGACCTGCGCTACGAGTACAGGGACCGCGAGCGGGAACTCTACGAGCGCGAGCGGGATCGCGAGCGGGAGGTCGAAAGAGAAAGGTGAGTACTTCTATACTACCTACTATAAGCCATAAAATATAAGGAGAACATTCTAAGAGCTCCAATCCCTGTGATTTCGGTCACCTGATTATGTAAAATTGGTTTAACGGCAATCAGCCATTAATTAAATTAATTAATTAAATGACAGATTTCTTATAACAATTTTCATTTATGTGCTTTTACGATTATTTTCCAAACTGTGACTATTATGAAAACCACTATGACTATTAATGATATATAAAATTAAATAGATATATTAATATATATCTAAAATTAAAATATTAAGTATACGTAAAATTTCTCAAAATATTAAGTATACGTAAACAACACAAAATAACGTGACTATTAATGATATATAAAATTAAATATTTTAATATATATATAAAATTAAAATATTAAGTATACGCAAAATTTCTCAAAATATTAAGTATACGTAAACAACAAAGAAAATAACGTTTTAGGTTTTTGCAAGATATGTTGTCTTAAGTTGTAATTTAATTATTCGTAATCAATTTCGAACAAGTTTATATAATGATTATGAATATTATAATTAACTAATTTAAATTATTAATATTAATTCTACCCCCCAACAGACTGGAATACATAGCACCGCTGTCGTTCGAACAGGCACTCGCCATGGGCCGCACGGGCCGAGTACTGCCATCTCCGGTTCTGAACGGCTTCAAGCCGAAGAGCGGGCTGAATCCCCGACACTCCGATTCGGACGAGGAGGATTGGTGCTAGCAAAGGCTTTGATTGCGGTCGCGTAATCGAAAGGATCAGATCTGGGTATAGCATCAGGCCATATGCTCCTCTCTGTCGGCACCGAACCTGGATCACAACTTTGATACGATACGACACCAGAGATACCAGATGCCAGCCGAAGTTCATCCATCCCATCCGCATTTGAGACACTCGCCACTCCCACTCGCACATCCACTTCCACCACTTCCACTACCGCAGACACACCGCAAGCTGCACCACCTGCATCCAATGCGTCCAATGCATCCCCTGCATCCACTCGATCCACTCGATCCACGGCAACCACTTCCCACAACAATATCGAATTTCAAATTGGCTGGAGATGGAGGCGCACAGGAATCAAATCCGAATCGACAGGCATCGCAATCGCAACGAAAGCAAGTGCAGTTGGATCAACAAACTGGACAATTCGAGTGGCTCCGCTGGTGCCGGGGGATCGGTGGTGATCAGGACAACCAGAGTAACACCCATTTTGGTTACCCAATGATGATGGCATCACTGCCCGAAACCAGAGCCACATCGCCCCAATCCGATATCGAATTCATGAGGAACCTGCGGCGCGGAGAGGCAGCATTATTACCAAGGACAACTAAAACTGAAGCAATGATATTAAGCGTACCAACTACAATAACGTCCCCGTTAGCTATTAAAAAGATATATTCCGATAACGACATTAACTATAGGGCCGAAGCGGCCGTTCATCAGTATCATCACCTCAACCAGCCGGAAGTAACCACACCAGATCTACAACAGCAGCCAGATCAGCAGCACTTTCCGCAGTGTTCGTATCATACGCTATAAGGAGAAGAATATATATATACAGAAATTGGAACTAGCAACCACTATATCGAAATCGAAATCCACTAGAAAGTGCAACTTTAATTGCAAAACTGCAAATGCAACAGCAACTGAAACTGAATCGAGGTGTAAAGAATGCGTGGGGAGATAAACGTAAAGTAAACGTAAAAGTAAAAGTAAAGTAAAGTAAAGTGTACACAGATTAGAGCTACTATTTGCCTAGAGATAGGAGTAGATCACCTAATGTTAGATATGAATATGATCAAGTGTATTGTACTTTTTTTCTAATGTAAGGACAAGCCTAGAGAGGAGCACATCAACAAAAAGGAAACAAGCGATAAGCCGATAAGGTCGATAAACCGATAAGCCGATAAACCGAACTCTTTCAAAACCGAAACACACATGTAGATCTCTAGGCCGAAGTAAATAGGAAATACAAATTGTAGGTACTCGCATACCCTGTAAGACGTTTAGGAAATAGAGGAAATCGATGAATCCGTAATCTGCAAGCGTTTTTGTCTTGTTTGTACTTAACGAGTTAGTAATTGAATTATGCAACATTTTATTTACCCTATGTACATACCAGATAATTGTAGATATCGAATTTTTTGTATGTAATATACTTACTTACCTACGACTACTGTTATAAATACCTTCGACAAAAAAAAAACCCGAAAAACCCGATATCGAATATTAGCTATAATAGCAGATAAATGAGCGCATTTTAGTCCCCTACGATTTTTCGATTCATTTGTGTATACTCGAGCGGATGTTTTTGGTTTCTCAAACTTAGAAAATGCAACACAGATAGGAAGGAGGATAATAAAACGAAGAAGTCAAGTATGACCCCAAACACTACCAAAACAAATTATGACCAAGAGTGTGTATCTTTAAAATTAGCATCAATCAGTGCCATCTGTGTGTACAGACTTTGGGAATTTATTCGTTTATTGTTAGAGAGATTTATGCTTCTGTTGATAAAAAAAAAAACGTCGAAAGAATTGTCGCAATCTGTTGAACCAATTGATGTCCATGTGTATTTACAAAACGAAACGTAACGAAACGAAACGCATTGTTTTTACAATCGAGCATCCCGAAACATAAACATGTGTAGATATATATCACATACTCCTACGGCTCCTCATACTCGACTAGAATGTGAATAATGTGTAAAAAGTGCAGAGCTCATGGCACATCAAACGTAATATATTTAAATATATACAATTTGCATGCACACAGCCCCTCCAACTCACTAAAAAAAAAGAAGAAAACAAGAAAAACAAATAAATGCAGATTTCATGTGTATAGATAGACGAATCGTACATGTTGGACGACGGGATATCGAAGAGCGCACAATAATTGTAATTTAATGAAATGAATCCATAACTTAAGTGAATAATTATAGCAGCTGAGCAGTAATGCGAATTTACACAGCAAAGGAACTTACCATTACGATAATGATAATATCTAGAATCGTAGAAGGCATTCGGAAACGGAGGTTAAAACATTTAGCGAGCGATGGGAAACCAGAGACACGAATCCCCATACCCCAAGCCCAAGACCCTAAAAACCTTAACTAAACTTAACTGAGTGCTGACTTCAGCCGTGTACGATATTAACTGAGCAATACTGAATAGGGAAAATGACTAACCTAGAAGCGATAAACCAAACTATACACTCAAAGAAAAGGCCAAAATCGCCGTTGAATTTGGAGGTTCGCCATGAAAATAAATCGATGGCCGGAAGTCATACACTTTAGAAAATGTTGAATAATTGAATTGAAGATTCGGAAGATTTTGATGTTTAGATTCTGAAATTTTCTTGCATTTAAAACCACTTTAATTTGATGGCGATTTTCTAAAAAAACAAATTCGAGTGTGCGAAAGGAAACCGACAAGCGTATTCTTCTAATATTAACTTAATTACGGATGCCGACAGACATATACATTCGATATATAAATATTCACGCCTACATAGATAAATATACAATAGATGATAACTAGTCTCAAATTAAAACCGAATTCCATCGCTAAGGGAAACCAAGCAAGATTGCCGATATAGAAGTTCACTCTCCAATTAATTGTAAACACACACTACACACACTCACACACATACACACACACTTTGCACCTACTTACGTATTTCCGGGGTTCACTTTTGACCACTTCCAGTAAGAGTTTGTCCCAGTGGCAAAAGCGAATGCAAAACCGAATGTGAATGTTTCAGTAATTAGTTATCAGTAATCAGTAAATCAGTAAATCAAGAAAATCAGTAAATCAAGAAAAATCAGAAATCAGTAATCAGTCCTCAGTCCTAGGCTAAGATCTCAGATCAGATCGGATCAGATCAAATCAGATTTTTGACCTTCATTCGCACGGCTTGCTTGGCATTAACATTCGATATTCGATATTACTAGCGATATCCTCTCACACAAGTAGAGTTCTTGGAAGGGCAGCTTAGGGCTCATTAGCTCAATTACTACTACTGAATCATTGCCCCGATGCCAAAACTAAAAATATAAATATTAACTTAAAACTGAAAAATCAAAAACCAAAAAAAAAATATATAAACAAACACAAAACAAAGAGAAATGGAGCAAAGAAAAAAAGAAAGAAAAAAATAGAAATGAGTACAAAATATGAAGATAGTTTACTGATATCGCTTCGATATTAGACCTTTATCCAATTCATCCTGCCGCTAAAAGGAACTATTTAGTTAGCAAATTATTGGCATACTCGACCATTTCGAATTCGATTCGCTTTAGACGCCCACAATCTTCGCTTCGTCCTTTGAAAAAGGACTCCCAGCTGGCCGACCGCGAACTCTGCCCAACTTTACTCCTTACTTAGCTCCTTACTTGTACATTCCTTACACATCCTTACATACTATATATACGGCTATATGGTTAGGTGTCAAGTGCAGGGATCAGGGATCAACGCGATCATCACTTTTCCGGGGAAGAACAATTCGGGGTATCGGGAGAACAGCTTGTGACCACGTCCCGCCATTTACCAAAACGAAATGTCAACAGAAAAACTTATAAGATATATAGAATTGAAACGACAATGCTGCGATCGATTGTTCTTCCAGGTTCTTGCATTCCCCACTCTCACAGAGAACTATCTTGAAAGCATTGCCCGAAGATTGTTAAATACTCCAGATTCAGATCCAGATACTTGAGGGCCTAAGAGCAGGTTTATTATATATATTCAAAGCCGCTGAACCGAGAAACCTCAAGAGGGGTGAAATCTCCTAAAAAAAAACAGTTTGAAAGTATGCTACAATATGCGGAAATTCCAAAAATGAAGCCAGAAGAACAGTGTCCATTTCTTAACCAAACTTATTTTAGGAGATTTGAAACCTCCAGAGATTTCGGTGGGTTGAAATACGAATGATGTGGTGCACACAAGGCTGCCATTCCCCGAAAGGTCCGCTCCCTGTGTTCCTTGCCTCATGTCGTAGGTGGCTTACTTTTTTTTTTAAACACTCAATTTACCCTTAACCTTACGATTCGATTGTATATTTTGTTATTTGTTTACTGTCTGGTGTGAACGGTTACATGAAAAGAAAAAGAAAAAGAAAAAGAAAAGAAAAGAAAAAATATAATATGTAAGTAGATCTGACTTTTTTTTACAAAGAATAACAAGAATATAGGTGGTGCGAGGAGGTAATATGAACTATAGGAAAGGAAACAAAATTAATAATAAAAGTTAGTTTAAAGTTAGTCAAATGTAACTGTTACGGCTAAAATGTAATAAAACTAATAATACATATACATAAAAAGTAAATAAATATAATTATCTTAAATTAATATACTAAGTGAATAAAGCAGTTAAAATAATTACTAAGATACGCTAGAGATAATTAAACTACATTTAATAATTATGTAATTATAAAGATGACTCGTAATTTATATACAAGATATACATACATAAACATATAATAACATAAATACCTGCCTTCAACAAATTTGTTAATAAAACTATTAATACTTTCTTATTTTACATAAAGTAAAGGAATACCATAATAAAAAACAAGAAGAAAATAAATGCCAGAAAAATAACACAAAACAAAGACTCGTTTTGATTTGGATGATACATTTTAAAGGGATTCTTGTTTTCTTTGAAGGAATGAGTTAAATAAATATGTTTAAAATTTCGCTTTTAATTGCGTAAATCTTACAAAAAAAAAGTAACAATAGCTTTACAAATTCTTGAAAGCAAAGCAAACCAAAATGGTCAATAAACGACTCTCGTTTTAACCCCCCTGTAAATGAACTACCCCACTGGAATTGGGTTTTTATTTCAAGAGCTGTGGTTAAAGGGGCTTTGTTTTCTGGTTTCTCAAGCGGAACAGCTGGTCGTGGGGGTCCGGCTGACTGCTGGCCTCCGTCGGTGGCCCATTTCAACCCCCAGGAAGGAAAACAGCTGATTGGAAGACCTGCGCACTTGAGGGTAAGTCAAAAGAGGCGCAGCCACTGCCGCGAATACATATTGATTTTATGTCGCTTACACAGCAGTTGTAACAATTGTGCGTTTACAGCTCCAGTTAGCTGAAACCAGCCCCGAATTGGCGAAATCGTCAGGGGAACCCAAACCCAAATGGACTGGGCTTCGATGGAAAAAACAGACAGACGCAGACAGCCAATCCTCCGTGTAAACTGAAACTGGGCGAGAATGCGAGCACATCCGGAACGCAATTGAAAAGACTGACATCAGAGTTTTGGCTAGCAAGTTCCAGGATTGAAAGCCCCGCAAGCAAACGGAGAAGCACAATTGAAATTCGAGGGGAAAAGAGGTTGCCAGGATGGAGATACCCATTTCGAATATACTGCTGCTCTGCCTGATCTTCCTGCTGATTGGTGGAGTGGTGATGATTCTGCTGCAGTACCTCATCTTCATCAAGTTCTCCAATCTCCCCGACGAGAGTGAGGAGCAGAAGCAGATGAACGCCAAGTACACCCTGCCACTGGTAATGTAGTGCTCCCTTTTCCTGTTGCCAATTATTAATTAATTTATTTTTGTTTCATCCAAAAAGAACATCAAGCAGACGGCCAGGAACTTGAAGAGGCTCTCGAACTCGGGTTTGGGTGCCGGAAATGGGTGCGAAAACCATCAGGAGAGTCTGCGGAGGGCCTCGGCCTTGGTCTCCCTCAATTTCGTCATGCAGTTCCTCTTCCACGAGTTCAAGAACTCGAATCGAGTGCGAAAGTGGTTCTATCGCAAGCTGTCCATCGAACTGGACGAACTGATTACCAAGACCACCACGGGGAAATTACTGGATAAGCTTACGGTGAGTGGAACATTGATACCTCTTGATTCTGAAAAATGGTTGAAAGCATGAAACTTTCAAAATATTACGAGCTATTATCGAAGAATATTTATTTCAATTTAAATTAAATTCCTTTCGAAATTAAAACTACGTAGTTCGTAAAAGGAACTTACTGAAAAGTTCTAACTGTCTATTAACTGCCTCTTAACTATTCCAGATTAAGGAGCTCGAGCTGGGCGACCAGTTCCCAGACATCAAGTCCCTTTCGGTGCACAACGTGGAGTTGGACAAGGACGAGCAGCGCATCGAGAACCTCGATCTCCTGTTGGACATCAACTACGTGGGCAACTTCACTACGTCCATCGACGCAGATATGGTGCTCGGCAAGAAAGGATCAATTACTCTTAAGGGTGAGCAATTTATAAGCCTTTTGTATTTGAACTAAGGTATTTTTAACAAAATAAAATGACGAAAGTTGGAATAGATGTTTACTCGAGGGGAAGCTGACAGTTTTTTTTTATGAAACAATAACATTTTCCGCAGGCAGTTTTTAATTGCAGACAGAATAAACAACGAGTTCGAAAAATATTTTCGTTCATTTGGACAGCCAAATTGGTAAATTCAAAAAACCAAATACCAGGCGAACAGAAAGGCAAATCTGAAAGATTTTAAAATTTTAGACGAAAAAAATTGGACAAGCATTGACCATTTGGAGAGCCAAATTGGCAATTTCTGAAAACGAAATACCAGGCGAACATAAATGCCCAGAAAGTGACTACAAAATCCGAAATCCCAAAAAGCCGCCCCTTAGAATATGCAACAATTCTCATCGGTGGATGGCATTAAGATCGTGGTTCGAAACTTAACTATGCATGATCTACGAAAAATACGGGGACTGTGTGATGGGCATCACTAGTAATACTGGGTTTGGAACTCGAATAAAAATATAAATTAATTTGATAAATTCGACCTTCTAGGCATTTCTGTTCGCCTGGTATTTGGTCTCCGAAATTTGCCAATTTGGCTGTCCAACTTGACAAAATTACTCTCCAAACTCGTTGTTTTCCATCTAATTATTGGATTGGATCCTCCCACACGCCCAACTTTCACATTAAAACAATCAAAATTTTATTAGTTAGTTTTTATTATCTTAAATATTATCTTTAATAATTTGATTTCTAAATAAATGATAAGTTAGTGTCTTATGTTAAGTATATGTTTTTATATATTAAATATAAAAAATATACTAATGATGCAGCTTGTTAGATATATTATTTGTATTTGTTTGTGTAACCATTTCAGTTAAGCAGCTGTCTGGGATGGCGCGTCTGCAGTTCACGAGGAAGCCGTACACGCACTGGTCGCTGAGCTTCCTGGGCGATCCGGAGCTGATATTGGACATCGAATCGAAGTACCAGGGCCGCCAGATGCAGTCGAACATAACGAACCTGATCTCGAACCAGATCCGCAAGGCGGTGCGTCGGAAACACACTCTGCCGAACTATAAGCTGCGATACAAGCCATTCTTCCACTGGACAGCCGAACCGGATGACTCCGGCGATTGCGATATCCAACCGAATGGAGTGCTGACCGTGAAGCTGGCGGAACTCTCCCGACTGATGGGCTATCCCGGAGCCAGTGAGACGTACTGCACCATCACCCTGGCACCAGTTCCCTTCATCGAGGCCAATCAAAGGGATAGCCGGAATGTCTTGATCTCGATGGATGTGTTCATCCACAAGGCGAAGAATCAGCAGATTGGCATCGTTTTCAAGCAGAGTGGCAGTCAGGTGGTGAGGATTGAGTCCGTTTTACCGAATACTCCGGCCTGCAAGTCCAATCTGCTGGCGGGTGATGTCCTGGTTGCGATCGAAGGTAAGCCGGTGACCACCATTCAGCAAATTGCGAAGGTGGTTAAAACGCTGCAAGCCACGGTTTTCAGTCTCCGAATCGAGCGAATTATTCCGGGAATCATTCGGAATGATGCGATACTGGAGGACATGGATAAGTACGATGAACTGGGGGATCTTCCCAATACCTTTCAGCCCAAAACGGAGATCGATGAGCCAGCCGAAACACCCAAGCACTTGGTTGTAAAGCCTGGTCTCAGTGGAACCCCCACAAACTCTCCCAAGAAATCCAATCTGATAGCCAAGGCCATTAAGAAAACCATGAGTCGTGAGAGTGGCGATAAGGATAGAGATAAAGATAGGGATCGTGATAAGGAAAGGGAGAAGGAAAAGGAGCGTGATAAGGAGAAGGAAAGGGACAAGGAGAAGGATAAAGGAGGGGATAAAGCAAAGCAGGAGGAGAGCGAGGAGCCAGCGAACTACTTCTACCAGCACTCGACCATCGACTGTCCATTCAGTCCGCTCATCCACATGGACGACGTCTGCAACTTCCAGTTGGACAGCTCCAGTCGGTTCCTCAATGTGTGCGTCTTTGGCAAGTCGGCCGGCGAGAGTGTCCTTCTGGGCTACCACAATGTCCAGGTTGGCCAGATCCTGGTCGAGTGCTCGGAGACCAGTTTGAATCAGTGCCTCAAGCAGATCAGCCTCAACCCGGCATCCCTTCAAGCCGTGTAAGTTAACCTAACACAAATCCTGACTCAAGTTCAAGTTCAGACAGACAGAATACTTGATCAAAGTTTAATATATTTCCTAACTTTGCACAAATATTCTGTCGCTTGGAACTTGTTTTAATCTTTCTGCATATTCTACTCACAGGAAGATGCATCCGCTGTCCAATCAGTCCGGATTCAATCCGAATCTCTGCTTCGGGGACATCCTATTCGGCTTCTCCTGGCTGGGCAATCCCAATTTGACCGTCGGCGATGTTCCCCTCAAGAGTGGCTCCAAATCTCAGTCGCAGACTAGGTGGGTGATTATTTTGATTCTCAATTGAACAGTGCTTCAGTTAATGGTGAATTATTAAATGAAATTATTGTCATTGTTAAAGAAATCACTGGGCAACATAGAAACCCATAAAATCCTTTAAATAATGTGTGCAAATGTATACTTTGTCTTGCAAATATCAATTTATTATTTACAAATGATTGCATTTTGTATACCCTTGCAGAGCAAAGGGTATTATAATTTTGGACAGAAGTTTGCAACGCAGTGAAGGAGACACCTCAGACCCCATAAAGTATATATATTCTTGATCAGCATCACCATCTGAATCGAAATACGTCTGTACGCCTGTCCGTCTGTCCGTCTGTCCGTCTGTCCTCCTGTCCGTTTTTGCCCATCAAAATATATATATATAAATAATGAAAAAAAAATTATAACGTCGTTGTTTTTAATCCCACGAGCATGATTTTCAAGATATGGAGTTTCTTAATAACCCTTAAATCGAGAAAAAAATTTCATTAAAATCCGACAACGTTATCATATAGCGGCCATAGGAAAGATCGAAAAATCTATATAGAAATACGGGAAATAAAATTGTAACATCCTTGTTTTTCATCAGACAAGCACACTTTTTGGAATATAGAGTTTTCTAACTGTTTTTGAATTGCGTATTAAATTTCATCAAAATCACAAAACTATATCATATAGCTGCCATACGAACAATAGTCGAAAATATGGAAAATTAAAAGGAAAATCGTTATAGTTTCAATGGTGTTTAGCTCTTATGCATTTTGATGACTGCAAGGGTATATAAGCTTCGGCTTGCCGAAACTAGTTTCCTTTCTTCTTTTCGGTAAAACCTGCATAAAATGGCCAAAAACGATTTTATCTTGACGGGGAAGGTGTTTTCTTTCATGTTTCTAGAGCTATAACAAAGTTGTATACCAGCTTTTTTAAATTTCAGAAAATACATTTTTTCGAAATTTTTATGGGCTCCCCCCTTACATTTTTTGAAAAATCGGATTTCCTATGTGTTATTGTGTTATTGAAAATAGCTTTGTAAATACATAAAAAATGGAATAATTTATGATATCAATATTCCTATTATCCTGTTTTTTTTTTTAATTTCTTGATCACTTACTTATTTATTAACTGAAATAACACAATCTGCATTGGACCACAAATATTTACCTGTTCACAAAAACCTTCCATCTTATGGTTTTGTTATAAATACAGATCCCCATCGGCTGGCGAGCGAGTTGCCGCGGAGGAGAGCTCCCAGGACTCGGCGTTCCCAAAGTCGAGCTCCATGGCAGACAGCAGCACATCCGGGGAGTCCTCGAGTGCCACAGCAGCTGCTTCGAAGGCTCACAACTTCGTGAGGACGCACTTCCATCGGGCGACGCAGTGCGACTTCTGCGGCAAGAAGATCTGGCTGAAGGACGCGATGCAGTGCCAGGAGTGCTCGATGTCCTGCCACAAGAAGTGCATCGTCAAGTGCCAAATGGCCACGGTCTGCGGTCCGGTGGACTGTTCCTCCTCCCTTCCTCCGGGTTCCGCCTCCACCCCGGCGATGGCCAGTCGCCCGGAGTTCACCATCACCCAGGCGGACACTCCGGAGATCCTCGAGGGCAGCTCGACTTCTGGCTCGGGATCGATCCTTCTGGATGATTCGGGTTCGCTTGGCGGGGATCAGGCCCAGATGCCGATGCCCTCGCCAACTGGTTTGGATGTCCACAGGTCGAGTATCACGGGAATGCTCGCCCAGGGAATCAAGAGGCAGGCGAGCAACCTGGACATTCCCGGCATCGTATCCTCGCTCACCGGAAGCGGAAGCGGAAGTGGCCAGCAGATCAACTCCAGGAGCCTGCCGCCGAGTCCCCAGCACACGCCATCGCGGTAGGTTGAAATCCAGAAAAATTTCATCACAAAATACAACACATGTTGAATATTTTGATGGCAACAAATAATTATAATATACACACCGAGTTGAAAAGAATAGAAAATTAATTAAAGAAAAACAGAACAACAAACGATGGCAATTTTGGTGCTTCCAAGAAAAACTTACAAAAAATTCTTGATCAAAAATATATAATAATATTAGATTTATTAGAAACAATTTTAAAATTTTTTCGTTCATTCATTTTTTAAATAAATTTTAACTGTTAAAATTCTAAAAATCCTCTGCTCTTAACGTAAGCTGAACTACATTTTAGTTTTGTATAGCTTTTTGTTTTCAAAATCCTCTTAAGCAGAACTTTTTATCAAATCACTTTTACCTTCAGAAAATCGTCAATTGTGGAGGAGGTGGCACCTGCTCTGCCCCAGAATCCCTTCGAGTGCGTCACCCAAAACCTGGAGGCTCTGCCAGTGGACTGCCCGGTGCTCAGTTACGAGCAGGTTATAGTCATAACCGAGCCCATTATTCGGCATACTCGCAACGAGGATCTGATGAATCTGGCCAAGAGCACCAGCAAACATTTGTACGTTAACTTGCCGCCCGACGAGCGGGTGGCCAAAATCAATGAGTTGGTAAGGATGAAACAAAATGAATATATAATTAAATACTTAACTAATTATTTGCTATGTTTTTTTAAATTTTATGATAGCTAACAAAGCTGAAAGTAGCACTGGATGCGGAGACCGAGGGCTATACTTTAATGAACGATGCCGAGAAGGCCACGGAATCGTCGTGGAAATCTGATCGATCGGATGAGAGAGTCCAGGCCCTTAGCATTATAATGCTGTACTTGTGCACGGGTCTTCAGCATGCACAGGGTGTCGTCCTGCAGTAGATCCTTTCCAGAAAGGATCCTAGACTAAGATATGTCAATGGTTAAATACTTGTGTATTCGGTGAACTCTCGTACATAATCTTAAGTAGTAGACTGGAAAAATGTGTTAGTGAACTTATGGGCATTTTTTAATTCCGTGTTGTGGCATACTTACCTAGAAGTATTTCAATTTTAGCCATTTGTTTCAATCAAAATACGCTTATTTGTCAGACAACAGATTTGTACATACTTAATACAAAAACTCAATACAAAAATCAATGGTATCAAAAAAGAGTTCAAACTTGTTTTGGCAAAATAAAAATTTTTAACCAAATGTTCTTAAAAGTTCTTTCACATTTTTGATGATATTTAGTTATTATTTTATAGTTACCTCTATGTGTATAATATATATATATATATGTTTATAGAATTCTTAAATGAACGTGTGTGCAATTAAATGAAATATTTTTGACGTTGATTTTAATATTTTTTGTTTAGATTTAGAGACGCCTTAGAAACTGATCATATCTAAATATTATTCTCTTTAATTTCTGATTAAACATTTCTTATTTTGGAGTTAAATTTAAGAGGAGTCCAAGCGCATTATTGAAGATAAAAAATGTTCTTCTGGTTCAAAATGGTAATACAATGGGTTTCCTTTACGATGAAATAAACTTATTACTTAGTATTATAAAAAAATCTATTTATTTGGCTGATTTCCCTTGAAGTATTGCGTTTTCCAATAATTGGCATATATATTTTAATGAAAACAAAATATGTATATTTACTGGGAAATGTCGCATCCAATACGACTTGTTTTGAATGGCAAGTGTTTACACTCGACTCGAGGAAATTCCGGTATCCGAATAATAGATGCGTAAAAATCGTATCTATAAGTACGATATATCTACGACGCATCCAGCAAATCAATTGTTTTGATCGCTTTTCGATGATATTGTTCTGTCCTCTCTGTAATTGTTCCCTCTTTGATTGAACTTTACACTTTTTCCTTAGCCAGAATAATTTAATTGGCAAGAGAGAGTGCTTATATCAGAGGCTATTGCTCTTAAGATGACAGGAAAAATGGTTTCAAGGCAGCGATACTCTTTTCAAAATTCTTCAAAAAATAATTATTGAAGGAAATCATTGTAGGCAAGCAGTTTTTATTTTGCTTAAGTTAATGGGATATTGTTATTTTAATTCGTACAATTTTTTAAGTTTCATGTTTATTATAAGGTATTCTGGTTCCCATACAAAAATAAACCTTAGAATTTTCTTATCGTACATAGAGAAGAAAAGCTTTTCACAACTTTAAAGAAAGTGCAGCGCGAAGCTTTGGGGAGAAGAATTCAAATTGGGAACTCTCTTCAATCGCATGGAATTACTTTGATTCTCCATGGACACCAGATAATGGATAGAATGGCCTTGGCAACCTTGAAATATGTCATTATCTTAAATAAGTGCACAAATGCTTACGTCCGATTTTATATTTACATATTTTACATGGAAACGTCGTGTTTTATTTGACTTGTTTTGAGTGGAAAGTTTTTCCGATTTGGGAAACAGTGAAAGGCTGATGCGTAAATGTCGGTTCTATAGATATGGCCAATATGTTTTGACCGCTTTACACGGATAGCACTAGTCAGCAAATTAAAAATCTATAATTTGTAAAATTGGTTAAGTTTCAATCGTTTTTTTGAAGTAAATAATGTCGGAAAAACTGGTGAACAGAAGGCTTTATTCCAACAAATTGTTTTAAGAGGAATTTAATTATAATAATTTGTTGTACAGTGTATTGTGCGATCCTCTCTCTCTCTCTCTCTCTCTCTGTTGCTCTCTCATTTTGCATTGAACTTTTACACTTTTCCGCAGCTAGAACAAGCTTATTGGCAAGAGAAAGAAGGACTGTTTATATCAGAGGCTATTGCTCTTAAGATGACAAGACATTTTGTTACGATGCAGCAGATACACTTCAGAAGGGGTTGAGTATTTCTAAACTACACCTGTTTATAAGGAATAATATTCAAAGAATTTAAGGAGGTTGAAAAATTAAAGATTTATATTTAAGTTAACTAAAATAAACCATCCTGCTTAGAAAGATTTTTATAAGTAATATTTAAGACAGTAATATTTATAAAAAAAATCGTGATTTGATACGCTTTCCCGATTTAAATTCTATAAAAAAAGAATAGCCTTATATACCTAAAATGTATAAATTAAAATTATTAAAAATCATCAGAATATCCTATTTAATTTAACGGATTCTTTGCACACAATTTTTACTATAACATTCACTACAATATTAAGTATACTATACAGTACTATACTATACTTCAATAACTTTCGGTTATTTAAAGAGCAACAAGAATTCGTTGCACTGTGAATCCTCGAAAATTGTGTGTTATTATTTTTGTTTTTCTTCCCATTTTATTTTTCATTTGTTTTGTTATGCGCAGCTTTTCTTTCTTCTTCGCGCTATAAAAACCGAAAGTAAAAAGCATTTTCAATATTTCAACGCGGAAGAGAGTCACGTTCAGTTGGTTGCGAAGAAGCTCGCGTTCAAAAAACCAAATCAAATCAAATAACACCAATCAGATACATTTTCAGTGCGCCCAACGGCAAACGTACAATTAGTGATTGGAACTGCAAGCTATATTGAATATACAAATATTTTTTTGAGTGATCAACTTAGTGTGATTGAAAGGCAAGTGATAAGCGAGAATCGCAAAGATGCGGCCATTTGGCAACGATATAACAAACTTCCCGGCCAATTCAAATGGCGGTGGTGGTGGTAATGGCAACAACGATCCCAATGATGGAAATGACAACCGGAATAATGGTGGCAATAGCTCCAGTAACACCAGCGAGGATTCGGAGGAGCAAACATATCCGGAGGATCCCAATATTCCAGCGCATATAGCGAGAATCGGTGGCATAGTCACTTGTCCTCCGATCGCCGGACAGGGAGTTATCCGAGTGGTTCAGCGGTGCGAGGACGCCAAGGAGAACCGCAAACTGAGTGAGTAACCTCTGACCTTTCCACTTTCGCCATCAGGAGAGTCATCATCCCCATTTGAATTCCCCTGAATTCTGTGGCGCAGTTGCAACTAGTCGAGTTGCCTCCCGCAGTTTGGACAATTGGCCATTGGCCAATTTCAGTTATTGCGCACTGACTTCCCCATACAAAAGCCAACAAATTGTTTATAATTGGGAGGAATGAGAAGCACTCCCAGAACAACAAAAAAAAAAAAAAAAGAAAACACTCCCCTTTCCGATTAACAGGGAAAGTGCGTCGCCGTCGATCGCATTGCATTGTTTTCCGAGTGGGTTGCTCAAAAAAGCGTTCTTCGGGTTAAAAAACAAAGAAAGGTGATTCCAGCCCATCGATAAGTGGGGGTCGTAATTGTGGCCAAGACAACAGCCCCCATGTGATTTCGTTCTGCGTTTTTATGGCACGCAGATTGTGACACTCACTCTTGAAGAGTATTTACTTTTGTTTGTAGAAAATTCAAATATAACATTATTTTGCATACAATGTACAAGTTTGTTCGAAATTAATAACGCACTTAAGTTGACATTTACTAGATTTTCAAGAAAATATTTCGGAAAACAACGCAAAACATATGGCCAAAAGACTGGGAAAACAAAAATATATACATTTAATTTTTGTTTTTAATAAGCTGTACAAAAATGCCAAAATATTTAAAGAGGTACAAAGACAAAGTACTTCCTCCTTTTTAGTCTAATATATTTAATATAATAATAATAATATATATATATATTTAATTTATATATAAAAGCATTTTTTAATCGAAATTCTATTGGGATTTAGATTCGCAAAAGCAATATAATTAAACAAGTAACATTTTAATTTAAACTCATAAATCAGGAAATCAACTGCCAACGAAAACCATATTTGCGTTTCTGGAATAAAGTATTTACAATGTTTTGTTAGCTAGTGCTTCTGTTTTCAAAACATGCAAATCACTCACAGGAGAAAACTCTCCTCGATTTTATTTTATTGGTTTTCCCAAAAAACCATAACGTAGTTTTTCTCTAGTGGGCCACAAACGCAATTTCCGCGAAATAAACAACAATTCCTCCATTCCTCCTGCTCTTATAACTTATGACTTATACTCACGATTTCCGAAAAGCTCTGCGATCGGTTGGGTGACTCACCTACATATATACACATATAGCGAAGATATAGAGAGCCAGATTGAGAGGCTATAGTCGCCTATATGATCGCTCTTTTCGCATAACACATTGCGTGCGCAGATGGGGAAATGTCGTATTTATATTTAGGCCGATCCATTCACGTGCTCAGTGTTGACCAAGTGGACTGTGCGCTAACCATTGCGAGCAAGGAAGTCCCAAATAAAACATATATATAAATATAAATTAGTGCACTGATAAGGCGGTTAATAAACCGAAACCGAAACCAAGCCAAACCACACCAAACCGATCGCATGGAAGCTCTATGATGGCTCATTTGGTGGTGAAGGTGATTGAGCGCTGTGAAAATGCCGCTGAAGATGCCAATTTGGGTAAGAGTTTGCTCCATTCAAGTGGATATATATCTGGCAGTCTGTGGTCTTATACACCGATTTGGTGTCGAATCATATGTGCTGTCATATGCTGAAAGCTTTGATATATATATATTTTGTTGAGGGATTTGTTCTCATTTCATATCTTAACCCATTTTAATGGAAACCATTAATTTTAATAACTATTTAATTTATTGTTTATATTTTTTAGATCTTTCAAGCTGTGAACTGATGCAAATACCCGATGCGGTATACCATCTTATGCGTAACACAGAGTTGCAGACCTGCAATCTGAGTGGCAACGTTCTCAAAAGCGTTTCCCCAAAGTTTTCACAAAAGTTTAGCCTTATAACAGGTGCGTTTTCCTTTGCATTTAAATAACTATTTTACAAAATTAATCAATGATTTGTATCTTCTTTTTCAGATCTTAATCTATCACACAATAAGCTTTCGAGGCTGCCAGAGGAGTTCGCCAACTTGACGTTGTTGGCCAGGCTGAATATCTCAAACAATTCATTCATCGTTCTGCCACAGGTCGTCTTCAAGCTAAAGAGTCTCGCCAGTCTGGATGCCCAGCACAATGCTATCTTAGGTGGGTTCTCATAATACCTCTGATTATTTTAAAAAGTTTTAATAGTTATTCAAATATTTGTTAACTCATATTTACAGAGGTCGATACGGAAGAGGCTATAACCAGCGAGTGCCTGTCCTTGGTGGACCTTCGTCACAATCCGCTGAGCAGAAACTGCCGGCGAAAGCTGCAAGACTTCAAAACCTCGTTTCTTCTGGAGATTTCACAGGAGGAGGAGGACGACTGGTAGAACTGATGATATAGATGTATATTTCCTGCACGCCAAAAACACAAATCTCTCGTTATCTCGGAAGTGAGTGCTGAAAGCCGCCCTCCTTCACCTTATTTATTCTGTTTATAAATTTATATATTTATCAAAAAAAAATACAAAACTCCTAAAAAATATACGTGAAATTTACGTGAAACTATCGGGAATTTTTAAATGGACATGGGGAAGTTAGTGTATCAAATTTAGGCTTGTTCTTTTTCTATTTTAAATAATTCGATATACTTTTTACTACATGATATGATTTTAAATTTAAAAAACAACAAAGCTACAGACTTTCTAAAAAATAAACTAAGCAAAGAAAAGTTGTTTGTTGATATCGTGGATTTGTTTTTAAAACTTTTTCAAAACACAATGAATTTAATTTTGAAGAAGCTTTTTGCCCGCAGCATAAGCTTGATATCCACAAAGTTGCTCCAAAGCTCCAACATTGAGAACTTAAATTGGTGAGAGTGGAGATCGTTGGATAACTGCAACAGCAAACGCAAAAATGAGTAAAAATCAGAGGTACACTCACAAAAAACACAGCAACCAAATGATGAATTCACTACAAAAAAAATGTTGGAAGGCCGAATTTAGTTTAAATAGAATTGTGAAAATTCAAAATCCAATCCTTATATTTTTCTGAAATTGTTAAAACTATTAAATAGGAAATATCAATATACAAGGCTATTTCCGGTTTAAAATTCTTTGACTTGTAAAAATCTTTCCCAATCTTGAATTGCTTGGGATTTCTAACTGATTCTCACTACTTTTCCTCTCTGCATGCAACAGGTTTTGGCAACAGAACGAGAGATGGCCAAAAAGCGCTCTCTGGGGATTTTGGGCCCCTCTGATTTCGAGGCCCTCCGTCGAGTTCGTCGTGCATGGCTAACCAACAAAGGTGATCGAGGCCCAAACTCAAATGGCGTTGGCACGAGAAAGAAAGGGACGGCAAACCACTACCAAAATGAGCTGCCACCCAGCAGAGGTGCTGCCAAGTCCCATATAATTTTATTAGCCAAGTAGCGGAGTTGAGACTCAGCCTGGTTTCTGTGGGCTAATGTTATAGCCAGGTCACCATCTCTGTTCGGTGCTCATCTGAAACAAGCGGAGAGCGAGTTGGCAAGACAAGAGCCAAAAGCCAAGAGCCAACTGATAAATGCACTGAGCCAGCCTCAATTTGGCCCGAAAGCTGTGGGACGAGAAGGCCGACTCGAAGTCTGTTGCCAGCGATTTGCGAGCGGCCAAAACAGTCGCCAGCCAGTAATCCAATAGAGCGCGTTCGGTGTGCGGACAAGTGTTAGAGACAAGCTGGTCTCAGATCACCCAAAAAAAAAAAAATTACACAAATATCGGCATTTTGTAACTCCCAAAAAAAAATTAAACCAGGCGTCGTCGGAACGCGGCTCAAACGAGAAAAGTACATACGCTTTTTGTTTAGTTTAATAATTGTTTTCTGTTTTCTTTTTTGTTGTTTTTTTTTTTTTTGTATTTTGTATTTACTAAATCCCGTAACACATTTGCGAAAGCTCTTCCTCTCTTTGTGGCCAATTTGAATGGGCCAAAGCAAAGCATTGGCTTACAAACAAAATTTGCAGTGGCTCACCAAACAACTTTTGTGATTTTCTGGTGAAAACTTTATTTTTTTTTGAGTGGTTTCCAAGGCTGTAAAAGCAAACTTTAAACATTGATTTTAAGTACAAAGATAATAGGTAATAGGGAATATATTAAAATATTTTTAACCTACGTAACTAGTAAGAATGAAAAACAAATACGTAAATAAAAAAAAAAGTGCTTAAACATTGTAATAATCATTAAAACTACCAACTGTGCGAATGCCAACTAATTTGTAGGCTAATCACACATATTCAGCAACCTTCGAAAAAGGAAACGTGTAATTGTTTAAGTTTTTAATTGACCACCATCTGTCTGGATAAATGCATCTGTGCAAATATGAAAAAAAATAAAACATTTGAAAGTGCGATGCATTCAAACCCATAGTTATAGTATTCATAAAAGGTGTGACAATTTTGCAGGCGATACACTCTGAGTAGTGAATATAAATCATCTTATACATCGATCTTCCAGGAATTTAGCATTACTAACCCAATGGGCTTGAGTTCTCGGTAAAGAAAATTACAATTTTAGTGACTATTCAGGCTAACAGTACTAAAACAATAAAAACAAAGAGTGTGCTGGATAGTGCGGTCGAATGGACAATGGCGCCCTGTTTTTAATGGCCAAACCTAATCACAAAAGAACCGATCTTTCGCTTTCCCCAGCCAAAACAAAAAAAAAGGGTACACAAAAAGTACAGTAATCTCCCGAAAGAATAAATTGCTTTTGATTCTGATTTCGACTCCGATCCCAGAAAGTTCTATTCAATTGGGTGTTGACCGTGTGCGGAAGTGTGGCAGATTCGAGAGTTTGTTCTCAGCGCCTTGATGATTTCATAAAACTTAATTGTTATCTCCATCGTGACGTCTGTCTTTTGTCGATGGGAATGCTTCTAGTTTTATGCGGCTTTCGAGCTGATGCACTTCAATTACCTCTTGACCGAATTGGAATTAATTATTTGGAAGGGGATTGCAGGATGATTTGGGTAATTTTGTGGGTCTTTGGAATTTTTTAAAGATTCTTTTGGGCACTTAAAAGTCAGGAATTAACATACTTGAAGCCAATCAAAAGTTTCTTTTTTATTAGAGGATGGCTTCAAATGTATAACTTGTTTTCATACGGAATAACATTTAAACAAATTATTAAAATATTAGGGAGACCTTTTAGCAATTAAATTAAATCTTTTATATTAAAGTTTTTGACTTGTTGCACTTGTATTAATCCCCTTTTAAAGCAATACTCGCCTAAATAAAACATTTGCTGGACAAGAATATGGCAATAAAAGAACATAGGTTCAAACGAGTAGATTCGCAGTACTGATTGTACTCAAGTAGGTATTCATGGCTAATGCGTGGGTATCGCCCAGTTGGAATTTTGTCGAAACGCCGCCGCCGTAGAAGCTGTTGTTTTCCAGAGCTTGAACATTGTCTCCGTCTCGGAGGCTTACGCATGCCGATGAGGCAAGCTTGCTTCACTGTTGGAGGGAGCGGGACAGAGCGAGTGGGATAAGTAGGGAGCGAGAGAGAGGGCGACAGCTTAATATAATAAGCTCACAGCGCATGCGCAGCCCGGGCTTGCGATACATACCTGACATACACGGAGAAAAACAATTTAGAACGTTCAAGTATAATAGTAGCAAGAAACTTTACAATTTGTAAGCTTAACTGAAAATTTAAATGTCATTATTTTCCTAAATTTTTTGCTTATAAGTACATTTATACAACTTCAGATCCTTCAAGTATGCTTCAATTGCTGGTAAAGAATAATTATATTGTATTATACTCTCCAATTTACGGTTCTTTCAAATATTATTTTATAAATTGCAATTTTAATATGCAATTTTGTTTTTGTAACGACCTAAAAATTATATATAATATATGTTCATAAATTTTAGTAAATTCTTATCAAATATTGACTGAATATTGATCAACTGAATATTATCAAATATTGTTCAAGAGTTCATATTGTCTTTTTAAACGGAGATCAGCTATCTCCACCAATAGGTATTAAACTTCAGTCTTTCCAGACGAGGTTATAGATGTGTACACATATTAATGGATTTTCCCGCGGTGCATTCGTATTTCAACTGGTACTCATACCTTGGCAACTCTCAGTCGTCGCGTAATCATTAAACCATGGCTTGGATCTTGCGGGAGGTGGAGGGGTAAGGGAGGGGGTGTTGTGTTTTGGAGTAAGTTGGAGTGGGGAGATCGGGGAGAGAGGAGAAGGAGAAGGCGAGAAGAGGAGAAGAGGAGAAGGAGAGGGAAGTGGGGCTCAGAGCGAGCAGCAACACAAAATACCAGTTTTTTTTTTCCAACGAGCAGCGAGCTGAGCGACAAAAGCGAACCTATCCACAGATATACATAGATACCTTCTTTCGTACGTCTGTGTGTGTGTGTGTGTGTGAGGCTGCACACAAAAAACACTCACCTGTGTGTACAACGTACATACATGCCTACATCAGTGGAGGTGTGCTTATGTACATCGAATTTTTTTACATGGGAAAGAACACTAATCCAATTAATTGCGAATTTTTTCGCGACTCTAGATACATCAAAATACAGCAACAACAAAAAACAGATTCTATGATTTTCCGGTGTTGGCTGGAAACGAGGAAAATTACACACACCCTGGGTTCACTTTAAGTTTTTCCTGTACGATTATGCCTAATTTTTTTTTTTTTTTTTTTTGGGTTAGATTTATGGAAACTACAATTTGAAGAATTCTTTGTACTTAAATATAGATTAGTAAAGTGTGGAATGTACATATGTACCTGATAAATTGGTTTTGATAATAACTTAATAGTTCAACATTTATTAAAAAAAATCTCAAAAAATATTACATTACAAATTACTCCATCAATTTTTAAACTATAGATTTTTGTTCAATTGGTAAATTAGTAAAAGGCGGAATCATTATATAGAACATCTTTAATAATGTATTTAAGTAAACATTTCTTTTAAACTAAACTAAGTATTATCTAACAATGATTTTATTTTGAAATATAGTAAAACCTTAACCATATAAATAGTATTAAATAATGTAACTAAATGAAAGTTTCCCTGGCACTCAACTATGCTTAGCTTAGACCTCAAAATAATTTATTATTCAACAGGGCATCTTGATAAAATACAAACAATAAGGTTGCTGGATAAAATGCTGCGTGCTTTCAGAATTTATCCCCATCTAAACACATCAAAAAATGTCGCTTATGACTGACTCACTGCATTTTTCGCAATTGAGTCAGCATTTGCCCTAAGCAACTTATCAACTTTTAGGACCTCAGAATATTCGCTTTCCCAGTCATTTGTCAAATAACAATTGCGAAAGCTATCTACTGAAAATTTAATGGCTAATGGCTTTGCTGTGAAAGTGCCATTAAAATGTATACAATACCTTAAACTTAAAGATTAAAGTTTAGGAATAATACTTGGGTATATTTTCAAGTTCCGATTCGAGTAGCGGGTTTCCGGTGAAACCGAAAAAAAAACAAGTTCTTCTAGCAGTTGTCTGGGGACTTCTGACTCATACGTTTGATAAGCGAGTTCGCTCTATACCGAATAGCATACTATTTGGTCTATTGGATCGCGACAACAACCTTGACAAGTACACATATTTCCACGGCTTTGCAGTCGGTACTGCGAATTCGAGGAACGGCAACAGGATTAGCCATTAGCCATTAGCTGTTGGCTGTTGGCTGTTGGCTGTTGGCCCAGGTGCACCAGAATACGAGTGTGTGCTGCCTTGCCAGGGCTAAAATGCGCTCCTACGTACCACACTCGTGTATCTGTATCTGTGCGACTCTGCACTCGTATCTGTGCGCTTTTGTATCCCCTGGCCATCTGAATCCGAATCTGTGTGCTGGTCGCGTTGGTTGGCTGGCTGGCAGGCTGGCTGGCTGGCTGAATACGAAAAATAAAACCCGTTCTTGCAAAAAATGGTTAACTTGTGCCGACAAGAGTAGAGTCTTTTTAGCCACTGCTGGTTTTGCTATACTTTTGCCGTTGTCTTCGATATCTCGAGACCTGAACTGGCAACTGGCTTGTTGCTTTGCCTCGCTTTGATTTCTGATTTTTTATATACATGTATAGTATGTGTTTTTTTATTTAGTCTTTTGTCGCAATGCAGTCGGGAGATCCGCTTCAAGGCGATTTGGCCTGACAAATATGGCAAAATTGTCGTAGGTGTCTGTCTATATTGGTCTGCCAGCCTCAACTTCTACATGGGGTCTTTGGTATTGCGTGTAGCTCGACCACTTTATGCAATAAGTGTAAGTGGATCGTATGAGTGCGACTAGTTTACAAAAACTGCTCTTCATTTCCATTGAAATAAGTCGCAGACGAGATAAGAAATCCCATTTCCACCGCACAAATCACATTTAATACTTGCAAAATTTGTAGTACTTTTATTTTGTAAACTAGTGTTGGGCCGACTGAAATCTCGTTAAGTCTCGCTTGGGCGACCTATCAATCTTGGCATTGAACATCTGTTCATCTGTGGCGGTTCCAGCCTGTCCATCATGGCCATATTTAAATCGCGAAAAAAAGAGATACATTAGAAGTCCAGAACCGGCGCAAAAACACACAAAAAAAAAGCCACCTGGAGAATAGGTTCTGGGTTATAAGCCGAGCTGAGCTCCACATGAATCACTTATGTGTGCACGAGTATCTCTGTATCTCTGGATCTCTGTATCTTTGTATCTCGTTGCTGAACCGCAGATATTTGGGGCGAAGGTCGTTGACAGAAGGCCGCCAAAAAAGAAAAAAAAACAATGGGCGAGGCGAGGCGAGGTGATGGTCGAACCGAACGGTAAACCGCCTTTGAATAGCACTCCTCTGCAAATCACTCCATGCTTCTTTTCGATGCAGTTCAACTTCTTGGCTGCAAGAATGCCGTTCAACAATATATCTTTGTACTTTATGTAGGTGTAGTAAAAGTTGATTTATTTTTCTTTGAACTTGTATCGTTAAGAAAGAGAAAATGTTTACCATACACTACACTTATGGCAAGTTTCATTTATTTTCGAAGGCGCACTGGGCCACGTTTAATTAATATTAATCATCCGCCACGTGGGTTACATGGTTGAAATGTGGAAGTGATGCAATCGTAACGTAATGCGCTTGCCTCAGAGTTAAATCTCAAAAGATGGTAGTTTATGGATATTAATTATTTAAATAACGTGTTCCTTTTGTGCAAGATCACAGGTTATTATAAAAATTTTATTAAAGGTTAATATAGAGCTATGCCTGTTATATATATTTTCTTCATTTTTATTACTTTACTTTTCTAACATACTGCAAAGCATTTGAGTTTTTTTGTCCACACCACTTATTGAGTACATTTTTTTCTTTAGCCCGAAATCCATTTTGCTGTTTTTCTTGATCCAAAGAGCCCAGCGCGGAACTGCCAGGCGAAATGATTTTGGAGCAGGGGCCAATTTGGGCCACAAGTGGACGGCGGTGCCTGCTGGCCGCTCTCCTGCTGACTCTCCTCGGCGGACAGACAGTGGCCCAGTCCAATTACGTGCAGCACGGCGATAGTGGCAACTACACCACCAACGGACTGCCCGAGGAGGCGACACTGGACGGCAAGGTAAGCACTTAAGTTCCATTTACGCGGAGCAACATTCTGGGAGTTTCCAGTAAGGGAATCAAACAACTCAAATTATCCCTTCAGTGTCGGAAAACCCATCACAAATTAGTTTAAACGCACAAAAGCAAATGGAAAAGGTGCACAAAACACTCTTCACATTTTGTAAATTATATATTTAATTAGATAACATAGCAGCTTAATTTCTATAAAAATAGGATAACAATAAAGCACGAATTTTATTAAGGCATTTCAACTTCGGCTACCTCTTCGTACTTTTTTTCATCTTAATGAAGGAAGTGTAGCTGCAGCCACAAATTATTTATGCGTTTGTGGAGCATTTGCATCCATTCATTTTGTAAGCTAGTGTTATATCAGTAACTCGGGCTCTTCTGCAACTGCACTTCCGATGGAAGTGGCTACAAAATCACAATGGCTTTTCAGTTTTCCAGAGAGCTGCCACAGATCCTAGGGAAAATCACAGGGCATTGTTCAAATCGAAATGGAGCACGAGCGTGGCAGAAAGCTGCCACTTAAAATTCATGGACCAGCCACCCAGTTTGTGGTGGGATTTTGTATTTATAGCTTGATTTTGCAAATAAGCGTTTTGTTTTCTTACGTATAAATATAGGAACTGTAACTTCACTGAAAACTGATAAAGCGCGTTGATTTAAATGGGTTTGAATGGTTCAATTTTATAAAACCGAAACACTGTTTTTTCACGAAAGTGGTTCGATTTTGGTGTAAGAATTTTCTAAAACCAAAATTTAGGGAACTATATTTGTTTTCTATGGTTGCTTAATGCTTCCTTTTTATTTGAAGGTGACCAAACTGGACGACATCAGTCCGCTGATTTTTCTAAACCGAACGAAGGCCGCTCTCAATTGCGCCGCAGGATCCATGCAGGTACTCTCCTTTATTCCTTCTCACCTTTAAATAGGAAACTAATGGTTCTTTCTGGACAGGTTGATCTCAAGTTCAACGATCCGTTCCATGGCATTATCCAGGCTGACTACGATCGCAGCAGTGCGTGTCGCGTGAGTGGAAAAGGAGCTCTCAGCTATCGACTGGAGTTGCCTCTGAAGGGATGCGGCACCATTCAGGTGGGTTGATACATCCAAGTCGCTTAAGAGTGGCTATAGGCCTCAGCTCAAATGTTTTCACTCTGATAGAACCCCACCCGTGTGTTCACCAACAACATCATTGTTCGATTCCACGCCAATTTGGAGATGGACGGCGACGAGATAATCACGATCGTCTGCCGATATCCGCCACCTGTTCCCTCTCTTCCACCAGCTCTTCCGGCTCCAATGTGAGTATTTTATATGACTATAAAATAAATAAATAACTACAAAAATGTAAAAACATTATAAAGAAGTTTCGAAAAGGCACATTAAGGATATTCCTTGATAGTCCTTTTTATCTAATGTACAAATCAAGTAGAGAATATAAACTGATCGGTATCAAACTTAAGCTAAACATTAATTACTTTTTGTATATCATTTGATGTCTTATAAATTTCTTGGAATATTTTCCAAGATAATTTCCTAATAAAGGAAATTAGGTTTCAATTCCTGTATTTTTAAAAGATTTCCTTGGTGGATGGATGAATATTTAATTATCAATTTTATATCTTATCTATCTATTTTTTTCTTGTTCGATCTCTACTCACCGAACCCTTCTCATTCCTCCACAGCCTGAACCCGATCGCCACGAGCTCGGTGCTCCAGCCGCCGCTGAAGAGCATCCAGATCCTGATGATCATCTGCGCAATCATGTTCCTCACCCTGCTGCTCCTCGGACTGGCGGTGTCCTACTACTGCCTGCGCAGCCGCTCCATTCCGGTGGTGCGTCGCCTGCCGATGAGCATGGGCAGCGGATCGGAGATCACCAAGCTGAGTGGCAGCAGCGTGGGCAACATCAGCGCCTTCGAGGGCGTCAAGATCCCCCGAGCACATGCTGCCCTCCAGGCGGTCTACAGCTCCTCGGGCAGCGAGGGTGCCCTCATACCCTCCGATTATCCCAGCGAGTCCCACTCGGAGATCGAGGAGATCGACACCAGATCGCTGCCCTTCAGCTCAGCTGGCAGCTTCGAGAACCGCGCCTTTGTCCACGAAACCTCGAGCATCTACAGTGACCACTATGCTCCGGCGCAGGAGATGCCATCGGCGAATGCCGTGATGACCACCACCTCGGTGACCCGACACGCCATCCCGATCCAGGAGGCCGTTGCCGTGGATTCGCCCAAGTTTGATGTGCAAGTGAGGGTGAAGAAGTCCCCGCCGCCGCCTCCTTCGCCGGTCACCTCGGATACGGAGAGCGTGGCCACCTTGCGTCCGGACAGGAACAACCTGTCCACCATCATGGAGGCCTACGAGGATCGCGAGAGCGTGCTCACCATGGACTCGCTGCCGCCGCAGGTGGAAACGATGCACTCGCAGTTCACCTACGTTCCGGAGCTCCATCCTGCCCCGCAGGTACCCCAAACCATTCCACCGCCCGTGGTGGTGGAGCCCAAGTTCTCCGTCTACACCAGAACCCATCACGAGGTGGTCGACGGTCGTCCGGAGACCTGGTCCGATTACACCGATGGTCCGGCGCCCAGCGAGATCACCGATCTGTCCTCCGAGGCGCCCGACAACATTGTGGACACGATGCACTACTACGAGGATGAGTTCGTTCCGGCTGTCCAGCCGCCGGTGACCTCGCACACCGTGGACGATGTCTATCTGCGAACGGTGACCGAGAAGAAGACCATCGAGGACATCGAGAGCCACAAGAGGCGGGTCACCGAGTACAAGAGCAAGCCGAGGGCACCACTGCCGCCGGCACCGCCACCGCCGCCACCCGTCGATCCCAAGTTCGATGTGCGGGTGAGGAACTATCCCAGCGACCGGGAGCAGCAGCTCTGGGAGAACTTCTCGGACATCTCCAGTGCCTCTGGACTGACGCTCACTCCCAAAATGGAGCGCAGTGATCTGAGTATTCCGCCGGCGGAGCTGCCCGCCCAGATCCACGACAACAAGCTGAAGTTGACCAGTCCCGAGTTGGTGGGCAACATGAAGCCGATCGAGGTGCCGCCGCAGGACAAGGATGTGCCCAACTGGGATGTGCTCATCCGGATTCTGGAGGAGCCAGAGATGTCCGAGGTGGGCGGTGACGACGTCAGCTCCGTGCACAATCTGAGCTACGACGATCGGGCCAAGTGGAAGGAGATCATCACCACGCAATCCTCGCTGAGAACGATGCTCACCGAGGCGGTGGTGCGCGAGGACTTCGAGCGGATTCGCCAGGATACGCGGTATGAACGGATGTTCGAGCCGCAGACCTGGGACGTGATCATCAGGATCCTGGCTCCTCCCGGCGAGGATGATCCCGATGTGGAGCTGCGGACGCCGCGACGCGGCAAGAAGGCATCGCCGCAGCCGTGGGACACGCGATCCCGCCGCAGTTCCCTTCCCACGTTGTATGAGTACGATAGCGATGGGGGATCCAGTGTGCGCACCATCCGGAATGATCCCGGGATGCCGGGCATGCCGGGTGGACCAGGTGGCTCCGCCGGCGGACCCTTCAACCTGCAGCGATCGCGCCGCAGCTCGCGCACTTCCTACCAGACGGATCACAACGACTTCCGTTCGATGTCCGAGGTGACCGTGGACTTCGGCCGCCCGCAGGTGGACCATCCGGACAATGTGAGCGACGCCAGCAGCTACTATCGGATGCAGTACTACGACGACGACGACCGGCGCTCCTTCCACCGCTCCCTCAGCCATCCGTCGCTGGCCCGCTCCGCCAGCGAGTTCACCGAGCACTGGACCGCTCCCGAGGAGCTGGAGGTCTCCTCGCCGGAGGGCACTCCGCACACCCGACGGGCCAGACAGGTGGGTCATGATATGTTCTTGAGGTTGTATATGCTCAATCCTAAGGAGATCCCTTAAAACAACCAGCCTTTCTATAAAACACATTTAAAACTAAAAGATATATTGTGAACTAAATAAACTAATAGAACAATCGGTAACACAATTTATTATAGAAATTAGAACATTTTAAAAACTTATTTTCACACAATATACATATTAAGTTTTTTTTTATCTTTTTACACAATTTATGTTCACAAAGGATTAGGGTTTTATTTGAGTTTTAAAATTCTAAAAGTATTTTGCATTCTTCAGTTAATATAGTTCAAAAGCACTTCAAAGTGCCTTAATGATATACATAATACATTTTGGAAATACAAACATAATTTTAAAAGATTAGATACATACTATTATCTCATCCATAATTAAAGAAGTCAAGAACATTCAAAGTTTAGATATTTTTGAAGTTATTATATTATTTTGTTTTATTTAATATATTACTTTTAATTACCTTTCTTTGCAGCCCTCGAATCAGTTGGCCTTGGTCAGCGGAAGAACCGGGGAGCGGATCTTGGCCCAGACGCAGACGCAGAGCGAGTACGTGGAAACCCACCGAAGAGTTTTCCACGCCGAGAAGGAGATGCCATTGCCGCCCCGCAAGTGGTAGGAAATCGGTTGACGAGTCCCCCCAACTAACAATCGACGAGCAATACGATTCTCGAGAAGGGTCTTATCATAAAAACTCCATATTTTAGACATGTGTTCCGGAAATGCCCCTTACACTTCACTTGCATTAATGGGTCATATGAGTACACAACCTTACAATAATTAACAAACGTGCCAATTACAATTGCCTGACAAAGTAAGCCACTATGAAAACCTTAAATGTCAGTTTGAAGCGGATGATCTTGAAGGAAAACAATTAGAACAAGCAAGGGGAATCCTGTTTTCAAGCTGTTTTTTCCGATCAATTAATTCGGGAAAACTCCAATTAATTTGAAAACCTTTAAAGTTGGTAACAAGATGCCGATTTCTATATTCGATTCATGTGTTCTGCACTCCCAACTGAGATTTCGCATTTAATCAAACATGATCTAATGAAAAGAGCGGGATAGATAATTAAAATGATAGGATGTGAAAGTTTTAATATTAGTAAAAAGTGTTCTTAAGATGTAACGCTGCCGTTGGTCTTTTTGATGATAGGAAATTTGTATGAGCAGAGTCACAAACACGAAGTCTAGCCTTTATCCTTTTTAATAAACAATACTTCGCAACTTGTCGTCGAAATTAGGTAGTTACCTTACCACATTCTAGTTACAAATGTATATATGTATATATACAGAGATCAAACTGCCACATGCACACGATTTTTACCAGATTCGATGATCTTCACTTTTGAAATACATATATATATATATACTCCGGGTGGAATAGATACGCAGGTTTGAAATAAAAGTATTACTATAGCATAGTGTTTCCAAACGCAAAGTCTTCTTGAATAATTATATATTGGATTTGAATATTTGAATACGAGTAGACTAAAAGTTCGGGACGGAAAACTGCAAGAGTATCCTAATTAAATTTCGGATTTCGGATTTCGAATCGATGATAAACGGGGCCCCAATTAGATTCCTTTCAAAGGACCACACAACACTTTCTCATTATTATCAATTTTTTCTTAACTTAGTACTAATCCGTCCAAGACATATACTATAAGATAATTGATAAATAATAATAATGCGCGATTACGACATGCTACATGCTACAGCCTTATAAACAAACTTACATATTTAATTCGCTTTTTGGTTAGGCAAGTCCTACGAAAATGTGTGTAATCTAAAAACACTTGAAATAAATAAATTATAAATAAATATACCCACTAACAAAGTTCAAATTTGTTTTATTTCTAGTTTAGTTATTGCATATTTTATATTTTTATTTTGAGCTACAAAATAATATTATTTTTCTAAGTGCCAATTTGAAATGCTGCATATGCAATTTTTTTTGAGTTGTTGTTGCGTGAGTCCCAACATATGCACATATCGTACATATTTATGTATGTAAATTAATACACATCTCGTTCACATTGCCAAGTTGTATATAACTCTGGCTAAATTGAAGTCGGAGATTTTGTTCACATCAGCAGAGTGCTCACACCGTTCTAGAGGCTCAACTGAAACACAAGTCTTCTGATATATACAACATTCACTTACCGAATTCCCAGGAAGAAACCCAGTGAAAAACTAAAGAAAAAGAATCTCTTACGATAACAACAAATTAAAGATATAACACGGAAGTAATACTTGAGTTAAAGGAAACTTAAGTCCCCCAAAATTAATACAGGTAACAAAAATACCTACAGTATAGTTAAAAAACGATTTTTTCAAATAAAAACAACGATGTGTTTCAAAAAAAAAAACTGTTTAAATGAAATCAAGTAAACAATGCTGATCGAAAAATTATCAACTAATAAGAACAAATATTTTTCATCTTTTAGGTGGACTTTTTTAAATCCGATTTCATAATGGAAAACCAAACCGATTCAAAAGAGGAACAATTTTTCAGGCGAAAGCCAAAAACAGAGGAAGTCGAGAATGTTAGGGTTGATATTAACAGTTTAGCTCTTGGTAAAAGACTTAAAGTATTTATTTGGTGCGTGATGTGCATTGATATTTTTATTTTGTTGTGTTTTCTAGCATTTCTAATATTCATTTTCTATTGGTTGTTTTTTTAACAGCAATTTTCAATAAAGTATAGCAAATATATTCCAAATTGCATATTATTATTCCTGTATGTGTAGTTTTTTTTAAGATATGTAAAATAAATAACGTATTTCCAAACCGTAATCTGGATGCAAATTTTTTGAAAATATTATTTCATACATTTACAGGTTTGCTGCAACCCATCAGAAACTTGAAAAAATGTCCTATAAAAAGGGTCAAAAAATCGAAACTTGGAAAAATTGACATGAGGAGAGAACAAAAAGTCGACCTTCACCTATTTAAAATATTTAAATGCAGTTCGTTAGGGGATTCCTTACAAACTTTTACTATGCCGCTTTAGAACAAGCAATATTATAGGCTAAGGTATGCCTATTTTAATCAGCGCTAAATAAAATATTTAAAAAAAGGTTTTAAAAAGTTTAAAGTTAACATTTTAATTTGTAACAGGAACCAGTAGAGTTGCCAGCCCATAAACTTTCAATCTTTATCTCAATATCAATACGATAGTCGGACAATCGATGTGACACGCTGACCCCCAAACCTATCGATATCATCGGCATGGCCATCGACGGCTTGACAGCTCTAGCAGGCCGGGCAAATTTGTGAACAAGCGACAATTCCTACCTTTTTTTCTTTCCTACGTGAGCCTCTCGAACGTGGGACTCGCGAACGGACTTGTTTTCGAACCCACAGAAGCCGCAGTTGCGCACGATCGCCGAGCGGCGGCCGTCAAAAAGGGAAGGAACGCGCCAAACGCACACACACATTCGGCTGGCAATCGCATCAGTCACCGCGGCCACGCTCATTCGCTTGGGAAATACGAGGAATTGCGAATCCAAAACTTCCTGGCGGGAACTGCAGGTGAGTGTGCCGACCACTCCGCTGTTCCTGTGATCCACTGAACCACCGCAATCATCGTTCCGTCGTGCAGAGCGGACCAAACAAACCGACCAAAATCATCAATCTTGGCTAACGAGGCACAGGCGCCATGAGCGTGGACACGTACGCGCCCAGCTCGGCGCTGTCGTTCCTGGACATGGACGACAACGAGCTACTGCCAGGAGCGGACACGCAGCCGACGCAGTACGACTACCGCGACTTCACGATGCCCTCCACCTCGCAAAGTCAGACGCAGAACGATCAGCTGGAGCTGCACGTGAGTTACAGTAGCCAATCATCGCCTGTTTACCTTATTAATCGATTCCCTTCTTATTCGCAGCCACGTCGTTCTGGCGGCGATGCGCATCCGCGACTGGCCAGCATCACCAACGACCTGGCCGATCTGCAGTTTGAGGAGGAAGACGACGAGGCCGGCAGTTCGTATGTGAAGGAGCTGCCCGCGCACGCCTGCAAATACTGCGGCATCCATGATCCGGCCACGGTGGTCATGTGCAACAATTGCCGCAAGTGGTTCTGTAACGGACGCGGCAGCACTTCCGGTTCGCACATCATCAATCACTTGGTGAGGGCCAAGCATCGGGAGGTAACACTGCACGCCGAAGGACCTCTGGGCGAAACGATCCTCGAGTGCTATTCGTGCGGTGTGCGCAACGTCTTTGTGCTGGGCTTCATACCGGCCAAGGCCGATTCCGTGGTTGTGCTGCTCTGCCGACAGCCTTGTGCGGCCCAGAATTCGCTGAAGGACATGAACTGGGACCAGGAACAGTGGAAGCCGCTGATCGCGGACCGCTGCTTTCTCCCCTGGCTGGTCAAGCAGCCCAGCGAACAGGGCCAGCTGCGAGCGCGCCAAATTTCGGCCGCGCAGATCAACAAGCTGGAGGAGCTGTGGAAGGACAATATCGAGGCCACGTTCCAGGATCTGGAGAAGCCGGGCATCGATTCGGAGCCGGCGCAGGTGCTGTTGCGCTACGAGGACGGCTATCAGTACGAGAAGACCTTTGGGCCTTTGGTTCGCCTCGAGGCGGATTACGACAAGAAGCTGAAGGAGTCGGCCACGCAGGAGAACATCGAGGTGCGCTGGGACGTGGGCCTGAACAAGAAGACCATCGCCTACTTCACCCTTGCCAAAACGGATTCGGACATGAAGCTCATGCACGGCGATGAGCTGCGGCTGCGCTACGTGGGCGAGCTGTACAATCCGTGGAACGAGATCGGGCATGTGATCAAGGTGCCGGATAACTACGGCGATGACGTGGGCCTGGAGCTGAGATCCTCGTCGAATGCGCCGGTCAAGTGCACGAGCAACTTCTCGGTGGACTTTATTTGGAAATGCAACTCCTTCGATCGAATGACGCGCGCTTTACGCAACTTTGCCATGGACCGCAACTCGGTCTCGAATTACATTTACTCGCGCCTTTTGGGCCACGGACGTCCCGATGCCAACGACGAGGTGCTGTTCCGCGGTCCCCAGCCCAAGCTCTACAGTGCCCCGCATCTGCCGGACTTGAATCGCAGTCAGGTGTACGCAGTGAAGCACGCGTTGCAGCGTCCGCTGTCGCTGATTCAGGGACCGCCGGGAACGGGTAAAACCGTGACCTCGGCCACGATCGTCTATCAGCTGGTGAAGCAGCACGGCGGCACCGTCCTGGTGTGCGCGCCCAGCAACACGGCCGTGGACCAGCTGACGGAGAAGATCCACCGCACAAACCTGAAGGTGGTGCGCGTTTGCGCCAAGAGTCGCGAGGCCATCGACAGTCCGGTGAGCTTCCTGGCCCTGCACAACCAGATTAGCAACATGGAGACCAACTCGGAGCTGAAGAAGCTGCAGCAGCTGAAGGACGAGACCGGCGAGCTGAGCTCCGCGGACGAGAAGCGCTATCGCAGCTTGAAGCGGGGAACGGAGAACCAATTGCTCGAGGCTGCCGACGTTATTTGCTGCACTTGCGTGGGCGCCGGCGATGGTCGGTTGTCGCGCATCAAGTTCACCTCGATCCTGATCGACGAATCGATGCAGTCGACGGAGCCGGAGTGCATGGTGCCCGTTGTGCTGGGCGCCAAGCAGCTGATCCTCGTGGGCGACCACTGCCAATTGGGACCGGTGGTGATGTGCAAGAAGGCGGCGCGCGCCGGCCTCTCGCAGAGTCTCTTCGAACGCCTCGTGGTGCTGGGCATCCGTCCCTTCCGACTGGAGGTGCAGTACCGTATGCATCCCGAGCTCTCGCAGTTCCCGTCCAACTTCTTCTACGAGGGATCGCTGCAGAACGGCGTCTGCGCCGAGGATCGTCGCCTGAAGCTCGATTTCCCATGGCCGCAGCCGGAGAGACCGATGTTCTTCCTGGTGACGCAGGGCCAGGAGGAGATCGCCGGCTCCGGCACCTCGTTCCTCAACCGCACCGAGGCGGCCAACGTGGAGAAGATCACGACGCGATTCCTCAAGGCGGGCATCAAGCCGGAGCAGATTGGCATCATCACGCCGTACGAGGGACAACGTGCGTACCTCGTGCAGTACATGCAGTACCAGGGCAGCCTGCACTCGCGCCTCTACCAGGAGATCGAGATCGCCAGCGTGGACGCGTTCCAGGGTCGCGAGAAGGACATCATCATCATGTCCTGTGTGCGCTCGAACGAACGCCAGGGCATCGGTTTCCTCAACGATCCGCGTCGTCTTAATGTGGCCTTGACTCGCGCCAAATACGGCATCATCATTGTGGGCAACCCCAAAGTGCTGGCCAAGCAGCAGCTGTGGAACCACCTGCTCAACTTCTACAAGGATCGCAAGGTGCTGGTCGAGGGATCGCTGAACAACCTCAAGGAGTCGCTGATCCACTTCCAGAAGCCGAAGAAGCTGGTGAACAGCATGAACATCGGAGCGCACTTCATGTCCACCATGATAGCGGATGCCAAGGAGGTGATGGTGCCCGGTTCCATTTACGATCGCAGCGGAGGCTATGGTCAGGGTCGCCAGCTGCCGGGACAAACGATGAACGGCGGTCAGTTCGGCAGTGGTGGTGGTGGCGCCGGCGCAGGAGGAGCAGGTGGTGCCAGTGGTCCCTACGGAGGTTCTCCCCTGGGCTATGGTGCTCCCGGCTCGAATTCCGTGATGGGCTTTGGCGGTACTGGCGCTGCCGGTGGCAACAACAACTTTGGCGGCGCCGGCGGCACGGGACCAAGTTGGGCGGCTGCCCATCTGCACCACGACTCGATTGGCTACATATCCAGCGAACACGGAGCGGCGGCGCTGGGCAACATGCCGGTGCCCGTGGGCATGTTCATGAACATGAGCAACCTGCCGCCGCGGTTCTACAATCAGCACCAGCAGGCAATCATGGCGGCCAAGCAGAATAGAGCGATGCAGCAGCAGTCGGGCAACTTCTCCACGGCAGCGTCGTCGGGACTCGGAGTCGGTGGCTCTGGAGCTAGCTCTCTGGCCGGCGGCAACAAGAAGTCCCAGAAGTTGGGAAAATCTCGTGGAGCGGCGGGCCAAGTTGGCGGTCCAGCGGCGGCAGGAGGAACCGGTGGACAGGCGGGCGCGGGAAGCGGAGCCACTCCATTCAGCCAGCTGCCGGCGCCCTTGTCGCTCCAGATGACGCAGCCCAGCGGCCTGGCGCTCTCCCAGCAGCCGGAGCTGTCGCAGGACTTTGGACAAATATCGCAGATGGACGGTCTGCTCTCACAGGATGTGGCCTTTAACGTGGTAAGTTAGATGCCCGATTTTACACTTAAACAAGGTCGAAATTATAAACTATATATTTGCACCCAAAAAATCTGTATTTTAGCCATTAAATAAGAAATAATGGACAGAATATGGAATGGCATACGTCGTTAAGCTCGTAATAAGATTTCTAATCGATTTTATGCCTCGTTAAACTCGAAATTGTTTCTTTTAAAATTATTTTTTATATTTCTTTGCATTACCTGATATTACTTTTATTGTTTTTAAAAAAAAATTGCAATGATTTTAATTTAACTACAACCTACTAACGCATTATTTTAATTCGATTCCTCCTTTCGATTTTCAGTCGGGCGAACGCAGTTTGAATCAATTCTCACAGCCTTATTGAGAAACCGGCCGGAGGTGCACCAACTACAAACGATTAAAAGCAACCCAAAACGAAACAACAACAAACTCAACTTTGAAGTCATCAACAAGGAGTAGCATCAGTAGGCAGCAGGAACAAAGCGGAGAGGACTATCACGGGAGCAACGACAGATGCGGGAAACAGCGCGACCTAGGAACATGAGTACGAGCGGGACATTAGGAAGACAACGAGAGACGGATATGGGGACGGAGATGGCGATACGAGGAGTGAGTTTTAGCGGCGATAAAGGAGGAGTTAAATGAGGATCATGAGGAGATGTCGGTCGGATATGTCGAGAAATGGAGAGAGAGAGATAGAGAGAACGAGTGAGAGAGGGAGAGCACATCACTGTAGCAGCAGGATGCACTGCAGCCGCCAGCGAGCCACGCAGATGTTCCCGTAACGCCGCGGGCCATCCAAGTCATGGCCAGGCGACCCTTGGCCACCATTTTTGGCCACGAGCGGTACGCTCCGAGGACAGGTGGTGGTGGTGGTGGTGGCGGCCCACGGACACGGATGAGCCACGGATGAACGAACCTGCGCCGGCAAGGCGCCACACACAAAGTGCCCTTGCAAAACGACGATGGACGACGGACGGACAACTTCTCGACACGTTTCTTTTTGTTATTGCCAATGCCAATGCCAGGAATGGGATTCGCAGCCGGAGCCTTAAACGCAAACGCAACCACTCCCGCCCAGGACACGTATTCACCAAGTGGCTTACCTTCAAACCTTCTTGTGGCCTCCAGTGCAGCAGCCAATCTTTAGCTCCTGTTCTTACCCCTTTCCTCAACCTTAAAAAATCAAAAACTATAAATGAAAAGAACTCGGTTTACTCACACCGAATTGCCCACTGTTGTAAATTTCGTAAACATTTTGGACTCCCTTTTGATTTCTGTATGCATTTGTTATCCTAACAAAAAAAAAAAAACAACAAACAAAACAAGCAAAAAAAAAAAAACAAAAGAAAAGAAAAGAACAAGACAAAACCAAAACAAAATCAAATTCTAAAATATGGATACACAATTTTTAATCGCACGGGAACGCTGGCGACCCCAAAGCGGATGCAACTTTACAGAGCTGATTGGAAATTGGATGATTGATGATGAGGAAACGCGTTGCGATCTTCCACCTTTAAAAAAACAACACAACCACACACCACCCAATATTAAACGGACCGAACGATCGGATGGATGGGTCAAGATCAGAAATGGTTAATATTAATTAATATTAATGCAGTTACAGATGCCTGTTAATTGTTTTTAAAACGATATGAAAATGGTATATTTTTTCTATATATGTGAGTTAATTCTTTCCCTACGCGACACTTTAATTCAAGAAAATGAAACATTTTTTTTTTTGAAATTCTAAATAAAGAATTTAAGTTTTCCCTTGCGAAAAACAATTAACAATTTGTGGTGTTTTATCTTTTTGGGTCATGAATTTTAGAAACGAGCAGTTAGCATGTTTTGTGTTATTTATTTTTCAAAACATGGACTATTACATTTTCGGTTGACAATTTGTTTTTCAGAAAAAAAAAAAACATACACGCCACAGGAGGGACGAACATCGCACGCCTCCTTGGATGTTTACAATAATTAATGGAATGCGATGATACACTTGGAGTTTATAAAAGTATAAATAAATGAATATAATAACATTTAACAAGATGAAAGATGCATTTAAGTTTATTGAAATTCTTCTTTTTAAACAGTTTTTCACGTTGTTGATATTTTTTTCGAATTTCAATTTACAAAGTTTCTTGTTTGTGTCGACTCAACACTTTTGGACACAATATTTATATTTTTCCTCGTGTGAAAATTCCTGCAAGAAATATTTTTGTTAAGCAATTATAAGACCCAATGACCAAAAAAAAAGGTTTTTTTTTAAATGGCGACATGCGCTGCATTCGTTTCGACAAAGGTCGAGGCCACATCTTGTGTCAATTTGCTGGTCACAGGAGCATTACCACCTGAATTCCTCGACTGATTGGAAATCGGGAAGGGCAAGTGGTGCTCGAACTGCTGCTGCTGTGGGGGAAAGCTCTCCGGAACATGGTGGATGGGCCGGAAGATGGTGGCCAAATCGAGAGTGTGGTCGAGTCGCCGAGCCGAGGTCAAAAACACCGCCTTCACCCGTTCGAAAGTAGCACTATCGTAAACTGATCGCGCGGTATTCGAGAGATCAAAGGGCTCCTCGATATTCAGCTCCTTCCATTGGTACACGTCGTTCTTGGGGCTCTTGGCCATTCGGCATGTGGACACCGGCAGGACTCCACCGGTCCGTATGGAGATCGCAAAGTTTCGGAAGCTGTAGCATAAAACACGATATATTTTCTGGATTTCTTGAATCTAAATTAAAGCAAAGTACTCACTCAAAGCTGCTGTAGTACTTGAAAAAGCCAAGCAAGTGTTCGCCGAGCGTCTGGGTATTTAGCGCCTGGTAGGGCTCGATCGGCTCGATGAGGTCCAGGTCCAGACAGTCCTGCTGACCCAACTGGAACTTCTCCGGATAGAGGGTGTGCAGGCAGGGCAGCACGTGGGGCACGCAGGCGTGTTGCAGGTAGTGCAGCACCATCAGCACCAGTGAATAGCTCGAAATGGTCATCCGTTTGGCGTCGTTGATGTCGTGATATTGGGCCCAGAGCTTCACAACCACCACCAAGGGTCGTGTCCGCCAGTCCACTAAAATATTATAATTATTAATGAAAAATAAAACAATGAATTCTACAGGCACACAAAAATAAAGATTTAATGTACATAATAATTCGATATGCATATACATACATATAATTACTGTATACACAATAAAAAGATCCGACAACATTTAAAAGCAAATATAGTTTATATAATTACAAACTTACGGTTTCAGTCTTTGATTTTTCACCTGTATCCTTGTAAAAAGTCACAAGTCACAATTAAAAGATATAGAGATATAAAACAGTCACAAAAACAAGAAAAATAAATAGAGAAGATACAGAAAAAACTTGAAACAAATATGTATAAAGTATAATTCTATACTTTGCATAAAAGTAAGTGAATATATAATTTAAGTTATTCAATCGCTTACTTTGGGCGTAAAGCTGCAGCAGATAAGTGTTTTTAATGCCAACGCAGTTGTTAAAGTTCAGATCGACTTCGATTCCATTAGTGATGTCCTTAAAGCGCAGGATTGGTACCCTCGCCTCAATGAGATTAAAGTCCTGAAAGACCTCTGCAAAGTAAAGTCACTTTTATGCTAAAGTTTTCCAGCACCCATGTTGTTTTCCTTACCAGTATCCTTCAGAACCGCGTTGAACAGAGTAAGGATAATCAGGGCCTCGGTTCGCTTTTCATTATGGTAATGATGTTGGTGATGGTGGTAATGGTGCTGTTGCCCCTGCTCGGGCAGCAGACACATGTCGATATCCGAGGAGTCCGTTCCGAATCCCGTGATGGTCGATCCAACCAGGCAGATGCGATATCGCTCAAACATCGGTTGCTGCAAGTCAAGAAAGCAGAATAGTTATACAGTAACTTAATGAATATATAAAATAGATATATGTATGCACTGACATTCATCCAGAGGAACAGGTATCGCCACAGTCGCATCTTGGACTTGAACTTCTTGTGCGTCTGCTGAGCTCCCCGGAATCTCTTCCAGATTTCGACGGACAAGTTATCGTACTTGCACATGCAGATTAGCTTCTCTGGCTGGACGACGACCTCCACGTTTCGGGCTTGGGCCAAATAGCGATCGGGGGGCAGGACGAGTTCGTACCAGGGAACTCCTGCCGCGGCTCCTGTCGTTGGAATCGGCGATGAAACCGGCGCCGGGGGAGGAGGTGGTGGTCGGTGGGGAAGATAGGGAGTCAATGCGTGTCCGTTTATCTGTCCGTGTGGATGGTGAGTGGACAGCGGGGGCGGGTGTTGCTGGTGCATCGGATGTTGAACTCCCATTTCAACCAGGTGCGGAGACAATTGGGCGGATCCCAAAGAGCTGGGAGTGGGAGAGATTGAGAGGTGGCCTCCATGGCCCAACCTAAAAACGGAATGAGGTTAATACATAAATTCTTTGAAAAGTAATGTACAATCTTTTCATGACTTAAAAGCTTTAACTTGTTGAGTATCTTAGTGTTGTTGTAATATCTTATACAGAATTCTCAAAATAATGAAAGTCTCTTTTTTTTTTTTTTTTTGAATACATACCGACTGCGGTTGCTTATGCCACTCCAGTGGGATTCCGCACCCAAAGAAGACGAAGAAAGTGCTGGCGAAACGGATCTCACTCCAACCGCACTGGCGTCCTTGTTGTGTGGCGAGGATCCATTTCCACTCAGACTGCAACTAGATCCGTACGAGTTTTGGTAGCAGGGCGAAGTGGAGTGCGGCCACGCGGGAGCCGGAGGCATCTGGTGAGCCTGACTCTGTCCCGGATTGCAGAATCCCTCACCGAAGTGAAAGAACACCTGTGGCGGCGGCGGCGGCGGCGGCGGAGGTTGTGATGTGCTGCAGCTGGGAATTAGATGCGATGGCTGCTGTTGGTGGGGAATAAGATAGGGCACCGCCTGGTTGAAGCTTGGGCTCGTGCCCAACTGATCTCCGCTGGCAGCCGCTGCCGTTATGGCCTCATCCAGTTGGGCGCAGCTAATCATTTTCGTGGGCGTGGTGGTTGCCACTGGAGAGATCAGTGCGTGGCCATTGATCAATGCCAGCGGTGGTGGAGCTGGGAACATGTTCCGAGTTGGCAAAACCGAACTGGTTAATGGTGCCGAACCTGGACGAACCCCTGGAGGAATTGTCCTATCAATAGTTGGTGTTGTGACCGCAGCTGGTGTTATGGTTACACTCGGTTTGCTCAGCAAGGAGCGTTTGATCAGAGGCGTTGCTGCTGCTGCTCCTCCGTTATCACCTCCATTCGCCTCCATGTCCACATTGATATAAGTGAGGTTGTAGATATTTTGGTGCTCCGAGCGAGTGGGCGTGACACCGCCCTCACCCGCCATTGGATGATAATTGTGCTGGTAATATCCGTTCTTACCACCACCACCTTGCATTCTGCGATGCATGGCATTAAAGTTGCTGCTGGCCAGGATCTCAATGGTCTGCTGCTGATGCGCGTGATGATGTTGCTGCTGATGATGATGATTAGATCCTCCTGTATCTCCACTCTTTCCCAATGGACTGTAGTGCATCTTCTTGTTAATACCACTGCCATTATTGTTGCTATTGTCATTATGTTTCCGGCGGAAATGCGAGTTGCCAATGCCCTGCGAATGTTGCTGCTGGCCGTGATGTTGCTGCTGGGCATGGTGTTGCTGCTGCTGCTGGTGCTGGTAATGCTGATAGACATTGTGGGCATTTCGGTAGCGCTGCTGTTGCTGTTGGTAGCCAGAACCCACGGATTGGTGGCCATATTGCTGCCGTGAAAAGTTGCCGTTACCGTTGGTGTTGCTGTTGCTGTTACCATTGCTGCTCTGATTGCTATTGTTGCTGCTCGTGTTGTTGTTATTGTTGTTGTTGTTATTATTGTTGTTTTGTTGACTGCTTGCTTTTTCGCTACTTTCGGGCAGCAGTTCTTTTTGCAAAAACGAAGCGATGGTCAACTGCTTGGGTTGCGGATAGTAATATTGGTAGTAGTTATGCTGCTGATGTTGCTGCTGGTAGCCCGAGGAGTTTCGTCTGTGCTCGAAGGACAACGACTGTTGCTGCTGCTGCTGTTGCTGCTGCTCCGATGCAGCTGCGGCAATTGCGGCCGCGGATACAACTGCTGCGACCGTCTCCTTCTGGAATTGCAATGAAATAAAAAACCTATTTCTTTAAATATTCACTAATAAAGACGACTTATAGCTGTTGCTTAAGTATTTAGGAAAAACGGCGATATTTCCTGTTCTTCGTTTCACTACTTACATCTTTTAATTGGCTGGCTGTTGGCTGCGGATAGTTGGTTTTCCAAAAACTAAGGGGCTGCTGTCGTGGTCTCTCTTTTGCAGAATCCTGTGTACTTTCCTTATCCTGGGACTTATCGGCAGACGACTCTGATCCATTTCCTGTGCTCGAACCTGTTATTGCCGGACCGATGTTGCAAGTCCCTGTTGTTGTTTCCGGCGAAACTGATGAAACTTTAGAGGTTTGAGATTCCGGAGATTTACGAAAATAGGAAGATGATGCTTCTGTTGACGAATTGCGCTGCTTAGAACTTATGCTATTGTTATTGTTGTTTCTGCAGGTAATTGTGTGGTTACTGTTGTTGTTGCTGTTGCTATAAATGTTGCTGCTCTTATTAGTGTTGCTGTTGTTATTAATGCTGATGATGGTTGTAATGTTGCTGCTATTAATATTACTGCTGCTAGTTATGTTGCTACTAATGTTGCTGCTGTTGTTGTCATCATTAAGCCAATTGGCTGGCTTTGAAGCCATTCTGTTGCTGATGTTGCCGCTGGTGTTGCTGCTGCTGTTGTTGTTGCTGTCGCTAGATTTGCTATCAGATATAAGTGGTTGAATTATATTTTGATTCTTCATCAACACATTATTGTTGTTTAGCGTTTGCTGTTCTTGTTGCTGCTGCATCTGTTGTTGTTGCTGCCTTTGAAAATACGAAGATTGCTGTTGTTGCTGTTGCTGTTGCTGCAGATTGCTGCTGCTGTTGCCAAAATATTTTTTTCGGGCCCACGAGTGATTGTTACTGCAGTAGTGCAATTGTTGCTGCTGTTGGCTCTTACTGGCCTCGTTGTTGCTGTTGCTGTTGCAATTGTTGTTGTTGCTGTTACTGGTGTTGCTGCTGTGACAGCTGTTTACTTGCCGCAGCAGATTTGCGGTCTTATTGTTGTATTTACCGAACTTTAGATGGCTTTGTACCGGCTTTGAACCGGGTGATCCTGCGGATTTTCGTGACCGGAAATCAAGTTGCTGCTGCTGCTGTTGTTGCTGCTGCTGCACGTCCGCGTTGCATGTTGCTGGCGCGCTGCTCTCGGCAACATCTGCGGCAAAGATCTTCATATCGGCAGATACTCGGGTGGCGTGCATATCCCTTTTGGATCGGGTATTAAGAATCTAGGTTTAGCTTTCGCGGCTCGAGTTTTGGGTATAAAAAATTGCTCGGCACGTATCGCTCAGTTGCTTAGAATTACGTTTAGGTTAGGGTAAAATTATATTTAATTTTTTTAGTTTCTCTGTTCGAAAACTTTTTTTTTTAATATTTTTATAAATTTTTTTGTGTTTTGTGTATATTTTATAGCTTTGTATATTTTTGTATTATATATTTTTTGATGCTGTTTTTATATTTTTTATTTTGTTTTCTTTTAATTATTTATTTTAGTGCTTACGTTTTTGACACTTTAATTCATTTCAGTTTTTTAAGAGCTTAATTTCTCTGGGACTTTAACTTTTAACTGCCACCAGTGTAAAAGTACCGTATTTTCACACACACATACACACTTCTATATTTTCATATATTCGATCTCCTCTTTCTCGGTGGGTTGTGTGTAAGGGAGATGACGAAAGACTGCCGTTAATTTCGAGGAGCACCGAAAATGCAACGCAAAGTGGGCAAAATAGAAAAGCTCAGCCACTAAAGTAAAAAATATTTAAAGAAAAGGGTAAAGTATCCAATCCGAAAAGGAAACCCAGAGAAACTCACCCAAGGCGTTGCAATTTGCCCGGAAACGGTGCCTATCTTGTTGAGCGATTCTCGTCGCACTGCTCCGTTTCCATTAGATTCCAACACACACTTTCCACATCAATTCTAACATTTATAAAAAACTAAAATTGCGCCTAAAACGCTTTGAAATCAGCTAGCAACAACCGTTGTACTTGGATATTGCTCCACTCGATACCATTTTGGGGCCGGGATTCCGATCACCTGTCATCGATAGTATCCCTTCAGGAATCGGAGGACCAGTGAAGACCTACATATTTCTTCCATGTCTTAACCCTTTTGATCCTCTGTTTTTATTTCTAATTTATTTAATATTAAAAATAATGTTGGGGTGTTTTATGTTTGAATTGTTTAGTTCTTTAAATTTTCTTTCTTTTCTGTTATAATTATAATTATAATAATTAATCCATCTATTCCAGATATATTCAAAACAATAATTTTAAAACAGTTTTAATCAAAGTAGTCAACAATTAGGCATAACTCTAAAAATAACTGCTATCAGTACCGATTTAACAGCGAATTCCAGAATAAACGTGCTGGAAGCATTGTGTCGCGTCCAACGCAGCTTTTGTGGGTAAGCCTGTAAAACGAAAACAATATTAAAAAGGTGTTAAAATTAACAACAAATACTTGTTCCATAGCACAACTATAAAGCGAAGAATAAACTCTATTTACTTACAGGAAGTTGGCGCGACGCAGACGCTCTAAATAGCCATCCGTGGCAACGGCGGTGAGGAAGATCTTTCTCACATGCGGCAACACTTGGTCTTTTAGCTGTCTGGCGAGGTTAAGGTGATTGTTGGCGGCGCTGGCCACCTCGAAGATGCACTCCTCGACGCCCTTGTCATCGCTACGTCCGCGAATGATGCGCTCCTGACTTACGCCGTGTCTTATGAGCACCTCGAGGGGAATAGCGACCGCTTGCTGTCGGCCGGTCAGCGGAATTGCACGCAGCAGAGTGGCGATCCCTTGGGCCTTGCCCAAATGGGAGGCAGCGTGGTCTACCTGCAAATCCCGTACTCCGCCCACCTCAAGCAGTAGGAGAAGCAACGAGGAGAAGGTTTGCTCCGCGTACTCTTCCAATTCGCGGATGGATTCGAATCCCTGATTCGGCGGTCGCTCGCGTGCAGTGACCAGGCGACGCAGATAGATCTTGTTAAGCTTCCGAGTGCCCACCGTGTGCTTCAGCTCGCGAAGAACGGGCTGGTCCTCCACGTAGGATCGCTGCGATTCCGCCTCGAAGCATTTGTCGATGGAATCATGCCAGAACTTCAGGCGCATCTTTGCTATTTGTGGCTCAATTTGCTGTAATAAAGAAATTTACAATGTTTACCTAACGAAACTAAAAATGAACATTTCCATATACTTTTGCCTCACCCCAAGTTTACCAGCAGAAAATCTATTTGTTCGCACTTATATAAGTATTATTTTTAAAAGATTACCTTGCTTGTTAATAATATCCAACCAATAGCACCCCAAAATTATTGGAAAATCGGTTGGTATTGAATTGAATAATACGTCTAAAACATCCCGGAACAAAACTCGAGTACAATGTAAAACTTGGGCCAAAAGTCTTGCTTTTATGGTCGATTAAAGCCACAAAAAAAGTAAATCTATCTAATGGATGCCGTACTTACATGACCGCTGACAGATCTGGAGACCTCCACGTTGAAAGCACGCAGTGCGAAGGCAGCTCGTCGCAATTCCCGGGGCAGTAGCAGAGTGCACAGGTAGTTCTCGTAGTCATATTTTCTGTTTTTAGAAATATTTTAATAGAAAAAAGGAACTTGAAAGTTTAACGTCAATCACTTACTCCACCAAACTCATGCAGTGTTTGGCACTGTATCCATTCTTATCCGTCTCGCCCACCCCATCCTCTTTGGCATTAGAGTTTGCCTTCTGCTGATTGACACTGGCATGTCTTACAACTCCTTGGCCGGATTTTGCGTTGAATAACAATCGGCAATTCCAATTTCGCACCAGGCGCCGCATCTGTTCTTCTTCTTTTCACTAGTCAACTGAACATATGATAAACAGCGTTGCCAGATCGCACGATGCGCTAGTGCTGTATAATGTCCAACAATTTAACATTTTGTTTTGTTCATGGCTTGCGCAAGGAAATTCAAAATTCGAAGATGTATCTCGAAAAACTATTATCCCATATCTCGTATTTTTTGTCTTTATATTTTAAAAGATTTAATTTATATTTATTATATTTTTATTGTGACTCGTGTTAAGTGAATCCAAAACCTTACGACTAAAGTTATAATAAATTTGAAACAGGCATTTATAGTTTCTCAAATTGCAACGCCGAGATGAGATGGTTTCTTAGGATTGAAAAATAGGTATTGCTAACCGCAGCATCCTCCGGCACTGCAGGATGTGGATGGTTGGATGCGTCCGATTCTACGGTTGGGTCGAAGTCCTCCTCCACCATATCCACCTCCTCCTCCGCTTCCGCCTCCTCCGCCGCCACCACCTCCACCTCCTCCTCCACCACCGCCTCCCCAACTATTTCCCCAACCATTTCCTCGACGAGAATTGTCTCCGTTATTATCATTTCCACTGAATGGAGCCAGGAACGATGCAAACCTGAAGAAAAATGTTTATTATATGATCCTGATTTGGATATAACCTTTGACCACTCACAACTGCTTAATGGCAAACCAAATGCCCACGAACATGGCCAAAACACGTCTCAGGTCCCAAGGACGTTTTTCCCACAAGCGACCATCTTCAAAACAAACAGAAGGGTTTAATACACAAAAACCCACATATTCATCCACTACCACTTACTTTGATCGACGTACGCCATTCTGCAGGCCAAAAGCAAGCAGATTCTAAGTTTTTCTTTTAATCAATTATTTCTAGAGGTTGAGAAACCGAAACTGAATTTTTGTGATTGTGTACAAAACTTGACGTGGTGTTAGAGACGCACAAGCCGACCAGCTGATGAACTTCGAACGAATGAAATACATCGCATAGCTTACTACTGATGTCATTCGATAGTTGTTATTAAATCTAAAAATTTTTCCACTTCCGCAGTGACTTGCATTTTATATTAATTTATTTAAAAAGCAAATAAAAGTAGAATCTTGTGCTTAATTTTTACTTTTCGATTTTGTTTTTTTAAGATTAATGAAAAAGTTTTTTAGGATCGCATTCTGACGACAGTTTTGTTTGAAAAAAATATTAAAACTGGTTGCTTACAAAAGATATTGTTGATTTTTATTTATTATTTTTGCCAGTATAAAATATATTTTAACTGGCTAATGTTACAACATAGAGAAAAATATGTTTTCGTTATTTTGTTGGTAAATTCAGGTAAACCCGTAAGCCGATAAAAAAAACTGTTACTAGATTCGAGCTAGTTTTAAAATAAGACCGACGACGGCCACAAAAGCAGCGACTCAGAAATCACAGATTAATCAAGTTCAGCAGCACTCCGCTCGAGATCGAGTTTAAGAGAACTGCGTCATAAGCGTCACGAGGACGGGAGAAACCTTGATTTCCAGAGTCTTTGGTGATGCTGCTTAAAGCGACCAGTCTTTTGTCGGCGCGACATCCTCCCAAAAAGTATTGGGATCAGATGTCGCTACTATCCTCATCCGCCTCCGGCGGGCATATTGCAGCTCATTGACGGCTGAATGCGTCCGATTCGGCGATTTGGTCTCAGTCCTCCTTGTCCATATCCTGATCCTCTTCCACCGCCCCCTCCGCCGCCGCCGCCACCACCTCCTCCTCCACCGCCCCAACCATTTCCTCCTCCCCATCCATTTCCACGACGATTGGAGTTGTTGCCAACTCCAGTGAAGGGAGCCAGGAAAGACAAGAATCTGCAGGAAGGGAACTTGCTTAGTTATGTTTAATTAATGTAGGGATAGTTAAATAACTCACAGTTGCTTAATGGCGAACCAAATCCCCACAAATAGCTCCACTATCCGTCTCCAATCCCACGGACGTTGCTCCCACACGCGCCCATCTATTAAAGCAAGTCAAATATGAATAAAACTGACACCTCTTCAGGGTATACCACAATCATATCTACTCACTATGGTCGATGTACACCATGGCGCCCAGCAAACATCCAGGATGCTTCGTCCACCCTCAATTTATTGCACAAATTCCAAAATATGAATATCTCACAGTTCCAAGTTCTTATCAAAACATTGCTAGATATGGGAGAATGTAAGTCATAGCTATCGAATAGTTTCCGGTCACTGTTTGCAAAATGTCAACCTGAAAATGTTAACCTTTTCCGGAAGTACATTTTGATACATTTAAAAAAATTTCTCTATTAATAATCAAATATTCAAAACATACACATAATTATAATTTTATTTATACGATGATGAAGCGGATATTTGCATGTTGCAGTGCAACTTGTCTATCTTGCCAAGCTGCAACACTTCTTGACCGATAGTTACCGTTACGCGTTTCACAGCACTGCACAAACGCTAGCCAACACTGTGGCCGGACGACCGAGTGTTTTGGCTTCGTTTTTGGCGTAAATTAATAAAAACAAGTGCTGCTGTCGGTTCCAGGGGCCATTTCAATTGTTTGTTTGTCGGCTGTGAAGTACGATTGGCGAGTGCAGTGGGCGGAATAACATTTGAAGACGCTGGAAATGGCCTTGGACGTCATCAACTACGGTGAACACTAACTAAAGTCAATAACAACAAACCAGGTGAGACCGATTGGAGGCCCAAAATGAATGGGATTTATTAAGGCAAGGCAGCCAGCTATACTAACTTTTCCCCTCTCTGTTTCTAACCAAGATCTCAATAATTAATATTCCACTGACAGACCTTCTGTCTATTTTCGGCCACTGCAGTTCGCTAAAAATAGAAATGTCCACATAGACAGAACTGAAAATAAGGTGCAGTGCATCATCATCATCAATTATCATCGGTGAACCGAATCCTCACTTCCGGAATTCCAAACGCCCTCGTTTTCCCGGGAATTAAGCTTTCCCCGGTCAATTTCTACGTTTTCTCTACATTTGCGTGTCTTTGGATTAGTTCCTCTGCCTTTTTTATTTGCTAGAAACAGGTTTTTGTTCTATTAGATAAATAGAAATTCTTTTCGCACTTTGATTTGTCAACAATCTGGGGAGGAACTTGACCTTTAACTTTGTGGCCAACCTGTAAACCCGTTTTCTTGTCCCAATCAATTTCCGTTTGGTTCCTGGGATTTCGTGAATTCTGTAATGCTTCAGGAATTTTTCTTTGTAATTAAGAATAAATAATACAATATAAAAAAGATTGAAAGTTCTTTACCAATCCCAACAGAGCATCTTCTTTAAATTGTTGAACTAGTTATACCAATATTTTATATATCATCTATTAACTTAAAACTCGAAAATGTACATATACCCAATGTTTAAGAATTTTTAAAAGATCAAGTTAGTTGACTCCAATAATTAATTTTACTTGCATTATAGATAAGTTTAAATTGAACAGCTTATTCTTTTCGTTTCACTTATAAGTTGTTTGGCTAAAGAAAATTAAAGAAAAATACGATCGTGCATTTAAATCTCACTATAACATATACAATGTCCACAGGTGACGAATCATGAATTAACGCATACGAGACCGAATCCAAACAACGATCAACTGTTTGGGTTTGTTTTATTTTCTAAATGAGCAATAAGTTGTTCTCTCGCGAAAAATTCGATGCGAATGGGTGCCTTTTTCAGAAATAATGTTCATAAATCTACAGTGGCATTAAATCGGCGATAAATTATACAGGTTATTAACTTTTAATGTTCTAAGTTTAAATTAAGATTTGTACAATGTTCTGACTTACGAAACTAAGATTTATTTTTGAAGGGATCAATAAATAAAAGATTCCATATGCTTAATTTTCAAAACTTCAATTACCTTATTACAATCGGGAGAATGATTCCATTATTTATTTTGAAATGAAATAATCTGTGATTTCAGTTTTGTTACATTTCCCTTCCTTTCTATTTCAAAGTCAACTTTCTTCCTTAAAATAATTAAATAGTGTTTGACACAGGCACTTTATATAAACAATTTCATTAAGTGGAACAAACACAATAATAAACCTAGAACAATAATTAGTTGAACTGGTTTTATTTACCTTACCATAACTTTTAAATGTATGTAACTATATTCCCTGGAGTTTTCAAATTACCAACACTGTTTGTTTTCCTGCGATTTCTTGTTGTTCTTTGAGGACTTTCCAGTTTGGAAGTCGGGTTCACCATATTTCTAAACACTGTTCTACGACACAATCTAAGTAGCTGCACGCCTATTTGGGCAATCAGTTTATTGTGTCGGTTTGCCAGTGTTTTTGGTGTGTTTCTATTCTTCTTTTATTTTATTTTTTTTCTGTGTGCTACTGCTGGCGATTTGTCAGGTTTGGCTTGCTGGCTTTTGCTGGCTGGCTGGCTGGCAAACCCGAACCAAATTTGTGTATTTCTGCCCTGCCTCTATTATTCTTTTCGTACTCTGTTTTCAGTAATCGCCAAACAACGCGAGCGCACGCATTTCTTCTCTCTGGCTCAACATTTATGTATATTTTCCACTCTGACATCATCAGAACGATCGCCAGAACGCGGGTGAAATCTCAGTGTGTGCTTAGGTTTTAGCTTTAGTTTCGGGTTCTGTTTTCGTTTTCTTTTTTGTTTTTTTTTTTTTTTTGTAACATATATTTTGTGGAGCCATGAGCTTATTCGAGACCCATCATCCTTGATCGTTATGCGTGGAAATCGGTGTGAGAAAAAGCCGAAAGTTTCGCAAGTTGGAAGGAAGACGAGGAGTCAGAAGGATCAGCACGCTTCGGAAAACCTGTGATCGACTTCAAAAAAAAAAGAGAGAGAGAGAGAGAGAGAGAAAAAGAACACACAGTAAACTGCCGCTAAGACATTCACCTTGCTCTTCCTCTGCCACCAGACATGTATTCGGCGGGTAAATAAATTAATAATGAGTAAACAACAAAAACCAACATCGCACCCGTTGTCATGCAAATTTGTTCTGTCTTATGTATATTTAAATATTCGGATCGCCCGACTTGTTTCATTTCGTTCTATATAATCCCAGTATCTGTTTCTGTATTCTGTATTCTGTAGTCTGTTCCGTTTTGATCTTTCGACTTGGCACTTGTTAGATTTAAGCTTGATTTGGTTTCATTTGGTCTCCCATGTTTCGCCGGAAACTGATCATCAAGAGTAGCCACCCCATCCAACCATCCACCCATCCAACCATCCACCCATCCATCTATCCATTCTATTCGTCCACCCATTCATTTATTCACTCTCATTCATCGAAATTCTCACACGCATAAGGCATTTCGGGTTTCGGGGGCACTTATGTAATTGACCGCATTTGAATGCCGTCAGGCGGCTGATATCAGCGACAGCTGGCCTCCGATAAGTTGCCACCCAAATTGGCCATTATCCCCATTATCTGGCCACGGACTTATCGGTAATTAATGCGAGCCGGATTGATATCTCCGATCGAAGGGTTCATTTATTCCGAGCCAGTTCCGCCCCTAATCTCGATTAATAACGCTGGAAGAGTGTCTATATATATAACTGCATCCCCAGTGGGGCTTAAAATGGTCATCACACTTTGATAAACTGGGACTACATCTATACAATTAATATAAACTTAAAATCAATCAGGTTATAAATGTATGATAACTAAGAATAAAATAGAAAAAAATAGTCTTTCCAAATTTTGAAGGCGATCCAAAGATTTTATAAGCATAGAAGTTTCCGTCAATTGGTAATTTGTCATTTAGAGTCAACATGGGTCATTTAAATAAATAAGATGAGTAAAGCTAATATCAAGCTTATAATTTTTGTTGTTTGCAAAAGGAAAACATTCTGTTGCTTATATACACATTGTAAACAAGCCTGATTTAAGGACCACCAAAAAGGTTTAATAAACAGAATTGGAGAGGTTTATTTTAGCTTAGGTGCACACAGTGTACACAAATTGTTAAATATTTAACCACCTAACATTGATCTTCTGTAGACCGCAATCATGCACCTTTCATTGTAATTTAAGTACGGCAATGCAACAACTAACTCATCAGCACCACCGCCTCACCTCCAATCTCACCACTCACCACTCGCCACTCACCTCTACTGAATTCATCCCATCTTATCTCATCTGATCTGATCTCATCATATAGTAGAACACAAGTGAACGCAATGCAAGTGAAAGTAACTGCAGACTAATCCCAATCCGACCTTCGTTGCAGTCCGCACCCACGACTACGATTATCCGGAATCGGAAATGGACGAGCGGGAGAGCCTCTACTTCGATACGATATCGCTGGCGGACTCGGAGGCGGCTGCCGCAGCGGCGGCGCATCGCAAGTCGATATCGCAGTCGAGGAATACGATCTACCATTCGGCAGTTGACCTGGCGGGCGATGAGAACCGCAGCAGCTTGCGATTGGGAGTGGAGAACGCGGCTTTGGCCTGGCAACCCGGCTATCGCCAATCAACGGCATTGGAGCACCTGAACGGCAATGGCAATGGCAATGGCAATGGTGGTGGTGATCAGACGGATGCTGTAATCGCTGCCCAAATGATTGCCATGCAGAATGGACGTGGCCATTTGCCAACTGGAATCGGTGCTTCAACGGAGGGAAATAATTCCGGAGGATTTGGAAACGGAGGAGGAGGAGCAGGAAGAGGAGCAGGAGGTGGTGACGATGAGGTCTCTAGACGTCTGTTAAGAACTAGTAGCAACATTTCTAATAAAGATAAGAAATTGCCAATAACATACTCCCAGTGGAAATCAAGGGTAAACAACGACAGTTGCATACGATCCAATTCAATTCTAATTTCAATTCAAATTCAAATTCAAATTTCGATTTCAATTAAAAGCCAAACAAAAGCCTTCGCTTTTGCACTGCCTCCGATGTCTTCATCCATCGCACTCACATCGAAATCATCTCACACTTCACGTTGCCTTGCAGTTGTTGTTGCTCCATTTCACACCATTTCACATTTACTTTCACATCCTAATCATCTCATCATCTGCAAGCATTTGCCAATAAATCTATATGGTTAGTGGTGCAGTGGTCGCTTCTGCGAGGAGTCCATTTATATAATATCTATATTCCACAATATAGTTACAAATCAATTGCCCTATAATATCTATTCCATTCATAATCGAGTGCTTTATTAAGTGATTTTTACAAGAATACTCATTTCTATTTATCTCATTAATAATTTAAAATAATAATTTTTAATTGAATAATAATAATTGCACACTAAACATTGTGTGTACCATAAAAATCGAAAACTTATAAATTAATACCTTACCTTATTTTTATTTCCATTTTTATGAACAGCTGACTTCGCTGGCTATTTTTAAAAATATATATAAAATGACAAGGGACTTTTGCTTGATACAATCTAATCTTTAACAAAATTCTAAACATTCCCTTGGAGCTTAACTTGCAATCTTTTAAATTTATAGATAGTTGAAGAAATAATTTAAATACCTACTATGCATTTATAAAAGATTGCATTATTAGAAACTTCTCAACCTCTCTCTTGAAACAAACTAGTAAATATAGAAGACTCTCTTATTGAGCGACCACTGTACACCCAGATGCATATAGTCGTCCACACAAATATGATTCCACTGTTTCTGTAATGATATTTCTGCACTTGATAAAGTTCTTGCCGCATTCTTTCACGCTCTCCTTTTGTTTGTTTATATTTTTCTCTATTTCCTATAGTTTGCTTGCGGGATTGGGTATGAAACACTCTTATGCGAACTCTGTATATTGTAATCTAATATTTAAGTTAGCCAGAAGACGCCGGCACAGTCAGTTTGGAGCTGATCGCGGAGCAAAAAGCTGAGCGATAACCAAATCACATTCGCCTCTCGGCGGAGACGGTTGAGTTTTGCTCCTTTTGTTATTTCGTTATTTGTTAATTGTTTTTCATTGTCAACCGGTGTGTGTCCATCGCTCCAGAATGCTGAATTTTTGCCTGCCGCGCAGCCTGCGCTCCGAAATTCAGCTGGATGAATCTGCCACGGTGATAATGGGTTGGGAAATCGGTTGACCCAGTGACTTAATCCGAGGGGAAAAAACAGGGAAGAGGCACACGCACCCACACGCTTTTTTTCCGTCTAGTTGATAAGCAGATGTATTTTTAAGATCTCTCCTCCTCCCGAATGACTCACTTCTAAAGCTTTCTTTCTCTTTCGTTCTCTTCCGAAATGTACATCTCTTGATCTTGACCTGGATGGGAATCTGCAGACCTACAGACGATTCGATGATGGCAAGAGGAGCGTGGACTTTGTGCTGGCGTACAATGGCGAGGATCAGCTGGAGGAGCACCGGCGCAAGCGGGAGATCTTCGAGGCGAATCTGCAGCGGGAGGGACTGCAGCTGGAGCACAACAAGGTGCAGCGGGTGCACTTCATCAAGATCCATGCACCGGCGGAGGTTCTCTATCGCTATGCGGAGGTGCTGAAGATCAAGGTGCCGCTGAAACCGATTCCCGGACAGGATCAGATATTCGCGGAAACGGCGCACGAGTTCAAGTCCTGTTTGAGCCGGATGTGCCGCAGTCTCTTCAGTTCGGTGCAACTGAATTCGGAGCTCTTTCCGGAACGCGAGCCGCGCATCCATTTGGAGTTCTCCAAGAACTACCTGGAGCTGTACGACACGGAGCATCCGAACTTCCTGGACGCCAGCACCCGCTACTCCATCATCAGCTTCATTCTGCAGCGACAGCATTTTGTGGAAGGCGAGGAGACCGCCGACAATCTGGGCATCGAGAAGCTCGTCCAGGATGGCATCTATACGTGCTCCTACACCCTCCACGATGTGCGTGTTTGTACTGCATTCGCTTTTAAATTCTTATTGACTAAGTTTCGAATTGCAATTCGCAGAAAGACGATCGGGATCGTCTGCTCAAGGAGTGGGCCAACATATCCAAGTGGAAGAAGTAAGCAATTCAATCAGTTTCTGTTTAAGTAAACATAACAATAAGGCGTAATTTCGAGTGTCGGAAAACAGTTTTTATGGAAAGAAATTTGAGCTTTGACAAGTTGTTTTGGAAACACAAAAACTGAGCAGCTGCAAGTGAGAAATATGATGAAAATTAGGCAAATAACCAGATATCATATAGGAAATACAATTGCTCAAGGAGTGGGCCAACATATCAACATATCAACTCAATCAGTTTCTGTTGTAGTAAACCTAAAAATAAGGCGTAATTCAGATTGTCGGAAATCAGTTTTCATGAAAAGAAATGTGAACTTTGCAAGGCAAATAAGCAAATATCATGTATGAAAAACAATTTAAGGAAATGAAACTTGAGATCTGCAAACTGAAATCATTTAAATTATTACACTATTTATTGATCTTATTTATTTCTGTGATAGTTAAAAGATAAAGTCATTACATTTTGGAATCATTTCTTTTTTGTGCAATATTAAATAAATGAGCATTGTTTGCTCCCATATATAAATAATAATATTAACTGCTACCACTTTTAATTTCACAGCCTGCAACCACTGGACCAAATCAAAGACTACTTTGGCGCGAAGGTGGCTCTATACTTCGCTTGGCTGGGCTTCTACACAAAGATGCTGATACCCATCAGTATTTTGGGCATCCTCTGCTTCCTCTACGGCTTCATAACGTGGGGCAGCGATCCGATTAGCCGGGATATCTGCGACGACAATGGGACAATCATGTGTCCGCAGTGCGACCGCAACTGCGACTTCTGGCGGCTGAACGAGACGTGCACCTCTTCCAAGTTCAACTATCTGATAGACAACAATATGACGGTGGTGTTTGCACTGACGATGTCCATTTGGGCGGTGGTCTACCTGGAGTTCTGGAAGCGCTACTCGGCGGGCTTGGTGCATCGCTGGGGACTGACGGGGTTCACCCACCACGTGGAGCATCCGCGACCGCAGTACTTGGCCAAAATATCGCGTTCCAGAAAGTTGGCGGGCAAAACGACCACTTTGGATCCCGATGTGCCCTTCTGGAGCTTCAAGTTCCTGCCAAACTTCACTAGTTATAGCATCATGGTATTGTTTGTAAGTATATTTTGAATCTCTACTCTCAACTGGATACTTATGCCTTTGTTTTGCATTTCAGATTTGCATATCAGTCATTGCCATAGCGGGCATAATAATCTATAGAATGGCGCAGCGAGCATCGCACAGCATTCTGGGCAGCGAGAACTCGATGACCTTCAAGGTGATGATCCTGCCCATGACGGCGGGCATCATAGATCTTATCGTGATCTCGCTGCTGGACATGGTGTACTCCAGTTTGGCGGTGAAGCTGACCAACTACGAGTACTGTCGCACGCAGACGGAGTACGACGAGAGCCTCACAATCAAAAACTATGTGTTCCAGTTTGTTAACTACTACTCCTCGCTCTTCTACATTGCCTTCCTGAAGGGCAAGTTCGTCGGCTACCCGGCGAAGTACAATCGCGTGTTGGGCTTCCGGCAGGAGGAGTGCAATCCAGGCGGTTGCCTCATGGAGCTCTGCATGCAGTTGGTTATCATTATGGCGGGCAAGCAGGCGGTTAACGCTATTGTGGAGATGCTGATTCCCTACCTAATGCGCACCATCAAGGAGTTGAGCTATCGCCACGGGTGGTACAAGAGCCACGAGGATCAGCGGCTGGTGCCCTACAATCAGTTCACCGAGGACTACAATCTTCTGCCCGCCGAGAACAATTCGCTCTACGTGGAATACCTCGAAATGGGTAAGGTATTGCTAAGGTTTAGATTTCAAATATAACTCATAAAGGGAAACCTCTCAAAGTAGTAGAATAATCATATAGGAAATCTTTTAAAGTAGAATAATGAGACTTCAGTTTATTCAATAGTTATATAGAATTTCTTTGGCTAAGAAGGGTGTAACTTCTTAAAGCTATTGCATTGAGATTTAATTAATCAACCTTGAGTTGTGTAAAAAGGCTATTTTAAATATTTAGTTAATTATGCATTGAAGGATTATCAGTCGAAAATGTTTTTCTCCTTGTGTTAATCACACATTTCCCTTGCAGTTGTGCAATTTGGCTTCATCACCCTGTTCAGTTTGGCCTTTCCACTGGCTCCTCTGCTGGCTCTGCTGAACAACGTGTTAGAAGTTCGCCTGGATGCCATCAAGATGCTCCGTTTCCTGCGGCGTCCAGTGGGAATGAGAGCTCGGGACATCGGAGTTTGGCAGGGCATAATGACCGTCGTCACCCGAATAGCAGTGGCTTCCAGCGTGAGTTTAATGAGCTTCGAATTGAAATACACCTTTATAATTTTCAACTTCCCTTTTAGGCAATGATAATCGCATTTAGCACAAACCTCATACCGAAAATCGTGTATGCCGCCTCATCCGGTGATATCGAACTCAATAACTATTTGAACTTCACGCTGGCCGTGTTCAACACGCAGGACTTCCAGGTGCAACCGCTGCTGGGGGAAAGCCAGCATGTGAACGAGACGGTGTGCCGATACACGGAGTTCCGGAATCCGCCGGACGATCCGCATCCCTACAAACGTCCCATGATCTATTGGAAGATTCTAACGGGTCGACTGGCCTTCATCGTTATCTATCAGGTTAGCCACTTCAATTGCAATATAATAATATATAAATAACCTTTTGCTCTTCCTTCCAGAACATCATCACCATGCTGCAAGGTATTCTACGTTGGGCAGTGCCAGATGTCTCTGGTCGCCTGTTAAAGCGCATCAAGCATGAGAACTTCCTGCTGCGAGAGCACATCATCGAGTACGAGAAACAGCACGCCATGAAACTGGTCCAAACGGAGGTTTCTGTTGGCCAACAGAAAGCGGAGAGCAATCTGCGCCAGCGACAAAGTGAAACCGCAAATCGGAGGAGCGAAGAAGCCACCTCCTTTGTGTAAATGTAATAACGACAAATCAAAGCCGCATGTTCATCAAGATCATTCCTTGGTTTCTCCACGCGACACGTAGTTAGCTGAACTTTTGTATATATGTATAACCGACACGCGAATATCCAAGGATCGTATATATCGTTATCGCCTGAATGTTGTGCTTCGTACTTAAGATGATTTTTGTACTGTGTTTGCATTGGAAATGCTCAAACGACAAGTCAAGCAATTGCATTTTTATATATACACACACGAATAAGGTTTTATATGTATAATTGTTACTTGATTTTCCAAACGGATCGATTCCGGGTGTGTTGTATTTTGTACAAAGGATACGCGCAACTCCCCAAAAAAAGAAGGGAAATTAGAGAAAATGGAGCCAAGAGAATTGAATCGTCATCCCCTTAAAGATCACAGTGTGGCCAAGTCGCTTAAGCAGCACACAAAATATACAGTTATAGGATATGTATTTGAATATTTTTTACATTATATACACACGTCCAAAGTGCATTAACAACGAGTATTTATAATTTAATAATAAACAAAATGATGATGATGAAGAAGAATGAGGGAACCGTTGGTAGCTATATCTAGATACATATATCTAGATGGATCATAAAAACAAAAATGAATTAAAACGAATTATACACCACAAAATGTGTGCAAGTTGAAATACGCTAACACTCTACACTAAGAAACAATCCAATGTACCTTACAATTGTTACCCACAAACAAACAACCGAAATGCGAACTCAGAAATACTATATGTACGTGCAGTTCATCCCCATACCCATCTGATAGATCCGTTGTTTTTTATTGTTGATGATTGATTATTGCCAAGCGAGAGCATTGCATTGCACACTTCGCAATATTTTGTAGAACTCTAAACGCTACCTTACCTACCAGTACCGAACACCTATAGTGAATTGTTGTTTTGATAAACATATTTATACGATAACAATAACGATAACATCTACGATTACGATAGAGATTAAGCCAGAAACGAATTGTGTTGTCTGCTGGTCTGCATGTGAAATTAAGAAATAACGAATAAAAAACGTGGGTGTTCAATCCATTAATGTTAACAGTGATTCGAGCTAAATGTTACTGAATTTGTATATGGCTTGGGGAATACTATATGCTATTGGCTATCTAAAATGGTTTACCAAGGAATATAAACCGGATGTTTTGGATATTATAAAATTAGCTCAATTGATAGGCGATGAAAGCAAATCAATTGGAACGCTGACTAGCGACTTGACTGGCAACATTCAATTGACAGAGACACCACTTACCATCTCATCCCCTGGGCAGCGAATTCCGTGCCATACACCCCAATGGATTACGAACGATTGAGGTGGAACTGCACTGAGAGAAATAGGTATAAAACCAGATAAATCTTCCACATTCCGAACTCTTAGTTATGGAGTCAAAAAATCACTTAGATTATTTTGATAATTGTATTATTATTTATTCTCCTTTTGCCTTATAATTTTCTATTGTTTTTTCCAATGGATCTCAATATAACAAACATATCTGAGGCACATTTTCTTGCAGTGTTCGCCATCACCTTAGCTCCCAAGTGGGCCATACTGGCCGGTCTAATGCAATTTGAAATATGTAATGCAATCGCACTCCCCTCCCACGACGCCAAGGCAATGGCAATTGTCTTTGGGCTTGGGTCTTCCAGATTGCCACGCTCGTCTCGGTGGACTTAGTTACAAATCTGTCGCTGGACTGGAACTTTGAGCCGCGAATCGGAATCGGAATCCCGCACAGAACCAGAATCCCCATCTTAATCCGGATTTGTGTCGCTTTTCCATCTCACGATCGAAATGAGTGGCTCAAAAGTGGGTAGAATGGCAAACAGAATAATAGAATTGAGATTCGCAATATGATCTGGGTTTAAGATATTTCGATCGGAATAAAAGATGAGATAAATCTGATCTTCTGAGAAATGATGGGATCAAAAAGGAATCGAATTAAAGTATAGTATTGAATTAATTTACACATTCTAGGCAAAACACTTAAAAACATTGAGTGAAAAGGAGCTCGCTGAGTTTTTCGATTCGTTTGATTTGGTTTTTTGCGATTGCGATGGTGAGTTTGTCTTCTAGTCAACCACTTTTTAAATAGTTCCTATATATTTGTCTCCATAAAGGCGTTGTTTGGTATCCTCTGAGAGATTTTATACCCGGTTCTGCCGAAGCTCTGGCCCATTTGGAGCTACTTGGCAAGCAGGTGACCTTTGTGACCAACAACAGCATCAGTTCGGTGAAGGAGCACATCGAGAAGTTCCAGGAACAGGGACACCTTAAAGTTGACGAGGTAATCGAAATGTAAATAGCTAAATATCTAATAGTTTTATCCGTAAGAATACACTTTATTGTATAGAAACCAAATTTCTAATGCAAGAAGTTCTCTCGAAAAATGAATTGTTTAAATTTCAATCCAATTACCAACTTAATCACCTAAGGTATATAATTCGTTTTATATTTTATCCCAGAGTCAAATAGTTCATCCTGCCCAAACGATCTGCGACCATTTGAAGGCCATTAACTTTGGGGGACTTATTTACTGCCTGGCCACGCCCCCTTTTAAGAAACTCCTTCTGGATGCCGGATTTAAGTTGGCCAAAGACGTGAGTGAAATGTTCCAGTAAACTTCTTGATCGATTCAACGGATCTCAATAGAGTGGAAGCGGAACTATCACGAGTCTCAGGGATCTCCACGAGGCAATTTACGGCGGAGAATCGGTGGATGCAGTGGTCATCGATGTGGACTTCAATCTCTCGGCGGCCAAAATGATGAGGGCCCATGTCCAACTGCAGAATCCCAAGTGCCTCTTTCTGGCTGGAGCTGCCGATGCCCTGATTCCCTTTGGCAAGGGTGAGATTATAGGTGAGATCGTACAGATCATATAGCTAAATTAATTCCTAACTCTCAGGTGAATATAGAAACTTATACAGGTTATCACTTACTTAAGTTATAAGAATTTATTAAATTAGGTATTACAAAAAAAATCTAACCTTTTACATCAGTGGGTTTTAAAAATTTAAAGAGTAATATATCGTAAAATATGTAACATATTTAAATCTTGGAATACTCCAGAACTTTTTACATTTTCCTCATAAATAGATAATAGGTATGCAGAGTCTTAAGAAATATATTTAATAGATATATTTTTTAACACCCCTCATAATGAATTGAACATTTAAACCATTTTAAATCGTTTTAATTATTCCCAGGACCTGGTGCCTTCATCGATGTGGTGACCCAGTCCGTGGGTCGCCAGCCCACCACTCTGGGCAAACCCGGCGAGGATCTGCGCAAGCTGCTGCTGGATCGTCATCCGGAAGTCCCACCCAGTAGGGTTCTGTTCGTGGGCGCTTTGGAGGGGTTGGCAAACCCGGCGAGGATCTGCGCAAGCTGCTGCTGGATCGTCATCCGGAAGTCCCACCCAGTAGGGTTCTGTTCGTGGGCGACAGTTTGGCCAGCGACATCGGGTTCGCCAGGAGGAGTGGCTACCAGACGCTCCTCGTCCTCACCGGCGGCACAAAGCTGGAGGAGCTCCGACTGCTGCCGGACGGCCATCCGCAGATGCCGGACTATCTGGTCGATTGTTTGGGCCAGATAGCACCAACACCCAGTAATCCGCAGTCGAGTAATCCTGACTCAGCGCATTTCGATTGATTAAGTTTCGAGTGTTTGTCACCGCAATCTGGAAATGTTTCTGGGTTCGTCACCAGTTGGTGACGATAGTTATCGTCACGATTATGTTTGTTTATTGTTTATGTACTACACTTGAAACATTAGATAAAAAAAATAATTAAAATAGAAATTAGTAGGTCTCCTCAACTGTATTCAAATTTGGTTTTGCATTATTTTTTGGTTTGATATTATCCATATTCCACTCTATTATATTCCAATATTCTCTTTAACGAAAAATTTTACCTCCTATTCAATATATTAATATATTATTGAGATATTATTTCTTTAAATATTTTGCTTTGCTAAAAAAATGCCTGAATACTTAATACATTTGTAATTTTGTGTGTTTTTGTGAGCTTTTTCCAGATGGCGAATCATCAAATTGGGTTATTAGAATGCCTTTCGTGGGGAAGTCCCAAGATCGATCAAAGTAATGTGAGCTATATGCATGCGAGATGAATAATGCAGTTCATAACCTTGTAGTATAAGAATTGAAATTTAATTAATTTTTGGGAGCACCCAAGTTGAAAGTATGTTTGCTTTGTTTGCTTAAAGTGAATATATTTCAGATAAGGAACAGAATATGGTGTGGTGCGGATAGCAATCGTGAGTGGTTTGCCCAGGTACCCATTACTATATACATATACATATTTAACTATTTATATATTAATATACATTCATGTATTTAATATACATTTTATTAACTAGACGTGCGATTTGGGCACTTGGCCCAGCATTTGGGCCACATCCGCCATGCTGTCGGCATAGTAATCCGGAATGAGACGGGGATCCTTCTGCGCCAGGAGCTGTTCGTAGGTGCAGCCGCCGCTCAGGACGAGAAGCGTTTGGAATCCACACTGCCGCCCAAATCCGATATCCTGGGCCAAACTGTCACCCACCATGAGCACTCGCTCCGGCTTCTCGATTTTGTAGTGCTTGGTGATCAGTTCACCCAACTCCTTGCCGGGCTTCCCCAAGGTGATGGGCTTCTTGCCACTGGCCTCCTCCAAAACGGAGGCAAAGGGCCCGGGTCCAATGATGTTGACTCCCTTGGCCACCGGAAGCAGCCGGTCGGTGGCTCCCTCGATCAGCAGGCACTCCGGGTGGCGCAGATACAGGTGGGCACGCAGCAGCTTCGGGGAGCTCAGGTTGAAGTCCACGTCGATGACCACCGCCCGCACCTGCTGCCTGTCGAAGATGTGCCGCGCCAGACTCTCGTAGCTCTCCTCGATGAACTCGTTGGGCTGCAATAAATACGAAATATGAAAACCATTTAGTAACACAATATAAATTTTATACTATAAAATTTAGGCAATGTCTGGGAAATATTTTTATAATCAAAATGTAAACATATTTCAATCTTAAAAATTCTGTCAGGTGTTAATAGGAATTGTTATTCAAAAATACATAAATATTTTATAGATGGGTTTATTCCACTGGAGTTAATTTTTATTTCACTTAATTTAAAAATATGTATATTATTATAAAAAACTCACCCCATCGATGAGCTGGAATCCCGCCTCTCGCAGGACCGCCTTGAATGGCTGGCTGGCGATGATGTAGATGAGTCCTTGGAAGCTGATGTTCCGCAGATAGCTCACGATCGACTGCGCAGGATGCCAGATCTGATCCGGTGGCACCTGCAGTCCGATCTTCGCGAACTTCCGGACACATTGCTCCAATGTCCTCACACTGTTGTTGGTCACGAAGGTCAGCTGCTTGCCATTCTTCTCGAGGGCAGCGTATCCTTCGGCTGCCCGGGGAACCGTGTACTCCAAGGTCCACAGGACTCCGTCGATGTCACTCAGGACTCGGTCGAAGGAGCCGACGAAGCTGCGCCGCTGCTCCTCACTCAACTCCAGAATGTGTTGCGGTTTGGCCTACAAAACAGTGTTTAAATCACATTCTTGATGGCCTTTTCTTAGTTTGAATTTATGCATCTTTTATTTATTGTTTGGTTACTTATTTTTCTTTTTTAATTTGTTTTTATTTGTATTCATTTATACATTTTTTTTTTTAAATTTTTTACTGACCTAAGTCAACATTAGTTGAACTATGCAAATCCGTATTTATTGTTATGGAAATTTAGAAATTCGAAAAGCATCAACTTTTTTTATAAAAAAAATATAAATAAAAAATAAACTAATGAAATAAAATTGAGCAATAAAAATAAGCTTTAATAGTGATTTATTTTATTATGCCACAAATAATTTTTCTGTTTTAATCAAAAATACACTTTATAAGGATGAAAACAGTGGAGCTTCTTGTATGTAGGTAACATAATATTTATATTTCCAGGTGGGGATCGATTGAATAGTTTGATAAGATAATTCTGAAAGAATTCCAACGTTAACTTGTTGCTCACCATCGCGATCCGCTTTTCCAAGTGAAAGTGTTGTTATCGCGATCACGGTTGTCGGAGAACTAACGTCCGCTGAATATTGCTCAAGCTGAAAAGTAAATAGAACCCAAACTGAAACCGAAACCGAAACCGAAACTAAATCTCGATGCTGATGCTGAATTAGCACCTCAAACGACGCTTTTAAGACCCCGACTCTTACTGGAACAACAGCCCCAGCAAAACTGCTGAGCTCAAATGCGGAAGCTCCCCGGAGAATGCTTCTCTATTTCTGCTTATCGCTTATCTCCTCCTTAATGACACTCTCGCTCTATTCACTCGTATTTCTACAGTCTTTCTAATATATCTCAAACGCAAAAAAAAGAAGACATAAAATATGGGAAATAAATTAACTACAAAGTTGTTGAATTGTTATTGAGTGAGAGATGAGGTACCTGTTTTTATTTTCCACTTTACAAATTCAGTAATTCATTACATTTAAAATAATTGTAAAATAAATATAAAAAAATCGAGAATTGGTAAAAAAAAATAAGTTTCTGGGAAAGTGGCATGGATTGTTAGTCGTAAGCTTTCCAAAATGGTATTGTATTCGTCTGTGACTTTCTTTTTCGCCAAGTTATAACAAAAAAACAGTTTATAAAGTGAACTTTTGGCGGTGAGTAAGTGTGTTTTTATGTTATTAAAATATAAATTAAGACAAATAATTTAATTAATTAATTAATTTGCAATGGAAACATGCACATTTAATAATACTTTGAAGTGTACTCAGTCAATAACATGTATTTTATACCAAGTTCTTCAGTATTTTTTCAGCAAAAAAACGCACTAGCGCGTGTCACCCTTCCAATCAGGGTTCTAATTGGACTTTTGTTGGGATTTCCTCGAAGGCTTCTCATCGATTTGTTTTCATATTGAATCCTTCGCTTTGGAATCTCCGAAATGATTTTCCCAGGACAACAGCAGTGACTCCTCTTGGCACATTGCTCATCCGGAGCATTTGAGACAACCAGGAGCGGAGAGCACCAGTGTCGGTCTAGAAATGGGCGCGGAGCATTCGCAGCAGCGGGCGGAGGCCGATGGTCACGAGATCTTCGATGGACGCCAGCCGCCAGGCATCGGCTCTGGAGCTGGAGTCCTGGCAGATGGCAGCTCCATGATGCTGGCAGCCACAGCGGCGGCAAATAAACGACGTGGTGCTGCACATCGCCAGCCATCGGGAATTGGAATGGGAACAGGTGTCGCCGGTGGTGTAGCAGGCATTCCAGGAGCTGCCGGCGGAGTCGGTGCAGGACCCGCCAGCATTGTGATAGCTAGCAAGCAGATAATCGCCGAGGCAGCTTCCCCCGGAGGCTCCGAGCTGAGTAGACCGCCTTCTCCGCCGCTCAGCGTTTGTTCCGATCTCCCGTACGTTTCCTACACCGACAGACCCATCGGGGATTCGCCCAAGATACGCAGCAAGCCGGCGCACATGCTGCAGCAGAGCAGCGCCAGTCGAGCGGCGGCCAGGAAGTCGCATCCCGGTGGAATCACCAGTGCGGTGAAGCCAAAGCGACCGCAATCCACCGCCTCTAGTCACAATATCGTCATTGTTCGCCCGGGTGCCACTGACGCTGGCGAGGATGTGGACCTGGACTTGGCCAGACTCAGGAATATACCACAATTCCTGCCCGTGTTAAGGGAGTCCATCACATCGGCCACTTACACAAGGGATGCGGAGATCCTCGAGCGTTTGAATTCGCAGCACTTGGTGAACATTTGTGCCCGCATGCAAACGCATCTGAATCTGTGCGCCAGCTACGTGGCCAGCGAGCAGAATCACCTGGTGGAGCGCACCAAGGTGGTGAGCAACTCGATAACCACACTCTTCGCCGGATTCGTGGACATGCAGAAGACGTACGCCTCGTATGCGGAGCAGTTCGCCAAGATCCGGAGCATCTCGCACCAGTTGAGCAGGTGCAACTCGCTGCTGCACGAGAACATCGCCAGTCTGGAGGCGATCAACAACTTCCTCGACGATGAGGATCGTTTGGAGCCCTTCGTCTGGCGAACCGACGACAACAAGCTGCGCGGGGAAGCGGAAGGAGCGACTGGTGGCAATAGCAGTCGCCTCTGGAGGCTCTAGTTGCCTCCCACACTTTTACTGCTCTCCAAAGATTTTCTTAGCTCGTAATCTTCGTGTATTTACTGTGTATATTAATCGTTAACGATGCCGCTTAGTCGAACGGCTTGGAATTTATGTGTAACTAAAATTTAAACAACTATGGATATGCGGAAGTGAAGGGAAGGGTGGTAATAAACATTAATTATATTTATCATTTAAAAATAAATGTTTCTTAAAAATCTAAATGTTTGTTTCGGGTATTTTAATGTTTTACTAAGAGAAAATTATAATAATAATGAAAATATAATACTCTCGGCAAGGGTATTTATTTTAGCAAAGAAAATAATTAATTTGAAACCTAGTTATTACGATAATACTATATCAGTCAGTTAACCACAAACCACATCCCAACTAAACTGATTACTTTTATCTTTGAGAGACCATAAAAAAAGTAAGGAAACAAAAAAAGTTCCCAATTTGTTTGTCCAAATAAAGCATATAGTTAATCGGTTATTTATTTTACACAATTAACACTAGTAAACACAATGCCCTAGAGAATTCAATAATATCTTATGCTACTGCACATTACGCATGCTTACCACGTACATACATACAATAAAGTCTCCAACTACGTTTAACAATTAGACAGCAAAAGCACATTTATTACACCTTATACAATTCGTCTAGATTTAGAGTAGATTCTAGCTACGAGTAAATATCGCAATAGTGGATATTTCACATACAATACAATACATACGACTATGGACAACAAATGTGAGACATTTGATTTACGTTATTATTTGGTAAACGCTACGCGAACATCATCTTAACATTCCATTCCACATACACACGAATCACACCTGCGTTCGAATAGTTCCTTCAATGATTCGAGGATGAGTATAGGGCGTATGTATATATAGGATCCGAAATGCAGCTCTCACAGAATGAGGTGGTTGGCAGCGAATGCTGCTCGAGTTGATTGTGTTGGGAGTTCCGTTCCGCTGGGAGTTCCTTCACCAGCTCGCCCTCTGCAATGCTCGCAGTAGCTTCTTCAAGGTCCAGCAGCAGAGGAACAAGTTGGCCAGCGAGCAGAGGAGCACCAGGCCGTGGGCAAAGGAGACGGCCAGCGAGAGGAAGGGGGGAAGGGACAGGTACTGCTAGCGCTGCAGATAGCTGCTCCAATAGACAAGCAGCATGAGCAGCACGTTGACGCAACTTATGTTCTAGAAGAGCTTCTGCATGTGAATGCGATCCTGGACGTTACGGGCCTGCTGTTGTTCCTCAATCGATTTCAGCTCCTTCGCAACGGTGTTCTTCAAGCTGGCATCCAGTGCCAGAGCATCGAGAAAGTCCCTTCGCGCCTGCATGGGATTCCAGGCGCCAGCATGCGCCTTGGCTCGTCGAAAGAGCGCCTTCACATTTCTCGGATCCAGGGTGAGCACCTCGTTGCAGTGCTCGATCACCGCATAGAAATCCCCGGCGATCAGGCGACACTGTGCATAGTTAAGCAGCAGTGGCGTCTTGATGGCAGCCAATTCCTGCCACTCCTCGTCGTGCGGTTTCTCCTTGAGCATCAGTTGCTCCACGATTCCCACAGCCTCGCGATAGCAGGTTTCAGCCTCCGCAAAGCGACTCGCCTTGTAGAAGTTATTTCCCCTTTCTCGAAGCGTGCTGGTGGCCAGCATCTTCTCGTCGTCGGACATCTGCCAGCGTTCCTTTTCGTACTGCTCGGGCAATTCAATGGAGATCAGCTCGATGATGAACTCAAGCTCGGCAGGATTTTGCAGCAGCTCGTCGAGATCTGGGTAGCCGATTCCCTCGTTTTGCAGTGTCATGCCGCAGCAGTGGCGTCGCTCCTCGGGTTTCTTGCCAATGTCACGCAGTGTTTTCGAAATAAAGGGATACTGAGCGCAGAGCTGTGTGAAAAAGATGCGAAAATTAGGTCAAAGGGATCGGATTGCAAGCTAAACACAGTTGATTGACTCTCACCGACTTGTGCACCGTGAATTTGGCCACCTCGTTGAGGGACATCTGCTGCACAATTAGCTCCCAAACCTCCAATTTGAACTTTTTGCCCAGGACAAGTTCCATGGGCTTCTCCATTTTGCGGCTGTCGTCGATGATGCGACTTTCGCCAGCCTTGCGCGTTTGAAAGTGGAACTTTACCTGGAACGGAAACCGGAGATGGGGATTAGTGCACCGCCCACATGGCCACCCCCTTGCGCCCACTTCGATGGCCTTGGCCCAATTTCGAACGGGCTGCAGCAGATGTTCGACTGCAACACCTGATGCTGGCCAGGATTGGACAACTCACCCTGGTGCCCGGGGTCAGCTCGATGTACGCGTTGCCCGGATTGAGGATCTCCTTTCGTATGGGCTTCATGTCGGACTTGCTGCGCGCCTGCATCTCCGCTGGGATGGATTTCGATTTGTATATTTTATTTGGAATCAACTGTTTTCGAGCAACTGTTTGCGCGGTGTGACCAGAGCCTGGGTGCACAGGCATACCACCTGTTTGAGGAGGAATATTTGAACTAAAAATGGTATGTGTATAAAATATGCTTGTTACACCTGTGATTTAAGCTTTTACAAACACTGTCTGTCGTTATTTTTCAAAACAATACGATCTGTCTAGACATATAGAAACAAGTGGAGGGCCCAAAAATGTTTCTTTTTTTTTTTGAAGATATAAAAAAATGGCTTAAACATTTGTGGAAATTTAATTTCGTTGTAAATGCTGCTTTAAAGAATGTTTGCGCAACGACGATAACATCCGTCTATCGATAGCTCACCCTTCGGTGGTTGATTGGCAACGGTCCAAAACAATAAAAACACCTTCTTCAGCTGACGGGAGCTTTTCTGCTGGTCAAAACGAAATCGAAAGCTTTTGCGTGTTGTCATAATTGTGGGTGCGCATTTGTTTGTTGCAAAAGCTCGCGAAATTCCACAATTGATTTGCGATGTGCCCGTGGAAATGAGACACAATTGACCCACTGAACTTGTCCGCTGTCCTTGTGCTGCACTGCATCCGCCGCCCAGCGATTCACCAGGGAAATCACGCGTGGAAACAGGAGTGAAATCGCCAGAGAAATCGGCACAATGTCAACGGAAAGCAATACACCCGTGGATCCAAGGGTTCAGGTGGGTTGCCAACCATATATATATATATATATATATACATGTAGATAACTCCATCTGATCCTTTCGAGGAACGCAGGTCGAGCTGGAGAAACTGAACTCGGCCACGGATAATATCAACCGATTCGAGGTGGAGCTCGATGTGAGTATTGATTTTTCCCCCCTTAATTACCGTTACTTACCAGTATTACTTACCCCCTCAAAAAAAAAAAAAAAAAAAAAGGAGGCCAAGTGCGAGTTCAAGCGTTTGCTGGCCGAAAGTGTGGTGCGGATTAAGGCGGCCGCCCACAAGCTGGGCAACTCCATCGATGCTGCGAAGCCGTATTATGAATCTAGGATCTATGCCGCCCAGTTGGCCAAGGAAACCCAAATGGCAGCTGCCAACCACGAGAAGGCCAAGTCCATTCACGCCGCCGCCAAGGAGATGGTCTACCTGGCGGAGCAGGGACTGGGCGAGAAGTCCACATTGGACACCGCGTGCCAGGAGATGCTCAGCCACGCCGCCAGCAAGGTCAACCAGTCCCAGCTGGAGGTCACCGACACCCGCAACGCCCTCAAAATGTGCCAGCTGAAGCTCGAGGTGGCCAACAACCGGGTCGGCAAGCTGCAGGGCCAGCTCAAGCAGGCCTTGAGGGCCTCCAGGTAAAGTCCACAAGATCCCTTAAAGAATAGGGGTTCCTCAGTTAGTGGGTAATATAATGAGCAAGTGTTCCAGGAAGCTGTAACTATATTTTGGATAGGAAACTCTTTAAGATTCAAAACCAACCAACAATATAAACTAAAGCAATATTGGTTCTAAAGTTTATTCCGAATCAGCATTGTAACTCTTTAAATTCCGAAACACTTTATCTACAAATCTTTTCCATCGGCAATTAAGTCTTCTATGAGTTTAAAAGCCTAAAAATAAATGTTTTTTCAGATTATTCAGAAAGTTATACAAGATGCTTCAAGAAATTCTGAAATATTCTTTAAAGATTAACTGTACACAAGTTCTCAAAAGAAATTGTCCGGATAAACATCAATTTCGTACTGTTATTTTTAATATTTTAAGAAGGACTTAAACTTATTAATGTTCTAAATGGTTATATAGGAAATACTTTAAGTAACATTTAAACTTACACTTAGAATTCTGAATACAAATTCGGCTCTTAGCCGAGTTTAAGCTTTTCTTGTCTAACAACTATTTTCTTAACCTTTTAAGTTGTCTTTTGATTTGCTTCCTTTGTTTATTTACCTGTATACTTTTGGCTCCGTGTTCTCCCGGCGGACTGCTCTTTCTTCCGTTCTTTTCCTTTTCTTTCTTTTAGATTGCAGCTCAAGCGCAATTTACTTTTGTTGAGATATTTTAGCATTATGCACGCTTTGTATTGTACCCTCTGTTCGTGAGTATCGCCGATTTGGCCAGAGATTCACTGGGCAGAGCACGACGAGCACTAATCGTTTTGGAATCACCTCGAACCCCTTGATATTGCACAGGCCGTACTATGAGACCCGGGCGAACTACAACGGACTGCTGAAGGCCCAGAAGACGCGGGTCAACGAACTGGAGTCCAAGGTGAGCGCCGCCAAGCTGACCTACAACGAGGCGCTGAAGAATCTGGAGCAGATATCCGAGGACATCCATCGGCAGCGGCAGCAGCGCAACAATCTGCTCAACTACGAGGCCATGTTGCGCCAGGTGGACGTTGCCGGTCTGGAGAGGAGCGCCCAGGAGGAGACACCACCCGACCAGGAGCAGCAGGAAGCTGTCGAGGAGGAGGAGGAGGAGGAGTACCTGCGCATGCCGGAGCGACTGGAGTGTCCACATCTCTTAACGGATTTCGAGGCTGTTCTGACGTTTCCCCAAAAGTTGGCAGGTGGCATGCACAAATCGGCGAGCACCAGTGCCGCGGATGGCGATGCCAACTTGGGACCGCTGGGCCTCCATGCTCCCTACGAACTGAAATCGGGCAGTGGTTCCTTGGCCTCCGGTTCCGCCTCCGCCTCCGTTTCCACTTCGGCCACGGGGGAGCTCCTCAGGCGGCGGACAACGACATCGAACAGTGGACGGAGATCCGGTTGTCGCACTCGGACAGCACCAGTTCCAGCTACTCGAACCAATCGCTGCTGGAGCAGCAGGGCCTGGAGTGCTCCGGCGGTCTGGCTGGCTCACTGGGATTGGGTCTCGGCAGGAGCCATCTGGATGCGGACGCCCAGTCGCAGCACTCCACCTCGTCGTCGGATGAGCCCAAGCGCAAGGTGACCTGCACGACGATATTCCAGGACGACAGCAGCAGTGGCGGGGCGTCGAGCGGAGGAGCTGGTGGCCAGCAGATGAGCCGCAAGCAGAGCCTCAGCCAGTGGCTGTCCCGATCGAACAGCTTCAAGGGAAGCGGGCGAAGGCAGAGCTTGGACCTGCTCATCGATGCCGGCGACAAGGTGAAGGACGTGTTCAACTACGGATTCCAGAAGGTCGGACGCAGCCTGGAGCGACGCAACAGCGAATCGGAGATGGCCAGCGAGTGTGGGGCGGAGGGGGAGGCTCTCCTGGGTGGCGCAACCACAACGGACTCCTCGTTGGCGGTGGCAAGTGGAACTGGCGGCGGCGGCGGTGGCGGTGGCAGTGGTTCGAGCAGCGGACCCGGTGACTTTTTCCTCTTCAGCAGGTCAGTAGAAGGTGGTGCCAGTGTGGCAAGTGGTGCTAGTGGTGCTAGTGGTGGTCGCAGTCTGCTCAACTCGCTGCACAGCCGCCTAACCAAGCTCATTTGAATTCTCCAAAAACAAGATTAACCAATTTTGTTAACCCAAAAAAACCAACCAGCGATGATCAGCGCAAATTTTATTGCACCCATCTAAAAAAAAAAAAAATATGAAGAACAACTGCAAAATTTAACAATTACTAATAACTGAATTGGCTGCTTTGATTTGGTCTCTGCTTTTGCTACTTTCGATTCTCACAAAAAAAAATATATCTTTCACCACTAACTGCAACAACAACAATAACAACAACAACAACATCAATTAGAAACAACAACAGCAACAACAACAAGAACAACAACAACAACAACAACAAGAACAACAACAACAACAAAAGCACGAACGCACACTCGCTTTAACCACAAAATTCTGTATGTACCGCTCAAAAACGCTAAAACCAAAATCGAAAAAAGAAATCTCTCTGTTGTGTTTTAACCGTTAGCTTTTCGTTCAATTCAATTAGCCGCCTTCAATCACAATCCACACCATTCGCTTTCTCCCTTTGAGCCAAGTCATCTCCATTTAAGTGTCTCTGTCTAATTGGTTTTGAATGTTTTCAATGTCCGGTACTCCAGTTTGTAAATAACTTGAAAAATGAATAACTTAAATAACTTAAATAAGTAACTTAAATTTTTTTTTATTGTTTCCAAAAATTAAGATTGCAGAAAAGTGATTAAAAACCTCCAGTTTCAAAGCCCATAACTTTTTGGTTGATCTCTGATTTTGAATATCAATATTTACTCACAACTATTTAAAATACACATTTCGGAGTACCGGATATTGCTTTTACGTGTTTAGTCCTTGTGATTGTTTCGTTGTCGTGTCACTAATAATCATTCTTATCTCTGTCGAGTCGCAGTTTTGTGTCTTATGAATATTTCCCCACGAAAAAAAACAACAACTATTTAAAAATAAACCTAACTTTGCAGATCTTCAGAGCCAAAAGAGTTACTGTCCGATGAGCAGGTTGAGAATTTACTATTAAATCACACGGTGGACGAGAATGGTGCCATTATTGTGGAAGAACTCAAATCGCCAACAACAACAACAAGCATGTATCACACACACCACCAACAACAACAACAACAACAGCAGCAGCAGCAACAACAACAACAACAAAAGCAACACCATCAGGCGCTCAATGTCGTTGGAGCATTGCTGTTTTGAAAGGACAGCAAAATACCCTACACTTAGAAAAAAAATGAACACCAACACCGCCCTCACTCACACCCACACACACACACAAACACATATATGCAGTGATGGGAAAAGTACTTATTTATATTTAATTTGTATTCAAATACTTAAATCTCTAGATGTTTTGAGGCCGCCAACTGTTTTTCAATTGGTTTAAAAACTCTAGAGACATCATTTGAAGCAAGAAATGCAAGAGGCACTTAATACATTGGCAGCTCCCATCACTGCAAATATATATATGAATATGAATTATGGCAAAATTTTACTCTATGAGTATTTGGGCAACGACCTTAAACCCTAAATCCAATTAGTCAAAAGCGTAGCGTACATATCATTCAAGACATCAATCCAGACGGATCAGACCGCAGGAATCTTTTAAATCCACACGATTGTGGCAAACTATGTTCTAATCCTACAAACAATGTGCAATAATTTAGTTTGTTTAGAGGCATATAAATAAGAAAGTTACATTTTATGCTGTTTACAAAAAGCAAATAACTAAATGCTAGTCAACAAACGAAATCAGTTTAATAGTTTTAGTGTGTATGAGCTAAACATTCAGCAGAAACCCACAAAATACATAAGATTGTACAAATAATGGTATATGTGGCGTTCGCAGAAGGAGAATCTGGGGTGAAATTCGAAATCGACAAATTAACCAGACTTTATAAACAATTTGACAAATGAAAGGCCATTAAAATGTCAGAAAACCCTCTATTCGCCTTCTGGCTACGCCACTGAATGTTAAATAATTGCATATAAAAATACCTGCATACAAATTACATGAAGTGTATTATACAAAACAAATTGTTTTCTTTTTGGGTACAGGGTTTAAGATAAACTCAAATTGATCCATAAATACATACTATATCGCACTCGATCCATGAGGCATTTGGCTATTTACAAACATAACAAAATGTTATATGGCAATAAATGACTCAATAGATTTTCAAAATTTAAAAGTCCCGCTTCCTAAATTCGATCCACCAAGGAGCTTGTCACGGCTAACCATTGGAGGGTGTACTCGCTAGATTAGATGTTGCACTCGGTAAACGATACTATCGCTAGTTAGACCGTTTTATTTTTAAACCATTAGCCCTTGTGTGTCAAAGAAAAATTACTTTTTGTGGCAACCAAGAGGGGACGTTAAATTAATAAATGCACCAAAATATTAAGCAAGGCAAACAATGGAGCAAAGAATTCTCGGGTTCAACCTCGATAATAAGCAAAAATTTTATAAGAAATGTACCTAGTGACATATGAAAGCCATTTTAAGACCTGTCCACCGCATAAGGGTTATTCAACACACTTTATTGCTGTTTCTTTCGCACTTATTGGAAAACATTCTTCGTGTTAAAGTCCGTTAACGTTCGGCTGGCTCTCGCAGGCTCGGCTCTCTCGGGTTATCGGTTTAACCGTCTGGGAAATCGTTGTGCAATGTAAAGTTTCTGTTAGAAAGCTTGGTGCAGACCTCCAGCAGACAAAAAAGACTGCCAACTCGTTCTGGTTTGAGTCTTGGAGGGCTTAAGGGGTTGGGGGCTTTTCAACGGACTGGCCGACCCGATGGGACTACTACCCTGTACTGGCTCAGTTTGGCGTCCAGTTGTTGGCTTATTTTGAGTATTTCAAAAATCGAACGCAGCCCCATCGCATCGCCGCGTGTACGTTTTGGTTGCAAAAAGAAATACTGCTCAGAACAGACCAAACCAAACAAACCGAGCCAAACAAACTAAAAGTCGCGTCGGAAAGCCGTTAAATAACGCAAAGTTTTTAATATTTTTTTTCGGTGCCATGTGCCATTGTTGATGTTTTTTTTTGTTGCTAACAAAGTTTAACTGTGTGTCTTGGCCGTTTGTTTTCGTTTTTATCGGGGAAATGCGCGCGCGCATTTATGAAGTGAAACAGCGAAACTTAAAAAGCAGCCGTCTTGGTAGGAAAACTAAAACTTGCAACAAACAAAAAAACGAAAACAGAAAACCAAAGTTCCGATTGGAGTTTTACCAAAAAAATGCATTTGGTGGCTCAGAGAGAAGTTGAAGAAGAAGCAAGAGCGCACGCCGCGGCGCCTGTTGTTGATTTTCTTCTCCTTTTGTTGTTCTTGGCCGCGTTTGTTGTTGCTGACTTTATCTGCATTGTCTTGCGTCTTAACTCGTTTTGCTTTGGACCTTTTTGGCTCTCCTCTCTCGCTCTCTCCCCTGCTATTGGCTTTTCCGTCTCTTCCCGTTTTTCCCCCCGTCGCCTTCCGTCTCGTTCTGTGTCTTTGCCACACGCCTTTTTTTCGGCTTACGGCAGCAGCAGCAGTAACAACAACAAGCTGCCGCAAAAAATCAATAACGGTATAGGCAAGCAGCAGGAGCAGCAAAAAGACAAAAAAAAAAAAAAAAAAAACAGCAACAACTTCCGCTTTGCAGTGCTTCCTCAAGTCGAAAATGTCACCTGTCCCTTGGATTAGATAACCGAAAAGTGGAAAAGGGATGGGAAAGAGAGAGTGAATGAAGAGGAACCAACAAAACAGAAGAACAAGTCAAAAAAGAAACGGTTAAGCGGTGTCGCCACGCCCCCGCCCACGGCGTGGGTGCCACAATTCTTGTTTAATTAAAAGCCAAACATTCAATTAGCGCTCTCTCGCTCTCTCTCTACTTCGCTCTACTCTCAACTTCGCTACATCTCCATCTTTTTCTTTAGACGTCTATGCATCTTAAGCCTGCAACAACAACAAGAAAAACAACAACAATAAGAAGAGATACAGAACAAGGAAGCAAAGAAGTCAACTTGCAACGCACTCGTTGCTTTTTGGGTAAGTTTAAAACGCAGAACAAAATACAAAAAGAAAAAACAGTTCATTTGGGGGTATTTATGATATAATCCCTAAATCGAAGATACAGTCTTTACGTCAAAAATATATTCCTTATCTGAAAAAAGCAAAACAATAATTTAAATAGAAAAAGTCCAGAAAATAAGTAACCCAAAGATAAGATACTTTCTTATATATGTACATATAATACACATTCCTCATCTGAACTAAATCAAATCAAAAAATACGTATTAGAAATGATTTATTAAACAAAGTGAATAATAAAGTGGAAAATTAATTAAGACTGCAGAAAAGGGGAATCAATTAACAGAAATTTGTGTTCTTCAATAGTTAAATATTTCCTTTTAATAGATACATATTTCCATATGATTTAGTTTTCCACATTATTAATCACCACTTTAAAAAATCACTTCAAAAAATTATGTTTGGTGTTCCACAAATATGTACTTTATTCGAAAATATTTGGTTTACTAGTGTCTAAACTTTTTTTTATTAAAAAGTAATGATTATTAAAAATTTAGCACTATATGTAAACAGTTTTTAATGATGGTGTTAATCTTTTATTAAGCAGACAATATAGATTAATTAAAGCGATTTATGAAAGCTTAATCTAAAGTGCCCTTAACAGTTTTCATTATCTTGGGCATTGTAAATTATTTAACCAACCGACGGTTTCTATCAGCAGGTCGTTAATTACCTAAATTCATTTGAGCGTATTTTGTTATGAACTTTATATTCATTATTGCTTCAAGACATTATTGGCAATAGTTCATAAAAACCTGTGTGGTGCAGCTGACACATGTTTTCGGGTGTTCTCCCCGCAGACTCTTGTTTCCATTTATTTTGTATTTTTGTTCGCGGCCTCCACAGAAATCGAAGGCAGTGAGACATGCGACAAGCCTCCGTGAAAATCATGGGATTCGTTTAAATTAGCTATTTATAAATGGTCTTCATGCTTTCCATGACGATGATCTCCCCGGGGAAGATTCCCTTTCTGCCTTTCTGGCTGACTTTCCAGCCAGCCGTTCTTCCCTTTGATGTGTTTGCCGTCTGTGCCGCATTGTGCGATATATTGGTAATAACAGTGGGTACTTGGTACTTGGTACTTGGTACATTGGCCTTCTTGGCCTTCGATGTCGCTAAAACAATATTCACACGAACAATGCACAACGTGCTGAACTGTAGCCTCTTCACATGCACTTTTTTCTGGGCTTTGTTAACGGGCACAGTTCAGCTGATGTTGCTGTGCACAATTTCATAAATATTTCATTTATTGTTTACACAAAAAGGTCGCCGAAAGTGCGTTTTGCTTTAGAGTTCAAGGATGTGGGTCAAGTGGGCGTCTGATGACCTTTGAACACCCACGGATTATCGCGTTTCGACTGCGAATGACTCCTCCAAAGACAAAGTCCAATTCGACTTGGCCTTCGTTTCAGATTTTTAGCAATAAAAAATGCATATAAAACTAACAAAAATAAACAAGTATTAAACTGTTTATTATTCCGAGAAACTTCTTTAAGGATGAACTAAAATATTTGTTACTTTTCATTTGAGAAAATCATATTATCTTCAAACTTTAACTAAAATCTTACGTATTCACATGCACAGTTTTCTATAAAGTTAGCGAAACTCTCTTTATTTGTTTTCGAAATCTTTTCTACTAGAAACTCACAATATTCTTTTGTTGTTCATGACCTAACTTAATGCTAAACATTGTAGTTGCACAGCCCATGCAGCATTCACAATTTGCAACGCTGGCAGATCATCAAAATCCCATCTCCCCTGCAACCACTGAAAGGCATCGCTTTTCTGGCTCGGTGGTGCCACTGTTGACACGCTCTGGAGTGTCTGTCTGAACCACCACAGTCCCACAGAGCCCAGCACCTCCAGCAGCTCCAGCCCCAGTACACAGAAAAATATATTTCACTAACAAAATATATAGTAACAATTAAATTGCGGAAAAAGAAGCTATTGTTTTTCAGAAAGGATAAGCCAGTAAATTAACAATTCTCTAAATTGTAGTATGTTTGCTTTGCTTACCAATTGTTACTGAATATATTTCTTGAACGAAATACATCTATAACACTTTATACTTAAAGAGACTCTGAAAGATGAACAAAAGTCTTGAGTGGGTTTTTGTTAATGGTGCAAATGGATTATTAATGGATATATTGAAATGCATAATGATAAAGTGCGGCATTTTGTCTGTGTAGCATGGGCACCATTCTATATCATCGACTGCATCTTCTTCAGCAACTCGGCGACAAGACAAAGTGTGTTCTAATGGTTCATTGAACTGTGACCACAGACTCGCAGATGTGGCTGCCTCATATTGTTGCTTCGGTACGCACTGCCAATTTACACAAAGCCGCGTTGTTCACAGCCGACAACAAATACACAGCATTACATGCAACAACAGCAGGTCATCACTGAAAAAAATGAAGTGTTTAGATGCTAGATAAATCTCTAGAAACATTCAACCAGTCAGGCTATATTAATAAATTTACAAAGATTGCTTTCTAAATGATCAATTTTGCATTGAATGTAAACAAAGTAAATAAATTTTGAACAAAGTTATAAAAAAAGGGCTACGCAAATGTAACCTAACTGCACTTTTTCCACAATGAATCCCCCATCAATTTTATCATAGAGTAATATGTATTATTAATGGTCTTTCGTTTTAAATGGCAAACTGTAATTGCAACTTTTATGCTCACAATATTTTTACACTCGCAAACACTATTATCGGAAAAATGCAATTTCGAATACCGAAATTGGAAAATTTTCCAATTTTATTTTCGATTATGGCACTCTTCTGAATCGTAAATCATGGCGCCAGCCATGAATTCAATTAACTTAGCACACGGACAAAAACATGGCCAAAGATTTTTAATTGACTTCCCACATTTTCGTTTTCAACGATTTAAATATTTTGCTCACGACTGATGGAAATAGAATACTAAAACGAGGCAACAACGAATAGGAATGTGACCTGAACGATTTAGTTAATAATAAAAAACGTACTTAGATTTAAAAATATATAACAGCAATAAATGGTGAACAACATTTTCAAAATTGTGTCCCAAAAGGGATTTTCTAGAATAAAAAGTTCACAGCTTTAAAATAAATTATAGTTTTAATAACAACATACATATAGTTCTTTATTTGGTTTATGCTCTGTAAATTTAATGTAAATTACAAAGCAGTCATTTATTATGATTTTTTAATAAAACACTTTAAGGGTTTTTATATTTTGAGTAAAGCAAATGTACGATTTGCACGACATAAGTTACTTTGTTATGCTAGTCCAAGTTCAACTGAAATTAGTATTCGATTTTCGGTTTACCACCGACACTGCACCGCTTGCGAGCTGTGTTTTTTGTGTGATTCCTGGCTGAAATATACGAATTCTTGTCGAACTGTGCGTTGCGGCCAGGTGACGAAGCCCCGTCATCGTTTTGTGAGGAACGTGACATGCATGCAAATTGCGCTTGACGCGAGTGCAACCTCAAACCCAAACTCAAACCCAAACCCAAACCCAAGCGGGCGGGCGGGCGATAAGGCGAAGAGCTGCCCAAAGAGTCAGTTGCCTCTAACCTTCTGCGAAGTGAGCCAAAGTGCCTGACAACAAGTCGCTTTGAGCATCTCAGCTGAGAAGTGCAAGTGGGCGGCACGATGATGGGGCAGTCGTGCCATTGAAACCGACCGAAGAATTACAAAAGAACCACTTCCTACAATTTCCCAGCAAACGAGTTTTCCAAGAATAACAGGTAGAGAACAATTTGGCAGTTGTTTCTTTAGTCTTTGATTAAAATATTGAGAAGGCAGTTAGGAACTCTTCAAAAGGAACCGAAAAATAATGTTGTATATTCAAATATAACCAAGGTATTCAATTAATATAGTTTATTATTATAATTATATAAAGAAATTCTATTATTTATATAAAAATATTCTATATTTCTCTTTAATTCAATTTTATATATGTACATAAACCCCAATTAATTATATTTTTTTGTATATAGCTCATTTCAAATGAAGTTACAAAACTATGATTTATAAAGCCAAAATTCGTTAGAAATTCGAGAACTCAAGTTTGGGAAGTTCTGGCCGGTGAAGTTGGACTGCATTTGCGGCAGTGGCAGGGGGAAAAACTGGTTATCGTCGCCGCCGTTTGCATGCCACATCCAATTGGTGGCGTATTTGGGTCGCAGTTGGCTGTTTGCAGGCGTTGGCCAATTACGAGCACATATACGTTTCAATTGATTTCTAATTAACCATTTGCATAGCTAGCTGCGTGCCAGTGTCCATGTGTGAATGTTCTCACGTGTGCACTTGATCTGCTTCGGTTCTCCAAGTTCTTCAAGTTCTTCAAGTTCTCCAAGTTCCCCCATGTTCTCCACGTTCCTCCGTGTGGCATTCAACCAGCCGGGTGTAAAAGGGTGTCGGCTTCTCCTATCTATTAAGCCATTTGTAGGTCAAGCTGCGTCTTGCCGGCGTCTCTTTGTCCATCCAAAATGCGAGGGGCAAAAGGGCAAAAGAAGAGCAGCTTGTAATATCAAGTATACGCACTTATTTGCTGTACTTGTACAGAAACGATAATCCCCTCGACCCTAATTAACATTTGTTACAAAACATATTAATTATTATGGGACGGTACCGTACCTTTTCCAATTAAAATAAATACCAATCTGTTAACAAATGTACAAAAATCACTTTGTCATTGTACAACAAAGTGGTAACTTTCCCAAGAGTTGTAAACCATTTATTATTTTTTGTTTTATCTGCCCCCGCTTGTCTTTCTTGGGGGATTACTAAACGCCGCCGCAGATCAGACAAAACGCCCATATGCGAGTCAATTAGTGCATGTAGGCGCAGAAATTAATTTGTTCGCCGCCAAATGTGACAGAGTCAGCAAAAACACAGAGAAAAACCCATTCTCACGACCAGAAATTAACCACGCCGAATTAGAGAGAGCGCTGCAC